AATCGTGCGCCCACCCACGGCGAGGAGGCCGATGATGGCTGTCGTCACGGACAGCTTCTCGGGCGCCATCAAAGGAGCGAAGGCGACCGGTGCCGACGTCGATGCCAATGTTGCTGCTGCCATGGCCATGATCTGCTTTGGATGGCGGCCAGAGCAGCGGCCGCTGTGTCGTGTCCGCTTCGGTTTCCTGCGGTCGCTGAGTCGGGTATTTATCGAGGCAGTCGCCCGCCTTCAATTTCTGGACGTCGCCAATATATCCTCCTCCCCTTTCCACAGAAGTCCCGCCGTCCCAAGTCGCGGAGGGCCGCGTGCCTGTCGTATCGTCGTCGTCGCCGGGTGCTGTCGTCGTCGGCCACTCGATGCGGCTGCTGGCTGTCTGGCTGCTGGCTGTCGCTGGCGGGTTGCAGCGGAGGGGTGCGCCACACGGGGATCCCTGCCCCCAAGTAGCAGAAGTCACAGCCACCTTGTTGGGCTGTCGCGAGGCAATCGTCAAGGTCGTCGGCGAGGTGGTGAACGGTGATGATGGAAAGAGAGAAATCCAGGACGGCCTGGGATGCGAGACAAGACGCCCATCGGATCCGAGACCCCGCAGGTGCAACGCGAGTGCCAAAAAAGGGTCTCGAGAGAGGACGGGGACGGCGAGGACAGCGACGAGACAAGGTCCGGATAATCGGCATATGGTGCAAGGCTGTTCGGGCCACGGACTGCCGTTTGTGGCGGGGCCACTCTCCACTCGACGGAGCGCTGCCGAGTTTCCGAGAGCTGGCTGGATGGCAGGCGTGTGCGAAGCAGCAGGCGCGGCGCGAGGGGGCACCTCCATCACTCAAGGTTCCGTCCGGCCAGTGAATGAAACCTGGAACATCCAGCTGGTGCGCTGGTGCCCTGCCCAGTGCCCTGCCCAAAGCCTCCAGCGGCGCTGCCTGTTGATGCCCTCCCGCCTGTCACTCGCCTCCCGTCTGGCTATCCGCCTCCTTCCCCCAATCAACAGCCCGCTCGCTCCACTGGAGCTGCTCCCGTCGCCGCTCAGGTGGTCTCCGCGGGCATGGAACCTGGAACCTGGAACCTCCAGCGGGCAGCAACAGCAACCGGCGGGAGCGACAGCTGGAGGCAGTCTCCCGGTGCGGCGGCACAGGGCGCCATCCACCACGCAATCCACCTCATCAATCAACTGGAATTGGATGCATGACCCGTCCTCCGTCCCTGCATTGATCTCTCACCACCACCTCGTCAACTTGCAACCTACGGCGTCCCTCGCGCCCTTGTCAACGCTACCTACTGGGAGCCTACTTGCTACCAACGAGGGTCGCACCGCCGGGCACGCGATGGCCGAGCCGCTCCCGACCAGCAGACGCTACTCCAGACCAAAGGTTTTTGCCAGGATTTCCCTGCCCGCCCACCGTCTACCTCAGTATTCCGACTGCCACGACGTACCTGCGCGGCTGCAGCGCGCCGCCGCACAGGTACAGTAATATCAATCCATGGATGGCCTCCAACTCGTACTCTCGCCAAATCGATGCCGCCCTGGCCCAGCCCCGGCCCAGCACAGTGGCTGCACCACCCACCCGACGACCGCCAGCTGGGCGCCCAACGGGCCTTCTGGCCCCCTCCGGTCTCGCTAGTTCTGGTCCACGGCCCCGTCAGAGTCGAGGCCAATTCTGCTCCAGGCGCCAGCCTGTTCAGTCGACGCCTGGCGGCCTGCCCGCCTGCCCGCCTGCCCACCGCGCGTTTGCCATCGAACGGACCTCGAGGCACCACCAACCAGCTCGCCGCATTGCATCACAACGTGGCACAAGGACCAGGCCCAACAGACCCGAACCCCTGTTCCCGGCTCACGCCGACCTCATTGGCGTTTTGCCGCCGTGGACGTGCAAGCACAAGGGAACAGGCCGTCGTCGTCTTCAGTGCGTGCTCTCGCCTACGGGCCGTACAAGTAAGAAAAATGTACTGGCCCTGAAACAGCTCGTCGCACGGACAGCCGTCTTTGCCGTCACGCTGGCGCGCCGCCCGCGTCTCCGGAGCTCGTCCACTTCCCGTTCCATGGCAGGGACCGCCAAAGGCAATCGGCGCGGACAGGATCGTCAGGCGAACGTGAGTGGGCGGCCGTCAAAGACAGTGGAGGAGGGCAGGCAAAGACGGCAGCGCTAAAGCTGGCCGCCTGCCAGCCCGCTCCACCCCGTGGCGGCCGACAGGCGGAGTTCGGCACGCCTCCCCGTCCCTGGAGTCGCTCGCGCTGTCACGGACGAGCACGAACGAGCATGGATGGGGGGGCTGACGGCGGCCGAGTGGGTGGCAGCCTTCCTGCCTGACTGAATTCAAGACCCCACCACACCCTGAACCTCGCTCGAGCTTGGTGCGGCTCGCCCTCGTTCAGCCCGGCGACAGACCGACTCAGGTCTCGTCCTTCACAATTTCTCGCCGCCGCGACTGCCGGTGCCGGCCCCGGCCACGGATCTGGCGTCCATCGTCGTCTTCGTTCGGCGAGCACGCGAGCAATCGGCAGGCGTCCCGGTCACCGGTGGACTTGCACCCGCCTCGTGTTTGCCCGGTCTGCCCCTGCATCGCAAGTTTGCATCGGCCCACTGACGGCACGCTCGGCTGCCATTGTCGGCCTCCCATCCCGTCGCGAGCGCCCCATGGCAGCGCAAATCACTGCGCGGGCCGCCAGCACAGAGCTATACCGCACACTACAGTACAGTGCATCGCATGTAGATGCGAAGCGCTGCAGAATACCGCCAGCCGCATCGACGCCGCCGATATCCTGACTCGCGCGAGTCTTCAAGAGAATGCCGGTTTCCGCCCGCCGAGCCTTGGTTGAGATGCATTCGGCAGCCAGTGCCGCGGATAACCATTCATCGTCATGGAAATGCCCAACATGCTTCTCCGACATGCCTGTCGGATGCCTGTCGGGACCTTGCCGGTATCCGCGTCGTCGTCATGCATCAGCAGGCAGTCAGTCGTCCGCACCGGGTGCGCGTCCACCACGGACCATGTGATGGCGACAATCGCTGCCGTCTGCTGAGGCATTCGCGCGGGTAGTGCAACCGTCCCCTCGTTTCTGCCATTCCTTGCCTGCCGGAATTGCCAAAATGGGTGATTCCTAGTGGACGATGTCTGTGGTGGTGCTTCGGGCAGAAAGCACGGCACTGACCACGTCACATGCTGTGTGAGACGATTCTGTGCTTTCCAGGGCCACTGGGGCAAGTCGTCGATTCCGTGCCGGTCCGTCCAGCGTCCGAGTTTCCAAGAAGTGGCCAATGAATCGGGACCAGCCAATCTGGTTTTGAACCCTGCCGCGCAGACGTGAAGACGTGCCAGGTCGATGCTGCTAGGAGGTGTGATGCATCCATCTCCTCGTGAGGCCGGCGCGTACGCCTATGGAGTACACGCCGATGACAGACCCGATACCTCGTATTATGTATGTTGAGCCGCTTACACCAAGTCCAGCTGACGGCACACAAGGCCCCCATATCTGTATTGGGAACACGGCACATATTAAGGGGTTGGCTTACGTGCTGCAAGCTGACCTGGCATCACTTCATGTACGAGTTGTACTTGGAGGGTTGTCGCCGGCTCGCACGTCGGTCTAAAGTTGGCTTTTGACATCAATTCGTCATGAAACGGAGCAGTTCATCAAGAGTACACGTGCACTGACTCTCTGCACGCCACCCGTAGGTGGCCTTTCCCAACACTTCCATCCAAAACAGCAGCCACTGTACTTCTCGTCACTCACTCCCCCTATAACACCTCAGCTATGTTCAAGATGGCCATGCTCAACATAGCCAGGAACTCTTGCCTGTGACGCAGCACCCGCTCACCCACATGGCCCATCAACCTGTTGAACATGATTACAAAGTCGCCCTCCGACATAATACTCATATCCGCGCACCCGCCGCCGTGGTCTCCCGCCCACATCATCTGCTCCACCACGTCGCCGAACTCGAGGTCCGTGTTGGGCAACAACAACATCCCCTTGTCGTCGCCGCCGTCGTCGTCCCAGCTCGAGGTGCCGCCGCCGTCTCCGGCGCGGCGGCGCATGATGTCGAAGTCGCGCCGCATGCGCGCGTACAGCGCCTCGCGCACGCTTCCCGCGTGCTCGTCGTAGTCGGCGGAATACTGCCGCGGGTCTTCCTGCGCGTCGGCCTCCATTGCCACGGCAAGCGCGAAGAAGCTCTCGAGAAGTGTGTCGCCGAGGTTGCGCAGGTCATAGCACACGGCTATTCGCCACGCGTCGCGGGTGAGGCACCGGCTGCAGGGCCCTCGGATGGGGCTGCCGGCTGGGCAACCTGTGCGGCAGGTACGACCAACGGCCATGTTCAAGTTCTTCGAGACCTTACTCCGTACAATGATGCGCTCGTCTTTTCGTAGCTGGAGAATAAATGCTGGTGCCGGCGCATCTGAACGAAGGGAGGCGGTATCGGAGTGACAGGCAGGTGTACGGCCGTTGCGGCCCATGAATGCGTAACGGACCGTTTTAACAGACACATGAGGGCAGTCATGCATTCAACGCCGGCCCTTTGATAGAGTGAGCATTGTGACGAAAGTCCAAAAATAGTGCCCGGTATCAAAGGGGAGGATTCACTTGGCGTAACCGCCGTCATGCAGACAAAGAAGCAGCGACACTGCCCCCCTTATTCTTGCGACGAGTCTGACAGCAAGCCTGGAAACCAGCCACGACTGCACGCTCCTACCAACGCCAACTTCTATGCCTCGGCGCGCTCATAACTCGTTCCCGCCAGCATCGCGGGACAGTCTGTTTTCCTTCCTCGGGTCGAGCTGCGGGCGTCACCACCTTCACGGATTTCTCAACCAGCCCTAACCGTACTCCGCGAGTCCTTCTCCTTCTTTTCTTTTCGATTCGCTCTCCTGTGCCTCTTTTCCTGTTCTTCCTTTCTTTCCAAACGGGGGCAGTGACTACGTGCCGTAGTCGGCAGGACTCGCCGGTTTCTGAGCATACCAGAAGTAATAAGGAAAGTACCTATGCACGGAGATGTCATCGATGGACTGCCGCGCTAGGGCGAGGTCAATCTGGACGGCGGTGGGGTCTAGACCGAGCGCCTCAAAGGGCCTGCCGGCAAACGTGGATATGAACTCGTCGACGGCGCGCTTCTGGTAGAGGCCGATGAGGCGCATGGTCTTGTCCTTGGCCCAGACGCCAATGGGCACCTTGAGCACCTTGCAGTGCACGTTGGTGAAGCCCGCGTCGCGCAGGTACGGCTCGAGGCGCGCCGCGATGGTGGTGCTGAGCCCGAGCTTGGCCCACGCCTTGCCGGCCGTGGCGTACAGGCGCACGAAGGGGTCGTCCTCGGGCATGGTGCCGTCGTCGCAGCTGGGCACACCCATGAGCTCTTGGAACTCGATCCAGCCGCCGGGCCGCAGGCATCTGGAGTTGCGTCGACCGTTAGACGGGGTTATCTCTCGCCATCGAGGAGACGAAGGGGGCTTATTCCACAGTGGATAGGGGAAGGGGGGCACACGTACTCGTACGCATGTTCCATAACGATGCTGATATCCTTGAGAATCACGGCCATGAAGCGAAAGTGGACGAGGTCGACATTTCGCACCAGCCAGTCCTGCTCGCAGTCGTCGACGAGGAACTCGACGTTGGGCGGGACCCATAGCGGCTGTATCGGGGTCAAGTCGATGCCGCAGACCCGCGCGCTGGGATATTTGTCTCCGACTTGGGTGGCGAGGGTCAGTATTGCTATTTACTTATAGCTTCGCTCGGTAATGCGGGCGTCAAACCTTCAATCGCCCAGATGCCTATGGTCGATTCCCACGTTAGTTAAGAGTACAGCGACAACAGCCCACGCCGAGTTTGACTTACCCGTCCCCGTGCCAATGTCCAGAATCGACTGCGGGTTGTCGCCTACGGGAGAAAAGAATAGCGTGCCGTCAGTCAACTCCATGAGCATGGCATGCTTCATGTCCTCGCGATCCTGCTCCTGGTCGTCGTTGGGGATCGGGTAGCGGCCGTTCTTGAAGCACTGATAGCGGCGGCCGCGCTCGTACGTGCAGGCGTAGACGCTCGAGGTGACGCTCGTGGACCCATCGTTGAAGGGATCGTCGGTGAGGTCGAACTCGTCCTCTTCGCCTGGCTGGCTGGCCACCTCGATGGTCGGGGCCTCGACGGTCGCGACGGTGGGCGAGGGGCTCGAAGCGCGCGCATGTTGCTGTTGCGGTTGCTGCTGTGGTGGTTGCGGCGGCTTCTGCTGCGGTAGCGGCTGTTGCGGCTGTTGCTGCTCCTCGTGCCGCTGCTGCTGAGACGGTGGCAGCTGGGGCGGCGGCGGCGGCTGGCCGGTGTCACTATCGTGGGGCTCCATCCCTGGGCTTGTTGTGCTGGGGGGGCGCTGGCGTGGCTTGCTGCTGGCGACGATGCTCTCGGGATGCGTCACGATGCTTCGACCGGGGTTCGACAGCCGTGTACAAGCAGGGCCCGAAGAGAATTAAAGAACAAAAAAAAATCGACCTTCGAGGCTCACGGGCGCCTCCGATCGTGGAACCCAACGTGACCCCGGCAGAGGCGTAAATCGGGCGTCAAGCTCGACCAACAGAGGGCCCCTCAACAACAAGCACAAGCACAAAGCAATGAGCACATGGACCAGCTCGTAATCATTCGGCGCAGGGCCTATGGACCGTGGGTAGGGATGCTTCGTTTACGACGGGGCGGCGGGGAAGCGAGACGGGAAAGATAATAAAGGCACGGAGTAGAGATATCGAAGCCGGCAGGTGGTTCCTTCCTCGGCTGCAGCTCGTGTCGGCCGGGCCGTGGTGTTTTGTTTCCCTTCCCGCTTCTGGCTCTGACATTCGAAACGGGCGCCGTGCTTCAACGGCGGCGGCTCTGCATGGTGTCATATTTTTTTTTCCTTGGTAGCGACGAGGCTGTCCTTGTCTCATCCCCGCGGTCTGCCTGCGACCTGTCCCACCCAAGGCCCTTGGCTCCCCCCTTCTTCCCCTCGTGCAGCAGCCACATCACGGGGGCTTGTGCGACGGGGCCCCGGGAAGGGAGAACGGGACTGGACTCGACTCTGCGCGCCGAGGTACATACGGATGCGGGTAACTGCCCCGTGCAAGGAGGAGGGATGAGGACATGGTTCCTGGGGCGCGGCGGGCATCGGACCTGGAATGCCCTCGCAGGGACGAAGAGTACCAAGTACCTACCTCATGCTGCCCTTGCGCGCATGTCACAGCACTGCATGTTGCCGTGACGCACTTCGTACAGCTTTCCCTTCTCGCCCGCTGCGTGCGAGCGATGCGATGCGGGCGAGAGTGGGCTGCTCCCATGTCAGGTGCGGCGGGCAGAAGTGACAGGTCAGTGGCAGCTCGGCCGGCTGTGTTGGCCCGTCGAGACACATCTGGTGGCGTCGCGTGGAAGACGCAGGTTGGTTCGGACGCCGGGCGGCTCGCCGCTAGTTTGATTGTTCCCAGGGCGTCATTGCGTCTCCGAGGGGCATTGAGATAGTCTGAGAGGTTTTACGGCCCATCCAAAGTCCCTACCGGGAGGATCCATGGACGGATGCGCTTGATGCCCGGTGGGGCCCTCATCTTCAAGGTTGCCCGGGGGTGGTCGACGTGCCCTGAAATCGACAGCCTAAGTTACCTCTGCGCTGCCTGCCGGCGATCAAAGACAGCCGGGCGGGAGGAGCCCCAGGCTTGCCAGGAACGGGAGCCTCTGTTAGGTCCAGATGCGCTGCTAGCCCGCGCGCCTCAGGCCCTAGCTTCCGCACTGGGGCAAGATCTCTTCCAGGGCTTAAAACTGCCCGCCTGCCCAGGTGCAAAGAACTTGTGGGCACCGCTTGGGGCACCTCAAGTCCTGCATGCAAGGAGGCGGACGAGCGTCAAGAGGAGCCTCGGCATGAACCCGTTTGTTTGTCCCTTTCTTGACATTGGTGGGAACATTCCGCTATCAACAAATCAGTGAAAACGGGGCAGGTATAGCCGCCCGCCGCGGGGGGGCTTTAGACGACGCGGGCAGCGGCCAACGTACCTCCATACATCCCGCCGCTGCCGCCCCGCCCCGTACCGCACCCTCAGCGTTGCCTCCATGCCCGCCGCCAGTGGGCCCCCCCTAAGCGCAGCGGTTGAACCAACTTCCAAGTTCGCCATGCACCCAGAACGACAAACTAAACCCAAACGTAACCGCCTTGCATCACGCATCACATCATCACATCACCTCGCCTCGCCTCACATAATAACCCGCCCAAGCAAGCGAGCTGCGCCGCCGCCCGCCGGCCCCCAAATCCCTCAGGCGCTCCGCCCGTGGCCCTGTGTCACCATGAGCATCTTACGTATCGTCTCCAGGTCAAACGACTTCTCGGCCTCCTGCAGCGACTGCTGCACCGCCTTGGCTCCGCGCGCGACCACCTCGTCGTCAAAGTCCTGCATCGCCTTTGCTGCGTCAGCCCCGCTGCCGCGAACCTGCACCAGGCTATCGACGTAGTTGCGCACGTCGGTGATGCAATGCTGGAGCCCCTGCCCGCGGTCTGCTCCGCCGCCGCCCCCATGCGGCCCGCTCGTCAGCTTTGCCGCCTTCATCACATACATCTCCTCCATGCACGGGTGGAGGAAAACTCACATATCAGCATCGGGTGCGCCGCGTCGCCCGCCAGCGTCGCCCGCCCGCCCAGGTTGTCCCACGGAACCGGCACCCAGTACTTCATCTCGTCGATGAAGACGCGGCTGCCCTCGGGCGTCCAGTCAATTGCCGACTGGAACACCCCCGACAAGGCGCTGGTCTCCCGGTTGATGTAGTCGAGCGCCTCCTGGTCCCGCAGATGCACCGACTCGCCGCGCCAGATCTTGACCCAGAACGTCGTCCAAGTCGACTTGTCTTGCGGGTCGTCCACCGCCATCGCTGGCCGTTCGCTGTCAGCAAAATGGCCCGTCCAAGGGTTCACGGTGTTGAGCACAAGCGGCTATCAAAGGGAGCGACGCTCAGATTCTGGGGAAACAACGTACTGCCCACGGCCCCGACCGAGCTTGTGCCCATCATCAGCGCCGCCACGGGATGCGTCTTCAAGATGGCCTCTGTCTTTTCCGCGTCCCCATATTGCGTGATGCCCGTCGCGAACAGAAACCCGGACCGCTGCACGCGCGCCCGCTCCGCGCCAGCCAACAGCTCTCGAGTCTTGGACGACACCCCGTCCGCGCCAAGTACCTGCTCCGCCTCAAACTTCTCGCCGTCTTCAAACTCAAGGACCACCGCCCCGCCGTCTTCCGTCTTGCTCAGCCGCGACAGCGCCTTGTTCCAGCGGATGTCTACGCCGCGCGTGAACAGTCGCCGGAGCGCCTGCCGGCTCACCCGCCGGGCCCCGGGCGTCGGGCTCCGGAACAGGACGTCTCCCGTGAGCGCGTTGTAGCATGGCAGGCTCTCCGCTTCCTCGTTGAACTCCAGATGCGGGTTGCAAAAGGACTGCGGCAGGTCCGCCAGGATGTCTTCCGGGAGCAGCTCCGTGAGCATCGGCAGGGCCCAATGCATGAGCATCGTCCAGTCCCGCTCTCGCGCATCGGGCCCAGGATCTCTGTCGAAGACGACGGCGTTGAAGCCATTCTGTGGTCGAGCGAGGTCAGTGTCCGCAAGTGCATCCAGACCGTCCCGCACAGCCCATGGTTTTTTGCGCTCACCTTGTGCAGGCCATGAGCCGCAAGGAGACCCGTCAGTCCCGCCCCGATGATGGCTATCGTCGGCGAGTCGGGAGAGCTGGCGCTCACTTTGTGACCCATCATGCAAGGCTGTCTGCTTGAGGCAATGCCAGGACAGCAAGGAGGATGTCTCGCAGGATGAAGAGACGAGAAAACAACGCCAGCTCCGGGGAGGCCATGTCGGCGCCGCTGCTGCTGCTCTCCCCGCCCGAACTGTCCGCCATGTCGAGGCCAAACATCGTCTTTCAACGACGCCCCTGCCTGCCGATCCACTAGCCCGCGACCCAGAGCCAGAGCGGCGGTAGCGGTGACGCTACTCTGGCCATGGTCTGACAAGTCATCGACGGCCGCCACTGTGCATGTACCAGTGGACTGATGGCGCGAGTGTGTCCAAACACGTCCCGAGGCGTCCCCGTCGCCTGGTCCCGTCGCAGGGATGGTGCAGCCCAACCCATGGTAACAGGCGTTCTCGGTGCTCTTGGCCAATGGTCAGGGGTGATATGTGATACTGGGAGCCGCGGCCAGCAGGCCCGCGGCCGCGAGCGCCGTCAAGGGCAAGCGTGAACTCGTCCGAGACGAGGCGCGGCTTAGCTTGCGCCGTGTTCTGGTACGGGATCCAATCCAATGCAATGCAGCTGCGCAGACATGGACGCGCCAGCGCAGCACCAGCATATCAGCCCCGGCCCGGGTCCCTCGCTGACGAACGGCGGGACAGACAGCTGGAGCCGCCCCTCATGGGGTGGAGAGACCGTTGACGACTGTTGAAGACGGACGGATTGCCGAGCTGGGACGCCGCCACATGGAACATTGGATGCAGCACTGCGCCGACCCCGCATGAGACCAGCAAGGGCCGCGCCAAGCAAGCCCGTGTTGCCTTGCACTTTTTCTCTTGTCTTTTTTTGTTTGCTTCTCCCGCTTCTCCCCCTTGTCTCTTTTTTTATCTTTTTTTTCTTTCTCTCTTCCAAAAAGTGCGGGAACGGACCGAAGACCCCGGCCAAGACCGATCCGGCCCGTCCGCCATCGCCGCCATTGTCAACCCTCATCCTCGCTTCCCAGCGTCATCCTTGCCAGTGCTAGTTATGTCCCACCCGCTCGGGCGAATTCAGCGCCGTTTTGTTCACGACCCTGCATGCATGTGCCTACGCACTAGACAGGTGGGGGCCCAGACACCCGGCAGAGTTCATGATCAGTCTGAAACGTATCTGCATTCTCTGCCGTCGTCCTGTCTGCGCTGCTTGTATGTTCAAGAATGGTCAGACTTCGACCGGAAGGCAGGACGTGCCGTTACGAAGACCTCCGACAGTTCCCCCACACTCGGTGGTTTCCAGCGTCGCGGAGGAGATGGGTTTATAACTCGAATGACCTATAAAATGTGAGTTAAGGGATGCAAGAAAAAAAAGCCCTCGCAGCAGGCCAAGACCGAGTGGTGCATAAGCCAAGAGCATTGTCCATACGAAGTATACCTGCAGCGCCTCAAAAAGTACTCACCCTATAGCTCCAACCTCTTCAAATGCTGCCAACTCCGCCGGCATCCCCTGTCGGCCGGTCCCGGGGCTCAACCCGTTGTAACGGTCGCAATGACGGCGGGGATAGAATTGAAGCTCACCAAGAGATGCCGTGCAACGTGGGTGCCACAAGAGACCTGGCGAGGCTGCTTGGCCATCACGTAGGAATCCTTCGAGCCAACCCTCGTCAGTGGACAGTACACCCTTGACGCGCTGCAGATCGTCCAGGGCTGAAGTATAACGAAAAGATTCGATTCAAGAGCAAGTTGAGTATTTGAGGTTACCCATCGTGGCGAGAAATTTCTTCCAACTCACCCAACGACCAAGTTGATAGGTCCTGCCACAGCTTTTGACACGCCCATCCACTTAGTCGGCCGTCGACAACCTAAGAGCGAGAGCGATGTGCTCACCATTGACCGGACGCGTTCCTGCCATGCGAGAGCTGTGACTATGTCAACGCAACGTCATCTAACCAGTAGTCGATCGTCGCCTGGTGTTCCCTCACATTGTCAACCTGGCGCCTTTCGGCGGTACCGCAAGTAGCACATCAATTCACTCAAGCAATTCGCTCAACGCCGCCAGACGAGCCCAATTGTGTAGCAAACAGCTATTATACAGCCTTGAGATCCAAGCCTGCTCCCGCCGAGGTAATGTACACAAACATGACTCCAACCGCCTACGCGCCACCGCCGCCGCCACCGCTGCTGTGTCGCGCCCTCTTTCGACCGCTTCCCGTTGCCGGGTGCATCTTCTCGTTGCGCTCCCGCTTGAGCTTGTCGTCGAGGACACGCGCTTCTCACTTTTAGCAACTGTAATCCACCACTGACCGCGGAAGGGAGACATACTGAGGACGTCGTATCCGAACTGGGGGTACTCCAAGCACAGCGACTTGAACTCGTCCTCGGCCTCGGCGCGCAGGGTGTGCGAGCGCGTGGCCCAGAAGCTGGCAATCGGCGCGCGAACCGTCTTGTCGTCGTTGCTGGTGTTGGCGTAGACATAGCGGGCGTACGTGATCTCGCCCTTGGCAGTGGAGTTGACGCAGTGAATCTTGGAGCTGGCCAGAGTTCGCAGGTTCGTCATGCCGAACTTCTCGGCCAGGGTATACAGGCGCGCGTGCTTCAGCAGGTGGACGCCCGTGTCGTCGACGGCCGGCAGGCTGGGGTCGGATTCGAGGACGCGCTGGCCGGGCAGCTTCTTGGGGAAGTATTCGCCCGTATAGAGGAACTCAAGGAACGAGCCCACCGTGTCGAGGTTCATGTCGGGGAGCTCGATTTGTCGCGGCTACGGGATCGCGGTCAGTGGCATGGCACGCGCGCCAGGCGCGCAACAGGTCGGGAATTGGCGGCTCACACTGCCATCGTCGACGAAGCCCTGGCAGGCAGTCTCGAAGTACGGGCTCTGCACGAGCAGGGCCTGATGCGCCGAGAGGAGCGTTTGCTCGTCGCCCTGGCCGACCAGCAGGTTCACAATCGGGCTCTGCAGGTAGCTGGTGAAGCTCGTTCGCGCGGGCGGGGCGCTCTCCTCAGCTACCATGGACGTGTCTGCGCCATCACCACCCCCCTCTTCCTGGTGCGCGGCGGTGCTCGCCTCCTCGCCCATCTCCACGTCGCCGCCCGCGTTGGTCGACGTGTCGTCGTGCGCGTTCTCGTCGTGCGGCATCGTCGCGGCGCGGGAAGCAATGCGCGATCGGTAGGGGAGCTATTCTATGCCAATTGCGTTCCAACGAGAGCGGATATGCGCGGATTGATTGGCAATGCGAAGGGGCATTGCCAAGGCGGCGAGGCTGTCGCAGGTTGTCGCAGGCTGGTGAGGCTACGCAATTGCGAGTTTGGACGATTGGAGCTACTGGTGGTGTGGTCGCTGAGGAGCTCTGGGGGTGATGAGTGGCTGCCTGCCATTGGCCCACCTGCCAGGCACAAAACAGCCAGATGGCCCCACAACCGAGCTGCAAGGGTGCACCGTGACGGAAGGAGCGTCCCAGATCTCGAGTCGAGGCGCTTGCCCGAAAACCCACGACGGACCCGGCGAAAGGGGAAGGCACCAGACACAATATACACAGCTGAAGATTCCTCATGTAAGAGACCGTAGCGTCTACTCTCAATCTCCAGATTTTGTCCCTCATCTTATATTGTAAGCTTGTTCACGGCCGACACTGTCCCGTGCTGCGCTGAGTCCACCCGACCTCACTCCACCTCCAGCAGCAGTCCTGGCAAGAGCTCCAGCGATATCCGTCCTCGCCCATCTCCCTGCAATGCGAGCCGTATTCCAGACGCGCCGTCCGTCCCCGACAGCAAGATGACATGCTTTCCCTCGGTCGACTCGGACGGCACGCCAAAATGCCAGTACCGCTCGATGCCGTAAACAGACACGGAGCTCGAGGCGTTGTGGACGGCATCGTACACCTGACTCAGCGGCGTGAGAAACTGCCACGGCACTGCCAGCGATACTGACGAAACGCCTCTCGCGCCGCACGGATGCAGGACTTGCTCAGGGTGTTCTTCGTATGGCACCCTTAGGTTCCGCGGCGTGCGATCCAGGCACCAAAATGGCACCCATCCGGGCCAGGAAGGGCTCCCGTCGGCTGTCCGTCCAGTGGCGACTGCCCATCTTATTACCGTACCGTCTGGCTTCGTTCTGCCACCGGCTACCGGGTCGTCGTAGGTGTAGCCTGCTTGTGCATCGGCGACGCGTTGCTGCACGGCCCCGAAACCGCCTTCGTGGGGTAACGTGTACGCCCAGTCGACGATGTTGTTCTCCTTTAGATTTCCCCAGCGATGCCGCCTCCGTCGCTCGGGGTCGACGTCGTCGAAAAAGGCGATGAACTCGATGTAGACACCATCGGCCAGGAGGATGAGTTTATTGGACGTGAGCCCATCGGCGTGCGCGCCTCCAGGAGCCACGACTAGCACATCCTGGAGTCGATCCGGGATGGTCTGGAGCGTCTGGTGCGACACGAGGATGACGATGTGGTCGAGCGTTGGCCGAGGACCAGCTGGGCCAGACATGGTATTTTGAAGACGAAGAGCGATTACCGGTCTTCAATCTGGATCAACTCTACAAAGGAGAAACTACCAACACGCCGAGCGGCAGCCCACGCAAGCCTTCAAACTCTGTCGAACGGCCACGAGCGAGGCGGGGTAGATTGCGCGACATGTTGGGCTGCGTCCCCAAACTCAATGGGCCAATGGGGCTTACGCAGAGCCGTGATGAGACATGCAGGAATTGAAACGAATCCCTTGGGCAGGTCGACCGGCGCACACGATGGAACCGTTTGGATTAAGAGGGCAATGGTGATGGCCTGGCGTCTGTCGATGACGAACAAAGCCTTGGAATCTGACTGTGATCCAGGCACTCAGCTCAGCTCCTGCATTACCGCAAGATCGATTCAGCCGTGACAGGCCACCGATCGAGACTATCGAACGACTGGCGGTGACAAGTGCGCAGGGCGGCCCTAGCGCCAGATGATGGTGCTGGGACATCGGCATCATCCGCCCCCGACAACAGCAGCGCTTGGACTTGGCCGGAACGAGCGACAAGAGCCCTACAAATCCGGCAAGGACCGTCGGCTTTGGCGGCCAAATTCCGGTGTCCATCGAACTGCGGGATTGCCTTCAGGAAGCGACTATTCTTGCTGCCCACTTACGGTGACGGCCGACTACAGTATCCATCGAGCGTGTATGTATGTAGCTTTGTGCTCATGGCTCGACCCACGGTCGACGATTGATGGCAGTCTACGGAGTACGAATACAGTTGTTGGGTACAGAGTACGGTGAGTCGGTGACAGCCCGTGCTCCATGGAATTTGCCGGGTCATCGACACCAACCGTGGGACCAGGTTGAAATGCAAGGTGCAAGCTCATAGCATACACATCCATGCAATCCTAGTGAGCCTTTTCTTCTTCTCTGTTTTCTGCTCAGCGCAAGTTAAGCACAGCAGGCACCGATTTATTTGTTTCTCGGACGGTGCGTTGTTTGGAACGAGAGGAAGAACGGCCCCAACGATGGCGGGGGTTCCCGGCCCTTACTCCCGTTGGCTCCGTCGCGTGGTGCCCCCGACCAGTCGCCGACGGACCGCCTCTGCGATTGTCCATGCGTACGGCAGATGGGAAGATCTGCGTACCCTGATACTCACAAGGCCAGCCACTGCCAAACAAGAATTATCCGGGGTATTCGCATGAAGGGCTGCACACCATCTTGTGGAATGTCGTCAACTGTCGGCGGTCGGAGATTGCTCGCCCAACACCCACCAATTCTGTTCGCATCGCTCGAACCAATAGCCAGTCCCCCATTCTCGTGTTCCATATGTGCGGCACACGTCTGGCTGCCTTGTTGTACGAAGCCTGGTGGCATGAACCCCGGGCCAGACGGAGATTGTCTCGGCCATATTGCTTAGACAGTTGCTGCATGCAACCCCATGGACCTGAACGAGGATGCGGCCCAAGGCAGACGGTGTTCAAAACGCAGCCACCCCGGCATCTTGCGCATGTCAAAGCTGCAGAGGCGTTTGCTCAACGGGGCTTGGCCAGATCATCTTCGTGTGGACTTTGCGGCGGGATCAGTGGACGGTTCCGGGAACTCTCACAGGGCCTTTGGTCAAGTTCGGCACATTCTATCGGCTTAACCACCCCCTGCTTTGGCCATTAGGCATGGAGGAGGTGCTCCCTCGTCGACCCGTGCAAGGGAGTCGACATGTTGGCAATGCGGACAGTGCCCATTGCGAAAGCCGCGCAGACGAACCAAGCTTCCTGCCATGCCGTCTGCTTCAGCTCCGTGGCGACGTGCGATCGTTAGTTTGGAGTCTCTGCGATCGCTGGCGCTGAACTCTTTGGACCAAGACGAACCCCAGCCTGGTTCTTGAAACCGCTGCACGACGAAGTCAGTCCGGCATAGGCGCCGCGACGAGACTCGTTTCTCACCTGAAAACCGATTCAGTTGGGCAGCCTCGCGAGTCGCGACGTTCATCTCTCATGTGCACATGATGCGGAACACCACACCTCAGCGACGCCAGATGCCCGGCGCATTGTATTTGTTTCCCCTTAAGACGCGCCGGGTTAAGCTCAATGGCGGAGGCAACTTCTCACTCCACGTTCTCAATTCTGCATCAACGGTATCACAATATTCGGCAGTTCACCTAGTGCATCATCGCGCGGGGCCGGTTGTCGACAATGCCCTCACTTCTTACAAGGAATGTGGTCCATGCTTACCGGCCAAGACTTGTCCACAACCAACACGGGCCGCGGCTCGGTCAAGCCGAGCCAGTATCTAGAGTCGAAGCCACAAGTAACAACCGGGGAAAATAGGGCGGTCACGACACTCGGACGCAGAATCAGAAGACATGACGGTAAAGAAAGCTGGGGTAAGCGAGTGGCAAGCGCCCAACCCTTCTCCATTTACACGAACACTGTGCATGGAGTGCAGTTCTGCTGGAAATGGTGACGAATGTGATGCTACTTTCGCATGTCGACCTGGGATCTTTCAGTCAACGCGCGGCAGCCGCCCATACGATTCTCGTGTGGATTCTGTATTCCTGTCTCAATACCTTGACCCTTTCAGACCCTGATCTGTCGAGGCAAGGGTTCGGGCTGTTGTCATTGGATTGCGTCAACTCGTAACCGCACGTCAACGTCGTTGAGACATGTTGGCTGTCCGTGCTCTGGGGTTGGCCAATGTAACCACACTCGACTCCTTGGTGGGCTGCTCAGTCCCCATGACCGCCAGTCTCCTCACCGAGGGGACTGTCAACCCGTCAATCAGGTATTGTGCCGTAGGCCAGTGATATAAGTAAGTAGTTGCCCACTCCTCGGTCCCCCGTCCACGTCGTATGTACTTGACAATTCTTCGGGTCTCGCCGATTTCACTCGCTACATCCAAAACATACGACAAAAAGGTCTGCCTCCTGCCTCGTTAGGGAAGCATCAGCGCTCGTTCAATATGCGGACCTCTGCCTTCAGCCTCTTGGCCCTTGTGGCTGCCGTTCAGGCTTGTGACTCTGTCTCGCCTTGCCAGAAGTCGGCCGACGCTGTCCCCAACTGCGCCAAGTCGTGCATCCAGTCGGCTGCCGTCACCGCCGCTAAGTGCCAGACATCCGACTATGCGTGCCAGTGCTCCAAGAGCGCCGACATCCAGGCCGCCGCTCTGGCCTGCGTCACCGATGGCTGCGGCCTGAACACTGCCCTGCAGGTCGTCACCTCGGTCCAGGCCATGTGCAGCTGCGTCACGGCCAGCCCGACGACGCCCTGCGGCAGCACTGACGCGACCACCACGGCCGCCGGAAGCTCCTCCACGGGAGGCTCCGCCACAACGACCGGCGCCTCTTCAACCGGAGGCTCCGGCACTGGCACTGCCACTGGCAGTGCCTCGCCTTCGTCCTCGGCCAAGAGCTCGGGAAGCGGCAGCACCGGCTCCGCTACCGGCTCCGCTACCTCGTCGGCGGGGGCCACGACGACTGGCGTCAAGACTGGCACCACCTCGGCGCCTTGCACGACCTCTGGTACCAAGGTGTCGTCCTCCGCGGGCGGCACCGGCAACATTTCTTCCGGTGTCAAGACATCATCTGCTGCGGCCGGCAACGGCGGCAACGGCGGCGCTGGCGGCGGCAGCGCGTCCCCCACCAAGAGCAGTGTCGTCGTGACTGCCTCGGCCGGCCGCTCTGAGCTCAGCGTCGTCGCTGCCGTCTTTGCCAGCTTCTGGGCCGTCGCCGTTGCTCTCTAAGTGGACCTTAATGCACGCAAGTCGGAATGAACTGTAAGGGGAGGGGATGCCGCCATAGTCAATGTTGTATAGTGTGTACGGTGGTGGTGTTGCGACGTGTTATCTATAGTGTTTAGCTTTATACCGGAGCGGTGCCCGCAGGGCTGTTCTATAGCGTATTGTACCTTCTTTTACTTTAACAGCAAGTCTGTTGCGCATTCGGTAGTGAATGAGTGTATGACCAAGGTTGACTTACACCAGACGGACGGAACAAGTCCGCCGATGTGGGTCTGCCTCCGATCCGGCGGTCGGATCTTGGGCCGGCAAAAAAATTGTCGGTCACCGAGGACTCACCAAGGTAATCACTCACTCATTCACTCACTCACATCAGCGCAAAGTTCACCGTTCCAAACCGCCAGCTCACGTACCGGTCTGCCCTCGCTATACTGAACGTGGGATCATCGCCCCGGCATCGCAGACTACAGCAGCCAAGCGCAGACCTGCGGCAAGAAAGGCAATGGCGTCTCAGGCCGGCGACGACAGCCCCGAGGCCACGATCCGGCGCACGGCGCACGTCCAGGCGCTGCTGGAGCGCCTCCTCCAAGCCAGCCCCATCTACGGCCTCATCCTGCCGACGATCCGGCTCGAGTCCGCGTCCCACGGACTGGCCGTCACGACGCTGACGCTGACGCCCACGCACGTCAACAGCAAGGGCGGCCTGCACGGCGCCGTGTCGGCCACCATCATCGACTTCACGACGGGGCTGGCCATTGCGTCGACGGACCTGCGCGAGGCGACGGGCGCGAGCGTCGACATGCACATCAGCTACCTCAGCATAGCGCGCGTCGGCGACAAGGTGCGCATCGAGACACGCGCGGAGAAGGTCGGCGGGAGCTTGGCGTTTGTGACGGTCAAGATCGTCAAGGTGGCGGAGGACGGGAGCGAGGTCATTGTCACTATGGGACAGCACACAAAGTATGTGAGAGGCACGGCACCGCCGCCGATTCCGACGCCGCCGACGCCCATGGTTGGGAATTGATGCAATCGCAAGGGCGATACAGGGCCGCCCTGACACGGCGCCAGCCTGGACGACACGAATGATCCTATAATTACACGTCAGCTCCCTCGACATCTCTACATCTCGGAGTTCTGTACAATATACATAGATAAACAGCTAACAATACGACTTTAACCATACACTCGATTGCGTGAGTCAGGTCGGTTGAATCCTGCCTCCATCTCATGACATCCCGTGTCCAGGTCTCGTCGGTGGTATATTACGGGCCATCCTCCACGTCCTGTTTCGTCTGGTACCATTGCGTCACACAAGGCCAATCCAAACTCATTATCTCCTCATCACCCGACGGATCCAGCCTGAAACTGAGGACTTCTCGGAGGGAGTTGTTGCGCTTGGCTCGGCAGATTCCCATCTCTCTATATCTCCAGCAGTGATCAAACCGGTACTGAGGTCCATCAACTTTGGCTTTACGCGTGAAGTCCGGAGAAGCAGCTTCGCCCCGAAAATCAGACCGAGATGGACAGGGATACCGGTATACGCAAAGACGAATGATTTGACTTGAAAGGAGGGAATGAAGGTGGTAACTCCTAAGACGTGGCTGGTCAGCTCATTCGAAAGCTCTTTTGCCAAGGATCATGCGCCGAAGCTTGAGAAAGTCGCAACCACCTACCGTTGAAGAAAACAATGATACATGTGATACACAGACTCACGGATATCCGCAGCGTCATCCAGCGCTCCTTGAATGGCAAGGCTGAGCGCGGGATGCTCTGTGCGCTCATACCACGTCGGAACGCCAGGTAAGAGACCATTATACTAATCCAATTGAAGAGCCCAAACACGGTAGCAAGCGACACCAAGTTCTTGAACACGGTGCTGCTACTCTCGGTAGTGTTCATGAGTGCCAGAAGAAAGAACAGCGAAGACGCACCCACCGCCATGGTGGGGACGCTGCCGTGAGTTTTGGCGAAGATCTTGGGCAAGTGACCATCTCGAGCAAGTCCAAAGAGTGTCCGAGATGCGATGTAGATATCTGCAGGTCTTAGCAATAGCGGGCTCCAGGGAGATTGAGAGGGAATCACCTGAGTTGGCTGCGCTAAGTACAAAGACGAGCAAGCAGCCGTTGATGAGGTCCGGTAGGGTACGGATACCCGCCTCTTTGATGGCCACGATGAATGGCGAGGCACCTGTGGAGACTATGGTTAGCCAGAAGATCGTTACTCATGGCGAGTCTGCACTTACTAGCTCCAGTCTTTTGTTTAGTCGCAGCGATCAAGCCGGGACTATTGTAAGGGACCACCATGCCCAGTACGAGAATACCGCCGATGTAGAGAAAGGAAATCCGCCAAGCCGTCTGTCGGATGGCTTTTGGGACCACCTTCCACGGCTTGCCCGCTTCTCCAAACGTCAATCCGACCATCTCCGTTCCCATGTATACGAATCCGGCGTTCACCATGCATGCCCACCAGCCCAAGAATCTACCCGTGGATCCTTGGAGCTTGTAAGCCGCGAACGCACCAGGATCGCGCCAGTAACGGAACCCGAGTCTGTCGCCCTTGGGTCCTCCGCCAAGGTCAATGATGAGACACACGAGCATCAGCCCCACGATCACAAGTGTCTTGATGATCGAGGAAACAAACTCGACCTCTCCGAACACCCTGACTGGACAGAACTAGAGAGATGGATCGACTGTTAGGTCACTCATGTCCAATTTGATGAAAGCCAGGATGATGACAGGAAAACCCACGTTGATGCAGATGATCGGAACGGCAAATGTGATAACCCAAACACCGACGTTGATGTGTGGCAGCCAGTACTGCATAATGAGGCCAGACGCAGTGAGATTGTTGGCCAAAAGCACCACGTACTTGCAAAAGTAGTTGAAGCCTGTCGCACAACTGCGATTAAAGTGCCGTGTTAGCAGCGAACCCAATATCAACTAAATCGTTTAGTTAAATGGGTTCAGGTGCTCACCCGTAAGCAGGATCGACGAAACGCGTAGCATAGCCGCTGAAACCTCTGTCCATGGGAAAGGCCGTGGACATTTCGCCATAGGCAGCGAGCACATTGTAGCAGACGAGTCCCAGCACGATCATCGATATCAGCATCGAGCCTGGACCACCGCTGGCAAGAGTAGAACCCGTAGCGATTAGAAGGCCGGTGCCGATTGAGCCTGCGATCGAAAACATGCCAATTTGACGGCTATTCAAACTCCTTTGGAGCTGGCCGCTGCTGCCTTCTGCCGCAGCTGCGTCCAGCTTCCCCATCCCTATTTGGTGCACCACTCTGGACTCGAGCTGGCCCGGGTCGGCTTTGACATCGTTGTCGTCCACGATCGTGGGTGTTGCCATGATTGGTTCCTCGTGCGAAGAGATGGACCAAAGGAGATATGTATGAGATCGAGTGGGCAATTGTTGATATGGCCATTCCCACGCTTTTCTATTTCCCCAGATGTACGGTCCACAGGGCCCGGCGATTCATCGACAAGGAAGTTCGGCGCTGAAGATCCGGGAGCACGGGCGGTTTGTGGCATTGGCTGGCTTATGCCACTGTCCTACCTTCTCGTGCGTGTCCCACCACATCGCCACCAACCAGTAACACCACGTAGTTGGCTGCGCGTATGTCCAAGACCAACCGTTATCAGGAAACGCGGTGTGGCTGGAGGTTCATGCCAAGTCGCCAAGGAGGGGGGAAACAGCGTTGATGTCGTTGGGCGGTCGCTATCGATCCCATCAAACACGAGTCGGAGCAACGTTTGTAGTTGGCCCGGAACATGAACTCCCTCGCAATGTAAGGCGGCGGGTTCTTGCGATAAGTTGTCGGCTCCTTGAAGCAGGCAAGCAAGTCCTGCTGCGCAAGCTGGGCTTATATTGACACAGGAATTATCCAGCCTACATTCTGGGCACATTGTAGTACCGCCATTTATGAAGTCAAGGACGTTCAATGAACCATGTACGGAGCGGCGATGATTGTTCCAGGCCCGTCTAGAGGATCCCCACAATCCCCAGGCCCATCTTACCCCATGTCTTCCCCGGCGTTTCTTCCCCACACTCATTCGTGGCAAGTCGGCGCCGAAATCGCCGGCATCAACTCATTTAAGCAATCCATCCAGACGACATCCCAAGCCTCGCATACGGAGTCATTACGCCGACATCGATACCCCCAAAGGACCCCCGGCCAGCAGCGCGAATGGCCAGCACTCCAGTCCAGGCGTGCAGTCGTTGTCATGAGAAGAAGATTCGGGTAAGGCCCAGTCCCATATCCGGCAACAAGGAAACGGCGTCTGGACTGGAATCCAGCTCACGGTTGAGTCTGCAGTGTACCGGCTACCCGGGCTGTCGAAAATGCAGCCAAGTCCAAGTCCAATGTGAGCCACATACACGGCCCCGAAGGGCCGACAATCTGCGGTACGCGGAGGTTCTATCAAGGACATATCAGTGCCTTGCTTATCGGAAATCAGTGCCCTCAAAGAGGCTCAGATGAGAGTTCAATGGCTCGAAAATGAGTTATCCCGCAAGACAGGCGTAGTTTGTACGACTATCCCGACTGGTACATCCTTGCAAGCCCTCTGTCCCCGTCAAGACGACACGGAGACATCGCCGGCTACTTCGTGCTGTCAACAGGGCTCCACGTCGGCAAGTGCTGGCGGCCCTAGCTTAGCTGCGGCAAGCCCGAGCTATACTTCGGCCAGAAATGACGATAATGGTTCAGAGATCGGCCTTCTCGCCCTGAACGCGACAGGGGAGCAGAGATATCTTGGTCCTTCTAGCGGAGCTCTCTTTGCCAATGTTGCAATTGCCCTCGTGCGATCCAGTGGTCTAACACAAAACGCATTGAGAGGGCGGCCGGGGCACCCCGTTGTCAACAACGAGACATTGACGGGCTCTCCTGACGAGCCTCAACCACTATCGCCTGATGAGGTTCGACTCCTGCTGCAGTCGTATAAGATATGGGTGCATCCTCTATATCCACTGTTTGATCTCGACTGGCTGGACGGCCTGGTTGCTAGGTGCAGTAGGCCTACAGCCAGTAGTGACGATCAGTCCCAAGGGCGTGATATGGGCCTCTTTTATTTAGTCATGGCCTTGGGTGCAATACATCGGGCAAACACAATCAAGCAGCTACAGCTCGATCTCTTCCATTCCAATCTCTCGGACAAGGCTGTTCCACCCGCTTATCTCTACTCTATGGCATCGCGATACTTTCACCTCCATCTTGAACAACTGCGACCGAGCATTTGGTTCATCCAGATCATTCTGCTGATATGTATATACACCTTCTACGGGCCGATTGGCTCCAGTCAGTGGCAACTTGCCGGCCTGGCTATGCGAGTACGTTCATGTTCAATGTTCCCTCCCCCTTTCAGGTCACTATACGCAACTTCAAAGGTACTTCCACTAAACTATGGCCCGATGAAGCTGATGCAGTAAGCAGACGGCTATTGAGATAGGGCTGCACTATGCTCCCAGGGACGGACAAGCCGTTGACAGGGACATGGCCGAGCGAAGTCGCGTCTTTTGGACAGCCTACTCTATTGAGATCAGCCTGGCATACAACTTGGGTCGACCACCGTCCATTGGCGAAGAGCATATCACCGCCCGGTTGCCTGTCGTGAACTCGAAGGACATGTCCTTTGGGCTTCATCACATCAAGCACCGGCGCATACAAAGCAGGATCGTGTCGCAGGTCTACAACGCCAGGAGCCGAGATCGCGAGGTCTCACTTCAGGAACGCCAAAGTTTCATCGCCAATCTCCAAGCTGAGCTGGACGAGTGGAGAAGGGAGTTGCATGATATTTGCCCACGAGATGCCCATGCCCCATACCCACACAGGTGCGTAAAGTGCTCCCTCTGTCCCTGCTCCCTTTTCGCTTAGCTCTGACCGCAGATTAAACAAAGTTATTGGGACCGACTATACCACGGCACTACATTCGTACTCCATCGAGCCAGTCCCCTCTGCCCTCGCCCGTCCGATGAATCGCTCGAGTGCTGCATCCAATCCGCCGGCGCATACATCGAGGACATGACGGAAGTCCTCAGGACGAGCAACGTGCCGCTCTCCTGGATGCTCGTGCAGGGCGTCCTATTCGCTGGCCTGACCATGCTCGTCACGGCCAGAACCTGCTGTCACCGGCTCGCCGCCCGCACCGGCGTACGATTCTTCCTGGTGGACTTGCCGGCTTGGTCGCGCAAGTGTTTGGTCTGCCTCGCCATCATGAACGAGCGATGGAACGAGGACCTGCTCTCCAAGCTGGACAGGCAGTTTGAGCTGCTCGCCGATGATACTCTCGAGGTCATTTCCACGCAACTTACGTCTCCGGGTGCGAGTAGCAGAGTGGGCTGTCGCGACCAAACGCCGACGACGAGCAGTCGTTTGAACCAAGGTCTGGCATCGGCTGTGCCGCCATCCGCTGGCGTAGCTGCTGATCCGGGAGGCAACGTAATGATTGACCACTTCGGTATGGATGCGTCGACTTTTCACGATGCCGATATGGGAGAGAGCTGGGAAAGTTTTGACTTTTTCCGCGAGGTTTTGGGCAACGACAGTACGCAGACGTTTTTGGATATATTAGGCCCCCAGACAGACTATAGTGTGCATGGCCAGCGAATGCTCCTGGCCTAACTGCCTCAAGTAAACAGAGGATTTATTCATCATATCTAATATTATCATAAACTTGAGCCACTCAAGTCCTCCCCGTCGAGCCTGTGATGCCGCCATCGACGACCAGCTTCTGCCCCGTCACGTACCGCGCCTCATCTGACGCCAGGAATACGACAGCGTTAGCCACATCCCACGCATCCCCCATCCTCCCCATGGGCACCTGCGCGTCGCGCGTCTTGCGAAACGCCTCGTAGCCGCCCTCGACGGCGAATCGGTCCGCCAGGGCACGTATGTATGGCGTGTCCATGAGGCCCGGCACCACGGCGTTGAGGCGCACCCCGCGGGCGGCATACGACACGGCCGTCGCGCGCACGAACTGCAGGAGCGCCGCCTTGGCCGTGTTATAGGCAATCTGGTCCTTGCCGATGTAGCGTAGGCCGGCGATGCTGGACACGCAGATGATGGAGCCGCCGGTTTGCTGGGCCTCCATGACAGGCAGGACATGGTGGCACGCAAGGTACGCGCTCGTCAGGTTGATGCTCAGCTGCGCGTCCCATACGTCCTCGGCCATGGTCGCTGCGGTGCCGGGCTGCGACTGCCCGACGTTGGTGACGAGGATGTCGATACGGCCGTGCTGCGCGATGCATGCGTCCACCAGGGCCTTGACGGATACTGAGTTGGTGGCGTCGGTCTCGAGCACGGTACATTCCCGTCCTTGGGAGGCCTCCTCGACTGCTTCTTTTGTACGCTGCGCCGAGGCGAGCGTACGGTTGCCACCGAATATGGTTGCGCCCTGGCGGGCGAAGGAGACGGCACATGCGGCGCCGATGCCCCAGCCCTCGGAGCCAGACTGGCCGAGCCCTATGACGAGGGCGACTTTGCCGTCGAGTCGAAACATGGCTGATGAAGCGATCCAGGCCCGTAGGTGCTCTGCGCAGGTTGAGTTGGGCCTGTCCTTCCTCGCTGCTGTGGCCGAACTCGTATACTTTAGCATGCAGGCCCATGCCATCCCAACTTATACGGCCATGCCCAACAGCGGCCGCGACGGAGCATCTCCGTGTCGGCCCCACATTCTGTCGGGGTTTGCCCGCAGCGATCGCGGCGCTGCCATCGGAGCGAATGCCGCGACGGGCTCCATCCGTATGTGCCCAATCACCTACACCATATAATAAGCGATGTCGTGATCGGCGTGAGAAGCGTAGATGTTGTACAACTTTCAAGCATCAATCGAGACCTCGTCGTCTCTGCGCATGAACCTGTAAAGTTGGGCAGCATACGAAGTAGCATCATGGAGAGCCGGCCCGCACAGTCAAGAGAGTCGGACGCGCCGCCGGTGGCGGCGGTGGCCAACCCCGATTACGACCTCTCGCAGCCCGTCTCCTCTGCTGTCGGCCTGCGCCAGGGCCTGACGTCGTACGGCGACGCCCACTTCAGCCTGTTCCTGCGCAAGGTCTTCATCAAGGCCCTCGGGTACAGCGATGACGCGCTCGCGAGGCCCATCGTCGGCATCATCAACACGCACTCGGGCTTCAACCCGTGCCACGCCAACGTGCCCCAGCTCATCGATGCCGCGAAGCGCGGCGTGCAGCTCGCCGGCGGGCTGGCCGTCGAGTTTCCGACCATCAGCCTGCACGAGGCCTTCTCCTCGCCGACGAGCATGTTCCTGCGCAACCTGATGAGCATGGACACCGAGGAGATGATTCGCGCCCAGCCGTGCGACGTCGTCGTTGCGATAGGAGGTATATGTGCCTCATCCATGCGTTGCGCTTTCATATATGCGACCTTGAGAGCGGCCGATTGACTGTTAACGCTGAACAGGATGCGACAAGACGGTCCCCGCGCAGCTCATGGGCGGCCTCTCCGCCAACAAGCCCCTCCTCCCGCTCCTCACCGGCCCCATGATGCCCGGCTCCCACCGCGGCGAGCGCATTGGAGCATGTACGGACTGTCGCAGCAACTGGGCGCGCTTCCGGGCCGGCACCATTGACATTGAAGACATCTCGGCCGTGAACGATGAGCTGGCTCCCACAGTGGGCACCTGCGGCGTCATGGGCACTGCCAGTACCATGGCCTGCGTTGTGGCGGCGTTGGGTCTCATCCCGTTGGCTGCCGGCCCGTCTGCACCGGCGGTATCGGCGGCGCGACTGCGCGTCGCTGAGGAGACTGGCCGTAACGCGGTGCGCATGTGTGCCGACATAGACACGTGGCGTCCGCAAAGGGTCTTGACCAAGGAGTCGTTCCTGAACGCCATTACCGTGCTGCAGGCCATTGGCGGCTCAACCAATGCAGCAGTCCACCTCATGGCCATCGTAGGTCGGCACCCAGATGTGTCCGGGGCCATCACCTTGGATACCATCGATGAGATCGGCAGACGGACGCCGCTTCTGGTAGACCTGAAGCCGAGTGGGGAGAACTACATGACCGACTTTCACAATTCCGGTACAGTAAACTCTCGTCGATGAGATGACGAAAGCAATTCAGCTGACCAAACGCAGGGGGGATGCTTGCGCTTCTTCACCAGCTGAAGCCGCTGCTTGAGCTCGGCGCAATGACTTATACCGGCAGGACTCTTGGCGAGGAACTCGCATTGCAAAGCCCAATTCCTGTTCCTCAACATCTCAGCTGTATTCAGCCCTTCTCCGAGCCGCTGTACCCTGCCTCATCACTTGTCGTCCTCAAAGGGAACCTAGCACCGGGTGGCTCCGTCATGAAAGCCAGCGCCTCCAAGGACCGCCGGCTGCTTCGTCACCGTGGTCGCGCCGTTGTCTTTGCGGGCTCTGCAGACCTTGCTCGACGCATCGACGACCCAGCATTGGATGTCACCCCTGACAGTGTCCTCGTTCTGCAAAACATAGGTCCCGTTGGTAACCCAGGCATGCCCGAGGCCGGGCTGATCCCGATCCCGCGGAAGCTAGCAGAGCAGGGGGTTCTGGACATGCTGAGGGTTTCTGACGGTCGAATGAGCGGCACCGCTGGCGGCACCATCGCCTTGCACATTTCTCCAGAGAGCGCTGACCCAACGTCGGTGCTCGGTATCGTCCGAGACGGTGACATGGTTGTCTGCGATGCAGAGAAGCGATTGTTGGAGGTAGAAATTTCCGATGCAGAGATAACAAGCAGGATAGAAGCGCGGCAAGCAAGGCTGAAGACAGAGACTCCCTGGCTTACGAGGGAGAAAACCAGGGGCTACCGCGGGCTGTATATGCGATCGGTCAACCAGGCACAGTATGGCGCCGACTTTGACTTTCTCACGGCAGCAGGCCCCTCAAAATGATAGCTGCTCGCATTTTGATCCCTCTTTCATCAAGCCGTGTTAGCCAAAATTGGATTCAGCCGAGCCGAAGTCATCAAAGAGACTCTGCATCATCACGTCCACGTTTGCTTCGTTCCCACTCAGGTAGTCTGCAAATGAAACCGTACTGAGAAAGTCGTCAAAGAGGTTTAGCGGTACCTCAAATGCTCCCTCTGTCTCTGGATGAACATCCATCAACGCCGGAGTAACCGTATCGTTGTCGCTTAACAAGCTCGTCGAAGGGTTCCTCTGGTCTGCAACGACTGTGCTCCTGGTTCGTCGACGTTGCGCCTCTGGTGACACGGGCTGACGGCTGGACTCGAACAGTTGTCGCACTGTCGATCGACCCAGGTCGTCCAGAATATCGCGACAACGCTTGGCGCCCGACCAATGTTCACCTGTCGCACTCAGTATGCTTGAGCTGATACTGAGGTCGGACATGAGGGTCGGAACGTCCGTGTCCTGTGCAATCTTTGCTACCGTCTTGATGCAGTAGAAGAGAGTCAATGTGCTTAGCGCGAGTGAATAGAATGTCGTCCAGCTGTATACCAGCAGATTACTACGGTATAATTTGTCGAACGTGCGAATGCACTCCTGAGCGCTGTGGTAGCACTGCTCCAACGCCTCGTTGGTAGGCTTGGGGATAGCAGGACTCGGTCGCAGGAGTACCATCCGCAATGAGTGATAGCGCTGTCGGCAGATAAGCTTCATGTGAAGGGCTTGGGTCTCGTCGCCCACCGGGATCTCGTTAGCCCATTGATCCAGCTGCTGAAGGACACCCCTTTGCCATTCGTAAATGTTGATGACCGCAGGGTAAGCGTACGCGGGGGCGTGGCGAACGATGCTGTTGGCGACGTACTTGATCTCTGAGTTGATTCGAGCAAGTCGGAAGAGGTGGACAGAATAAGCGATTGGGTTATATGGTGAATCTGAGGTCGAATGCTGTGCGTTGCTAGTCGACATAAGAGATGCGTCATCCAGTCCTTCGGGCAACTATGATCCCTGAGTCAGGAGTTTGATGGTGGGGGCATGAGGTGCATGCTTACCCTCAATTCGCACGCCTCGTCCCGAAGACCAATGGGGCGTCCCATCATCGTTGCAATGGTCCTGTCCAGAGTGAAGACCACCCAGAATATCCTTGTCCTCATCTCTTGCTCTAACAACGATATCCCAGAACGGGTGGTGATGTCCCGCTGGAGTCCGAGATCTAGAACGGCCGCGATGCACTGGTAGTTGAGGTACCACACATTGAGCCGGACGCTTGGACTGTGCATAGCAAACAACGTCAGGAGGATCAGGCACTGCAGGCCTTGAAGGGAGTTTTCGACGTTGAGGCGATCAAAGTACTTCAGCGCCGACATGCAGTACGACTCTCCGGGGAGACCCGACTTGAGGCGACACGAGATGGCCAGGACCATGTAAACCTGAAAAGATGACACGGGATCCTGGTCTCCTTGCTCATAGAGTTTGTTCAGCGTGGCGATGAATGTCGGCCGATGCAAGACCGGGTACTGCGGATGGACGAGCTCGAAGAATGCGTCGCATAACTCCTCGGCCATTTCTTTTCGCGGAAGACCAAGGGACCCGTGGGCAGCTTCCACGAGTCTAATAGAGAAATTCGGATCGCGGGTAGGGGGTGAAGCAGCTCGGGATTTGCTGGTGAGCATGACGCGCGCGAGAAAATATCCGCTTGAGGGGCCGATATAGCGCGAGTCAAGGTTCGTGCCCAGAGATACCAGGCCAATTTCGTGGGAAAGAGCATTGGTGTTTACAGCTCCATTGGCCGTTCGTCCCGTCTGCCGCAAGTGTTCTTGGGGGAGGTCGGTAGCTGTAATCTGCTGTTGATTCAATGCCCCGGAGTTAAGAGGTGTTGTCTGGGTGTCTTCGAGGGTATCGGTGCTCATGTTGACAGGGCTGCCCTCTTCAGTGCCGTCTTCAAGGTAGCGAGGCCCATCAGATAAGTCTACATCGGGGCATCTTGCCTGGACGATGGACTCGAGCCACGATATCCGTTCCTTGAGAGTGACGATGTACGCCCTGGGCAGATCCTTGAGCCGCGCACTTTGCCCGTCGATGCAGGCTGCGCCCGCGTTCTGGCAGTTCTTGCATGTGGGCAACTGGCCATCACACTACAGAAGACCCGTCATTAATCAAGGTCATGCATCATTGGACGGGGCAAGGGTCCGAGACCTACACGTATCTTGCGCCGCTGGCAGCGGAGACAAGCCAGCCTCAATCGAGGTCGCCGGTGTTGCGTCTGCCGGTTCGGTGTATGCATCAGCGTCTGCGTGCGCCCGCCAGAGTCGGCCATTGCCAAAATGAGGTGCAGATGCGGTTCGGGCTGTTGGTGAATGCACCGTGAAGCGTGTGATGATGGAAGACGACGGAGTGCGGGAAAAGTCCGTTCGGACGGGAACGAAGAGGCGGAGAAACCCCGCACCGTGTGGGCGCCCACATCCGAGTCGAAGCTCAACGCCTCAACGCCAATAGCTGCTCCTCTACTATATTACTCGCCCGACTCGCAACATCGCTCTGCCTTCCATCATGCCCGTCACGAATTGAAGCTCTTTCAACTTGCGATTATTCACATTTTTGATTCGTAAACGCCATCTGCTCGCGACGATAGCAACACTGCTCACACCACCTCGTCGCACTTGCTCACTTCCACCGCACCAATCCGCCATGGCAGAGGAAGGCCAGCAGCCTCGCATCCACGTCGCTGCCTCTGAGGCACGCCGGCTTGTGCAAGATATTCTTCAAGGAAACGGCGTGTCCGCGGAAAATGCGTCCATTGTCGCCCGCTGCCTCGTCGCCGCCGACCTTCGCGGTGTCGACACCCACGGCATGAACCGCATCCCCTCTTACATGGAGCGCGTCCGGCAGGGCGCCCTCGCCGCCGGCGCCAACCCGTCCGTCACGCAAGTCACTCCAGTGGTGGCGCACGTGGACGGACACAACGGATTCAGCTTCGTCGCCGCTCACGCCGGCATGGAGGCTGCAATCGCCGCGGCTCGCACATACGGCATCGGGCTCGCAAGCGTCAAGCACTCGAACCACTTCGGCATGAGCGCGTGGGCCGTCCAACAGGCGCTCGATGCAGACATGATGAGCCTCGTCTTTACCAACTCGAGCCCGGCGCTACCCGCATATGGTGGCAAGAGCAAGCTGATTGGCGTTTCACCCATTGCCTGCGGCGCTCCGGGTAAGGGACCCATGAAAGACTTCATTCTCGATATGGCGCCGTCGGTGGCGGCCCGCGGAAAGATCTACAAGGCCAAGCGTCGAGGCGAGAAGATACCGCTTGGCTGGGCGCTTGATGCTGAAGGCCGTCCGACAGAAGACCCGGAGGCAGCGCTGGGTGGTGTGATGCTACCCATGGGAGGGCCAAAGGGTTCCGCGTTGTCCATCATGATGGACGTCTTCTCAGGGGTCCTGTCGGGCTCTGCTTTCGCGGGCCACGTCACGGGTCCCTACGACCCATCGCGGCCGGCAGACGTCGGCCACTTTCTCGTCGTTATCAAGCCGGACTTGTTCATGGACCTCGACGAGTTCCGCGAGCGGATGCAGTATCTGTACGACAGGGTCGTGGGATCGGAAAAGGCGGCGGGCGTCGAGCGGATCTATTTTCCCGGAGAGATTGAGCAGCTGACCCAGCAGGAGCGGGAGAAGACGGGTATCCCGCTCGTCCAAGCCGAGATTGACGCTCTGAACGAAGAGGCGGAGAGGGTGTCGGTGAGAAAGCTCGAGACGCTGGCGTAGGCGAGTAAGAGATGGGCGGGATATCCACTGCCGAATACCGTAATTAATTTGTGCTCGAGTAATGGCTGCTACCACTTCTTCGTCTCTTTTATGGCGCGCGAGGGCATTCCTTACCTCTTGGCTCGTGATGCCGACTTGATCATCGTCGGACCCAGCCGTGGCACGCATCTGTGCAGCAATGTCGGCCGGCGCGGTGCCGGCATTATACAAGACCACGATATCGTCAAGACGCGTCGACACGGCCTCCATGCGATACTTGGTCAGATCTTGCGCCGGCAAGAGGGCATGATTGTGTTCCGTGCCATTGGGCATCCTCGTCAGCCACTTCTCCAGGGCCCGCTTGAAGCAGATGATGACGGTGACCTTGCAGCCCGTCTTTTGTGTCGTCGTCTTATACCGCCTTTTGGTCTCGTGGGTTCCTTGGACTTTGGAGCTCTGACGAAACTGCCCTCCCTTTGCGCAGCACAAGATGAGGTACCTGACGGCTCCCGTCGGATCCAGTTTGCTCGTGCGTGTCCGTAGAGCAAACCCCTGGACCTTGGCCATTGCATTGGCCACAGCTTTGGCCTCGTCGAGGCTGCTTGCATAGTTGGTTTCCGTGATGGTCATCTTAGGCCCTTGGTCTGACGGGATTTGGCGTTACGGATGGGCCTCGCTTTGCTGCTGAGTGGTGTGACACGGCGGCGCGTGTTGTGGAATTGACGTGTCGGCGCGTTCACGTAGAAAATTGCGCCCGAACGGCCACATTGCCCCTGGAGGAGGTGGTTGCGTAGCGCAAAGGGTGATCGCTCAACGGGTGAGCCACACGATACTCCCCGTGGACGCAAGTCACACCAGAGGGCGACGAATGATGGATTGCGCAAAGAGAGCATGCCACCCAAAGACCTAGCTAAAAAAGCATCAACATCTCGTTTACTGAAATGTGCTCTTGTCCGACGTCGTGTGTAAAATGATTCGCCAGTAATGTGCGTATAACGAGCAGGTAGCCCAGCCTGTGCTGTGCGACGCTTGCCCTCGTGACAACCATGATGCCTGGATGTCAGCTAGCAGACTTGCATACTGCGTCTACGATACAGACCCCGCGAAAGTTGTTTCCATCCTGCTCTGTCAAATGGACGGTGTCCTGGCCGCGTGGAAGCCGCTGGAGGTGGAGAGACAACCGCCCGCACGGCTTTTCTCCGTCGCTGTGGACCGCCACGGACGATTCCCGCGTCTTAGAGCGGAGCACTGAAATGATTAGAGTCACTGGAGGCGGCAGGCAAAACTTACAAAACCGCCTGGCAGACTCCAGGTAACTAGAAGGCAGGCTGGCTCAAGACGCATTCTTTCTTTCACGGCAGCGGCTGCTTTTCAATCAGTTCAAGATGACAGTAATTCACATCGGTCAGTCATGTTCTCGCAGGTCGGAGACGGATGCTTCCATGCTGCGCCACGGTCGGAACACTGAACCGGGTCGACTAACAACATGGGCACCCCCACCACAGTGCTCTTCAAGTTCCGCCCGGACGTCTCCGAATCGCAAAAGGCCGCCTTCGTGCGCGAGCTCAAGACGCTGCGCCATCTACCGTGCGTGCTGAACCAGCGGCTCATCGTCGGCGGGCCGTCCATCACGGATCCCATCGAGCGCAGCAAGGGGTACCATTTCGCGCTGCTGAGCTTCCACCGCGACAGGGCGGCGCTGGAGGAGTACCAGGCGAGCGACGAGCATCACAGGTGAGCAGCAGCAGCCAATTTGGGAATACGCATCCCGCCGAGACTGGATTGGGGGAACAGTCCCGATGGGCATTGCACGCTAATGTACGGCCCCGCGTGCGCGGTATAGGGTTACGAGCACGTACCTGTGGCCGTTCAGGGAGGACGTCACGAGGTTCGACTTTGAGGTGGACGCCGAGGACGAGCCCATGTGTGAGTGGTTGGCGACATCGGTCCTGAAGAGCGGGATGGGCGCGGGCGTGGCACCTGCATGAGGGTGTCGCTCGCTGCATAGGGACGGAGTCTGGGTACTACAACACGGGACGGCACGAGGTCAGACATTCCGCGCGGAAACCGTCGGCACCGAGAAGAGAGAGAACATGCGGGTTGCGATTGTCGATTTCGGTCTCTGAGAGTGAGCATGCCTCGGCGAAAACGGCCGGCGAATGTTAGCATCAGACGGTGGTGGAGTTTAGGGGAGGTCAAGTTCGGTATGGTGGGGAGCTCCGAAGAGTCGAGACCAACAACACGGCACTGCAGCAGGTGAATATGTTCAAGTCAGGAAACTCTTCACCAGATAATAGAATAGAAACAAACGTCGAACTTATCTGATCTGATTAAGCGAAGGCTGCTCAGCTTTCCACGCTGTATCACCACCACCCTCCCGCATCCATCGCCGTGTCAATCCCATCCCGCCCGAGTCCCCCTCCCACCCTCGTCCCCCACTGCTGATCCCTAAAGCGGTCTCCAGACTTGCCAGAGTCCAATGCCCCATCCAGCACCTTCGGGCGGCCCTTGCCTGGCCCCGGCCGGCGGCCAATTGCCCATCCCATCGGCACGCCCCGACAGCGCCCTAGTGCGCCCGCCCGGCCGCCGCTGATAAGCCACCAGACCACGTCCGGCACCAAATCCACACACCGGTTGGCTTGCTCCTCCCCCAAACCACATTATTACCTGAAGCCGGTTACTGTGTGTCTCTTATCTCGACGACGGCCGAGATGTGGGGTAGCACTGGGCGAGGAGACCCGGAGTGACAACCACCACCACGGCGATCTGCTTCGCGCAAAAGTTGGCCTGCCGCGACCGGCGCGCGCGGGGCCGTGGGAGAATCTTTTTTCTTCTTCTCTAGCTCTGTCTTTATTTATTCTTGATGTCGCCTCATTAATCCATATTCGCGGAGCTGTGCCCGGTAGCGTGGCGCTTCAACTCACAAGCTGAGCTCACCAACTTCGTCACGATAGTTTGAGCTCACAACACCACGCTTCACTTCACCCCGCCTCAGTTTCGTTCTTCTCGCGGGGTCGTTCCAACTTCACGTCTCTCTCACACGCGGCGACCGCCAGCCAGCCATCACATCATGGGTCGCCGCCTCACGCTGCCGCCCAAGCCGGGCTTCCTACGGCCCCTGCCCACCAACAGCCTCGTGGCCATCACCTCGCTCGTCGTCGTCAACGCCATCGTCTGGGCCGCCATCGCCGTGGTCCTGCACTTCCACCCGGCGCTCATCTCCCCCGCCGCGCTGTCCTACACGCTCGGCCTGCGGCACGCCCTCGACGCGGACCACATCTCCGCCATCGACCTCATGACGCGGCGGCTCATCGCCTCGGGCCAGCGCCCCGCCACCGTCGGCACCTTCTTCTCCCTCGGGCACAGCACCATCGTCATCGTCACCTGCATCGTCGTCGCCGCCACCAGCGGCGCCCTGCGCGACCGCTTCGACGGCTTCACCCGCGTGGGCAACATCATCGGCACTGCCGTCAGCGCCACGTTCCTCATCATACTGTGCCTTGGTAACGGATGGGTCCTCTACAAGCTGGTCAAGCGCCTGCGCGAGGTGCTGGCGTCGCAGCGGCGCATGGGCGAGGACAGCGAGGACGAGAACGCGGCGAATGCGGGTAACGGACAGTTTGACCTCGAGGGCGCGGGCTTTCTTGCGCGCACCTTCAAGTTTCTCTTCAAGGCCATCGATCGCCCTTGGAAGATGTATCCGCTCGGCGTCGTCTTTGGCCTTGGCTTCGACACGAGCTCCGAGGTTGCTATTCTCGGCATCGCCAGCATTCAGGCCATCAAGGGGACGAGCATATGGCTCATCCTCATCTTTCCCATTCTCTTCACGTGTAAGTGGATGCATCAAGTCGGCATAACCATCAGTTCCGTGCGCTGACCATGACCTCGCAGCCGGCATGTGCCTGCTTGACACGACCGACGGCGCCCTCATGATGGCCCTCTACACGTCCAAAGCCTTCAGGCGAGACGTGGTCGCCATTCTCTACTACTCCATTGTACTCACAGGCATCACCGTCTTCGTCTCTGCCTTTATCGGCATCATCCAGGTCCTGTCCCTGGTGCAGAACGTCGCCGAGCCCGAAGGCCGATTCTGGGATGGTGTTTCTGATGTGGGTGACCATTTCGACATCATCGGAGGTAGCATATGCGGCGTCTTTGTGGTGGTCGGCCTAGGATCGATCCTCTTCTACAAACCGTGGCGCAGGCGCATGGATGCGAAACGTGGGCAACATCAGGCCCTCATTGCCGACGACATGGACAGGGAAAGCCCCGCGCCCGAGTCTGAAGATCATGCACCGCCATCACCAAAGGGTGCATCAATGCAGGTACATGTAGTTGGACAATCTAGCGCTTGATAGAAGAAGCTGCAATACAACACATCGCTCGGTTCAATGTTCGCTGCTACGGTACCCCATCTTAGTCAAGGCCGCAAATAGCCTCTCTATCAAGCCTCTTCGGCTAACACACCCTTTAGTTCCCTGCTGTGCTCGAACAAATGGCAGAAGCTGTGCTGCCTGCATTGCTGGCAGATCCTCTGGCGGATTGGGCAGCCGATCTTCCTCACGAAGGGGTAGACCAAGGACAGCTCGAACTGCTGGACTGCCAATTTATCGTCGTCCCGGTTCAGATATCGCTCGCAGTGTCCACACAGCCAAGTACCCGGCTCATGCAACGTCTGCATCTTCCATGAACGGTTCCAGGTGAATTGCTCCTCTGAGGACTCACTTGGTGAGGGTGATGACGACGTGTCGGAGGGCCACTCAAAAGGGTGCTTAGCCTCCTTGAAGTGCTCCGTCCCGGACCTGCCTGGGCTATATGGGCTGTCGGGAAGCGACGACAATTCGGACGTTGATTCATCTGCGTCAAAGAGTTCCATGTTCTCCTCGAGGTGCTCTGTCCCGGACTTTTCTTGACTATGTCCAGGAACTATGACCTCGGGTTCAATCGTGGTTGTCTGGTGTAATGTCAGCATCTCATGACGTGAGCCTGTCGATTCCAACTTACGCCATCTTTATGACATTGAGTGTCTTTGGTATCGACAGCGAATCTTACCCTCCGGGGTGAACTTGGGCTCTCGCAGAGAGGCTGTTTAGGCTCTGCCTCGGAAGGGAAGATATTAGCCGAAGAAGCTGCCGCGATTATGCCGTCGATTGACGATGCCTTGCTTTCCAACCGTTTCTGAAGCTCCACGATATCCGCTGGCGGGTCAATACGACCGACAGTCCGTTTGCGACGGTGTTGGTCTGCTGCAATTGGGAGCTCGTAAGAATATTGCGAGCGCAAATGCTCCTCGCTGGGGGTTGACCTGAGTATGCGGGTACGCGAGCGGCCTCTAAGTTCTTCAGGTTCGTCGACCAACGCGGTAGACGGCGTGGGAGAGGCGTCCTTGCCGATGACGGGGCTAGGATGGGCCACGCCGATGGACAAGCGTGGTTCCTACACAGGGCTCTGAGGTTTCTGCGTCACCTTTGTCTGCCCGCCTTGGCATGCCATTGTTGGCTAGCGATCGTTCAACAGATGTGGAGGATGTGTGGAGTTGTTAAGCCTTGATCGGATATTGTATGCAAGTGCAATGGGAGAGATGAGGAAACGAGGGTCGCGATTGTAGTCGTGACTTGTCGCCCACAACGTCGCCGGACAAGATGTGAAGTCAAAGAATGCGAATTGAGGCACGTAGACAGCCGAGTCTTCTGGATGGGGGGGCCGTTCGCAAATGGTAGGCGCTGCCGAAGGGCAAGCCGGTCAGGCAACACGCAACGTGGGATGGAAAGTGGTAGCCGAGAGGTTTTGCACTTTGCCCTCCCGAATGTGGTTCTCGGTGAACCTCCCCATGTTTGCCAGGGCAAGAAGGCGCTCGGCACGGCTCCTGCCTCGTGGCGGTCAAGATGGCGGGACGCAAGGCCGAGACAACCATCCTTGAAAGGCACCCCGGCGAACTAATCAAGTCCATACCTGGACCCTGCCAACCCGCACCATCCTTGCATCTCGCTCGCATTCTCCTGGTCAGACTCTTGTTCAAGCGCAACAAGAGCCCGCTGCCCGCGCGTTTCGCCCGTATGTATTATGTACGAGGACGAATATGCCAAGCAGGCGCAGGCTCCCGGCATTAGCTCGACACGGGGTGGCACTGTTGGCCCGACCTGCCCATGCACGAGGATGTGCAGTTCATCACCGCACCACCAGCCTATCGCGGATGTCCCGACCTGTCGGGGGATGCCAGGACTCCGGACTCAGCGTTGCCGGTCGAGCCCCGAGGGCCCTTTGCTGACAGAGGCACACATCTAGGGTCCGTTGACAACCCCTCGGAGGAGACTCTCATCGCCATGTTGTCGCGCAATCACGCAAACGATGGTCGTGTCTGGAAAGTGCAGACACATGCAGCTGCCGCCCCAATCAACGCCGATCAGGGTCCATCCACCCATCCAACTGCGGCCTGTGCCCTCGGACCCCAACGCTGCAATGGCCCCCCTGGTCTTGCAACGAGCCCCACGCCGGTCCAGGGCGTCCGAGGCCCGTCGCGCCCGTCTCGATGGAGGGTCGAGTCTGGCACCGCCGCCCAGGCCCGGCGACGGCGAACATCTCTTGAGCGGCGAACTCAATAGCAAACCAAGCACGCTACTAACTTATTATCGGTCGTTCCAGAAGATTACAAATGGCCTAGTGGAAGTCACGTGCAACATTGGGGTGCTACCGCGTTGCCGCTCTCGCAGCCCGTGACTCGTGAAGGGGGGCGGCCAGAAATTCTTGCGGCCCACCATCCAGTGTCCACCATCCGCCATCCGCCGTCCCCGGCGGGTCGGGGGTTCCATGCTGCGGCTCGACAACTCGGCTCCCGCAATTGGCAATGGTCCATGCTGCGGTCAGCATGTGCAGTTATCGCAGCCGGGATCAGAGTCAGTGCTGAATGCGCACGCTTCTGGAACGGGCAAGGAACGACCGGGCTTCCTGTACGGAGTGTGCACCTCCGCGGCCGTCAGACCGTCAGCTCGCGAATGGCTTCAGAGTCTCAAACTGGAACGTCGCGGCAGACTGCACACCGGCAGATGGGTACGTACATTGTCCCATATCGTACCCCTGGCGGCTGTGTTGATGGACACACGGTGTCTCCGCTGGTCGCAACACATGCAAACAGGCTGGAATCCTACGCCCATCACCACATCGACTCCATCAAAGTGGGCGCTCGCCTCGCCTCCCCGCACTGTCATCGTCAATGCGGACGCCAAATCGGACCCCGTTTGGACCCCTAAAATCCACATGGAGACCCACATCGAACCCGGACATCGCGACTCAGATGACGCCCACACCCTCCAGGACGACGCCCAGTCTGCCAGTCTTGGCCTCCTGCTCGTCCCCCCCTTCGTACGCAGTACAGTACAAGGGCATCAGTACTGTACCTGGCTAAAACTCGTCTCAAGCCTTTCCGCTTTTCGGAGGGGCTCTGCTGGCCGTGGAGACACAGTGGCTCAGACCTTGTCGAGGAAGAAGAAAATCGCCAGGATCCTCACCGCCGCCCTCCAGGCCTCACGGTCCGTCTCCACATCAAGGAGATTCGCAAGGGGTCCCAAGCACGGGATATCAGGAGCCTCACCGGGCTATGGACGCGCCCAACCGCCCAACCGCTCTACGTTCGTACTAGTAGGACCTTCGAGATGGGCGGCAAGGCAGTCCGAGGGGCTCGTCGCCCGGTGGTTCGTCGCACGACATGGACATGCGACGAGTCAGCCAGAGACGCATGCCACCCGAGCCCAAGCCTGGCTGTTCGACTGGCCGCAGTCGCCCGACCGTGTCAGTAGAAACCCAAATGACAGGAGAGGTTTCTTGGTAGCCGTGGCCAGGGGCGTCCCGGGGGGTGGTTCCACCAGACCTGGTTGCCACTCAACACCGAGGGCCCGCAAAACAACCCGCCTCCGAGGCCGGCAGATCCGTCGCAGCCTCACCTGCCCCAGCCAATCATGCGGCCTTGGCGTACCCGGTGAGCATGCAAATCCCCAGATTCCTCTTATCTGTCGGTGAGGTGCCTTGAATTGGAGGGTCGCTCGGGGTGGACCCTAGTCAGGGGCCGACGTCGGGTCAATCCCTTTGTCGACTCAGAGTCACTCCCCTGGCGAGCCCCGGCCTTCAAAGCCCATCTTCCTCCTCCTCTCTTTTCCCTTTCCCATTTTCCCGAATTTCCCATACCCTCATCGCACTCACCAGCCCAAGAAAGCGCAGCCTTTGTGGGAAACTGCTCAAACACGATCACGACATACCATACCTAATCGCAGGTGTTATCACGGTCAACAGCCTTATACAAAGCGCCGATATCTTATGTATATATGAACATTTGGCACGGGAGCATATAGAATGCACGGCTACAGCTCGTCCGAGGAGTCGGAGGACCCCCGCCGGCCGCGGGTTCAGCCCGCCAACAATGGCAACAACCAGGACCAGAAGAAGAAGCGGAAGCGCCGTGTTCCGCCGCAACAGTCCATCAACCGAATCTGGAAAAGATTCTCCAACCGCAAATTCCACAAGGCACTTTCCGTGCTGCCCTTCGACCCCGTCACCCCAAATCCAGCAAGCGCCAACAGGCCCAACGAGCTACTGAGCGAGGGCTATGAGCGAGCAGCCGAGGAATGTCGCCGGAAGGTTCAGAAAATCGTCAGGGAATGCAAGCGGGTCAACATGAGATATCGCGACCCCGGCTGGGATTTGGTGAGTGCGGAAACGACCCCCGTGGTGTGCACAATCTGACCTGGGAACAGGATTGGGATCTCAAGTACCAGAAGGGCAACTGCCTCAACAGCCTCGGCAGCAGCAAGTTTGAACTCACCAAGTCCACGCTGTTGGGATCCAGCGACTCTGTTCCCAAGGCTGTCAAGAGGGTCCACGAGATCTTCGAGAAGCCCACCTTCATGAGAGATCTGAATGGCGCCGACGTCAAGCAGGGTGGCCTTGGCGACTGCTGGATCATGGCTGGCATGACTGCCATGGCTAATGTCGAGGAAGGCGTCAAGCGGACATGTGTTGCTTATGATACAAGTAAGTTTCCTATGCACCTAAGCTTTATCTGTAAGCGCCCTAACGCAGGCTCCGCAGAGATTGGCATTTATGGCTTCGTCTTTTATCGAGACGGAGAGTGGGTCTACTCCATCATCGACGACAAGCTCTATCTGAAGTCTCCTTGCTGGGATTGCCCCAGCCTGCAGCGCGATTTGCTTCAGCAGATCGACCGCGAAGACGTCGAGGCGGTGTATCGGAAGACATACCAGACGGGATCCAAGGCCCTCTTCTTCGGTCAATGCAAGGACCAGAACGAAACCTGGGTGCCTCTGCTCGAGAAGGCTTATGCTAAGGCTCATGGCGACTATGGATCGCTGTCTGGCGGCTGGATTGGTGAAGGGCTTGAAGACCTCTCGGGCGGCGTTACAACCGAGCTTCTCTCGTCCGACATTCTCGACACCGACGAATTCTGGGACAACGAAATGTCCAAGGTCAACCAAGAGTTTCTTTTTGGCTGCTCAACTGGCCTTCTCGAGCACGGGTACGGCCAGCGCGACGGCATTTGTGAGGCACATGCCTACATCGTGTTGGAAGCCCGCACGCTCAAGTCAGGCCAGCGCCTTGTCAAGCTGCGCAACCCGTGGGGCAAGGTCCGCAAGGGACTCTGGCAAGGTGCCTGGAGCGACGGATCCAAGGAGTGGACAACCGATGTTCAGGCTGAGCTCGGCCACACATTTGGCAGCGACTCCGTCTTCTGGATCTCGTACGAGGATCTCATTGCCAAGTACACTCACTTCGACCGCACACGGCTGTTTCGCGATCCCGACTGGCGGTCCTCCCAAAAGTGGATTGGGGTCGACGTTCCGTGGAAGGCCGAGTACCATGAAAAGTTTCACATCTCGCTGACCAAGGACTCCCCGCTCGTCCTGGTCATGTCGCAACTGGACAACCGCTACTGGAAAGGGCTCCAAGGCCAATACACCTTTCGTCTGCATTTCCGCCTTCACTACCAGGACAGGCTGGGGGCGGAAGACTACATCGTTCGTTCGCATGGCAACTACTTCATGAAGCGCTCCGTCTCCGTTGAGCTTCCGGACATGCCGGCTGGCAACTATGTGGTGTACCTCAAGGTGACGGGCGAGCGGGACGGCGATGCGCCCTCAGTCGAGCAAGTCGTCAAGCGGGAGCTGAAGGAGCGTGTGGAGCATCCGAAGTTGGAACAGGTCGGATATGCGTATGATCTCGCTCACAGCAAGGCGTGGGATCACATGGAGAAGGTCGCTGCCCTGCGGAAGAAGCGAGATCAGCAGAAGGCATCCGGCCTGCGTCAGCAGGAGCGACGCCATGCCTGGGAGAAGCGTCGCCTCCAGCGCAACGTCAACAAGCAGCAAGCCAAGAAGAACGGCGAGAAGAAGCAGCGAGCGCAAGATGCCCGGGAAGAGAGGAAGAGGCAGAGGGAACGCGAAGACGAGGACAGCAAGAAGGCAGAGGAGATCCGTCAGGCCGCGGAACGTCTCAGCTTGGCAGAAGCAGAGCCCGCCAAGAGGGGGCAAACAGACGCCAACGAGACCAAGGACGACAGCGCTGCCGCCTCGGACTCAAGCGGCTCGCCTGTGGAGACTCCAAAGAGCGAGGGCTCCGTCGTCGTCGTTTCGTCCGACAAGAAGCAAGACGTGCCACCAATCAGCGGTCCGCCGCCGCCGGCGCGGACAGAGTCCGATAAGGCCAAGCCTGAGCCGGTGAAGCGCGAAGTCAAAGACGACTCTGACGGAAACTCGTCCGACTCTCCGGTTGAGGACTGGGAGGAGCTTTACAGCAGCGACGACTTCATCCGCAAGCCTCGCACGCAGCCAGTGGGGATCCCTCCGCCTCGAGACGAGTACGACACCGAGGAGGAGAAGATGCCAGACCCGTGGAACGCGGTGTGCATTGTCGGATTCCGCGTCTACTCCAAGGACGCCGATCTGCAACTCCGAACTGTCATGGAGGGCGGCGAGCTGCTCGAGGACGGCATGGGCGAGAAGGGCGAGAAGGACCTCGACGATGCCCAAGCCAACGCAGCAGGTATTCGTCGCGATGCGGACGACATGGAGGCCCGGGGAAGCACTGCCACGGTCCTGGCAGCCCGATAGCGGTGATGCGAAACGGCACACCGAATCGAGATGCCTCAGAATTTTACGATCAAGCCTAAGCCAGCGCTGGAAGTCGCCCCTTCAATGTTGGCCACTTTTTTTTTTTTTTTTTTTATTAGACAGCATTGCAATGCGTATAGATCGCATAGAGGATTGAGGCAACACCACAAACTGATGAAATTATGTCGCATAGACTAGATATGAGACTGGCAATTTAGACCTGGGCCATGACAGCTCAAAGAATTGGCATTATTGCAAAGTTGAACATCGTGACTTGAGCCTTAGTTCGCACGTGTCCGTGGCCTCATGCCAGAGAACAGCAGGAGCCTTGCCCCATCAATGAAGGCGGGTCGGGGACTACCTTGGATGTTTGGGTAGGCGCTTGGTGCTGCAGCTTACATGCATGCATCAGAGCTATCTAATGATGCGTGTTGACTACAGTCGATGAGATCGCCTTGGCGGCTTATTATTACAGTGCCACTTGGCCGCCTGCCGGGCTTGATCTGACAGGGAAGTGGCCGGCCGCGGTGGGCTAGACTACGTAGGCAGGAACCTTTTGCAGTGGAATCAAGGGTCTTGCTCCCTGCAACAGACTTGGTTCGTTGATGCTGAGTCTCCAACGTTTGCACACACGGTCATTGGGGTTGGAGTTCTTCCCGACGTGTCTCCCATGTCATGCAATGTGCTTATTAGAGGCTACTATTATTACTGACGTCACTCGATCATTGATGTCTGGTGTCTTAGTGGAGACTGGAGAGCAAGCCCTCCTTGGACCCTGGCGAGCTTTCGCCCTGCTTCGGTGAGACTTGGGAGTGACCTCGTCGAACCCTGGGGCCTGGTCCCAGCGTGCACGTATTAACGAAGAACGAGTGCTCGGCAAGGCAGAAACCTGGCTGTTCCCCCCGCGCGCGCTGAACCTCTCGTGTAGGCAGACCCGTTTCGTCCTGCTGGTTTTTGTCCCTGCTCTCTCTCTCCTGCCGCTGGCGCCGCCTGGCCCCCGACCGGGCGCTGAGTTATGCTTGTTTGGGCGAAATTGAATAAGTGGATTGTAAGCACAGCCCAGCACGCAAGGGGGCCATGGGGGGCTGCTCGGTTGGTGGAGGATGCAGTTTGGCTGTGCGCCGAGTGGACGGCGGCGGCGGCGGCGGCGACGGCGGCGGGCAGCGGCGAGGAGGGAGGAGCGCGGGTGAGATTTAACTTTGGCCTTGCACGATGGAAGGATTCGCGGGTCAGCAAGAAGCTGCGGGTTTCCCTGTACGGCTCCTTCCGCGGCGGCAAGGCGGCGTCGTCGAGAGAAAATGGATGTAACCCTGAACCAGACACAGGAACCCCCCGCCCGGAGGAGGGGCGGGAAAACACACCGGGCCAAGTGTCGGTTCGGTCGGGGTTTCGGGGCCCTGGCCGTGGCCCGGTTATCGCCGTGCAGATCGGCCCTCGCAATGGGCCGCCGTGGAGACTGAGAGATGGGGAGTTCGGCCCGCCAAAGTGCAGAAGGGTGTTTTCATGTGCCGGCTTTTCCCAAGCCTGTCTTTACAATATGAGGGCTACAACATCGAGAAAGCAGCTTTGATGTGTCATTGCCTCTGCCAAGCGTTGAACTCGGCATCATGCAGCGACTGCAGGTGCAGGGGCACGCAAAACGGCTTGGTGTGTTGCAGCACAGCCGTCGCAGCCGTTTCCTGGGGACGAAGAGCTGAAATTCGCAGTCCATAGAAGCATCTTAAACTGTGACTACACGTTTTCTCGAAGCCTGGGGGATCCGCCGGCGCGGCGCATTCGACCTCGGGTCCTGCCCATCAGGGCAGACGCATCGGAGGGGGCTAACCTGGGTCCTCAGCCAGCCGAACACCTCGCCAACTAAGCGCACGTCAACTTAAACGAGAACGACGACACAAAACCGCAGCGCCCACCTAAAACTAGCTGGTGCCTAGTCAGAAGACCGGCATCGGGGGGATGCGTGGGCGCGGCACAACGCGCTTGTCGTCGCTTGCCGTTCCACGGCATGCGGGTAATAAGTCCAAGTTGGGTGGTGGGTGGGACCTGGGCAGTGGACACGCAAGGAAATGGTTCACGGGAATAGTACATGTAGAAGACGAGAGTCCTGAAGGATTCAAAACTCCGTCCTACCATGACACCACAGCGACCACACACACACACAGAGAGAAAGGTGCGCAAAGCAGGGGGCGCGGTTTATTATGTGTGCCTGCGCTGCTGCTCCATAACTTGTAGACCGTTTATGGCGAATGCCGGTTGCGCGAACCCGACAGGGGGGCCGCTTGTTTGCAGGGTTGAGAGATGGGGAGGAGAGGGGGGCGGCGCGCCGTCGGGCAACTCGGAGTTGGGAGTTTTTAATAATCACCGCTTCAGACCTCGTTCGTTTGAGCAAGGAAGGCGGTACCCATTCTTCAATTCTCGAAGCAGGTTTCAACTGCGACAAGTTAGCCGAGTTGTCCCCCAGAACTGGTCCGCAAACAACGACATCACGCTGCGCCGCCACTCCCGTCTGCTCCGACTCGTATCCGCAGCTGACAACACGAGTCCCCGGACTGGACGTTCAAACGACGACAGAAGCAGCCAACGTCATCGGCAACAGCGGTTGTCTGGCGCAGAGCGGGTTGTCTCCGTGGGTTGCCTCCGACATGAGGAACCAGAATGTCTGGCAGGGAACGCGCCAGACATGTGGTTGACCAAGCGGCGGCGCGATGCCGCTTGGAGTACCCGGGGCGCAGCGGTCATGAGACTAACAGCAGCTTCGACCAACAAGACCGCTGCGGACTCCCCTTGATGGCCAGCCTGCTGCGGTATATCGACGGGCGGAACTATCAAAGAGCACGGCTAGCCGGTCAGGAGCCGAGCGTATCCATCACCGTCTCACCGAGAGCCGTCATCGTCGAGTACAACGACGACGGGCTTCGAGAGGGGGACGTGGGTTCACTCTGTGGCTTTGAAGGCCGAGAGGGACCAGAAGAAGCCGCGACAGAGCGGCCTCCCTCAGGGAGAAGGATCCGCATGCGCGCGCCGTCACCCGTCTTTGCTCACGCGCGCCAAGTCTCCCTGCAGTCTGGCGATTACACATTCTCCTTTAGGCCATCGCCGCCCGAGCCGCCGGCGCCTCCGCGGCGGGCGATCGACGGGGACGGCACGGGGCCCCTTTGGGAGGAGGAGGCGGAGGAGGCGGCGGCGGAGAAGGAGAAGGGCCAGGAGGGATCGAGCAATCGAGGGCCGCCAGCGCACGACGGCGTGACAAGACTGACGCTCTTACTGCGCGAAGAGGGTGGCGGCATCCGTCTGGCCAACCAACAGCCGTCAGATGATACGAGTTTGAGGAGGCAGGTCGAGGATCTCGAGCCAAGTCACCTGCTCTTCATGAGGCAACTCCGTCGGATGCGCATCATCTTTGTGCTCGAGGACAAAAGGCCGCTATCAGAGCGCATGTTTAGCGTGGAAGCCCTCGATGAGCACATCGAGGCTGTAACGGCGGCGCAACGGACCGCAGACGGAAGACTCGCAACGCACGAGTCTCGATACTTCGTCGTCAGGACTCCGCCCCAAAGCACCACCACGACAACCCCAAGCACGACCGCTAGTCGTCGAGACGGCAGCCATCCAGCTGACTGTTCTGAAGTCGTACTTGCGTTTCCCATCGACGCGGATTGTGTCCCGGCTGTGGAGTCACCGTTACAGCAGCAGCAGCAGCAGCAGCGAGTATACCGCTTCTTCCCCCTGGGGAACTGGGGTTTCAAGGTGCGTACATGTGCGGGCGGCCGGCCGGCCCACGCCAAACGCCAACAGGAGGCCGGACACTGGGCCACCGCGCCGCTGGCACCCCCCCTGGTCCTGCGATCTACCGCTTCCCACTGACACACGGCCATGTGCCTGCAGTTTCTGTTGCAGTGCGGCCTGCTCTCGGAAGAGATATTGACCCATCCAGACCACGGGCCCGAGCTGTTGGACCGCATCGCCCGGGCCTTTGCCCACGCTTCGACGCTTCTACACCAGCACCCAACGCTGAGCTACGTTTGGCCCAAGTACCTCCCGTCGCAAGGTCATGTCACGGGAGATCCGCGGGCAGGCTTAGTCGGCAGGATAAACGAGCATCTCAGGGACCCCGTGGGGCGGATGCGTGCGAAGATCTTGATCGGGGGAGGCGAGTCTATGGCGCCGACGGCGCTGGAGCGGTGCAAAAAGGAGCTCGTGTTTCTGTACCTGACAAGCAGGCAGCGATCAGTCCGAGACGATTTCCAAAACATCACAGTCCTTGATCAGAATCTGGACCCCGTCCGACCCGCCGATCAGGATGTATACCTCCCAGGGAGATCCCGCTACAGTCCCGAAGATCTCTTCCGCCCCGTCACAGCGGGAGAGGGCTCACGAGAGGGCGCTCCTGGCTTCGCGGCATCCTTTCTACACCCGGAGATTCTCAGCAATGGGCCAGAACGACCAGATTTTTCCTATCCAGCGTGGGAGCAGTGGCTCATCGACTCCATCGGCATCCAAGCGCGGATCCGGCTCATCTCTCGCGCGGGCGACTCTCCAAGTGCGGCGTTTACGTACGTCGCCAAACATCGCCATGACGGCCTCCTTGATATCCTCGAGGAGTGTTGGCGCGTCGAAGGCGAGCTTGTCCTTGCCAATCCTCAGTTGCTCAACTGTGTCAAGCAGGTGCCGGTCCCATGCCTTTCAGGCTTCCTCCATCCGCTATGGGAGACGTATCTGCCGCTCGAGGACCTGCAGAGGCGCTGCCTGCAATTCATGGAGCCGCGGGAAGCATTTCCCTTTGTCGACCTCGGCGGGCAGACATCGGCAGGCGACCTGGCCAACAAGTGGTCCTTCCTGTACACCCATCTCGGCGTCTCCCGCAACAACGACTTGGGCTTCCTCCTCGACATTCTGAGCTACGTCCAATTGGCGAACCTGAACGGCATGTCGATTTCAAGGTGTCGCAGCGTGGTACGTCTGTACTGCGAGCTGGAGAGACGATGTGCCGAGTCCATGGAACCGGACTCTCTACGCGACATCTGCCGGTAGGCGCCGATCAAGGGGTCTTTATATCGTTGAAGCTGACGCTCAGACCAGATCATACGTTGAAGATATCCAGGGAATCATGATTCCGTCTGATTGTGGCGCGACGTCGACCTGGACAGACGCCAAGCGCTGCGTCTGGGGCCCGCCGTCGCTGCAACTGACGACTCGGTACCAGCTGGGCCACATGTACGAGCACGCACTGCAGCTGGGCCGTGCCGAGCTCGAAGCCCTTTCCTCCTTCTTCCGGGTGACCCTGGGTGTGCGATGCGTTACCTTGCAGGACCTGACAACGGAGCTGGCAGCGCTGCGGGACGCGGGATGCAGCGACCTGTCCCGCGTGGGGCGCGTCTACGAGTGCCTGAGCGTGCTCATGACCCCGGAGACGGAACAAAAGACAAGGTACGTGATGAAGACGTTTCTTTTGTTCTTCTGCCGCAACCTGAGTCAGAAAGAGGGGTTTGTGTTTCTGGCTGTGGCAGAAGCGGTGCTGGCTGACTGTCCACGTCACTTACACGTTGCAGGCAACAGTTCGACAGCGATCCGCTCATACTAGTCGCGCCTAACGGCCAGCCGCGATGGCTCCGAACGTCACAATGCTTGTGGGCCAATCCGATTGGCGTCGACAATCGCCCTGCGGTAGGCTTGCACTACGGGCCGCTCGAGAGTCTGTTTGTGCGAACGTTGGGCGTGGGCTTACTCACGATGGACATGGTATACCATCGGTTACTCGAAGTGGAGAAGCACGAGCCTCCCTTTGCAGAACTGAAGAGCGGCCTGTGGTTGTTGAGCTCCTTGCTGGAGACCGCAGGACAGAGGAACTGGCCCGACGCCACACCGCTTCGCCAGAAAGCCGTATTCCCCGTGAGAAACCCTGACGGCAGCATCGTGGCCGCGTCAGCGGAGACGGACTTTGCCATCATCGACCGCAAGTTGCTGGGTCAGCAATTCGTTTCGCAGGTGAAGCTGCTGGACTTTTCGCTTGAGGAGGTCGCCCTGTTGAAGCCCTTGTTCGCCTGGGCAGGTCTCGGCCAGAGATACCTCTCAGCGTGCGTTTCGAACATGTCCTTCTTGGGGAGTGATGCCTCGCAGTTCCCTATTTCGTCGCTGAGCCGTGACCTCTGCCACAAGGCCCATGCCTTGGTGCGGTACGCCTGACCAACAGCCCATGTCCTCGGGAAGCGCGCTGACGTGACGGTACAGCATCGCTGCCGCGTTTGGTAGCCCGAAGTACAAGCGTGCCGGTCCCCGGTTGTACGAATTCCTGCGTGGCACGAAAGTGGTCGAAACAAATGCCATTTGTTCTGCGCTGAGCATCACACAAGACGGACGAGTGGTTGGCTCGCAAATCGTCCACTCGCAACCGCTGCACCTGGCTGAGGAGCCCGCAGGTCTGCGGATCTATGTCCCACGCGACAAGACGGCACAGGATGTCTGCTTCGCGACGGTGCTGCCGCGGCGGCTGGCGCAGTGGTTGATGCAGGACCCAGTGGCGCCGGCGTCAGCACCGATGCCAGTAGACGCCAACCTCGTGGCCATCCTCGGCAGCGTGTTAAGCGTGGACATGCCAGTGGTCGAAGGCATCCTCGAGCATGAAGGCATTGGCCAGGTGCATTTACCAATGACGGCCCAAGCGACTGCTGTTCGAGAAGAAGGTTCGGCCCTGCAGCGGGCGGCGTCCCGAGGCGATGGCAGCCGCCGGATAGCTGCGCCGCCGACGCCGTCATCGTCCAGTATTCCCAGCCCAACGCACCCTGCAGAAGCACCTCAGCGGCGGGGGTGAGGACGCAGCTTGAGCGTGTTGCACAGCGTGGTGTCACGACAGATGAGCATTGCCCGATTGACCAAAGGCGTCTCCGAACGGAGGAACGACGCGAGGATCGGCGCGAACGATGTGCAGAGTGCAGACTGCAGAGACACGACCGCCAATGGACGACTGGATTCCATTCGGAGGATTGCTTGGATCAGCCGGAGCTGCGCCGGGTCGCGGCCGGCCATGAGACCATGAACCTGACAGTAGATAATCCATCACTTAGAAGGGGGGGAGAGTGGTGTGTGCATGGCATGCCAAAGAGGGAAATGAGGACATTGCCTCTTTGGGCCGACCCGTCACCTGACTCGCCATGTGGCCGCGGCGGGTGGTGCTGACTCGGGTGATGATGACGTGCCGGCCTTATCGCAGCTCTCGCCCGCTTATCGCCCATTGCTTCGGTCGGGACTGACTCTCCTGGTGCATCGTCGTGACACAACCATCCTTGCCCGCGTGCATCACCTCCATCCAACAACTCTCCCCCAGACCCCCGGACGAGCTTCCCAACATGTAGCACCAGCTCGCGCTCAGCTGTGCCTCCAACCACGACACCAACATTCCCATACAGTTCCGCAAACATGGCTGCCTCACCGGCCGCCTCGTCCCGCCCCAGCGCGGCATCATCGTCGTCGTCGACCTCGTTGCGGCGCTCCGATGGCAACCATCATCATCTGGCCAAGGAGCCATCAATATCCATCGACACCCTCGTCAACCATCTGCTCGTAGCGAAACGGTCCCTCTCGTCGATGAACCTCGTCCTGCGCGCCAATGAGCTCGCCACCTCTGCACGCACCTCGCACGAGGAGGGCGTCATCCTCGAGGCCCAGGCCGGCTTCCTCCGCAGCTCCATCGTCGATCAGATTGCTATACTCGTGCGCGTGCGTCGGAGTCTACATGCCACATATGACTGGGGCAAGAGGGATTTCAAGAAGCTGATTCGCGCCATGGACGAGGTAGACGGCCAGCTGGGCGCTACAATGGACATGTTGAGCCACACAGACGTGCAGCAGGAGCTGCGCCCAGTCGGCGAGGAGAAGCGCAGCTTGCTTGACTTTGTGGACGAAACGAGCGTCCATGGCATGCGGGAGGCGATGAAGAAGAGTATAGAGGAGCTACAGGTCAGTCATCCGTCCGACGTGCTGGCATGGCCCGAGGCTAAGAATTACATCAGGGCATCCAACAGTCATTTGACGGAGACCTTTTACGCTTTGAAACGGATATTCGCAATCTCAAGAAGGTCGTCAGCGATGCGAACCAACCGACCGACGAGGACCGAGACGCACCAGCCACTCCAATGCTCATCCTACTGGAGAGCATGGATGAGCAGTCGTCCACCATGGCCCATTTGCTCACGTCACTGACCAAGCACTTTGACATGTGCGTTACGGCCATCCGCACCACCGAGGGAGCGGCAGCCCTCGCCCGCCGCAAGGCCGCCGAGGTGACACAGTCCCAGGGCAGTGACGGCGTTTCAATATCGGGCGTCATTGCGGAGCAAGAATCGCACATGTCCGATCTCGAGCCCAAGACGGCCGAGGACCGCGCCGAGATGCTCAAGGTCGTCATACAGGATGCCGGGGAGGTCGACGATGTGGTACAAGAGATACAAGAGAGTCTCGCCGCAATAGAGCAACAGCACGACGCCCTCCAACAGCAGGCCGACGACATAAGCCGGACATATCTAGGCATGCTGGCCGCGTACGCCGCGCTCGGAGACATTGGCGACCGGCTGGCCGACTACCTCGCCGCCGAAGAGGACTTTCGCACCCGCTGGGAGCTGGAAAAGGAGGTCGTCTTCGGACGTCTGCACGAGATGAAGGAGATGCGTGACTTCTACGAGGGGTACGCTAGCGCATACGGCAGCCTGGTTCTGGAGGTGGAGAGGCGGCGCGCCGTGGAGAAGCAGGTCGAGACGCACTGGCGCAAGGCCCAGGAGAGCGTGGACAGGCTGCTCGAGGCGGACCGCACCGCTCGGGACGCATTCCGCGCCGAGGTGGGCGAGTTCCTGCCGACAGATCTGTGGGCGGGCATGCAAGCGCCAGTGACGCGGTGGAAAGCCGTCCGCCTGGAGGAGGGGTCCGGCGAAGGGGACGAAGCTGGTGGGAGCCTGGCCACCAGCATGACGGAGAGAGTTGGCCGGTAGCAAGACATGCTGCGTCGCCACCGCCTTTCCTTTCCTTTATATTTCCTTTGCCTCTACTTGCCAAGCGGTATTTATTCTGGGAAGCGTGCAGGGTTGTGTATAAAGCTGCGGCGAGGATTTCATAGACTTTTTTGTACATAACGGGCGTGTACTACTGGATCAGATCACGGACATTGGTACGATAGCAGAACGGGTAGATGTTTCTGCAACACGAAGATTGCAACACAGCGCTCCACGACGATCCCGCTACTGCTGACTGCGGCTGGCCCGTGTTTTCTCCCCTGGCTAGCGTGCGTGTACCTGCGTCAGCCACCCGAGGAGGTTGGGTGGTGTGAGGCATACTCCGTTGTTGCAGATAGATTCGATGCATGGCGCAGAAAGGGTTCGTGTTCTCGTATTCATCCGCGATGGTGGCTTTGGTCTGAGGGGACGGGCCGCTTCGCCAAGCTGGGTATCCAACAGCACCTGCCTGCACAAGAGGTGTACAAGGGAGTCCTGGAACGCGTAATGAGCAATATCGTACGAGCGCTGGTGTGGCGGCGAGATGAGGTCTACTTGAACGGGTAGATTAAATGTCGAACAAAGAAACTGTACAACTAATCGAGGGTATTGCTCAACAACTGATACTGTCGTAACCCCGGCTTCCCGACGTACTCGGTCTAAGACTCTCACAAGCTTCCTCAATGGTATCAATCAGTCTCATCCGCGGTCCTTACATTACCCCTGCTTTTCTCTCTCTACCCATCGACAGACAATCCGCCGCAGTACCTCAGCGCACCTGGATCGCCTGCTGAACCTTGGGGAACACGCGCACCATCTCCTGGTACAGCTCCGGGTGGTCGTTGATCATGACTTGCGGGTCCCAGCCCGAGGCGACGAAGATGGCGTCGATGCCGCTGGACAGGGGCGTCGTGAAGACGTGCGCGATCTGGAAGCCGATGAGGTACGCAAAGGCTACGACGACGGCCGTGAAACCGCCGTCGCTGTTGTATGCTGGCTTCGTGAAGATGAGGTACAGGTAGGCCAGGAGGGCGCACGCAAAGGCGATGAACATGGCGCCAAAGGACAGCACCGGGCCGATGAGGCATTCCTGTCTGATGTCAGTAGGCGTTCCCAAGCGCATATGAACACGACGAAACTTACGTTGACGAGCGCATCGATGCCGCGGTCCTTGATCATATTCCACGTATCCTTGGCAGCTTGAAAGTACGGCTTGCCGTACAGCGCAATGTGGCAGAACGCATATCGGTTCAAGAACTGGAGAGCCCACTCCAGGAGACTGAGCAGGCAGTTGATCACGCAGAAGATGACGTATCCGATCATATCCCCGACACCACCGCCGCCGCCGACCTGGTCCCTCGCGACGGAGCAGACCTGGCGCAGGAACTGGACAATGGCGACGAGCAGGCTGCCCAGGCTGATGGAGCCGAAGCTGTACGTCAGCGCGCGGCGGGCGGCGCCACGAGTCGCGCCCTTGGGGAAGTTGTGCACGCAAAAGTACCAGGACCCGTAGACGCCCGAGATGGTCGTGTGGATGGTGTTCTTCAACCATTCGGAGATCCAGTACATGGCAAACGTGATGTAGACCATGAGGCCGATCAGCGTCGCCTTGCTGCACCCGCTCCCGTCGGCGCCGCAGTTGGGGTTCTGCGGAGACGGCTCGTACTTGACGTATATCGCAACCATGGTGACGGAGAACCAGGCGGCAAAGGCGGTCGCGACGAGGCCGCCGATCAGGCTAACGAGGTAGACGTGGCCGTATTTCTTGCTCACGTTGATGGCCGTCTTGAGCATAAGGGCGGAAAAGGGGATGCGCGGAATCCATGTCCAAAAGGCAAAGATTGTGAACAGGGCGAAGACGAGGAAGACGATGCCGGCGGACCAGTACTTCTTGTAGAGGTAGAAGATGGCGGTGCCGAGGGCCCAGCAGATGTTGAGGATGCCCGTGATCCAAATGAACTGTTTCGGGAACGCACGCGCGAGCCATACGTAGCCCCACGAGAGGACAAAGGCGACGACGAGGACGAAGGCGAAGAGGATGATGGTGTTGCTGTTGAGCGAGAAGCTGTTATTGTTGCTCTGGTAGATGCCCGAGCCGGAGCGGCCCGTCACGTAGCCGTGGATTGCGATGCCCGAGACGACGACGAAGCCCGCAAAGGCGGCGAGGAACTGCGCGTGTAAGCTTTGACTCAACCATCACCCTCTCGTATCGCCTAGTCGGCAATTGCACGTACCAGTAAACCAGCCCACCAGTCATTGTACTTTGGCTTCTCGACCTTGAAGGCCTGATCGAAACCATACTTCTCGTCGTTGGCCTGCGGCGGGTTGAAGCTGTATGGAGGCGGTGCGCCGTAGCCCTGCTGGTTGTGCTGCTGCGCCGCCTGCTGCTCCGGGTCATAGCCCTGATTGTTCCAACCTTGGTTGCTGTTGTTGTTGTTGTAGTAATCCTGCTGCGGCTGTTGCCATTGTTGCTGTTGTGGCTGCTGCCACTGCTGCTGCTGCTGCTGACCATACTGTTGCCCGTACTGTTGCCCATACTGGGGTCCGCCTCGCTGCTGCTGGCCCCCATTCGTGTAGTCGTCGGCCTCGCCCATGGTGGCGGCGGCGGTGGTGTCGCGGTCGGCAGTTGAAATCGATGACGATGCGCGCACGGAACCACCGAGGCTTCAATCGCAAAGCGCAGTCGGCAGCCTGTGATGCGTTGCGCCCCCGTGAAGAGTGACAGGCGCGTCGGGCAGTTGAACTGGTGCGCGGTGTCGGGACGTGTTCGTTTCCCGGCGCAAGCAAAAAAGGGACACCGCAAGAGGACGAGGGCTTGGATGGATGGATGGCTGGATGGTGTGAGAGAGGGAGGAGGAGTGTGACCTCGCCAAGAAGAGTCAAGCGAAGGCGGTGCTGGAATGCCAAGCGGGCGATGGGGAAGACCAAGACAAACAAACAGGCATACTCTAGGCCAAGTAGACCCGTCGCACCAAGCAGACCCGGCAGCAGACGGCAACGCTAATAAACCGTGAAGGACCGCCTGGGCACAGAAGCGCATGAGATTGGGTCCCGTTCCCCCCTCCCTCGCCGATTGCGACTGAACTCTCTCGTCTCTTGAGGGGGCGCGCCCGGCCTCGCGTTAGCTGGTGGTGGCACTGGGTTCTACCACGCAGAGTTTACAAGCTCCCCCCTGGCGCTGGAGTGATGAGGTCATGGCGCAAGCTCCAGGCGGCCATAGCTCCCGTACTGCGGGCTGCCGATCGCCCCCCGGCAGTCGACTGCACCCGGCTAGCCGGGCTCTCTCTGCCCTGCGCGCGCGCGATCGGATCACGGAAACAGGCCGGTCCTGGGGCGCTGGCCAACCACCACAAGTGGCCGCCCAGCCGCCCTATGGAAGCCTGCAGTGTCCACCGCAGCAGCCCTGCACAGCTGGAGAACCCGCCCGGCGGCGTACACCCTTGGCGCGCGGTAGCCGAGGCACACCAGGCCTGCTGCTGGCCCCCGTCACGCTGCCAGCAGCCCAGCCTGGAAAGAAAGCGAAAGCGAATTGACGTGTCCCTGCCATCATCTCCTCCCCTCGCGGTGCCACGCGCATGATTCGGCCGTCGCATTTCCAAGGCTTGGCATCGGGAGCGAGGTGACGCGACATGACATGATCCCCAACTGTCACCTTCATCCGCAATCTACGAGTAGACAGGCTAGTGCTGGACGCTCACAGACATGGCGCGGTGACTTTTTGATTTGATGCGCGATCGCAAACCAGCCCCGGGAACCCAGACGGGAGGCGGGCAAGGCGGGCACAGCCGTGAAACCGAGTCAATGGTTCAGAGGGTACGCACGAGCGCGAATCGTTCCCTGTGGTTGGACGGGGCATGTCAACACGAATGTCCTCCTCAACCACCAGCCGCCCAAATCAGCCTCCACCCAGCCGCCCTCCACTGCCAGCGGCCCCCACTTCACCGCACTACCCTACAGCTTGGGACGCACCTCGAGTTGCCCAGGGGCCGCCGGCTCTCATCTTGAATCTTCGAGTGACTACAAATTACTGTTGTCATTGTTTGAAGGGCTTGATTGAGCTGAAACGTACTCTCAATGTAGACTTGATTGATGTAGTAACTCTGATCTCGCCCTCCACGATTTATAGGATCACCAGAGCCTTCATCGGCGGACATCCATCTGATGCGTGAAGCCATATTGCAAAGCATGCATCGCACGCCGGGCCGCTTCAGCTGTTTCCTCCGCCACGCTGGTCCAGCTCCGCATGCTTGCCTTCTGCCCAGGTAGCTAGCAACTCAAGTATCCGCGGCCTGTCCATCTCCACGTTGTCGATGTGATGTAGCAAAGTCCAGAGGAAACGCGCGTCACGGCCGGATTCGAGAACTCGTTTATATGCAGGAGCGCGAGCAAATAATGCCTAAACCTGGGTGTTAAAACGTTTGCACCGAAATCCTTTGATACTTTGAGCATTACCTCGTAGTATTCCCTTGACCAACTCGTGTACTCAGCCATTTTCTCGGGCGTGTCTCCGTCGCCGCATCGTCTTGTGGACGGCTCGAGGTGCTCGTTTAGAACCAGATCAGCCGTAACGATCATCTTCGGCTCCGACAACAATGCCGGAACAACCGCCCCTTCCTCCTAGTCGAAGACGGAAGTTATGCGCATGTCGTCAGTGTCAGTCTGTGAGATTGTCATATTGTGTATTCCGAAGTCGCCATGATCTAAGACAAAACGATACAGGGTGCTCTCGTCCTCTTCGCTCGATGGATTTGGAAGAAGGTGCGGTACGAGCTCCTCTAAAGCCTTTATAAGACTATCTAGAAGATCGAGATGCGGATGATTGATGAAAGGTTGCATGGACTCCCGATGTCGAAGCGCGTCCTGAACCTTGCTCCTTAGCATCAACTCACATACTTGACGGCTTGCTCGGAGATTAGTATTTGGGAAGTGGAAGCCGCGGCCGAATCCCCGGCGTACGACCCATGTGGAAGAAAAGTCTCGAGGTAATTCGAATTTGAAGAGCTTTGCTGCGGCCTTAGCAGCCTTTCGCAGCAGGCGAGACTGAAGCACGTTAATCAAGAGCATGTAACACCAAGCCACAGCGGGCACCCGATAAGCTCACCTTTTGTTCCCTGTTCAACGCCCTCCACCGTACGTAGTCGTATTTCTCGCCTTCTGCTTTGTCAAACACAAATATACCGCGACCGGAAATGCCATGGACAGACGAGAAAGAAGAAGCGGTCGGTACTAGAGGGAGTCGGTGATGTACCGGTCTGCGATTGAAGGGGGTTCCGAGAGGCACCAAGGTTCGGTAAACGTCGAGCTCAAATTGGCTATCGAGTAGCTGGATCTGCTGAGTGTCTGACTCCCGATAAGCCCTGTTGCAGGTGTCCCCGCGCGACACGCGGACGACTACGTCTGGCCGGCTTTTAAGAACAACGTGGAAGCCCTGCAGATATGAGCATCAGTGAACAATCCGCGCTGATCTTTCTTTGACGGGGCAAACGCACAAAGTAGTGGGCTCCATAGGAGACGAGAGGAATGTCCACGATCGTCGACTCGAGGCATTGCTCGATCTCGACAAACAAAGCGCGGGTATCCAGTTTACCCCTGAAGGGATTCCCGAAGGGATCTAGGCCCTGCTGAACCAGCCCCAGCAGCCCTCTGCCGTCCCATTCCGTTCCATCTGTAGACGTTGGCCAGGGATCGAGGATGTTGCTTGTATCTTCGCGCGACTCCATGGATGCCAGCCGACAAAAAAATTTGCTTCCTGACGTACTGTTGAGCTAAGTTGAGATGCGTACGTTGATTCTCCGGTGGTTATCGGTTTCAAGATGGCGACAGTATCGCGTGGACAAATGGTAGCACTTCGAAGTCTGTAGGCAGGGCGACTGAGTGCGAAGTTTTGGCGAATTGCCGTTTGAGCAGGTGCAACCGGGCAATTTTCTGTATTGGCAAGGTTTCTGTTCGCCTGAGGAAGGAACGGCCCGACACTTTGACTGTGTCGTCGCCCAGCTGCCAGCTGCCAGCTGGCTGCCGGCTGTCACGCCACCTGGACAGACCCGGCCCGCCATGCCAACGCAGACTTGTTCAGTGGCCATGCAAAGCTGGAACCATCTGAAGTTTTACCCTGGCGCAATAACGCCCCGATCTCCAGGTGGGATCGCCTCACGCCGCTGAACAGAAATGGCTGCTCATTTCAACTTCTGCGCCGGCACACAATATAGTCTGGACGAAGGCTGAGAGATTACATTCGTTGCACAAGAAGCCTGGAGCTATGCGGCACGCTCCAAGGGCCAGGCAAGCGGGTGACCCCAGACTACCTGAACATCAAGAGATGGCTAGCTCATGACAGACGAGCAACAGGCGGCCCCTTCCGGACCCAGTGGCCTGACGTGGCATCACAGCCCTCAAGGTTAAACCGATCACCAAGCAAAGCCCAGCTCGGCATTCGGGCTTTTCGCTTTGTCAATGGTTTTGCAAGTCTGTAGCTACTACGAGGAGGTAGCAATCGGAGCCCGCATCGGAGACTCAACGGCGGGAGCAAGCTATTACCCACCGACATCGCGGGGAAAGCTCCATGGAGGAGGGACCGTCGATACCCGGCCTGGATCCGCAATAGCGGATCCGCTCGGGGTCCTGTCGGGTCGAGCAGTGCGGTTGGAGTGAGTCGAACCGACCGAGGGCATCCCGGGGTACCTGACTCTGCGAGTCCCAATGCCAAGAGGTGACTCTGTCACGCCCTGACAGGTGGTCGACGTCCGGAGTCGGGCCACCGCGCCCTGTAATCATTCCCGTTTTGACCCCCGACTATTCCTCTGGAGGAACAATGGCCCCATGGCTCACGTCTGCACCCTGGACGTATTATGCAATGAGAACTACGCGACCGCAGGCGATCTCGCACCCGTCCGCTGAGGCCAAATCAGTGCGTTGCGGAAGCAAGTCCGGCGCGAGGGCGCGAACACGCAGGCCGGCAGGGCCATGAGTCGTACGAGCTGCGGCGTCACGCTACAGTACCGGACGCGCCCGGGCGGCGGCATTAGCAAACGGCGAGCCAGCCTGGCATGCCTCGAGACGACCAAGGGAAAAATCACGCGTGCCCGGTAAAATCGGGATCAGCGTCAACCAGTTCCACGGAACGACCGCGACGCCGCCCGCGCCATCGTGGCAGTCGCGCTGTCCTCCGAGTCCCGAGCTCGTATCTCCTCCTCTGCCGTCGGACAAGTGATGGTAATTTGGGTCGCCAGCTGGCCAGGCCCACCGCTGGGAGCAGCGCCATCTGCCGCCCGTCCACCATAAAGCTTGGCAGGCATTGCGAGCAGTCTTATCGCTGGGCCATCGAAAAATTTTCCCTTCTTGGGCCCAGGCGACGCCTGTTCTCGCAGCCCATTGGCCCCGAGGATGGTGTCCTTCTAGCGGATCGGTTTCGCCGACTGTGGCAGATTCGCCCCAGGGCTGCAGCCGCGGGCTTAGCAGGGGAAAAATCTACGGTGGCGGCGGCGCTAGAAGTGGAGGAAGGCTTCTGTGAAGAGTTCCAGCAGCCCTGCCGTCATTTTTCTGCAGGCAAGGGCCGCTTGCGGCGCCGCATCCCGTCCACAGCCGATGCTGCGGCAAGGGGGTGGCATTGCGGCGCCGGGCGCAACGACGACTGTTCGCCCCGACTTCCGGCCTTGCAGGCCAGATGGAGGAGGCAAACGGCTTTCCGCCATGGGCTAAGAAAAGCTCGGCGGCCGTCACGCACGTGGAGTTACGTTTCATGGAGGCTGCCGCTGAGAGAAATTTGCTCCCTCCAGGTATGGGGCGATGGGGCAAAGCCCAAGAGCATGGTGGATGGAGGGATCTCCACGACGGTCGAGAGCAGGCAGGCTCCGGCTGCTAATCTATGGAGGAGCCGTATTGCCGTCCTAAGACGGTCCGAAAGGCACATCCCGCATAAAGGGCGTGGAGCTGCCCCCTCTCCATGCTCGCGAGCCTCCGTCCCCTCCAGTCCGTAACTGTGATCCATTCTGCTGCTGGCTCGTCGAGCAGCATCACGAAGATTTTCTTCGCCTCCTCCGCCTCGCTCCTCGTCAGGTAGACCTAGTCCCCGGCGACCCTCCCCCCTTCGGTGCACGCTTCCGAACCAACGAACGAAAACGTCCTTCGACACGACCCGAGCGTCAGGATGGCCGACATGTCGACTCCCCGGATGAGCAAGGACAAGGTTGTCAGCGAAAAGCCCAGTGAAGATGTCGAAGCTGGCGAGACTGGGCTCAAGCGCGCCCTGCAGGGCCGCCACCTGCAGTTCATTGCCATCGGCGGCACTATTGGCACGGGACTCTTCCTGGGCACGGGCGGCGCGCTGTCCAAGGCCGGCCCAGTGTCGCTGCTGATTGCCTTCATCTTTGTGGGCATCGTTGTTTACTCCGTCATGACGGGTCTCGGCGAGATGGCTGCTTATATGCCCGTCGCTGGTGCCTTCACTGTATACGCCTCTCGTTTCGTCGATCCGACTCTGGGATTCGCCATGGGCTGGATCTACTGGTTTAGCTGGACCATCACATATGCGCTGGAGCTGACCGCCGCGGGTCTCATTATCCAGTACTGGAACGAGAGCCTCAGCATCGGTATCTGGATCGCCGTCTTCTGGGTCATCTTCACGGGAGCAAACTTCCTCCCGATTCGATGGTTCGGCGAGCTGGAAATGTGGTTCTCGAGCATCAAGGTCGTCACCATTGTCGGTTTCATCATCTTCTCCATCTGCGTCAACGCTGGAGTCGGCGACCAGGGCTACATCGGCTTCAAGTACTGGGTGTACCCGGGCGCGTTTGCCGAGTACATGGTCTCGGGTGCCACGGGCAAGTTTGTCGGCTTCTGGGCTGTGCTCATCACGGCCGGCTTCAGCTACCAGGGCTCCGAGCTGGTGGGCATCGGGGCCGGTGAGACGGAGAACCCGGGCAAGGCCATTCCGTCTGCCATCCGTTGGACGTACTGGGGCATCTTCACGCTCTTCGTTACGACCGTCTTCTTCATTGGCCTGAACGTGCCGTACGACAACGCGGACCTCCAGAACACGTCGACGAACGCTTCCGCCTCGCCGCTCGTCATCATCGCGAACCTCGCTGGCGTGCAGGTGCTGCCGCACATCATCAACGCCGTTCTGCTCACTGCTGTGCTGACGGCCGCCAACTCGGACGTCTACTCGAGCAGCCGTATCCTGATCGCCCTGGCAGAGGAGGGCCACGCTCCGGCCTTCCTCAAGGCGACGAACCGGTATGGCACTCCGTACTGGTCCGTGGCCGTGTGCGCGTCCTTTGGACTGCTCGGCTTCCTCAACCTGTCCAAGAACGGCGAGACGGTGTTCAACTGGCTGCTCAACATCACGGCGGTGGCCGGGTTCATCACCTGGTCGCTCATCAACATCTGCCACCTGCGCTTCCAGAGTGTGATGCGCGCCAAGGGACAGTCGCGATCGGAGCTGCCTTACCGGGCTCCGTTCCAGCCGTACCTGTCGTGGTTCGGGCTCTTCTTCAATGTGCTTATCCTTTTGACGAGCGGATTCACCGTGTTCATGGACTGGGACACGAGCAACTTCTTTGCGTCGTATATTAGCGTCATCATCTTTGTTGTTTTGTACGTCGGACACAAGCTGGTGTTCAGGACCAAGATGGTCAAGTTGGAGGATGCGGATATCAGCATGGGGCGGACGGGCATCTGAGCCTGAGAGGAAGATGCGATGAGAGCTGGGCATGTGTTGTTTCCGGAGTACTGCGGTCGGGTTCTGTTTTGCGCATGCGCGAGTCACGATCGATCGATTGCATCCATAGTAATGATACCCCCTATGGTGTTGCTTGTTGCGATATGTGGTTGCATGAGGTTGTTTACGCACGTGCCACAGCATCGCGACCGGGCGAATGGGAAGCTTACGCGGTGACATGGAGCCCTGCAAAGCCAAGCTTTGAGCTCTCGCTGGCTGGTGTTGCTGGTGGAGGCCAGGGGTCGATTTACAGAGGGGAGCCAACCTTGTTCCACCAAGTCCTCTTTGGGCGGGCAGAATTGCGGCAACACCCGATGCCGCAGAGGAGTCGACACATTCTCTACCTTATTCGACTGCCGGCATCTGACAGCTGCATGGCTGCGGGACGGCTGGGCAAGTCATGCCTGACGTTGCCGCGTCTGCGGGCGCAGCTCGATGCGCTTGCTGCCGCATCGGGCAGTCGCAGTCACGGCAACGCTTCTCCGAGCCGTTGGTGACGCGAATGGCAAGTCGTCGCGTGCCGCCCGCAGCAACAGCAGCAGCAGCAGCGGCACCAGCAGCGCAAGCACTTTCACATGTCAGGCGGGCGACGCAGGCCAGGGGTCGGATTTTTTTTTGTTGGGGTTCGTGTTGGCAACTGGGTTCATGGAGGGGGGAGGGGATCTAGGCCGCATGAGGCATGGCGTCGCGATAATGCATTCAGGCCCCGGAATGTCGCCAGCTGCTTGGCTTGCTTCACCTGAGCAACACACGGCGCGCGCGCTGCTGCAACGACGCGCCGTCCGTCCGTCCGTAGACTTGCGCTTCGGGAAACTCCAGCCAGGTCAATGAACAAGGAGAGGAAAAGGGAAAGGGAAGCCGGAGGGGGGGCAGCGAGGCACCGCATCAGTGGCGGCGGATCCAGTCCTGATCTGGGTTCGGTGTGGGCGTGCCACGATCCATTCATCGAGTCTTACAGAGGGGCGACGGCCGGGCCTCCCTCCACACGCCTCACGTCCAAGGCCAATGACGGGCCGACGAATCTGCTTGGTGCTTGTTCGTGGAGGCGGCCGCGGGGGAGGCGAGCGAGGGGAGTTGGGGAGCTCATTCACAATGGGGATATTCGCAGGGGGGGGCTTGTTCGTCGTCCGGCAGCTTTATTATACGAAAGCCGCCCGCCCGCCGTCCCGCGATGGCGTTCCGTCTCTTCCAATTCTCGCCGTCGTTTTGGTCGCGTGCCTTGTTCCCTCTCTCGTGCCGCTTCCCCCAACGTTGGCTTGACCGACAAGCCGGCCGTTGCACCGCCTCCACGACTAGAGGGATACGCTACCGCCGCCGCTCTGCTTTCGGGTCGTCGGGCGTCGTCCTGCATCCATCTTTCGTGCCGATCTCCTTCTGACGACACGGCTGCATCGCGCCCGCAGCAAGCCGATTTAACCCACCAGTCCGACCCGAGCGGCGATTTCGTCCGTCTCTTGCACCCAGACACTCTCTGCCCATTGCACGCTGCGAGGGTCACAATTTGAAACCCGAGGCAAAGCTGTGTGTCGACCGAGACAGCAGCAACCTGCACCCGATAGCGGCAACCGCCTCCTCCGTTGCGCCTTCCTCGAGCTTCGTGCCCCCCTCTAGGGCTCCCCCTCCCCGCCACGCCATTGCGCCAATCCAGGCACCCAAGGCACTCCCGCGGCGCCAATTCCCTCTTACAACCCTCGCAACACGCACACGATGGCGAAGATTCTCGACACGACCAAGGACCTCGCCGCGCAGTTCGTCCAGCAGGCACAGGCGACGCCCAATGCCGTTGCGCTCGAGGACGAGAATGTCTCCCTGACCTACGCCGACCTCGACCGCGAGACCTGGGCGCTCGCCGATAAGCTGCGCCAGTATGGCGTCGGCCGCGAGGACCTCGTCGGTGTCCTCATGGGCCGCAGCGCCGACAATGTCATCGCCTCGCTTGCCGCACTGCGCGCCGGAGGCGCATACCTCGTCCTCGAATTGGCCTATCCGGCTGGCCTGTTGCGGGACGTGATTGACGACGCAAAGCCCAAGGTCATTGTCACACAAAAGGCCCACGCCGGTAACATCAAGGCCGACGTGCCCGTCATTATCATCGACCAGCCCGATGTAACGAGCATCGGTGCCCAAAAGCCCGTCCTGCTGTCGGCCGAGATGTACGCCCCGCTACCAGACGAGGAGGACATTGACCGTCTGGCCTTTGTGTCGTACTCGTCGGGTACGACGGGCCAGCCAAAGGGCATTGCCAACCCGCACAGGGCGTCGATCCTCTCGTACGACCTGCGGTTCAACCTGCAAGACCTCCAGCCCGGCGACAGGGTGGCCTGCAACGTCTTCTTCGTCTGGGAAATGCTGCGGCCGCTGCTGCGCGGTGCGACGACAGTTGCCGTGCCCGATCATGCGAGCTACGACCCTGTTGGCCTGGTCGAATTCCTTTCTTCGCGAAACATTACCGATACCCTCATGACACCCACACTCCTCGCGACCGTCCTCTCTCGACACTCGAACCTCGGCGAGAAGCTGCCGCACCTGAAGTCGTTGTGGCTGAATGGTGAGGTGGTAACAACAGACCTCTGCCGCCGGGCGTTTGCGGCGCTGCCCCAGACCCGCCTGCTCAACGTCTACAGCGCAAGCGAGACGCACGAGGTCGCTGCAGGGGACATCAAGACCTTTGTCGACTTCGAGGCCCGCGTCTGCCCTGTAGGCCCACCTCTTGACCCCGAACATATCTATATCCTCGACGAAGCCGGCAACAGGGTAGCGGTTGGTACGAGCGGCGAACTCTACGTCGGAGGTGAGCTGCTGGCCCGAGGCTACCTCAACCTCCCCGAGACGACGGCCAAGGCCTTCCAGGTCGATCCGTTCGAGCCCAGGCCGGATGCCCGCATGTACCGCACCGGAGACATGGCACGGCTCCTGCCCTCGGGACTGCTCGAGATTACTGGCCGTGTAGGCGGCATGATCAAGACTCGAGGCTACACTGTCCAGCCTGGCGCTGTCGAAACATCCATCGTCAAGCATCTTGCTGTGCGAGACTGCGCTGTCGTTGCGCGGGGTGAGGGCCTCGAGAAGCAGCTGGTGGCCTACGTTGTGCCGGACAAGGGTGAGCCCCGTGGTCGCACGGTGTTGGTGATCGATGAGTCGGGATACAGCCCCGTGGCGCGTCGCGCCCTTTCGGATCACCTGGCGCATTACATGATCCCGCCATTGTGGGTGGAGCTTGATGAGCTTCCGACTCACGGCGTGTCTGGCAAGGTTGATCTGAAGGCTCTCCCGCCGCCACCGTCTCCCAAGACTCCGGCTGTCAAGGACAAGAAGAAGGAGCATGACACCAAGATTAAGATGGACACGATTATCAAGATGTGGGCTGCGTCGCTCAACGTCCCTGCCAGCGCCATCACTCCGAATCACAGCTTCTTCGATTTGGGCGGCCACTCGCTCATTCTGGCAGACTTGGCTGGCCGGCTCACACGCGCATTCGGTTTCCCCGTCCCGCTTGCGCCCCTGGCCGGTACTCCTACGCTCGAGGGACACTTGGATGCCGTTAGAGCCGCGCGCGATGGCCACACCGCTGCGGTGCAGGCCGACCTGCCTGCCGTCCTGCGCGCCGACTGTATACTGCCAGACGAGATTCAGTCCAACGGCACTCCCCTGCGCAGGCTGAACGACGCCGACACCGTTCTGCTTACCGGTACCACCGGCTACCTTGGTGCCTTTCTCCTCAAGGCCATTCTCGAGAACACTTCGGCCCATGTTCTCTGCCTTGTTCGGTTCACGGAGCCGGCTGAAAACTACCGGCCGGCCGGTATCGCTCGTATTCGCAAGAACCTCATCGACCTGGGCATCTGGGATGACACGATGCTGGACCGCATGGAGATTGTGCCCGGTAACCTGGCGCGCAACCGACTTGGTCTGTCGCCGGAGGCGTTTAGCGAGCTCGCCTCCCGCGTCGAGGTCATCATCCATGCCGCCGCAACGGTGAACCTGGTTTACCCCTACGCTGCGCTGAGAAACGCCAACGTGGGCGGCACACGCGAGATCTTGCGCCTGGCATCCCGCGCCGGAGCGACGGTGCACCATGTTTCTACCAACGGCGTTCTGCCCCCCTCGATCAAGGGATGGAACGAGGAAACCATGCTGGACATCGACTCTGTGCCGGAGAAGCTGCTAGACGGCTATGGCCAGACCAAGTGGGTGGCCGAAAAGCTCGTCTACGAGGCCGGGCGACGCGGCATCCCGGTCAAGGTGTACCGCCCCGGTACCATCAGTGGGCACAGCGTGACGGGCTCAACCAACACTTATGATCTCCTGAATGCTCTGTTCGTGGAGTCTCTTCACCTCGGCTACGCGCCCGAAGTCGACAGCTGGCTCGCCGAAATGACGCCTGTTGACTTTGTTAGTGATGCCATTATCACGCTCGCCAACCACCCAGATACGAAGCAGCGCTTGTACCACCTGGGAGACCCCAACCCGGTGACGGCGAACGAGGTGTTTGACAGCCTCAATGCCTTGGGTTACCCGACCAAGAAGCTGCCCTTTGACGACTGGGTGGCACTGTGGAACGAGAAGCGCGGCTCCCGAGTCGAGGACAACCCTTTCACGGTCGACATTCTGCGCGGTGGCATGCCGACGGTGGATACGCTGCAGTGCGTGACGGTGCTCAAGGATGATGCTACGCAGCCAGCCTTGGACATTTATGGCCTGAAGCGTCCCAAGATTGACACGTGCTTGTGGGAGACGTACGCGCGTCACTTCTATGCGCGTGGTTGGCTGCCCCGTCCGCCTCGTCGACTGCACGTCAACGGCAATGGGATCCACTCGAACGCCAAGAAGGGCCGCCTGGCAGGCAAGGTCGCCGTCGTGACCGGCGCGTCGTCGGGAATGGGTGCTGCGGTGGCGGCCAAGCTAGCCGGGGAGGGCGCGCACGTCGCTATCGCGGCGCGCCGCAAGGACAAGCTGCAAGAGCTCAAGGACCAGCTCGCTGGGAGCTGCGGCAAGATTCTGGCGCACCCGACGGACGTTACCAGCGCAGAGCAGGTGAAGTCGCTCATGGAGACCGTCACGGAGAAGCTCGGCGACATCGACATTCTCGTGGTGTGCGCCGGCGTCATGTACTTTACGCTCATGGCCAACGCACAGACGGAGGAGTGGGAACGCACGGTCGACGTCAACTGCAAGGGTCTGCTGCACTGTCTGGGATCTACCGTGCCGGGCTTCTTGAAGCGCGGCAAGGGCCACATCGTGACCATTTCCTCGGATGCGGGCCGCAAGGTGTTCCCCGGCCTGGGAGTTTATTCGGGCAGCAAATTCTTCATCGAGGCGACGCTCCAGGCGCTGCGACTGGAGACGGCCAACTCGGGCCTGCGCGTAACGTCAATCCAGCCGGGCAACGTGGACACGGACCTGCTCGGCATCTCGACGGACCAAGAGGCGCTCAAGAAGTACGGCGAGCCGTCGGGCGCCAAGGTGCTGGACGCGGAGGACGTTGCTGGCGCCATCATGTATGCGGTGCTGCAGCCGGAGCACGTGGCGGTGAATGAGGTGCTCATCGAGCCGCGCGAGGAGCCGATTTAACATGACGGAGTAGAAGAGCGAACGATGATGGATGAGAAGAGTTTCAACACTGGGAGTGGGCGACTTTATACCACGTTGGCCATTGGACATGGCGGCACACATATATGACGGAGTGGGATTTATCTTGATGCATAATCGTAATATACAACAGGTGTGTATTGGGTGAAGAGGTTTGTTCGGTTCCGTCAATCAGCATCTACTATGGGCCAGATCGTTTGATCAGGTATGATTGCGCAAGCTAGTATCAGCGGCAAAAACAGATATTGCCGACTTGTCTACCCCAAGAACTTTTGGTGTTTCAAGAGTTGTGGCTTGCCATGGAATTCATGCAAATAAATAGATCTCCCACGTATGGAAAGCGTCAGCTGCTGCAAGCGGAATGGCGGTTGCTTCAGTTGCCGATCGCGATGCCACATCCCCTCTTGGGAAGATGATGGACTCGGCCGGTGTCACACAACCAATTCGTTTCTTCAACAACGCCAATGCCTGCCTAACTTGGGAGAGATTGATACTGCCCATTGCTCCGGGAAACAAAAAGGTACCGGCCGGTTCTCGGGTTGTGGGGGGAGGCAATCCGCAGAGGAGGACTCGCGGGCGTCGTTGGAAAGCTTGCGACGACCGCCCGCCAAGATGCAGCTTGCCGGCTGGGCGTTGGCGGGCCCGCATTTCACATGAAGTTGGCGCGGACAGGCTGCGTAATCAGGGGTACAGTACTATTGACGGTGGACACACACACACACACACACACACCAAAAAGCAAACCGGCGATTGCGTACACAGGTCGACGTTAATGTGGGGACAAATGATGGGGAAAGTCACTACTAACGCACTCCAGTGAATGCGGCTTCTCGCCTGTGTCGAGACCCTTGACGGACACGCAAAGCCGTGGCCTCCTTCATGTTGTGTAGAAGCCCAATCGAGACTGGCAAGACTGTGCTGAGAAAGTTCTTGCTGCGGCCGAAGCCAGAGAGCCGCGGTGGGCGGTACATGCCTGTGTAGGAATTGATGCCTCACCGGTTTCTCGGTGGTTGTCTTTCGGACGTGTCTCGTCCAGCCGCCGACGACCCGAGCATCCGATCTGCGGCCGCCACCCAGGGGTCCAGGATAAACAGCGCCCAAGGCGACAGGGGAGGGGGAAACGAAGGGCAGCTCGAAAAGGGCCGCCCCTGAAGTGCGTAGTACGTTAGTTCTGTGGGCGGGAATATCAAGGTCGGAAGGTCGGGGCCACACACACACACACATGAGCAGCTGTCGACCGCCCAATGTGATCGGCGTCCGCGTCGTCCATTCATGATTGATGAGGTTTCTGCCGTCTCCATATTATATATCATTCCCCCCCCTTCGGCTATGTTTGACTTGGCGAGCGAGTTACCTGTTTCGTTTTCTCCTGAGTGGGCGTGTGACCCTTCGAGTATATACATTGGGCGGCCCGTTTCTTGCCCATCTTTTGTACATTTTCCGGCCCGGTCCTCTGCGATCGATGCCTTCTTTTCTGTGATACCACTTGCGCGATTCCCTCACTTCATTGACGGCAAAAGCGGTCTTTCCCTTGTTTCACACTTGTCGCCGCTCTTTTCGTCGTCTTCGCGTTTTGTTACCAGGCCTGCTTGAGAGCCCTGTGCCTCGTCTCTCCCTATACCAGTACTCTGCGGTCTCGTTGGCGACAATATCCTCTACTTTCGAGGCTGGGAATCTACAGGGTCGCTGACCCAAAGCACTGAGTCTGATCCACACATTTCTCTTGACCTGCTCCGGCTCACTCCATTCGTTGAGCCAGTCCCTCCTCGCGGTTGTCGGAACCCCTTGGCCTTGGATATCGACGGTGGGCTGGTCCCCATCGAGGAATGTCATGACAACTGGTTAATCCTCTTCCACGATCATTATTCGTCGAAATGAAAGCATCACTCAGCAGGGCAGTGAGCGCCACGGCCGCTGTACTGACTCTCTTCTCCCTGCCGGGACCCGTGACCGCCGACTTCGGCATCTACTACAACATCGAGCATTTCTCCGCCTACGCCGACTCTAAGGGTGGCTTCCCCAGCCAAACCTTCCGCTCATCCGACATCGTCGCGCCAGTTCTGCAGGTCAACTCGTGGGACCGCGCGCGGGCCGATGGCGCTCCCTACCTGTTCCTCGGCGCCGTCTATGGCGACATGCGCGCCGGCCCCATGATCTTCGACTCGCGGGACCTCTCGCTCGTGTACGCCGACCAGCGATACGAAAACACCTACGCCTCGAGCGCCTTTGTCGTCAACGGCTCCCGCTACCTCACGTTTTGGGAGGGCGCGCGCTCGCGGGGCCACGCAAACGGGTACTGCCTTGTCTTTGATGAAGAGTACCGCCTACGATACAACGTCACGGGCAAGGGGCTGAGGGATGGTGCGCTGGCAGACATGCACGAGGCGGTGCTGACGCCCGAGGGGAGTGTCATCTTCTCGACGTACTTCAACGTGCCGTTCAACTGCAGCTCCGTCGGCGGGCCAGAGGATGCGCTGCTCATGGACAGCGGATTCCAGGAGGTGGATGCCGAGACGAATGAGGTGCTCTTCGAGTGGAACGCTTCAAGTCACTTTGACATTGCCGAGTCTTATGCGCCTTACAGCGAGGCGTATGGTGTCTCTGAAGACTCGGGGTACGACTTTTTCCACATTAATTCGATAGAAAAGGTAAGATCAATGGTGTAGTAAAGGCTTGATCCAGGCGAAGCCCAGGGCGTCGTGGCTAACCTTCAGTAGACAACGGAGGGTAACTACCTGATATCCGGGCGTCACCTCTCGGTTCTTGCCCTCATTGACGGCCGCACTGGCAAGCCCATCTGGATCCTCGGCGGGAAGCGGAACCAGTTCAAGGACCTCAGTGACGGATCAGCCACCAGCTTCGGGTGGCAGCACGACGCTCGCTTCCTAGAAGGCAACCAGACCCAGATCACAATGTTCGACAACCACGGCGAGGAGACGGGACATTGTGGCGGCACCGTCTGCCACTCGCGCGGATTGCATCTCGAGATTGACGCCGAAGCCATGACGGCCCGTGTCGTGCGCGAGTACTTTCATCCACAGGGCATCAACTCGGGCGCCATGGGCGGCATGCAGACGCTCGAGAGCGGCAACGTCATCATCGGATGGGGCCACAACCCGGGCTTTGTCGAGTACGCGGGTGACGGGAACCCCGTGATGGATGTCCAGCGCGGCAAGATTGGCAACCATGCCCTGGCCGACATGTTTGCGTACCGTGTCAGCAAGCACCCCTGGCGGGGGAAGCCGACCTGGCCACCTAGTGCAGCTGTGGATGCGCCCAACCGGACGACGCTCAACGCGACGGTGTATGTCTCGTGGAATGGAGCTACGGACGTCTCCTCATGGGCAATCGTAAGACACCTGATGGCGATATTACTTTGCTGCGGCTGTGGCGGTGCCCAGATACTGACCTGACACAGCTCTCACACGACGATGCCACACGCATCAACAATCCGCAGAACCTCATCGCCAAGTCGCCCCGCCTTGGTTTTGAGACTGCGGTTTTTCTGGGCGCCAACCACTCAAGGCGATACGTGGCAGCGGCCGCCCTCGCCGCCGATGGCTCCGTCATGGGGTCGACATATGTCATCGACATGGAAACGGGCCAACCCGTTATGCTACCTAGCGGCATCACGAGCGTGCGGCCCTGGTCGCTCGCAGAGGCTGTGCGGCCAGAATCGTACGAGACGGCTGCCGTGGCCATGGGATGTGTCGTCGTTGTCTTTGTAGGCGCGGCGTTGGTCCTCAACCGCTGCGCCAGGAGGCTTGCCGCGCGAAGAAGGGCCGCCAAAGGACTGGTGGATAGGGCGGCGTATACTAAGCTGGGCATGGAGGACTAGAGATTGCGGGTGTCGATGCCGTCGCAGCTCGTGTAGCATGCTCTTCGACATGGGCATTTTGAAGGTTGAGAAGGGTGTTTAGGCGTTGAAGAGAGCAGGATTTGTATTGCATCTGAGCGTAACTGTCACTTGACGTCAGTACATGTCTTCCTACATTAGCCACTGTGAGTATCGGTCTCGTTGTGAGGCCATCTACTATGAAGCAAGCGCAAGCTGGACGAGGAGAAATGCATGTGTTAGTATTCAGAAGCGGTGCGCCTCAGCATTCATAATTCGTAACACTGTATCCAACACAGAGGGTATCCTGAAACACGCGTCCAGATGCAAACGCTAGTCGCTCGCGTAGCAAATCACGCAATCATCAAAGGGCTACTGTCATTCAGTCGTAAGCATCCGCCCACTCCTCTCCGTCAAAGAGCTCGTTCACCGACGCAACGATGCTTTCTGCCGTCTCGGCGCCGTTCTCCCGGATCGCGAGCTGAGTGGTGAAGGTCTTGCTCGGCCGCAGACTTGCGTACATCTCCGGGTTGACGAAGGCATACGAGGAGCCGCTATGTGCGCCGTTGGCCAGACACTTGAGCTCGCAGAGTTGGCGTCCAGCAACCCTCCAGACAAATTTGGGTAACTTGCGGTAGTAGATCTTGAAAGTGAGAGAGGCTTTGAGCAGCGTCCATCGTTTGGCTTTCGGGTCTGCTACCCATGGCTCCGTTAGGGCACTGACCCGCGGTGAGGACTGGACATCATCAGCAGGGGCAATACTCATCCACATCTCGTAGATCAGCTTGACCTTGCCCGAGTAGTCTTTCATGGACTCTCGAAGCTGCCCCATAGCCAGGCCCCAGGCGCTCACCACTTCCTCGATGTCGTGTCGGAGCTTCCTGAGGACCTTTCTCCCATCGGCCCACGATCCACACACTTGCTCAAAGTCGTTCGCAGGTTTGGTCAGATCCGCGTCGAACCATTCCCCTCCATTGCCCTTGATAGTTCTCTCGAAGTCCGCAAGGGCGAAGCTGATGGCTGGCACACCAACGCTAAACTTGAGATGGTCTAGGATGTGGTCCCTCAATCGCCGCAGCTTGGACGGCTTTGACACTCGCCTTTCCAAGGCGTAGTCTGGATCGTCTAGATGCAAGGGGGTTTGGAGCTGCTCTCTCCGAACCCTGGCCCAGTGGTCGGGTGTAAACTTTATCCCCTGCTTGCCCTGATCCACCAAATGGCTAAGAAAGTTGCTGAGCCAAACGACTCTTTCGTCCATGATAGAGCCCCGGTGGTAGCTCAGCTTTTCCTTGTAATTGGTCACAGTGCCAAGGAGAGACGCTTCCATGTGAAAGCTAAATGCTGTGTAGACGAATCGGGTGCACATCTCCTCAACGTTCGGCCTCGTCGTCAAAGACTTCACCGTCACGTCCAGCCTCTCCAGGTAGTTTTTCTTCACCAAGCTAGCGACCTTCAGGCCGGCAGGCACCGGGGCGTTGCAAAATGTATCGACGATCTCGCGGTCCCAGCACACCCACGCCTTGTCCCCGTCATAATCACCACCGGACAGCTTCTCAGCGAGGGACATTGTGCCCTTGGTAGACATAACGATGACATCTTTCAGTCTTCGAAGTGTCGTGTGTGAGATGACTCGAACTCTCTGGATGTCGCTCGCCAGATGCGCAGGAGACCTGCCCACGAGGATATCCATGCCCTCCAGAAGGGTATCGGAGAAGCCGTCGACTTGGAAGCGGTTCGAAAACGACACATGCACTTCGTTCTCCTTCAAAATGTTCCAGAAATCGGGAACCATGAAGAGGTACGAAGATCGGGGCACGCGGACATGCATCTTCGTCTTCAAAGTTTCCATTTTCTTCCTGACCAGGGCCACGCAGAGGTCCTGGACGAAACAGTTTTGCCGTTGGTCGAATCCAGCGTCGAGCAAGTATGCTACCGCATCTTCATCAGAGCTAGGTAGGCCGCCCATGAAAGGTTTGTGCGATTTAGTTTCACTGGCCTGGCCGAACTGCGTCAGCCATCGGCGCATCTCGGTCGGCTTGGTAAGGGCTGTCTTCCCGGCTTCGAGTTCCATGCGCAAACTGTTGGTCAAGTGAGCAGCTATAGCATTCCTCATGCGGTCCTCATCCACGGCGCAAGCCTCCAAAACCGGGATGAACTGTTGGTTCAACACTGCGGTCCGGAGTTCGCGGGACCAGTCCTTCACTTCGAACGTACGGTGTTGAGGGTCCTCGAACGGACATTTCCATTTGCGCTGTGACGGATACGTCTCGATCCACTCGTCGCCATCAAGTCCGTCATCCCGGACATCAACGATCCACATGCCCTTGGCACATCCAAAGCGGCCTTGGTAAGCGGCCGGGGTGGCATCCAACTCAAGGTGGTCGGCGATTTTCTTGGCCAAGGTTCGCGACATACGGGCAGCTCCGTCGTTCATCACATGCTGGGACTCGCCCAAGTCCTTGTCCCGGTGACGAATATCTTGGTGCGCTACCACGACGGTCGCCCGGGTTTTGGTCAGACCTGGATGCTGTCAGCAAGGGCCCACGCATCATTCAGGGCGTGGGACTTACTCAAGGCGATGCGGGTGAATAGTTTGGCAGCCTGATCTGTAGCGTTATGCTGGATCCCCACGGCCCATTCCAGCAGAGTGCTGAGTTTCATGTTTGTCCGGCAGCCTGGAAGCAAGGCCTCGTCCCCAGGAGGGACACTGCCGCGCGTGTGAGACGTCTGAAAATTGTCACCGCCAACTGCGAAGAGGTAAATACGTTCCAAAGAAACCGTCTTCCCTTTTGACGACTTGGCCGTCCGTTTCGGCTTGCTGGTGTAGAACGAGGCCCAGTCTCGATCAAGGAGACGGTGTGTGTCCTGAGTGAGCCATCGAATGACCTGCTCAGAAAATTCAGGTACATTCTTCAACGCATCAGGGAGATCCTTCATCTCTGTTGGCGATGGCATGGTGACTTCGAGAAACCTATCAGCGCCGAAGCGTCGAATCAGCCGATTGCCTCGATCCAATTGTAGAGGCATTAGCCGGGCATGATAGATCGGTCCGCCCTCATCCGAGGCGTACGTCAACTCTGCCTTTAGGCAGACTGCGGTGTCCGCCGACTGGAAGGGACCCAAGGCAAGAGCCCAGGCATTCGGCTCGCTGGGGGGCGGAAGGACTTTCCCTTCAAAGGAGCGATGAGTGGCGAGCCGTTTGCGCAGTGCTACCTGGTTGTGCCAGGACTCGTTGGGCTCATATTTTAGGTCGCTGATGCTGTCACAGTCAACGTTACAATTGAGCGCGATCCGCGCAACCTCCCATTTCACGGCCAATGGTGCCATCCGCAGGCCAGGGAAAGCAAGATCAGCTGCTTTATTATCAGCATCGAAAGTGAGGAAACGGGGGAAGAAGGGATAGGGACTTACGCCAGCTCAGACTGTCCTTGAGCGTCCCAGGAACCCTACGTACACCTTCACTCGGCGTGACTGGGTCTGAGCTCACGGCAGATTCGGAAACCTCCCAAGCTTCTTCCAGGACACGACATTCTTGTGTGCAGACTGGATAGGGGTCGTACTCTTCCGAAAAGCTCGTGTTTTTACTGGTTGGCGCGCTTGCCTCAAGGCGAGACCGGAATGAGGACGAATTCGATGTTGGCGCAGAGCGAACCGTGCTGGAAGCCGCGGAGAAGTACGAGCGAATGGTAGCCTGAAAGCGAGGAGGGTTCGGAGGGGGCGGAGTATCGGGCGGGCCGACGCTGGACCTCACAGGAATTGAATCGACCGTGTCATTCCGATCGAGCGACTCTGGACTTGATCGTCCGGAGCGACTCCTGGGCCGCTTGGGTTCTGACTCGAGAGATTCAATTGAGGTTCGTTTCGTTTCCGTGCCATGAGCAAAAGTCTCGTCGTCCAGTATCGATAGCAGAGAAGCTTGCAATTGAGCCTTTCGGTAGGCGCCGTCGTCGGTTTTAGCTCCATGGTGCGCAATGGACGTTGATCGGGACAGTAATTTGTGGGCGTCTGCATGAAACGCTTCCATGCACCGAGCCAAGCGCGCCGACTTGCTGAAGTGTAGAAAGTGAATCTTCTTGTAGAGCCGCTCCTCAGTTCGCGGCGTCGAGCTCTGCTTTCTAGGCGAGAGAGTCGATCCCCGAATGCCGAGATCATAGGCCTCGTTGAGACAGTCAATTGTTCTTTTGAGGCCTTCGGCCGTCGGTCTCGGATCCATTGCTGGACGCTCCCCGCCCCGAGCGTGGTTGGCGCCTGTCTCACCGTGACGCCCTACGAAGCAACGACTCGACTATCCTGAGGCGCCGTTGGGTTCGGCTCGGGTGCAGGAGGTGTGACGGAAGCCACACCACCCGAGAAGAAACGATTGGCGAAGGTGGGTTGGTGGTGATGCGCCAGCGGGAGCTGCCGAAGCTAAAGACGCGTCGTTAGTGCGGTTTGCTGGCGAGGCGGGGCTGTTGGGTGCGAGCTGGAGTGCACGGCTCGCGGAGAGGATGGATGCGAGGTCACATGACCTCTTAACGCGCCCGGGCGGGGTACGCAATTCGGATAGAACGGCGTACTCTCATACTGTGCAGCATCAGCTATACCGGTGCGCTGACCACAGTACAAATAAGCCAGGAATTACCAGCCGCCAGCCAATGTCTTACCTCTAGAGGGGCCGAGCCCACGCGCCCAAATAGCCACCAGCACAGCTCCTCCGACCGTGGAGCTTCTCGGTGTTCGGCGTTTGTCCAGCATCGCATCGGCTGCAAAGCACCCCATTTCGCCAACAAACGCAGCCATTGTCCATTGCTGGGCCATTTATCCATCTGCCGGCCAGGCACGGCACTTCTCAGCCATGACCGAGAATCCCGAGCCCGAAGAGCTGGTGCCGGTGGACGATCTGACGCCGGAGGAGGCAAATCGCATCATTCACTCACATCGCAAGGTTCGCTATGGTGAGTCTGGCGCCTTATACATCGTTCACTCATACCTGCCGCCTGTTCAAGCGTACTGCCAAAGTCTCATCTCGGCTGACGGACCCCAGGGACCGCCTGCTGGCCGTGTCGTCAGCGCAAGGTCAAGTGTGACAACAAGCAGCCCTGCGAGAACTGCGTCAAGAGAGAGCACCCTCAGCTATGCTCGTACAAGCCCAATCGCTCATCCACAAACAAGTCCTCATCCACCCTCTCACAAAACAGTGTTCCTCGTAAAAGGACTGCCTCCTTTTCCGACGCCAGGGGCGATGAGGGCCGAAAAAGCGAACGACAGGAGAGTTGGCCCCGCGCCATCGGTACGTGACTCTCCATAAATTGCTCCCTGCCCTCCTCCCAAGGCACCGAGTAACCACTCACAGGCGTATCAGCCAATCTTGACGACACCGAGTCCGTGGGAGACCGCTATCTTGGCCAGAACAGCATTCCGGCTTTACTCCGAGAGCAGTCCTCACCCATCGACAAGAGCGACAACGTTGACATTCGGCGCGACATGCGGTCCATCCTGGGGCTCGACACGTCCGCCCCGTTCCCTCTGATGTCTTCGCATCACCTCCACAAGCTAGCGCAAGACATCTCTGCGGAATTGCCTTCTGACCGAGAGGTCATAAAGTAAGTGGTGGGACACTGTGCAACTCAGCCACCTGCTGACTGGCGGTGGCAGGCTATTCCGTACCTACAAGGAGATTCCGCAGCCGTTTTGGGGATTTGTGTACGACATGGATGATCTCGAGTCCAAGTTGATGATCTATCTTGAGGAGAGGTCACGGAATGCCTCAACCACGAGCAAGTCGTCAAGGCCGGTGACGGCGTCGTGGCTGGCCATTCTGTTTGCCGTTCTGGCGGTGGGCTCACAGTATCATGAGAGCCCGTATCACATTCGGACCCGGGACTCTCAGAAGTACATACAGATATCGTTCCACTTCTTGCGGCTCGGCAACTTTTTGCTCCGGTATGTCACCCCACCCATGCCTGTGCCCGCCCAGTCAGCTCACAATACAGACCTTCATTCGACTCTATCCAGGCCCTTCTGTTGACGAGCTTCGTCCTTCTCAATGACATGAAGGCCGAGGCTTCGTGGGCGTTGACTGGGCTTACATGCCGCCTTGCGCAGTCCCTCGGCCTGCATCGGCCCACTTCTTACGACGGCCGCGAAAATGCGCCTCCGGACGCAAAGATCAAGGAAGCCATACGTCGCAAGTTGTGGTGGACCTGCGTCTGGCATGACACCTTAACGTCTCTGTCTTTTGATAGGTGAATACTTCCCGAAGCCGAAAATGGTCCCCATCTAACCCATGCAGGGCACCCATGACCAACTTCCGAAGCTGCGCCATTCCCGAGAGCCCCGACTCGGCCAACGGAAACTACACGTACCTGGAGATGATGTACCACCTCATTGAGATTATCTCCCGCCGCTTGAATCCGGACGCCACTGTGACGCCTTCGTACGACCAGATTGTTGAGAAGTGCGAGGCAGTCGAAACCCTACGCACTCGGGCACGCCCGCATATGCGGGACAAGGAGCAATGCAAGACGGCTCTAGATCGCCTCCAATACTTCGCCATACGCCTGCATACCTCTTTCGTCATCTCAGTGGCTTGTCGGCCGGCGCTAAAAAGAGAGTGCGAGATCGATTCGAAGCAAAAGAAGGAGCTCGCCGACCGATGCAAGGAGAACCTGACAGAGACGGTGCGAATGTTCCTGTCGATGCACCAGCTTTCGGTGATCCCAACGCGGAGCTGGGCTTTTACGTATCACGGGCTTTCATCGGCGCTTTTACTTGGTATTCTGTGCGACACCAAAACCGATCCGGAGGTCCGTCAACTGCAAGGAGACCTGATTGCAGCCTTGTCGGCCACGGCGGCAAAGGAGGCGAGTTCTCCTGAGCCTCATGTTCCCGTGTCTGACAAGGACATTGAGCTTTCTGGTCCATTGTGGAGGGCTCTTACAGCCCTCAAGAATATTTACGACCATGGGTCCGTCATTGGGACGCACCTAAAGCGAGAGGGCGATTCGTCGGCCGGCGGAAGCCGGAGCCGGACCCCGATGTTGCCTTTGGGCAACCAGCTTTCGGCGACGTCGAGCGCGCAATTCCGCAGTCAGTCAGGTGATCCCCGCGAGGATGCTGCCCTGGCCATGGCAGAGATGCAAAATGGGGCATCGCTGCAAGATTTCGCAGGGTAAGGAGCCTTAGCCTCTGATTTGCATTTGTCAGTCACTGACTACTCCCAGAATGCCCTTCAACAACTCAATCCCAGCAACCATGAGCATGGATGGCAGCATACCCAATCTCACCGTGGATCAGACACAATACATGGCGCCGATGGATCTCTACGACTCCATCTGGGGCGGTAAGTCTACTTCCGAGTGTTCAACGAGGGGCCTTGGCTGACATGCTAGAATCGCCGGATCCCTGGAACTCAGGCGGGATGGATGCCATGAGCTTTGAGTTTCTGGCACAACCACCCCCGGGACAGCCGCAACAGCAGTATTACTTTTAAGTGTGATTGACTTCGCCAACAAGAATGCCCGACATGAACGACTCATTTGGACTAAGTACGATTACTTGGATATTCGGGATGGCCACGCAGCGGTGGCCAATACTTTTTCATCTCATCAGGGTTCACGGCGCGTACGGAGTCAAGCGGGGCATCTACAATGGCATATTCATCACGGCCTTGAATCGCCTTGTCAGTGTATTGAGAAGCTGTCATGTATTTGGCATATATCAAGTCGTCAGTGCTCTCTTTGATCGTCAGTGCATGTCCTCCGAAGAAGACTGCTCGGATCGCAAGCCACAGGACTGGAGGTTACACGTCAACTCCGAGGAACCGACGATTAAACCATCCGTCGAGCGTCCCCGCGACGATTAGTGCTCATCATTCGACTTTTGCCACGCCCTGCCAATCCACTCTCGCCCCTGCTAGCTCAAGCCTATCCACCTGTGCAAGTAAGCTGTGTGCAGCCAGGAGAGCATATCATCATTGATCGTGAATTCTACGTCTCGTCTTTTTTTCTTTTTCTTTCCGTTGCCGTCTACTTCTTCCGCCTGGAAGTGCTCGAAACAATCTTCTTCTTGAGGTGCTTCGGCATCTTTTCCTTGCGCTTCTCGCGCTTGGCCTCCTTGACGGCCTGCTTGTGTTGCTGCGCCGATTAGTTAGCATTTGCCGCATGAAATGGCTGGAATGCTAGGGAGCCGTACCTTCTTCTCATCCTTGTCCTCGAATCGTCGCCCGCGTGGCCTGCCCTTGTCGAATGTGCCGTCGTCGCTTCCCGACCCGTCGCCGGAGAGGGAGGCGCCATCGCCAGATTCCTCGTCGGTGCTCTCGACGCCCTCGGCCTCGGCCTCGCCGTCGGCTTTCGGCTTGACCACTTGGTCGGCGAGCAGGTTGCTGTAGACCAGATCGCTGCCGTGACCCTCTCCAAGCTTCTGCACGTCCTTTTCGATGTCGTAGACTTGCTCGAGGGTCTGCGGGATGTACTGGTTCCGGAACACCTCGTTGTCGACTTCGAACCTGGCCGCCTCCTCCTCCGTCGTGGCGGATTCCCTAGCCTCGTAGATCTTCTCCAGCGCCTGGACCATGTCGGGCGCCTCGACGGATCCCGTCGGGGCGGTGATGAAGTTGAAGATGGCGCGGTCCGTCAGCGTGTCGACTCCCTTGCGGCGGAAGAAGTCCCCGACGTTCTTGATGTCCATGCGCAGGAACTCGAGCGAGCGCGGGTGGTCGGGCTCGACGCTCTGCGACACGTCGATGATGTACAGCGTGCCCTTGTGGTAGAGGATGTTGTACTCGCTCAGATCGGCGTGCACCAGCCGGCAGACCTGGTACATCTTGCGCATGGTCCCGAGGAGTTGGAGGTACAGGCTCCGCCACTGCTGGTCGACGTCGTCGCCCTGGAGGACGGCGTCTCGCAGCCGCGGGTACGCCCAGCCTTTCCTGTCTCCGAGGAAGCCCATGACGAGGACGTGCAACTTCAGGTTGATGGGCTCCGGGCAGGGGATGCCGGCGGTGTGGATCCTCCGCAGGTTGCGGTACTCCTTCTCGGCCCAGAGCTTGACCATCTTGCGGTTGTTGCCCTTGTCGAAGCCGCCCTTGAAGCGGTGCTCGCCGGTGATGTACCTCTCGCGGTCCTTGAAGACGAGGATGGCCGTCTTGTAGACCTTGATGGCGCGGTGGATGGTCTCGCCGGTGGCGTCGTCGTGCAGGACGGCGCCGTAGACGTTGGCCTCCTTACCCGTGCTGATGGCGCCGTGGACCTCGCTGACGGCGCCGCGGTTGATCATCTGCAGGAGGATCATGCGCGTGCGCTGGTCCAGCACCTGCTCGCTCGTGGCGCGGTCCGCCTTGTCCTTGTCCTTGTCGTCATCCTGCTTGACGCTGTCGAGGCGGATCTTGGCCGCGTGCTTGGCCAGCGCCGAGACCTGGTCGTCGACGCTAGCAAAGGTGTTGGCCTTGGGCTTCTGCTGGTTGGAGCGCGGGGCGGCGGCATTGCCGTCGTTGAGCTGCCGCTGGCGGTTGTACGTCTTGGTCAGGTCACCGGCCTCGGCGGCCCACTCGTCGTCGCCGTCGAGGTCGTCGCTGTCGTTGAAGATGTCATCGAGCTCATCGTCGTTGTCGTCGTCGGGGTGCTGGTCTGGGTGCGGGGCGCCTCTGTGCATGCGCACCTCGGGCGGCACCTCTTGTGTTTGCTCGTAGCCCTGGTTGGCGGTGTATGTGAAGGGCGGTTGGTGCGGCGCAGCCGGGGAGGCTGCTGCGGTTGTGCTCGAGTCCGCCATTGTGAAAGCGGGCGGTGTTGCTTGTGGTGGGAAAGTTCTGTCGAGACTGGAGGAAACGGTGTGAAGGTGTCGCTGCCCCGCGGCGTATCTTATCTAAAAATTTCCGTCCACCATCAAACATTGGAAGCGTTGGATGGTGGCGGACAGCGGGCGCGGGCAGCCACAGCGCCACCCGTTAGGGGGCCGTGGGAGGCGACTTTGCACGCTCAGTGGGGTTCATAGTGACTCATGGACCCTCAACCAGCCCAAGTCCAGTCCAGTCCCGTCCCTGCGTTAGCTCAGGCAGGTTGGGCGCTCACGCAGCCGCTGTTGCTGATGGGGCATCCACCGTTCCCTCATCCACCCAAACACCAAAGCCTGAGCCATCGTCACCGCCTTGGCTCGCTGGGCCCCATCGCCGTCACCGTCCGTCATGCAAGCTCACGCGCGGTGACTCGACCCGACCGGGGCGCAGTTCGGTTCGGTGACTCGGACCACCATTTCTGCCCTCGGACGTGTCGGACGTGACGCTTCGTAGAAGGGAGTTGCGTAAGCTCGATGGATGCCCTTGGATGTCAGTTCATGAGAGCAAGCTGGCGTCGCGGCGAACCGATGTGACAGCCCTTGGCCGGATTCCATCGTGGCTTGGACGGTTCCCTCACCTCGCGCACGAGACTGCGGCCCTCGCTTGGCAAACAACTCCCACGCGCGTCTGCTGAAGTGAACTCGTCAGCTTGTCTCTGGAGTCTCGTCGACCCGCTCACACGGGCGCATCAAGACGTGTGCAATGTCTCAACCGCACCTCCTTCCGCAATCTGGACGAGCTAGAACCGCTGTTTCAACGCGGTCTCGTGCTGGCTTTAAGGTGAAAATGTGTCGGGGAGCGGGCAAGTCATTTCCTGTTTACGCCAGGTCGCGTTCCAGCACTCGCGCCCGGGCTGAGTTGATCGCCATTCCTGAGAGGAAGGGCTGCACACTGTTAAGAATCACATGAGTCTCGACGCTGACCGACGCGATGGATGGGAGACTTACACTCGTTGAACTCGTCGGGCCCAGTCACTCTTTTACTATCCGCCGCCCGGCCAGAGTTCGTCGTCGTCGTCGTTGTCGTTGTCGTCGTCATCACGAGGAAGCATCGCCGACGCGCCCATCATGAAGGCGCCGACTGCTCTCCTCGTCCTCGCCGTGCTGGCAGAGGGCGCCGTCCCTGGACCACGCGTCGAGCCTGCTCCGCCCGCGAGGGAAAAGCGCGACGGCAAAACATTCAGTGTGGCCCAAATCCCAAACAAGAACTTCCAGGGCGTCGATGTGCCGGTGGCCTTTATGAAGGCGCATTTGCGATATGGCAAGTCGCTGCCACCGCAGCTCTCACGCGCGGTCAAAAAGAACCCGGCACTTATGACCAAGTTCAAGGCTCTCTCGCCTCAAGGTAAGATCGTTCAACAGGGTAAGTTCCCCGGCTGCGTGTGCTTACTGGTGTAGTCGGAGAAGCTGGGACCGTCCAGGCCATACCGGCCGAGACGTTCGACTCGGAATACGTCGTGCCTGTCGGCTTTGGCACCCCGCCGCAGACTATAAACGTCAACCTGGACACGGGGTCCGCAGACCTGTAAGCGACTTGCCAGCTTTTCCAAGATGCGATCTGACGTTGCGTGGCAGATGGGTCTTTTCGTCCAAGACTAGCAAACAAAGCGTCAATGGCCAGACTCTGTACCGCCCAGAGGACTCGTCGACGGCGAAGCTCCAGCAAAACTATACTTGGCAGATCAAGTATGGCGACGAGTCGGGCGCTTCGGGCATTGTGTACAAGGACCGGGTGCAGGTCGGACAGACGTACTTTGATCAGCAGGCCGTGGAGGCTGCCGTCAACGTCTCTCCAGAGATCGCGGCCGATTCTTTCGCGTCGGGCATCCTGGGCCTGTCCATGTCCCGGGCTAACACGGTAAAACCCCAGGCGCAGCTCACGTACATGGACAACATCAAGAAGGACCTTGCGCAGCCCCTCTTCACGTCCAACCTGCGAAGCCAGCAGCCGGGCAACTACAACTTTGGTTACATCAACCAGTCCGAGTACACTGGACAGATCCAGTACGCCAAGATCGATCCGCAGTCGCCGTACTGGAAGATCTCCCTCACGGGCTACCAGGTCGGCAATAACACCAGCGACCTCAAGTCGTATGCATGGAACGCCATCGTCGACACAGGCACGTCGCTGCTGCTGGCGCCGGAGGAAATCCTCAAGGGCTACTGGAGCAAGGTGCAGGGGGCAACTACCGACGACAAGGGCATGTACGTGTATCCGTGTTCGACAACGCCCCCCGACTTTTACTTCGCCATCGGGCAGTACCGCGGATTCGTCCCGGGCGCGTACATCAACTACGGCAAGGTCAACGACACCACGTGCTTCGGCGGGATCCAGACCTCGGACAAGATTGGCTTTGCCATCCTGGGAGACGTGCTGCTCAAGGCGCAGTTTGTGGTGTTTGACCTGGGCGCCATGACGGTCGGGTTCGCCAACAAGAATCTCAACGCCGCGCGGAGGAGCTAGTTTGACGGAAAGGGGCTTGTATGTAAGGACGTGTTTGACATGTCGGCCAAGCAATGTACATACATCATATTTGTCACGCCACGTCCGGCCGTGACGAGCTCCCTGTCGCCTGTCATGCCTGCATCGGACTTTAGCGTCAAAGACGGCGTTAGCCGCCACCACGGGCCCTGTCGCAGCCAAGACCACCGCCAGCGATCCACAGCCAAGCTTGAATAAGAGACGGTGTTTGGCACTCTGACAGTTTCCTCGGGGCCTTAAGTCCGCATTGATTCAACGTGCCCATTTCTAAGCAACTAAACGGCGAAAAGAGCCTAAATGATAGACTAGTTGTGGAGACCAAGAGCTGAGGCGACACCATCGACAGATATATGAGAGGCTGGCGCCATGACCTCACAACTGCTTACAGAGACCAACCTCGCCGCCCTCAATCGCGCAAACAACGGCCCCATCATGACACCTCCCAGCGTCCTCGTTCTCGGTGCCGGAGAGCTCGGCCTCGCCGTCTTGACCGCCCTGGCCGCTCACCCGATGCGCCCGCGTGTCGCTACGCTCAGTGTCTTGCTCCGCCAGGCTACCCTGGACTCGGCGGCGCCGGCAAAGAAGCGCACCATACAGCACATCAGAACCCTCGGTGCGGGCTTCGACGCGGCCGATGTAGTGGCCGCGTCGGTGGAGGAGCTGGCAGACATCATGGCACGCTACGACACGGTGGTTTCTTGCTGTGGGATGGAGCTGCCGAAAGGGACACAAACGAAGCTGGCTGAGGCGGCGCTCAAAGCGGGCGTACGGCGATACTTTCCCTGGCAGTTTGGCATGGACTACGATGTCATCGGCAAGGGTAGTGCGCAGGACTTGTTCGATGAGCAGCTCGAGGTGCGGAGAGTGTTGCGCGCGCAGAGTGCCACAGAGTGGACAATTGTGTCGACAGGCCTTTTCATGAGTTTCCTCTTCGAGCCAGCCTTTGGGGTCGTCGAGCTGGATAGCAGGACTGTGCGGGCCCTCGGCCGCTGGGACAACGAGATCACGTTGACGACGCCGGGCGACATTGGGCGCGTCACGGCAGAGATGGTGCTCGACCCGCGGGGCGAGGGTGTCAACGGCGTGGTGTACACGGCGGGAGACACCATCTCGTACGCGCGGCTGGCGGACCTGCTGGATGAGCGGTTTGGCGGCGAAAAGCTTACGAGAGAGCTCTGGGACGAGGAGACCCTGGCGAAGCAGCTCGAGGCGGAGCCCGACAGCGTCATGGCCAAGTACAGGGGCACGTTTGCGCGAGGAAAGGGCGTGGCGTGGGGCGTGGAGGGGACGGTGAATGCAAAGCGAGGGATGAAGATGGTGGATGTGAGGGAATACCTCAAGGATGTGCAGTTGAGCGTGGCGGAGAAGGAGTCTTGAAACGGACACGGGGCTCACGACATAGCACGGGCGGCCAAGCAAGACGGATGGCCGAGGAGACTCTGTTATATGATGCAAGAGGGAACTCAGGTCTACCACGGCGACGAGATGCTGCGTTCACTTTTACAGTTGGGCCACTCAATCTCTACTCGCAGCATGAATTGACAGAGCCATCAAATGAATGGCACACAACTCATGGGTCCGAAGCCCTTCCTTCTTGTTCGTTCGCACGTCCTCTACTCGCAGAGATGATGCGTTGCGAGCTGAGCGCAACCGTCTCCGCGCGGCGCTGCCTCTGCATTGACTGCAGACATGGCCCAAGGCTGCTCAACTCGAGCAACGTACACCACATCGGATTTCATCGGCAACTCTGATGAAGCAACGCTATAACAGAAGCGAATGTCAGTTGCTGCAGCCAAACATAGTTGAGTGCCGTGTCAGGACATCCAGGGCAGCTTACCCGGCAGTTCGGCAGCGCGTCCTTGAGCACACATTCGTCCCTACACGACGCCCCCGGCTTAGACTCCGCCGCGCAGAACTGGCAATTGAGGTGATTAGCTGTCAGCCGCCAGGGGCCTTCCATGTACACACGACGCGCCTGGCGATGGGACAATGAACACAAACGTACCTGACATTTCCCCGCTGGACGATCCGACACGTCTCCCACTGGGGCCTCCGTCTTATTTCTGTTCCACGAAAGATGATCTGGGCGAAATGGATGATGCGGACCGTTTGGGATCTCCGGAAGATCAGGCAGAGCGGAAGCAGTTGAAGGGGTCGGAGGAACCAAGACGGTTGGCGGAACGACATATCCCTGCATGAACTGCTCGAACCATTTTCCCAGCCTCTGCGCCCCCTCGATGATTGCCTGCTTCCACTCCTGGCCGACTTTCCTCCTCTCCGCGTCCCACCGTCCAAACGGCGAGTCCCGGCCTCCGAACCTCTCGAACGCGCCCGCCCGCACGGCCTGCACGAGCTCGCTCGCCACCGTGGGTACACCGGCTCCTACGAAGCCACCTGAGAAGAGCGCTTGGGCTGTGTTGGTGATGCCGACGCCGGCGGCATGGCGCCCATAAGGCGCCGAGTGCGTTGTTCCTGCTTGGAGCACCCTGCCCGCGAAGCCCCCGAGTGGCTTCACCATGACGGGGTTGTACCCCGGTTCCGGGTTGCCGACCGTTTTGAGCCTGTGCAGTTGGGCGACGTCTCGGTCGATGGGACTGGCCGTGACCATGATGCCAACGACGAGGAGGAGCTGGAGAGTCTTCATGTTACTGGCGAACAGATAACCCGTGTCAGTGAACTTCACCGTCAAGTCTGGGTAAAAGAGAGAGGCAATGAAGAAGAGCAATAAATGGAGAATGCCTTCTGGATCCCCTTCATCTGCAATCAAGGGATGCAAAGTATGTTCCTTTTATCGTCCGCCGTATACCATTCACATCAATGCTGCGAGACACCTGACCCACGCTAGGTGTGAGAAGACTCTGTAGATCACCAAGTCAACGTGTTATACCTTTATCGTTCAGAAATGTATGTAGTTGTAATATGAGCAGACGTTGTACGGAGTAGAGCCCGCCAGGCCGTAGTCCAATTGAGACCCTCTTGCAGCACACAATGAAAGCGATACCGGGGGGTGGTGCCCGTATACAGGGCCATGATATGAACCTTTTATTTTTAACATGGAGCGACGGCAAAATTTCAATGCTTTCTAACGGCGTCTATGCCACTTTATCTGCCTGGTCAGTGCTGCGAGGCTCTCACAAAGTCGACGCATCTCCACCCGTAGCGCAACCACTCGGATTCTGAGGGAGTTCAACTGCCGTGCACAGGTCAGAAGACCCATGACCTATTAATGCCTCGGTCTCAGCAGCGGGGCTCTCAATACCCTAACAAAGTCGCGACGGCATAGCACCACCGGCCACAGAGTAGCGATTCCGGGGGATTGGGCGGACAGGGCTACCTCCCGAAGTCAGCGCCGTATATGTCAAGAGCACGGAACCAGCAGCCTGCAAGCCGATGTGTGTGCAGTCCTGTTAGAAGAAGTGACTTGCCTTGCAGTCTGAAACTGAGCTAACTAGCGGATCGCCCCAGTATTGCTTATCGGGGTGGCCGAATCTGGCGATAATACTCTTCGTGGCGGCCCGTTGAGCATTATCCGCGGTGTCGTATGTTTGGCGAGCATCATTCAGCTTCGCGGCGGGCCACGCTGCGGCCAGCCCGACGAGAGGGGCGCAGATGGTCACCACAGTGATCCTCATATTGCCAACTTTTGAGTCGTTGGTTACAGTGTGCTGGAGAAAGTAGGCCTGGCCCGGCCTTAAGTTGGCGCGGGGAGGAACCTAGACGACGTCCGACTTCGCTCAGGATTATATACTGCACAGAGCGGCACAGGCATTGACTGTACCCCATTGCGATGGAGGGCCATTTGTCAAGCATACTCGAAAAGTGCCGTTCGTGGCGGATCTCCGTTACAATTGCCAAGTAAAGAGGGAGTGGCCACACCAGGTGCGTTCTTTATGCTTAACTGTAACTGTTTCACCGCAACATCGGACCAGACTGGACGTGAGGAAAAAGGACGTTACTATGTCCTGGAGTTCTAGACGACGAATGGCGTGTCTTACGTCCGGAGAGACGTGGTTGCACCGAGGGTTCAGCAAACCACCTGAGTGGGCACCGCGGTCGCAAACGAAACTGAAAGCAAGCTGCATACATCCTGGGGGCCCGCGTGGCATCGCCTGAAGTCTGACGCAGGATTGCGGGACAAGGCTTGGATCGTACGACTAAATTGCACGAGGAGATACTTGGCGATAATATTGTTGCGGCCCGTTTCTCGGGCGGTCGAGACACCAGTGGCTTCGAATGAGCAGCAAAGATGCGACGGACGCCGAGACATGGGAGAATCAGCCGCGGGCGGAACAAACATGCAGCGAGGCAAAACGACTCGAATCAGCTCCAGGGCTTTTGCACATGTGTTGTCAGCAAACTGCGAGACGACGAGAATGGTATCCCGGACGATGAGGCTGTCAAACGCGGGCAGTGAGGGGTCCTGAGCTGCAGGAGGAGCGTTTGGGCTTGGATGACGCAATGAGTACAGGCACAAGTGCAGGCATAAGACGGAGCCTTGGAACGGCATGTCACTCAACAAGGATGCCTCGTTATGCACATGATGATGGTGCTGCGTTGGCTGGCCGGGCGAGAAGGGGGTGTCGAGCGGCCGCCCTTTGGCGGGACAATGTCGTGGGAGAAAGAAGCGAGGCATCGAGGTCTTTTGTTCGGCATGTCACTTGCGTGTCTGTCCCGAGACTGGCGGATTCGTTGAGGGTTGGGCGACGAGGTCGAAGAACCACAGTCGTGTCATCGTCGCCGTTGTCGTCCTCGTGGCCCTCCCGCATCAGTCAAAGCGGTTGGGAGCGAGCCCGGAGCGCCAGCGGCCGTTCAGCTGCCAGGCTTCCTCGGCGCCAGCGACCCAGTGGTTTCAGGCACGGGCTCAGGCGACCGGGGGCGTGTTGGGCGCGGATTGGCCGGCGGGGGCGGGCGAGGCACCTTGGCCGGCAGCGCGTGACAGCGCGGACAGCCGGAGAGGCGGGATCGCGATGGGGCCGCCCAATGGGCGATCCGGGGTAGATTCGGGTGCTGATAGTGCTGGTGGTGTCGTCTACCTAGGCGCGAGGGACCGAGGGCCGGATAAGGGAATTCTGGATCGGATGGTACACCATCATGTGTTGGGGGGACGCCGTTATCAGCACCTCACGGCACGGCGTACCTAAGGTACGGCGGCGCCTCTGCGCGTTCCGTCCATTTCAGGGTGCCCGAGCGCTGGGCGTTGGGCCTGGCGTCTGATCGCTATCGGCGGCCCCGAGCGTGTGATCGCCCGGCTTCCCTCAGGACTGTAACCCAGCGCCGAGGTGGGCACGTTGCGCGTTGCAGACGAGGCACAGACGGGATGCCTGCTCGTACCTATGCGACGAGGCGGCATGGCGGGCCCTCGATGGACAAGCGAAAGAGGAATGATCCTTGGATGACGACGTCAGCCTAACTGCAGCGCGGCAGGCTTTCATCAGACCGGACAACCTGGACATGGACATTCGGATTCTGTAGCACAGCGGGTGGCGCTGCCTTGTCGGGCTGGGCGTCTTCCAGGTTCCAGGCAGTGCTAGGTTCCATTGCTTGCGGGAGGCCCCCAAACGGCCTGCGCTGCACTGGAAAGGAAACCCCGGGCGGCCGGGGGCACCTAGGCGCGATTCAGCCTCTGACGCAGCCCTTACAACGGGCGAGACGCCCAGCAGACCACGACCCGGCGTCCAATCAGCGGCGGCGCTGCGCCACCCCTCCATCCCAAAACAGCAGTGCCTGGAGTGCCCAGGTGACTCACGCCATTGTCGCCATCCATGATGATTGATGAACAAGCAAGCAAGCAAGCAGCCTCCCCAGCATCCGGCCGATGATGGGGACGCCCCCCTCAAGCCCGGGCCAGATGACTCCCCAAGTCCCCCCAGCCGCCAATCACCGGCACCCCCCCGCGCCCGTCCGCGATATAAGTCGTTTGCGGCCCTTTCCATGTCTGCTGCTTCTAGGCGTCTCTTGCACCTTCCACCAGGAACAGCACTCTCACCACCACCTTTGCGCCCTTGCAGGAAGGCCTTGGAATGTTCCATCGCGACTTCCTGACATAGACGACGACGACAACCACGCACGTCCTACGCCTTCTTCTTGACATCCTTCAGCCTCGTCTCCACCGACGACAACTCCGCCCTGACATCAACATCCACGTCAACGTCTACGCCGACATCGACATCGACATCGGCATAGTTGACACGTTGTTGCTCACCCCCGTCATCACCGAACCATCACAGTTCCGACCACCTATAAATCTGCCCCCCACAGCGTCACCGAACATGGATGCCTCAGCTGCAGACGCCATCGGCGCCGCGCTTCCTGCGACGGTGATCCATAACCGCCACCTCCCGCGGCGACAGGGGCGCATCTTCCGCCGCTCCTTCAACCACACCATCCGCGGCAACGCGAAGCGCCTCGCCCAGGCCAACGATCCTCACCTCGTCTACGAGACCCTTGGTGTTCCCTCCGTCTTCGAGCAGGAGCCTCTCCCCAGCGCCCGCAACGGCACTCTCAGAGTCCATCTCGAAAGCGATTTGAGAAAGCAGTACGGCGCCGCGCGGCCACTGCCCCGCCAGCGCTGTCGGAACAACCCCACCAACCGCGGCCGCCTATGCGGCCAAGACGAGGACGAGGGCCGGGATCTTGCCCATAGTGAGATCCCGTTGCCCTCGGATCGCTTCCGCCTTGTCAGGCGACCCACGCTCGAGCGAGAGGAGGCCTTCCGCGATGCCAGCACTGCCAAGGGCAAGGTTCGTGTCCGACGAGACCCCACCGCCCGCGACAACGACGACGAGCAGGTCGCCGAGCTGCATCGCATGGGTTTGCTCTATGATGACAGTGACCGCCGCGCCGTCGGCGAGGATACCGTCTTCAACCTCAACAGCATCCAGCACGAGCAGCCAGTCTACTCCATCCGCCCGGCCAAGCGCGCCCGCAAGGGCACAAAGGCCGGCTACAACCTCCACCTGGATCTCTCATTCTCCGACCTTGGCGATGACACCGCCATCGCCCAGTTCTTCCCCTCCAATGATGACAACAACTATCACTTGGAGACGTCCGGCGACGAGGACATTCAACATTCGCCTCGACAGTCATATCCGCCCCTCCGGGTCGTCTACGAGCTCGCCGGCTCCGGACAGCCCCCTTCCTTCGACGTCGACACGTCGCAGCCCCCCGACTTGGTCACCGACACTCTTTCCGACTACGACTGCTTCTCTGAGAGCGATCTCGACGACACGCCCTCCCAGCGTGAGATGCGCCTGAGCGCCGTGGACGGCCACAGCCACCCCAACGCCTCTCCGGACGAGACGTGGGTCGTGCTGGGTGACGACTCGTAGCAGGTCCGCAAAGGGAATCCCCCCGTGCCCCGCCGGGATTTCGAGAAGACGCAATACGAATGCGCAACGGATTGGTCCTCACAAGCCCAGTGTACCTCTATTTGTACAAGAAGTTGTACTTCTCGGTTTCGGACGCGGTGGGATAGATGAATGGCCAGCCTATGCGCAGCCCTCTTTTGTACATGGCCGCGTCGCGCCCGGGCGAACTGCAGTCGCTCCGGGTCGATGCGCGGCCAGCTGGGGTCCCGCGCGATGTGTATACTAGCGGGCCTCGTGGGACGGCGGCATGTATGCTGGCGGGCGTTGAGCGCTCTTTTCCTGTTTCAATCTTGTCTGCCGTTACCGGTAACTGGCGTTATGTTATGACCATTTAGAAATTATACCTAAAGCGACGACCGCATAAGTTCTTTTCCGCATCTAAGCTTCTCGCTCTCTGTCATGCATCTGTGACTGATGGTTTCGTGAGTGGCTAACGCTATAGTCTGATGGAATGGCGTCATCGTCATCGGGCACAGAAGTAGAGTCGTCGGAGACCTCTGAGCGTGTGGCTTTTCGGGCTCCGCGTCATCCCCGTGCATCCTCCCGGACCTCGGGATCCCGTCGGCCATGCCGTCCGGAGAGATACCGGCGACTTTCAGGGCCGGCCCCACTTTTTCGGAGATTGAAACCGGCACGGCGCCGGCCGGAGACTTTCTTGGCCCCCAGCACCAATGACGCCGGATTCCTGCCCGGGCGCAGGACAAGGCCCGTAGCGCGTAGCAAAGAGTCATTCGCGGCTGATTGAGCGCGATGATGCCATGCGATGATGCAGGTGAACTAGAAAGACGCTATCGTCGAGCAAAGTATAAGAGCCGGCCCGGCGCCGTTCCGTTCAAAAGCTTTGATCCCATGCAGTGACACCCTTCCACCACGGTTTCTTCCCGGAGCGCCGCCTATTCTAGACACAGAAAACGATACAGAAGGCAGCCACTGTGATAAATTACGCGTCAAAGAAAGACAACAAAAATAAAGAAAGAAACATGGCACAGGCAACCGCCCCCAAGCTCTACGACGTGCTCATCGTCGGCGGCGGGCCCGCGGGGCTCGCCATGGCCGTCGGGCTCGCGCGCCAGGTCTACTCGGCGCTCGTCCTCGACTCGGGCGAGTACCGCAACGCGCGCGCCGCACACATGCACACCGTCCCGGGCTTCGACCACGCGAGCCCCGCGTCCTTCCGCGACAAGATCCGGCGGGACCTGCGGGAGCGGTACGCATCGGTCGAGTTTCGCAGCGCGACGGTCACGCGCCTGCGCAGGATACAACGAGCTCCTGCTTCTCAATCACCATCAGCGGCCTCTGACACCGTCGCTGCCGCTAATGGAGCTACAAGCGACGGGAAGGATGCCGCAAGCGGGGGAGAGTGGCTGTTCGAAGCAACGGACGAGCAGGGCAGCGTCTACACGGGCCGTAAAATTGGCCTCGGGACGGGCGTGCGGGACGTGTTCCCCAGGGACATACCCGGCTACGACGAGTGCTGGGGCAGGGGCATCTTCCACTGCATGTTCTGCCATGGGTTCGAGGAGCGGGGCGCCGAGTCGGCGGGCGTGCTGGCCGGCGGGATGATGGCCTCGGCGGACATGCTCGCGCACATTGCGCCCATGGTGAAGCGCCTGGCGCGCTCCGTCACCGTGTACACCAACGGTGACGAGGACCTCGCGGCCGCGACGCGGGGCAAGCTACACAGCGGGAAGATTCGTTTCGACACGCGGCGCATCGCCCGCGTGGCGCTCGCACACCCGCCGAAGCTGCACCACCACCATCATCATCATCAGGACGAGGAGGAAGACAGCAGCAGCAGCAACGACGCAGCCAGCACGGCAGTGACGCTGCACTTCGAAGACGGCACCAGCGCGACGGAGGGCTTCGTCGCGAACCACCCCGCGGTGGAGCAGCGCGCGGGCAACCTGGTCGCGGAGCTGGGCCTGCAGGTCGGCGCGGCGGGGGAGGTGCGCGTGCGGGCCGGGCCGGGCAACGAGGCGGAGGGCGTGGACGGGTGCTTCGTGGCGGGGGACATGGCGACGCTGATGCGTAGCGTCGTCAAGGCGCTGGAGATGGGGACGTTTGCGGCGGCGGGACTGGTGGCGGCGATGAATGCGGAGCTGGATGCGAGGGATGAGCTGTGAATGCGGGAGATGCGAGTGCAAGTTGAAGGTATGAGTGCTAATAGATAGACTAGACGCTGGGAAAGACCTTATAGAATAGTGGACGGTAATAATGAACCTTGGAAAGGATAGTTGATTCGCACAATGGCTATTGATAATCGTCATATACTGATTCATGTAACGTCTCGTCGTCTATGGACATCCTCTCAAGAGGAGAAAGAAATATACGTCTCTCTAAGCACCTCACACCCGTGCCATGACATATGCATCTATGCCAACACCAACCCGTCCCCGGAGCCCAGCTCCGCAAACGTGTAGTCAGGCGCATCGTCCATCTGCGCCTCCTCGTGCCCAACGGCATCGCGCAGCGAGTACGCCGTGCGGCGGAGCAGGGGCGCGATGAGCCCCCCACCCGTCTTGACCTCGTCGTGCGTCGCTATCCAGTACCGCGCGCCGCTCGCAGCCACGGCGCGCAGCCCGTTGAGCGCGCCGAGGTTGAGCTGCTTGGTGAGCCAGATGCGCACGTCGTGCAGGCCGTGGAGCAGGGCGAGCGTGCGCAGGCCACTTGCCGCGGGCACACTCGCGAGGTCCTCGGCGGCGATGCCGTGCGGCGAATACACGATGGCTTCGCCTCCGTCGTTCTTGACTGCGCCATGCCCCTCATCCGTCGCTGGTGACGCCTGCGCCGCATCGCCGTTTAAGTCAAACGCAACCAGGATGGCAGAGTGGTAGTACAGCGCGTTCCCAGGGGTAATGACCCTCCCGACGGCGAGCCAGTCGGGCAGCAGGCCCACGCCCGTGAGGCGCCTCCAGGACACGCCTGGCCCGAGGGCAGGGATCGTGACGACGCCGTGGAAGTGGCCCCAGCTGCGGATGAGGTCCGCGGCGACGTCGGTGGCGAAGACGGGCGTGCTCGGGGGCAGCTCCTCGAGCGTGGTGCGGTGGCAGTGGTCCGTAAACTCGTGCGACACGACGACGGCGTCGACGAAGCACGGCGCGCCGACGGCGTCGGCGGACGCGCGAGGCAAAGCAGCGCCGTCGCCGCGAGTCTCGACGTGTCGCAGCAGCAGGTTCAGCTCCGCGATGGTGGCGACGCCCGAGGGGACGACGTGCCATTGCGTGCTGAACCAGGACGCGACGTCGCTCTGCGGGCCGTCGAGCCACGGGTCGATGAGGATGTTGAAGTGCGTCCGGCCGGGCGGGCGCGACGACGACGACCGCGCTGACGCCGACGCCGGCCAGGGGAGCTGGATCAGCCACGTCGTGTCGGCGTTGACGTGCGTGAGGAGCGGCCGTCGCGGGCCATTGCGCAGCAGCGACGCCCACTCCTCGACGCCGCGCAGAGAGAAGCGGTCCTGGACACCAGCAGCAGCCGCCGTCTTCGCTGCCGTCTTCGAGTTGGAGTTGCCGCCGCCGCCCGACTCCCGCGCTGGGTGGTGGAGAGGGGGCGCCGCCATGATCGCGGGGAGATCGCAGCGCCGGACAGGCCCGCCGCCGCTGCGCGCACAAGCCCAGGGGCTCGCCAGGGGGGGCAGCACTCCGTCTCCGTCAAGCGGCTGGAGTGGCCGTCCGGGTTCCAATGCAACTGCGTGATGCCGATGCCGCGTCCTGACTCGGGTCACGAGATCCCTGCCGTACAATGCTCCGTAGCTGCTGCGGGCTGCACAGAGCGAGAGTAACAAACATGGAGGAAAGCAGTGACAGCGAGAAGGAGAGTGGGGAAGGACGGACAGGCCGCCGCCCAGTCGCAAGTCCTTGACGTCGTCCATCCGGGGTCGGCCGCAGGCGTTGCCCCTTTCGGATATCAACTCGCTCCCCAGTCGCCGGACCTGCTTGGTTGGTGGCCTGGGCCCCCCGGACCAGACCTCTCGCCAAATGCATGCACAGAGAGAGTCATGTCGCTGCTGCCGGATAAACGTTAGTTGGCAATGTTGATGAGGGCGCGCGCGCGGCTCGTGACAACTGCCGGTTGGAGGAAGTTGGATGCAGCTTCTGCATCTGCCTTGCAGACTTCATGTCAAATGAGCTCTTTACAAAAGTCAAGATGCTGTCTGACAGCGGCCTACCCCGCCCGGCTTGTAGGGATTCATTCGCCCGACTTTCGAACACAATGCGGTTGGGACCTCGACGACATGAAGACGGGACGCGTGAACCCTGTTGCAGCAGAACAGCACAAGGGCCCCATGGCCCAGTCGGAGCCTGGCTCTCCGCGGTTTGCGGTTGGATCGGCCGCCCGATCTTGACAGCGCCTTTTAGAAAGATGGGACGACGCAGCACCCAACGTGCATCCCCTTGTAATTAATTCCAAAGTTCCTGCGTCTCGTGACGACCACGACTCGCGGGCATCAAACTCACCCCGTCTCTTTTTGCAGTGCCTGCAGCCAGGACGCCGGGCAACGCATCACGATTACACTCTCAAGTGCCAAAGTGCATGTCAGTGGGAATGACATCAGAAGCCTCGACAAAACTAATCAGAAAAAATGACCTACACCAATAGGTGCCGCTTGTTGTCGGGACGGCGAAAGCTGTCAGAGCGTTGTTTGATGCTACGCTAACACATTCCTCACGTCAACGACTGTCGACAGCACCGCGAGGCCAGCGATTGCACTAACACCGCCGCCAGGCCGGAACGAGGCACGGATGGCGCCCGATGATGTGTATTTGCGCAGTCGTTGTCGGTTGTCCGGTCGTCATAAGTGACGGCGGCGGACGCATTGGGGCGACCAAAGGCTTGGCAAAATACATTTGGCTCTTGTTGTTAGAGTGCACGCAGACGACGCGGGCTCTACGGGCCAACGACGAGAATTTGGAATTTGGAAACTGGAAATCAACAAACCACTCATCTTGGTCCGCGCTGAGCATTGCCGTCAATGGCTTGGCTGGCTGGCTGGCTTGCTGGCCCACGGGTTCGTCGGCACGGGTCGATCGGTTCCATTGCCACCAGAGCGGAGCCTCCGTCGTCAAGCCTCCCGAGGCTTTGGTGGACGCCAGACGTCTCTCTGGTACTGTGCTTCATACAAGTCCGACAGCTAGACTGAAGCCGCTGCCGGAGCCGACAGAAGCGCGTCTGCGCCCGCGTCCGCGTCCGCCAGCGGGCCCCCTGGGGGGGTCCAAGCCCAACCGGGCGGTCCCTGTTGCTTTTTCGTGATTCGGCCACTTAAGATGACGAAATGCAGATCTTGATCACACTTCTTGATCTCGAAGCCCGCCGCCGCCGGAACTGAGACATACAGCTTTCCCACCCATTGATGCTGGGAGCGCCGTTTCTTGGGTACCTACACCGTACTACTCACCCCTTGTAGCGTGGGCTTGGGTTCTGGCCCTTGTCTGTTTGTCCCCTCTCTCCTCCCCCCCAGGGGCCATTGTCCTCCCAACCTCGCATGTGAGTGAGGCTTGTCGCTCCACCGTGATGCAAGCCCCGTTTGACGCCACCCGGTTTTTACTTCCATGCCCCTCGAGTCCCAAGCTGCCCTGAGCTTCGCAGATGCCCATGGCTGGCCTGAATGAGCAACTTTCAGAAAGCCATCCCGTCTCCCATGTCGGACGCGGCCGAACGCCATGGCTGATGCGGCTGCCGCATATTGGCGACGGCGGCGAGCAACCTCCATCCGCCGCCCCCCCCCCTTTGCCGTGGAGACGTCGGATGGATGGTCCCTTGATCTCGATCTGCCGGGACCTTGGGCTGCGGGCCAATGGCACGGAGCAAGGTGCATATTTGTCACGGCACTCGGATGTTGGAGGCTCCCGGCACTAAGAACATGTACGATCAAGACGCTACGGGATTTGTGTTTTGCCCTCGCCTCGGCTCGACGGCAGGTCAAGTCCTTCGACGCCGACACTCCGCTCAGCATGCCTCTCCGGACAAAATAACTGGGGGCAGCGTCGTGGAGAGTAAGTACTTTTTGTCCGTTGACGATGACCAGCTGCAGGCTTTTCCCAGCGGCCCCCATCTGCCGCCCGCCTGCGCCGTGGTCTGGTCCGTATCCCGTAGCTCTGCTAGCTCCAGCCGCCTCCGATCCTCGAGGTCCTGGCTTGAGACCATTGTAGCTCCATTCGACAAGCCTCCCACCCCGGGTGATCTCCGTAGTCGTTCCCACCCAGCATCTGAACAGCCGGTGCTAGGCTAGCCTCTTGGAGCTCCCCCCTCTAGCACGGCCGGGCAGCCGGGCGTCATTCCTCGCTGGGTGCAGCCAACGTCGAAGACTGCCCTCCCCCGCCAAGAGATGGCAGATGCTCGGTGTCGCCCTGGCGTACGGGCTCGACGGAGATGCACGTCCCAACGATACTGTGATAATTATAATCATCAGACCCATGGGGACTAAAGTCTATTCACGGGTTGGCTTCCGGCCGCCCCTGGTCGTCTATGACGGAGCTTGAGCACGGCCGCCAACACGATCTCCGAACTGGATCGTCCCAGGGACCTGACCGACCCTGTCGCGGCGCCGCATGTATAAACACCCCGGGCACCACCACCGCCATCCCTCTCACTCCTGGACCCCCTGACCGCTTAAACCTGCATAATCGGTAGGCGGCTCTCTCGATCGCGAGCACCGGGTTCCCACGTTTACACTCCTTGTTATTTTATTATATCTTTATCTCCTTTGTTGCTTTTTCGCATCGCTGCATTTTCCATATATCCAGGGCCGCGCGGTGGAACCTGCACTCGCCTCCCTCCATCATGTTCAAGTCGGCGGCGGCGATCCTGGCGACACTGGCCGCGGTCGTGGCGGCCAAGAACTGCAGGAACATCAATGTGCCCGTCAGCATTAGCGCTCGCAATGGCGAGTTCGACGTCCAGGCGCCCGCGACCGAGATCGAGGTGACCAACTTCTTCCTCAACCTCGCCAGGCAAAACTACAACTACACCGAGGCCGTGCTGAAGGGGGTAAGTCTTGGGCGGGGATATGCTTGCATGTCGGGCCGCGAAATGACGTTGATGCTCGGCGTGGTGGCTGACGGGCGTTGTCGTGTAGTACAAGACGGTTCAGGGCGACTACACCCTCGCCACGACTTATTGCGAGCCCAAGGACGGACCCGGCGACACCATCCAGATCTTGACGCACGGCGTCGGCTTCGACCGCAGCTACTGGGACTTCCCCTACAACAACTACAACTATAGCTACATCAACAAGGCTCTCGATGCAAAGTACTCGACCCTCTCATGGGACCGCCTCGGCATCGGCGCCTCGTCCCACGGCGACCCGGTCAACGACATCCAGATCTTCCTCGAGGTCGCCGCGCTCAAGGCTCTTACCGATATCGTCCAGGGCGGCAAGCTCCCCGGCGTCTCGAAGCGGTACTCCAAGACGGTCCACGTCGGCCACTCATTCGGCTCGGCCATGACATTTGCCCTCACGGAGCAGTACCCTGACATCTCCAATGGCATCGTCCTCACGGGCTTTAGCCAGGTCCCGGGCTTCATGGGCACTTTCGCCCTGGGCAGCAACTTTGCGCCAGTCAGCGAGAACCGCCGTCTCAGACGCCAGTACGCGGTCGGCTACGTCGCTCCCAAGTCTGAAATTGGCGTTCACATCGACTTTTTCGGCCCCGACGACTTTGACCCTGAGATGCTCTGCGCGGCCACCGACATGGGCCAGCCCGCGGCGGTGGGCGAGCTGCTGACCGTCGGCTCCACGGGCATGACGAGCAACTTTGGTGGCTCGGTTCTCATAATTACTGGAGGTACGTGCCACTGCTCCGTTTCTTGCCTACACCGAACGCTGACTTTGAGTCACAGACCGAGACGTGCCATTCTGCGGCGGCGACTGCACCAACACCAAACCCCTTGCGGCAATGAACATCACCGAGCCATTCCCCAACCTCCTCGCCATGTCCAAGGGCAGCTTCAAGAAGGCCAAGGCGTTCAACGCGACTGTCGTGCCTCTCGGCGGCCACGGCCTCAACCTGGGCTACAGCGCGGGCTTCACGTACAACGCCATTCTCGATTTCCTCAACGCTGAGCTGTAGCGAAACAGCTGCAGCGGGGGCCAGACGACCATCTACCGCGCCTTGTCTCGTTTTCCTTGTCCAAATTACGCACTTTTTTGCATGGCGAGATTTCCAGTCCTTTGAGAAGCGACAGACGGACTTGGCAGGAGGCGGCGTATCGGTGAAGGCAGAAAATTGCGCCCATCACCTTTGTACATAGCTTTTGCATCTCGTAAAACAAAGAGACCTGTATTTCTTTTTCGCGTGGTTCGTTGATCTGGTCATGTTGCGAAATGTGACCAACCGGGTTCACCAAAAATCGGGGGGCTTTGCGTCGTAACAGGGCTGGGTCTTATTGACGTCGTCTCAACTTGCTTTTTCGGTTCAGTTTTCGCTTCGCGTCCACAAAGCCCTGGTTCTGGTCTCAGCCTACGCCCGGCGCGTTGAGCCTCCGATGGACAGTCTGCACCGCCGCCGCGGTGCTGCACGATGGAACCTCGGCTGGGAGACAAGTTTTCTCTCTGCGTGAGACACGCATGGCAACGGTCTCACTTATCGCCGTGCCTCTGCCTACCCATCCATGCTGCGGGGAAGTTCGCATTTCCCTCTGTTCGTGTTTCTCCCCGCCTGTCGGTACCGAGATGGCGCTGGTATAACGGTCTGTGGGCGAGATTGATGCCGGACATCGTGACTGCACATTTCTATTTTGCCTTTGCGTCGGGCGACTGCGCCATGGCCCGGGGCAGAAGGTCATCCTTCAATACCGCCTAGATGTAAGCTGGCGTCACAGACCTTGGAGGCATTACGCGTCATGGAGGACGAGAGCAACGGTACATGTACTGAGTTTGTCGGGGTCGGTTGGCGAGCCCAGCCTTCCAAGTTTGAGGTGTCTCACAGCACTTCTGCGAAGCCAACTCTTCATCTTCCTGTCTCGTTGAACCCTGGCGCGCGATTCAGTCTCTGTTCGTTACTATGTGTTTACGTGTACTTCGACACGACCAACAGACTGCTCATCAGGACCCCTATATTTGCAAGAGTAAGTACGCTTGACCTTAACCTTCGATAGGCCGACCCAAGCGACGGTCACGTAAACGTCGCATGAGCAGCTGTAGCCTCGCCTTGAACTGCCAGGGCGAAGTGTACTATTTCCATAAAAACACCAATCTGTTAGTCCCAGCCCGTAGGTTCATACGCGTTAGCCCGTCGAGCACGATTGGCTGAACATAAGGTCTTGCGTGGCTAGAATCGTGCCAACGCACGCGAGTAAGCATCGCACACGGCTCCGTGTCTGAACAACACAAGGCCACAAGTTAGTATGAAGCATCGCTTCGAAACAAAACATGTCGCATATCGCTGACGTATCATGTTTACGTCCACGCCGCTTCCTTTATTAAATATATATATATATATATATATATTTTGAATTCGCTCGCATCTGCCGCCAACTCAGAAAACAACATACAGGGCAGTCTGAAGTTCACCCTAAAAAGTTAGACACCAAAGTCATCGCAGCTGGTCGCTGATCATATAACCATCATGGCACATCTTGTTCCGCCATCGCTAGCATTGGCCTGGCGCTTTGGGAATGCGTGCCAGTTCCTTTTTCGTCCTGCTTACTGCAGGGCTTGGTCAAGGAGCTCTTGTCAAAGAACGATCTGAAAACTGCGTCAGTCCTTCAGAGTATTTTCAATGCACAAAATTACATGCAAGTAGCTAAAAGGAGACGGCGCAGAAAGGTATCATAGGGACCAACGAGATCGATCTTGGCCCGCTTGTGATATCGACGGGGGGTCACTGCAAGGTGCGTGTGCCAGACTCAAACATCTACGTGTAGTGTTGCTTCACGCCGTACCCTTCAGCCCAACATGAATGCTAAAAGCTCCAGACCACGTGTGTGACGGGCCACTGCAGGCGAAAGTTCTGGGGCAGCTACGACTGCTGGTAGACTAAGCATCAAATTGAGAACGACTCGGGCAGTCGGGAGTAGGGCTGAAGGCTACATGTACTTGGGCAATTGAGGGTCATCTTGCACGTACCGGTCCTTTGCAGTTGCCAATTCGCTTGTGCTGCTGTCCTCAGTGGTAAACTGGGGCTATCCATCATGCATGTTTTTTTTTTTTTCGCGTTGACGTCTAGTGTTCCTGGTGATTTGTCTGCTAGTGACGTTGAACACATTTATCCATGTGTAATGCTCTCGAGCAGAGCACGCAGCAATACAGAATTTCCAATTGTCTCTCGGTGGCATGCGTCAACGGTGCCTGTATAGTGTTGTATAGAGATGTTGCACCGCCCAGATGGAGCATGACGCGCAGCCTTTTTCACGCTACATGTTTCTTCTTGTCTCTGGCGTCGTCGAATGATGACTGGATCGAATGACTGACGCGTGAATGCGGCTCCGGCAGGAGGTCGCATCTCCGCTTGCCTTGCTGCGCAATTTGGAAGGGTTTCAAGGAAGACTGTGTTGAATAGTCAACGACCTACGACCTCACAAGCTCACGTGGCATTAGCACAAGATGCTGGCAATGGTAATTGAGGTTAAAGGCTGACGCCCTCGTATGGCTTTCGTCTCTAGCTTCTTTCCATTCTTTAGGCTAGGCGGGATTTCATGAACGTCTGGGGCCGCCCTTACGACGTAAGCACATGCTGCCTACAGGTGCACATACGAACACGACAGCTTGCGCAAGGCCGTTGCCTTGGCTTGAGAATGGATCCATGTCACCAGGCGTATGCCTTTCCCTCCGCTCCGTCGTCCTGGGCGGCATATGCAGCTTGGTCATTGACGCCCTGCCACATCCCTGCATGACTGGTGAAATACTTCATTACATCTACACAGGCGGCTCTGCCTCTTGACTACCACACACATCTTGTTTCAGGTTCCGGCTATGGCGCGCTCGTATTGACTGCGGTATCCAGGGACACGACATGGCGTGAGGCCGGGGCGGCGAGATGTGGTCTGGCTTCAAGTAGTGTCCTTGGGTTTTGATCCGGCACTGGTTATTCGAGTCGAACCATGGCGACTGGCGCCCAGTAGTGACACAGCTCAGCTCCTAGCAATTCCTTGTCCGCTCAGCCGCCCGCCAGTCAGCCATATCCTTGCCCATGTCCGCCGCGAAGCTGTGCTCACCGACACTGCCCAAGATGTCACCTGACAGGTCTTCGGTCAGGGGAGGCGGCTTCACCGTCGCCGCGCAGAGACATATGTAAGCTGTAGCCGGCTCCGAACCCCCGCCACGGCTCATCGGCCCAGCGCTGACCACCGCATCGCGATTGAGTCGCCACCCGTGAACTTAAAAGCCGTGACACGGGGGAGTCGGCAGTTCGACCGTGGTCGCGTGCGACAGATCGCCCTGTCGCGAAAGGAGACAATTCCAAATAAGAAACGGACTTGGATATGTAAAATGATACAACTTGAATACATGACGCTGCGTATTTTATTCCTCAGAGTGCCAGAGAAAACTGATTCCATAACAGGGGAATTGGTTAATATGCGGGCCAACAAGCCCCATGCCCGTGAAGTGTGCAACCAGCAGAGCGTGCGCCTCTCTCTGCCATGCCGCCCCGGTCGCACAGCGTCAGCATCCCGCCCGCCCGTGTGAGACAATTTCCCAATGCCGACCCGTTTGTGTAACAACTTGTCGGACGCCTGCAATCACTCGGAGATATAGCGGACCGGGGTGTGTTGCGTGCCTCGATGCTCGACATGACTTGGCCATGTCGTGTGATTGCCGGACAGCCCATTATCCATCGCGCGCAGGCAGGCAGATTGGTGGAAAGGCCCGTGCTGCGTAAAAATACTATGATGGAAGTTATGTATGTTTTTCTTCACCGGCTGCGGCAGACCGGTTACGGTACCCTGCCTGCGTTAGTTAATTAGTTGAGGTAGGGTCGGCTAAATGGCACGATCACGCCTTTTCTGGGGTCGACGGGGGGTGGCCCGCTGGCACACACACTTGCATGTCCGGTGGCGGCGTGCTAGTTGAACTAACGTAGGTGCTTGGGGGCCTAATAATGAACCTCTTCTCAACTCAGACCGGCGTCTTTTCACAAATCCAACCTCAAAAAGAGACACAGCGTGTTTCCAAAGGTCGCACTCACCGGCGACTGGAACCAAGCCCTCGGCCGCGCCAAATACAGACGAGTTGGCAATAGACATCGCGCTTCTGGGTCAAGGCCATCGGCTCCGATCGTTCAAATGGTCTCTATCAAGGCCGGGCGGCGGTCCGATTCGCGCCCGCCAGCTCCGGCCAACGACGACGACGACGAGCAAACCCGCCATGCCACCGAGACAACGCCCTTACTGATCGGGGGTCAGCTCGCCCCGGACGGCGACACAGAAGCCGCATCTCTGCTGGTCCGCACCCGCAAGGACGACGACGAGGACGACTCCCTCGACAGCCGCCAATCCACCGCCGCCCAAGATGATGGCACCAAGAAGAAGGGCAAGCCGCTGCCGAAGCTGCAAATCTTCCTCCTCTGCTACGCCCGCATGATGGAGCCCATCGCCTTCTTCTCCATCTTCCCCTTCATCGCGCAGATGGTGCAGCAAAACGGCCGGCTGCCCGAGTCGGACGTCGGCTTCTACAGCGGGCTCATCGAGAGCATCTTCTCGGCCACGCAGACGGCCGTGCTCATCTTCTGGGGCCGCCTGGCCGACCGCATCGGCCGCAAGCCCGTCCTCCTCGTGAGCCTCATCGGCATGACCATTGGCCCCGCGCTGTTCGGCGTCGCACGCTCCATCTGGCAGATGATTCTGTTCCGCAGCCTGGCGGGCGTCTTTTCCGGCTCGAGCCTCATCATCCGCACCATGATGGGCGATCACAGCAGTCCCGAGACGCAGGCCATCATCTTCAGCTGGTTTGCGTTTGCGGGCAACGTCGGCATCTTCCTGGGTCCCATCCTCGGCGGCGCATTGGCCGAGCCCGCGGAGCAGTACCCGGGAGTTTTCGGGGGAATCCAGTTCTTCAAGGACTACCCATATGCGCTGCCTGGGTTCGTCGTCGGAGCCATCAGTGCGACTGGGGCGTTGACGTCCCTGTTGTTCCTCGACGAGACGCTCAAGAAGAGCAAGGCGTCAACGAGCGGGGGGAGCGGGCCTGCGGTCCACGCCGATGACCACCACAACGATGAGGAGGAGCCCGTCAAGATGTCGCTGCGGGAGCTCACCATGGCCCCCAACGTCGCCATCGTCCTGTGGACGTACGGGCACATCATGTTCCTGGCCTTTGCTTTTACCGCCATCCTGCCCGTCGTCCTCTACACGCCCGTCTCTCTCGGCGGCATGGGGTGCAACTCGTTCCAAATATCACTTTACATGGCAGCGCAGGGAGGCAGTCAGGCGCTGTGGCTGCTCCTTGCTTTTCCGTTTCTGCAGCGCCGGATAGGCACCAACGGCGTCCTGCGCCTGTGCGTCATCGCATATCCGTTCTTCTTCATCGGGTACATGGTCATGAACGGGCTGCTGCGGGTCCACACCGAGGTCGCCATGGTGTGGTTCTGGATCCTGGGGTCGATAGTCGTCTTCGTCGGCCCGGGCGTGTCCATGTCCTTCACGGCGGTGCAACTAGCCCTCAACGACGTCGCGCCGGATCCTCATCTGCTGGGCACGCTCAACGCCATCGCGCTGACATGCACCAGCGCGATACGCTCCTTGGCGCCGGGCGTATCCAGCGCCATCTACGCAGTGGGTGCGCACAACCAGATCTTCTACGGACATCTGGCTTGGGTGCTGCTGGTGCCCATCTCGGCGTCGTTGCTATTTGTGCTGAAGCGGATGCCGGCGGACAAGAGATGAGTGCAGGTCGTCGCACGATGAAAACGGACGTCTCAGGGAGGCTATCGGATACACAAGCTGTCTTGATGGGACAAGGAGGGGAAAAGAAAACAGTCCTTTTGTCAGCGTCGACTATGACTAGACATGGCATGGGCCAGTTGTTTGTAATTATACATGCCCACACATTTAAGGCGTTTGGTCTTGTAAGAAAAATGTTCATCGCTCAAGTCGACCCAGAGATAAAACGCCGCCAGCTAGCCTTTTTGTTATCCCATGATGCTTTCACACTAGAAGATGCTCGCTGCTCATGCAGCTGCTTCCAACGACTCAGACGTTGTGGTCGCCGTGCAGGCTGGTGGCGCCGCTGTTGTTGGCAGTCCCCTTGATGCCCCATTTCCTCCACTCAAAAGCCTTGGCCGGCTTGGACTTGATGGTCTCGCGCAGGCGTTCCTCGGAGCGGTGCATCCAGACACCGACAGGGGCGGTGCTAATGGGGTAGAGGGGCATGTTGGCAGGGCGGAAGAGGAAGGCCTCGGGATCCTGCTTGTCGTACGCGGCGATGATGTCCATGTCGGCGGCGATCTGCTCGCAGTAGCTGTCCAGGGGCAGATCGTTGACGTCCTGGCCAAAGGGGTTCTCAATCTCGCGGCCGATGAAAAGGAGGCCGAGGATGATGAAGCTAGCACCGATGGAAGCCGGAATGGCGATCCAGTCAAGCAGCTTGACGAGCTGGAACGGCAGGACGGCAACGTAGAGCCAGGTGATCTGAGAGATGGCAATGGTGTAGGCAATGGGCAGCGGCGTGGAGAGGACACGCTCAGTGCCCGTGAGCGCGTCGTTGAGGGCCGACAGGTTGTTGTAGGCGAGCGTCTGCTGCATGGGGACGCGCAGCTGGTCGTTGCGGACGAGCATGTCGATGGTGACGGCGATGTGGTTGAGAATCTCGAGCGGCAGGTTACCAAGGGGCTGCGTCGCACGCTTGAGCGTCTTGCGCGGGTTGCTGGCGGCAAAGGAGACGCCCAGGTACTCGCCGATCTCGCGGAAGAACTTCTTCTTGCGCCCATCGATGGCGGCAGCAGGACCGGCCGTCTCCGTGGCACTGCGAGCAAAGGTGTCGAGGTGAGCGATGAGGTGCTGAAGGTCGGGATAGGCCGTGTAGGGTTCGAATCGAAGGCCATGCTTTAGGGAAATGGCAAAGGCGACGATGAGGTTCATGGAGCTGAGCTTGCGGAGCATCTGCTCGCGCGGGTCTTGGTCGGTGCGCTCGGCGGCGTGGATCCAGAAGACGCGACCGAGGACCTGCGACGACTGGACGACCGAGGCCCAGTACTTGCGGCCTTCGGCATATCGCTCGTAAGCAGTAGAGTTGCGGAACGACAGACCCAGACCGACGACGAAACCGAGGACGGTGAGCAGCACCGAGTTGATGCCAAGGTCGTGCACGAGCTCGTGGATGCAGGTGATGGCCGTCGACCAGACACTGACGAAGAAGAGCGGCAGGAGGAGCTTTGGCAGGATGCTGCCGTGCATCTGCAGGAAGATGGGCCACTTGGAGTGCTTCTGGATGTCACGCGGGCCCGTGAAGTAGTCGTCGAGGTCGAGCGAGCCACGGCGGCGGTTGAGGAGGGTCGGCGGCGGGCCGGGCGCCACGGGCGAAGAAAGCGTCGCGACATGCTCGAGCGGAGGCGGAATGTCGAGCGCCTTGGGCTTTTCGGCGTGGTGGTGCTGCTGCTGGTGCAGGTCGGGCATTCCGCCTTCTTCAGCCATGTTGGGTGGTGATGGAGGCAATAGGATATGTAGGTGGACGAAGACCCGTGAACGACGGGGATGTGTTCAAACGATTGGGACGTGGGCCGAGTCGGATCAAAGGCAGGGAAGGATCGTGTAGAATGCAACTTGGTGTCGGCAGAGGAAGGTCTGTTCGTGCTCGGGAGATTATATCAATAGTGGCAAGTGACAACGAGTGTGGAAGTTGGTCCAATTGACCGCGAGCAAACAACGAAAACTGGAGGTTTTTCACGAATCAAGAAGGGAAAAGAGTCGAGCAGAGAGGCAAGGATGCAAGGAAGAGAAGAAAAAGTTGCTTCGACAGCCACCCCGGAGTCTCACAGACCAACGACATCTTCAGGCCCCCCCCTCCGGTCCGGGGCACTATTAATACGTAAGAATAAGAATGGTGGCGGTCCGCCACTGCTGCAGGGGACGGTCCAGCAGGGCAGCGCCAGGTCACCGCTTCGGGGCTGGCCATTGGGCCTCGCGAAACTACCGAGGGGGGCCGCGAGGCGCAAGCCTTTGTTTCGAGTCCTGACCCGCCGCCGGCACGACGGGGTGTGTTGTGGATGGACCAGGGAGGAGGGGAGGGGGGCGGATGGGACAAGATGGGATGGGATGGGGGAGACCTTTCGGCGCTTTTGCCCCAGGATGGCGATGCGGACGGACTGATCCCGGGCACGGGGCAAGGCGGTGTCTGTGCCTTCAACTCAAATGTAGTACTCCGTCCATACTACGAAGGCGCTGTGCTGTGCTGCGCCAGTTGCTCGTATCCTCCTATTGCGCAGCATTGGGAATATTGTCAAGCCATCGCGGCCACAGCCTCCATCATGTCTCGCCTTACCTGCTTCCGCTGACAACCACCTCAGCTCACCAACCAACCAACCAACCAACCAACCAACCAACCAGCACAAACAGCGCCCAAAACCTTCCCGCCAGGCTGGAAGAGAAAAGGGATGGAAGAAATTCTCCACCACCGCGGTTGACGGGCCCAGAGCCAAGGCAAAACAAGCCTCAGCCCCTGACAGGCGGACCCCTGTCGAGGGTCGAAGGGCCCCGTATTCCTCGGCCCAGCCCGTTCTAGCTGCTCCACAAAACGTGCGACAATCGGTGAGGATTCAAGGGGCGGCGGCAGGCGAACGTGTGGTTTTTCTCTGTCCGTTTTTTGCCGCCGGAGGCTGGCTGGACGATGATGAGGAATTAGTTTGTAGTAGGTCTGACGCATGCTGCAGGAGGACGCATATGTCTGCATGCGTCTCGGATTGTTAGGGCGTGAAGCAATCGCCAACGACTCGTGCGGGAAAGAAGCAAGCAGCGCAGCGAGCAAGAGCGTCTGCACTCCCACTCCGTCTGGACTGGATGGGCCTAGCCTGTGCATTGCGCTCCACTGGCTGGCGAAAGAGCTCCATTCATGCTCGCTCGCCTGATTACGCGGCGCAACATGACCGGCTCCGTTTGTCTGCCGGGGGTGCTGCTTAGCCCACATGAGTCCGTTCAGTGAGCCCCCAGTCACGGCTTACCTGCGTATGTACTTCTTCGTAGCCACTGTCTCCCAGCCAAAACGGCCGACTCGGGGCCGCCGGCTGTTCAGGCGCCACGGGCGGATTTGCCGAGCGGAAGAAGAGCCAACGTGCAGGGTTTTGGGGGAAGCTGACCGTTGGCCTGCCATGTGGCACCTTGTGTGACGACCATCACAGCGTTGCCCATGCATGCGCATCTGCACGCGTGCATGAGGGCGTTGTAGCATAACGTTGGTTGTCGCGACGAACTGAGCTGGGAAGATCAAACCGTCGATGCCCAGCCAGCTTCCATCCGCCCTGCGCGTCGTTCCCGGAGGATCACCGTTGCTCAAAGCCCACGCTCCTGGCCCTAACACGAGCCGGCCAAGCTCCGCCACCTGAGCTCGTCCAGAGATGAAGATGGCAGGCAGGCAATCTCTCGAACTGTGCCGCTCGCGGCCTGTGCTGTCCCGCGCCGGCGCCCGCCCCCAGAACGGGCCGCGGCGATCGTGGCACAGCCCTGTTTTTGTGTAGCGGTGGGCATCCGCAGCGCTGGGCTGGGCTGCGGGCCATGCACAGACGCTTCGTTGAACATTGCGGCTTGCGGCTCGGGCAGCAATCGTGATCCAGTGACTCAAGTCGCGATGCACGTTGAGCCATCTTGCAGCGACACTCGCTTCAGTTGCGACGGCTTCATCTGCCCGGGCGCCGACATCACAAATGACAAGACCATGGCAATGGCTGCAGTATCCGAGAATAGTATTCTTGTTCACATCATTGGTTGTCCTATTGTGTACACATCAAGAACCGTGAAGAGCGGACTCGTCTGGCGCCCACGTCTGTACACCCCTTGCTCCGTGACCCAGGCATGTCGTTGTCCACACAGTTAACCTCCTTGTGGAAACTAGTAAAGGGCACCTTTCACTTTATCTCTCAAGCAGTCTTATCCTTCTCGTCAGCATCTTCATCGTTCGAGCTATTAGCTAGCGAAATGGAGCTCGGGTGGATGCTCTCAACCCCATGGCTCGCCCGTAGTTGGGTGAAGTTGGCTGGCGTTTACTCGCCGCCGAAGCCGTCCGCGAGCATCTCCGAGTGAATTTTCAGGAGCTTGCTGTGCTCGATGTGCTTCTGAAGAGGCGCCTTGATCTCCTCGGAGTGCTCCGCGAGGCGATCCTCCATACGTCGTTTGTGCTTGGCGAGAAGCTCCTCCATCTCGCTCTGCCGGTCATACTGAGCTCGCAACTTGGGAGACATCATATCAATCATTAGGGACGCTGAACGTTCCAGCCGGCGCTCAAGCCGGTCCTCCAGCTTGTCCTCCAGGTCGAAGATCAGGACCTTGATGGCTTCAAGCTCGTTGGCGAGGTCCTCGACGTGGTGCTCCTCCAGGTGGTCGACTCTGTTCATGGCCATGCCCACCTCGTCGTGGATCTCGCTGACCCTCTGGCCCAATCTGGGCAAGTTTTCGAATCTTGGGCTGCTCATTGCCTTGGCGAGCCCCTCCAAAGCCTCACGCTCCTCCTCGATGTTGATGTCGTCGTTGCTGCTGTCGAGTGCACGACGCTTGTTGCTGGTGGCCAAATTGAGGGGCGCGGGACCGCCGTCCTCGGCAGATCGCTTGCGTTTAGCGGCAAGAGGCTGGCGGGGGAGTTGGGCATCTTCAGACGAGACAGGGCGGGTGTGATTGCCCTGCGCAAGTTCTTCGTTGTGTCCTTCGACGAACATGGAGGGTTCATCATGCTCGACATTGGTATCAACATATCCTGTGGCATGGCGAGGGTCGTAATCATTGAAGTCGCAATCTTCATAACCGTCAAGGTCAAATTCATCGTAGGCCTGCGAATGGTCATCCTCGTCTGCCAAAATGTCGGCATCATGGTTGAGTCGGTACGAACCGACCAGTCCTTCGTAATGGCCATAATCGCTGGAGACGGTGGTCGGAGTGGTACCTCCGCTCTCTTCGCCTGGGGTTGTAATGTGGATTGCCGCCCCTTCATTGGCTACAGGATCCGAGTTCTCGAGCTGAGAAGGCATCTTGACTAGATGAAATAGGGGTTTGATGAGATGAAGCTTGTGCAGTAGGCGGGGTGATGATGATCTGGTGCCGAGGACAGTGATCAGTGCAGCTCGTGGTTGTACGAGAAAAGAAGGTTGAAGAAGAACCGGTGCAAACGAGAGCGCATGCAATGGGAGCAGCCTGCTTTATCCTCTGATGGAGAATGTGAACGGGCGAGAAAAGGAGGGGCTGAGCCAGGTGCGAGGCAGCTGGAGGGCGGCCACCCCGTTCATTCGGCCGCAACAATAGGGGCCAGCCCACAATGAGGGATGGCATTTGCTGCGTTTGCTGCACCCACTGATGTCCCAGGTCTAGCCAAGATGTACCGGTCTCCGACAGCGGCGACCTCGAAACCGAAGCTCCAGTCTCATCACGACATGGATTATATTGATGAATGCCCGCGAAGCCCGTCATATGTTTTCCCTGCATGGCTCAGATCATGGATAGTCTTCATCTTGCACAAGCATCTGTGAACTTATACATTCTTTCCCAGCCGAGTTTGAATCAAGCAGCGCCATATTTGACCATGATTGCGTTTTGTCCCGCTTCTCCGGCAGCCCAGACAGGTTCCATTTTACATGTAGTTGAGAGCCCTTTCCTGTGCCCACTCGTAATACGAATAAAACTTGGCCACGAGTGGCATTTGCCATTGCAATGCTTCCATGTATGATTGAGAGTTTTGTATTCTCATGTGCCGTCATATAACACCAGCCCTGGGATGGCCGGATCGCCCTCCAAATCCACGCCTGCAGAGACCCCTCCCAAAACATGAACTCCTCGGTAGAAAACGTGCGCCAAACTCTGCGTCAAACGTACTAGTACCATTCCATCACGCATCATTGTTCACCGTTCCGCACCCCTCCAAGCAGACTGCCAGTCCCCTCACCGCGTCGTAAATCCGTCCCAACTGTACACCATTGTCCTCCCCCGCTCGCAGCTGCTCGCTCTGAATCAAGCCCAGTAGGCGCAGGACCTCTTGGTACTGCTGGTCCGCCTTGCTCTCTATGCGCCTCATCTCGCTCAATGTCTCCTGGTGCTGGTTGTCCAGTTTCTTCTCAACGCGCTGCATCAGAGCCATCAAGTTGACATCCGTCAGCGATTCATCTACGTGAACTTCGGAGCCGTTGAACACGACGCTGATGCGGGCTCGCGGCTGTTGCGCAGTTGGTAGTGGGCCGGGGGTATCCGGTGTAGGCATAGACTGGAAAGGGGCCGCGGTGGTGTCATTGTACTGCATTGGTCTTGTCGGCGGTGCCGTCTCGGGAGACGACACCGCAACGGTGATTTCATCCTCGGGTTCCACATGGCGAGATCGACGCGCAGGACTCGCCTGCACTCTGGCAGTCTGCTTGTCGGCGTGGTTGAAGCGGCGGACGTATCCATGCGGCAGCATGTCGAACTCGAGGCGGGTACGGGGATGAGCTCTCCGGGCCATCTCCGCGGCCTTCAAGTGATGCACCTGGTCGTAGCCGAACATGGTCCGCAGGAACAGCCACGAGAACCAGTTGACGTCCCTCTTGGCCCGGCCGCCGACGAGGTGCTTGCTTGGCAGTTTTTCTTTGTTGGCGGTAATCTTCTCGAGGAGGCTGAACCACATGGCTTTGTCTCCGTGGGTGAGCTGGTCTCCGATATCGTCCCAGATGCTCCGCAGGTCGGCGAACCACTGGCGCTCCTCTGCGGTCCGGCCCTCCATCTCCGGGTACTCAGCCATTGCTGCGGGTGATGATGAGTCGGTCCGCCGTCTTTTAATGCACTGTGTTGCGGATGGTGAAGTTGAGCATGCACGGTACATTTCGGCTCGGTGACTGCCAGGGCCCGCCTCTTACAACGTGAAGCATGAGATTTGCGCAAGAGGGGGCCGAAGTCAGGCAACGCAAGGTGTGCAGTAACAATGGTTGAAGAAGAGCACCAAGAGCGTAGAGGCAGGCGCTCGTCGTCATGTGTTTGCTACGCGTGTGCAGAGCCAAGCGCGTTGCCGCCGCCAACCAACATGTGCGCGCGGGCTGCGAGGACTACCTGTTCGCAGACTGTGAACTGCTCGGTTTGCATCGAACAGCGAGCCAGACCCGCTGCAACGCCTAAAAGGCTCCGTTGCCTCTCCGATGACTGCTGAGCCAGCGGCACCAAAGCTCGCCATGTCCACGAGCCCAGTGTGCTCCCCTTCCTCCTGAGCGAAAGTAGGAATCCCCAGACGAGGCATCAGGGTTCTTCCTTTGAAGAGAAAGGCAAAAGTACATTGATATCATAAACGCTTGATCAGCGTCAGAGTTCTAGCTAGTATATACGTGTGTGCTCAATGCGCTTGAAAAGTAGACATTATCCATCAATCCAACTCCCCCTCTGAATCAAGCCTGCCTCGGATGCGGAGTTGACGCCGGTAGCTCGACGGGGTCAACCACGCTTCCCTGCAGCTCCTGCATAGGCTGCCCGTGTAGCTCCGCCGTTTGCTGAGGCTGCGGCTGGTACTTGTACAGCTCCCCGCCGCCGCTGCTGCTTTGGCCGTGATGCCTTCGCCTTCTCCGCCACCAAAGCAGGATCCCAACCAGCGCCGCAATGGCCACGACCGGAATGACAACCCCGATCGCCACCTTTGCACCAGTCGAAAGTCCTCCATCATCCCCCGGCGAAGGTGTGCTCGTGTCCGAGTTTGTCGGGTCGCTGCTCGTTGGCTTTGTGGTGCCACCGGTAGTCGTTGCTGTCGGCCTGTCCGTGTCCGTCTTTTGATACACCATGCGAACGCCAAAAGCGTTCAGGCCGCCGGGGCTCGAGAAGTCCAGGTTCTCGGTGCTTGTGACCCCGTTGGCGCTCAACGTAACCGGGAGTGAAGTCTTGGCCTTGGGCGCGATCCACGTGCAGAACAGCGTGCTCCATACCGATGCCAGCGTCCTGTCGTCGACGCAGGACAGTGTGACGTCGCGGTTGAGCGTCGGGCAGCATGTAACAGTCGTCAAGGATGCGACACCAGTGTTGTCGTGGCAGGCACTGACGTAGCCAGACGGACAGGCAATTCCTGGAGAAAAGTACGCGTCGGACTCTGTCTGGATACCGGGAGGGAGACAGGTCGAAGCGACGTCCATCATGGCGAGGAACGAGGACTTGACGACGCCGGTACAGTCTTTCGGGCGCGAAAACGACTTCGTCAAGGGATTTTTCGGGAAAGACGTTATAGCGGGCGGCGAGGTCGTCGTGCCCTTGCCGGTGCCGGTAGGCGTTGACGCCGTTCTGTCCGCCATGATGCCGATGGACAGACAGTAAGTGAAGTTATCGCGAGATCAAGCAGTCTGTGTCCGGCGCCGTGGTATCGAAGACGAGCCCTTGATTCCTTCGCAGGGAAGCGATCGGCCAAGAACGCGACAATGGTTGAACAAAGTTTGAATCCTTCGCGAGAGGGACGCAGCAGACAACCGCAGGGGATCGACCACCTCCCGTCTTGAATCGCAGCACCGCCTGCGTCTCACCCCATGCCCATCAACACGCTGAGAGCCAATTGATAGTCGGTACGGTGGAGCGCTTAATCTGCAGGCCCAGAAGCGCCACGCGCGAAGCAGGGAATATCTCTTGGGGGCTGCGGCTCCCGATGCTACCTGTTTGAGTTGGGAAACTCGAGACTTTTCCCCAGCATTCATGTCCTTCCACACTCGTTCCACTGCCAACGTCTAGGCAGAGCATTTTGCCATTATGCCATCTGGCCAGTTCAGCAGCGAGGCAAGAAGAGGTGGATCAAGGAACCCGCGCGGTTGGGATGGTGGAGAGCATAAGCGCTAACGTCGCAGATCGAACAAGGCCCCCGTGCCGGTGGCCGACGCTCAGAGCCGCAGCGTCCAGCTGTCTTGCCAGAGCCAGGGCCTCGGACGGCTTTGCCACACTTGCAACTCGTCGTGAGCGGAAAGAGAGCAGCCGCAGCCGCCAGTGGCTTCATGTCAGGTTGGGGGTTGGAAGTGTGCCTGGGCCAACGGCCGGCAAGACGCCACCCCGCTACCAGAGCCTATACATAGTTTTGAAGCCGGTGGTGGGCTGTCGCGTTGGCGTATGGGGCGTCGAGAGTGTTCTTGAGATGAAGATTGTGCGTTGTTATCCGTGCCATGTTTGCGTTGGTGATGCCATACTGAAGCGGTGTTGAAGCGACAGCCAGGCCCGGCGCGCCTCTTGCCGCGATGTCAGACGCGCCCCACCCCCACCAGTCCCACCAACCAGCTTCACCTCGAGACTCGGCACCTCAACCTCGACATCGCTCCATTCTCACCGAGGCACCATCACAGCGGCAGCCACCATGGACCGCTCACAACCACAGTCGTCCAATCTCATGGGTACGATACCTCTCCTTCCAGCAACGCTCGCCAGGACGCTGGCCCCCGCCGATAGCGCCGAGCCTGCGCCATGAAAACGACGAACCTCAAGCTGACCAGCACCGCCAGACATCCACAACCGCCTCGTAGCAGACATCCTTACGCGCTACCGCACGCTCATGATGCACGCCACGGTCCAGGCCGAGGGTGAACGCAACAATGCCACCCCCGAGGCCATGGCCGTGGCCGGCATATCCATCAAGATGGAGTTCGACGGACTGGTAGGGCGACCACTACGCCAAACTCCTGTGACCAAACCTACTGACCACGCGCGCAGTATTCGTCGATCAAGGAGCTCCTCACCCTTTCGCGCCGCATCAAGGAGCTCTGGGTTTTCGGCCCCCTCGGCAAGGCGGACCCGGACCGAATCGCCAAGGAGGCACAGATCGAGCGTGACGTCGCGGCCGTCGCCGAGCTCGCTAACGGCCTGGAGGGAGCGGACATGCGTGCCCTGGCGGAACGGCACGGCGGCGCCTGGGAGAGACTCACAAAAGATGAGCCTGAGCGTATCGCTGGCGGGGCCGCTGCCGGTACACAATGAGACGCCACGGAACCGGGTGGATAAAAAGGCGTGCTTAAATGGCGTTTGGTTGTATCACTAGAGGCGGATAGATACCCACGGTTTACCCTGCATATAGTACATCTCTGATATTCATTACCTGGCTGTATGTAAACTAACCCTCGCCGCCCTCGGGATCCTCGTCCTCGTCACCAAGCTCCTTGTCCACCTCCTCTTGCACCTTGCCCTCAGTCTTGGAAATCTCAGCGACGCTCAGCCCACCAGCAGTCAGCCACAGGAAGTGGTTCGACTTGAACTGATCTATCTGGTTGAAGAAGGCATGGAAACTGCGCAAGGTCAGCTAAGTTTCGGGCAATCTGCAACGTGCAGGGTACTCACGTGTTTTCCTTCTCCTCCACGTCAAAGATGCGCGTGTAAATGTGCTTCTTCTTGAACGCCTCCAATGGCTCTTCGTACTTGCTGAAATCAATCTCCGGTCTGTCCAGCAGATCGGTCGCCCGACGGTTGTAGTTCTCGAACACGGGTCGCTCGAGGAGCAGGCCCAGCCCGGGAGCCTTGGGGATCGCGATCTTGCGATTCCCGTAGCTCTCCGTCACGCGGTCGAGGTCCGTGCCGCACCGCACCAGGAGACTGACCATGCCGACCATCTTGCGGATCTGGTGCATCATGAAGCTCTGGCCGTGGACCTTGAGCGACAACCACTCCGTGTCACCAATAATGACAGGCTCCGGGTTGACGATGAAGGACTTGATGTGCCGCTTAGCCGATGGGTCGGAGAAGGGCTTCTGAACGGTGTAGTTGTGGAAGTTGTTGGTGCCGACGTATTTGTCAAGGGCAGCCTGCAGACGCTGCAGACGTTCCGTGCCGATGCGGTAGCGGCGCTTGGCAGCGACGTAGGCGGTCTTGATGTCACGCAGGGCAAAGTCGACGGGGCCGAGCTCGCGGTGCTTGGGCTTGTGAGTGGTAAGGACGGGCTTGGACTCTGCTGCCGCGTCCGTAGAACTCGGCCCAGCGTCATTCTCTTCCGCCGCAGACTCTTCCTTGCTCGAAGCAGGTGCCTCTTTGTCGGCATCTTTAGCTTCTTCGTCAGACACGTGTAGCCTCTCGAGCACCTGTGCCCTGATCTCGGGGTCCAGAGCCGCAAGGATCGGCTTCACCTCCTTCTCCTCCACATCCGACCAAAAGTCCTTGACATCTGCCAGCCGGGCGCCGACCTCCTCCTCTGCCCCATACTCCTTGGTCAGCTCGGCCAGCTTCTTGCCGAGATACGTGGCCGGGTGGGGTGGCAGCAGGCAGTAGCTCGGCATGAGATACTCGTAGAATCGAGAGTCGCAGTACTGATAGCAGTTGAAGCTATTGTTCGTGCGCTGGATACCCCAGACGCGGATCTGCTCCGGCAGGTACGAGTTGATCTTCTCGACGATGTCCTCGTCCTCGATGATGAGCTTCAAGCTGATGACGTTGCCCGCCGCGTGCACGCCCTTGTCCGTTCGGGCGCACCGTGCCAGGCTCGACTTTCGCGGGTCGTCGGCATTGGCCTTAGAGATGGCCTTGGCGTCGATGAAGGCGCGGAACAGGTCGCGCTCGATGGTGGGCTCGTCGCCGTTGACCTGCATGCCCTTGTAGCCGGTGCCCGAGTACCCGATCATGACGGCGACCTTGCGCTTGGGACGGCGCTCCTCGGCCGCAATCTCCTCCTTGGAGAAGGGGTTCTTGGCCTCGCTGTCGATCAGGTCGCCCTGGGAGTTGGTCTTGCGTCGCTTGTACTCGCGCCAGTCGTCCTGCTTCTGGCGCTTCTTGGACTCCTTGGCCTCGCGCCTAGGGGCTGTCAGCTTCGTTGGCGTGCGGTTTCCTGCGGCGAGATGGGGCATGTGCTACGTACTTTCGCTCTGCTCGACCGGCGTTGGCGCGTTTCTTGGAGGGCTGGCCTCTGTCGCCAGTGTTCGCCGCGGCGGCATCGCCAGCTGGGGCTTCGCTGCTCGTCGCGGCGGGATTGGTGTCGGTCGGGGCGTCGCCACGCTGCTCAGCGGGCGCGCCATTCTCGGCAGGAGGTTCACTGTCGGCCACCATGCTCGCATTGGGCCGTGTCGGCGGTTGTGCGGTTGAGAGGATGTCGCGGTGCAATGGAGATGCGCATGGCGGAGCAGAGAATTCTATCTCGCAACTTTTTGGTGGGGCCTCTGGGAGTGGGACGCTGCGCGGTGGCAGCTGGTAGGGCCGCTAGCTGGCGACTCGCCAGCGCCACGTCTGTTATGTTTGCTCCTCCAGCCTCTCGCCAACGTCGCAATTTTGAGGGCACTGTATCATTCAAGCACAAATTCCAGTCTGCGTGTTCAATGAGAATACCCAAATCATGTCAGTCTCTTCCTGTATCCCTTTATTTGGTCAGGTTCTTCCCAGGTTGCACGAAGACCTTTCTGTAGCCCACGACAGGCAGCGCGTGCCTCCTCAACTTGCCCCGGTGATCGTCTCTACAGGACCAAGTTCATCCAAAACCCACCAAGATCAAGCAAATAGTGTATCATATGATGCTTCATAAGCCTACAGGTATCGTATCATCATCGCCTTGTTTGAAATGCCGGTCGTCATCAAGCATCCATCCCGCGAGCCCCTTCATCATCTCGCTTCCCTGGAGGACAAGCCACTGTGCACTTGTACGCCAAACTGTCTCCAACCCCAAACTTGTACGAAGCCTTTGCCCAAAGGCACCCACTGTACTCGTATATGACCACTCCCGTCATTTCGGAGTCATCGTCGCTAGGCTGTGCCGCCTCAGTGACCTGGATCTTGCGATCCCGTGCTGTGGGTGTCGGTTGGATGCTCGTCACTGGCGTCGCGCCAGTCAGGCGCGCCAGCGATGCACAGTCGACTGTCGTCAGAGGAGGTAATGTTGGATTGAGAGAAACCGCGCTGCGCGTCGTTGTCACGGTGGAAAACGTTGTCGGAGCGGCGGCGGCAACGCCGGCAGTGCTCAGAGGCATCTTTGATTCCGGCAGGGTCGTCGGATCGCTTGACATGGTAAAACGTTCAACGCTTTGCCTACGCGCGGTCAGTCTCCTTCAGGCACACTCAATGGCGAATAACTCACGTCGTTGTGGACGCATTCTGCGCGGCATCGCCGCCGCTGTTCTGTCTGTCATGTATCCTGCCCACCACCGCCGCGACGATGAGCGACACCAGGACAGTGATGAATATCGATGTGAGAAGCCTGACTAGTAGCGTCTTCCGGCGCTTCGCCTTGCTCCCTGACACAAGCTCCTCCTGGTATTGCGGCGGCGCGCCCTCCGCTCCGTACGCTGGTGGTTGTCGAGGGCTCGGGGGGTCGCAGTCAGATGGGTTCCTTAGTGTCGTTGAGTCGCTCCCTGCAGACACTGGTGACGGGGGGCTTCGGAGCAGGACCACGTCGCTCGTCGAAATGCTCACGCTGGGCGCAGATGGGTATCGCACGGGAGGGCCTTGAATTTCCATAGTAGGGCTCTTCCTATCGTCAGGATGGAAGCGCTTGGGTCGTTTAACGTCCGCGACTCAAGACCATACTTGAGGGCGGTCGGGATTGTTGGGTACAGTGCGTGATGACGATGCACGATGAAAGTTCATAACGGGTCAGTCAGGCAGACTGGCAGAGCAGGGGACCAGGCCGATCGTGAGCTTCGCCTCGTCTTGTTGCCCCGTGCCAGTTGATGAGGGCGCCTGTACGCCGATGCACCGATGCTATCGCCCCGTTCTGGAATGCTGATGCTACAGGGAGTCTCAAAACACCAAAACACCACCAACCACAACACTTACAGAGGAACATCATCTCCTAAATGGGAAGATAGCGCTCTCGAGCTGAGTTAAGGTCCTATGATTGACATGTAGCTGTTACGTCAAACTGGTGTGAGGGTGATGTGGGCTTGAGAGGTGGCGAGACCAATCGGTGCCAAACCATGAAGTTCACGATGCCTCGCTAGACTCTAGTCTAGGCCGAGCTCGTGGCGTTTTATTCGGCCGACACTCACTTATTTTTCAGGGTAATGGACAATTTCTACGGGAATAATGCCCAGTGTGGTCGCCTGCCATTACCCGTCCGGCGTACCGCTCTGGTATACATGCAGTCCATATATTGCAGTTTGAAGTTCTAAAGATTTAGTTCAAAAACCTCAGCGTATCATTTAATTGAAACATATTATACAGTTGCAAAATTCTCTATGTGCCTCCTCTCCAACTAGTCATCAGTGGGAATGCCCTCATTATCTCCAGGCTCGCGATATCCGCCCTGCGGCTCAGCATGGCGAGTGCGCTCCTTAATTATGTTGCTCTTATCGATGGCCTCGGCGTCATCACGCTCTAAAAATACGGAGTTAGGCTAAAGGCATAGGATGGACTGTGCGAAAACAGTTCACGTACCGAGCTGTGCATCTGAATTGGCCATGGTCTCATCAATAGGGTCTTCGACCTTGGACTCGTCCGCTTGGACGGGGATCTCAGACTTGTCGCCCTGACGCGACACATACTCGTTGGACTCGTCGGAAGACATTTTGGCGGATATGAGGAAGTGCTTTAACTATCGCAGTTTTGAAGTGATTGCAGAACGTTGCGCCGGTTGCTAGCTGATGTGATTGATGCTCAAAAGAATCCTGCTTCCACAAGTTGACATGCTCGATACTTATACGCAATGGGCTCGAGCGTTTTGCTTTTGCAAAGGGAGCGTTGCGCCGGCGTCGCAGGGAGTTGTTGTGCACGCAAAGTCATGACGACATGCATTTGCGACGCTGGCGGACCACATCAAAGCATCATCACCAACGGTCTGATGGAGTAGTGGATCAACGTGCTCAACGATCGAGACAAACACTAAAATCCAAAACTGCCGATTGATCAATCTCATTGATCTGAGCTGGGATCTAGCTGCTCGCTAATCGCTGCCGGCTGGAAGAAAACCTCCGACCGCACAATTGTTCAAGACACGCCGCAGGGAGCGACGGTCACGTTTTTGGCTCGGGATATTGCTTGCGGTGCGTGAATGCTGTAAAACCGTTTCCGCTTTCGAGGAGCCATTGGTGCCGCGTACGGTACGTCGCCGTGATCATATTCACGGACGATGAGCATTGTCGCGCCGTCATCATCCTTCCGTGTCCCATCATCATCATACCAGCGCCTTGCGGAAGAACACGCGCTCATACCCGTCCTCTGTCCTCCTGCCTACCTCATCGAACCCCATCTTGGCGTACAGCGCAAAGTTCTCGTGCATCTTGACGTTGGTGAACAGCTCCAACGCCGTGCGGCTGCTCGCCCGCGCAAAGTCTTCGGCGCACCGCATCAGAGCTTTGCCATATCCCCGCCCTTGCGCCGCCGGATCGACGACCAGGTTGTTGATCTGGACAGAGTCCTGGCCCTCGCTGGCATTCAGGACAATGGAGCCGACCACCGCCCCGGCTTGGTCGGCGACGAGAACGAAGACGTCGTGCGTGAGCAGCAGCTGGGCGTAGTCGGCGAGCATGGGCGCCGGTGGCTTGCCGATGCGGTCAATGTATTTTGTATACGCCGCAGTGACCATTCGTTTAATGTCGGGCACGTCGTTGCTTTGCGCTCTCCGTATCGTCGTCCCTGGCGCAGTTGAGTGGGGTGATTGCGCCATATTGGATACTATATGTTTTGTGCTGGTTGTGGCGGCGGGCACGAATTGTGTGAGACGGTTGTCGGGGCCCTCGGGGGTGGCGTATGTTCAGGCTGACGGAAGGGCCTGGATGAGGGAGGATCTTCACGATGTCTGGGGATAGAGCTCATCCCAATCGTAGACTTTGTCGTGCTCGAAGTTGCACTGGGCAATTGCAACAGTTCTTCGACCAGCCAATTATTACCTATGACTCAATTTGGAGCGTGTCACCCCCGGAGGTGCTGACGGCGGGTCCCGTCAGACGATATCGGGCGATCGGCACCGACACTGCGGCTCTACCTCTGTGCATCAAGGAACGCTTTTCAGACATTCAAACGACTACGTACAGCAGCATCTGTGAACAGAGGCCTCTGCTCCTATTTCATCCTCGCGAGAGATCGCCGTTGGATACACGCGAGCCCGATCAACATTTTTGCAGAGTCGGTGAGGCCTTTTGATCACTCAGGGCCCGTAGCAGTGGCAATCTTCTACTCAACGGGACAAAATCGAGCATGAGATTCGCCTCCTCACTTTCTTGTTGGATGAGCTTTTGCTCCAAGTAAGCATGAGGCAGCCTTGAAGCACCTGCAGGGGGCTTTGAGTGAGCCCCAGGTCACTTTCCACGACATGTCGGCTCGTCGGGCTGCAGGTCCCATGCAGCCCTGCGGGTAGATCAGCCTGATCTCTGGGTCCCATCGGGAACTTTTTCGGAGTCTGGGGGCGCCGCAACCCAAGACTGCGACGCTCCCCAGCATCGTGAGGAATCAGCCGGCCAACGGGGCTGCAAGGGTTTGACAGCGACGGCTCGCTTGGTTGGTCTCCATCAACACGGGTGGCGGGCTTGTTTAGTTCGCGGGGGCGAGACCCACGCCGCTGCAAGGCGACGGGTCGTCGCGCAGCAATTGTTTGTACTCGTACGTACGGCGCGGCCGCTGTAGTCGAACACTTGCCAACGATGTCGAACAAATCCACCATATGGCAGGGCGATATCTATCTATGCACTTATGACCCTAGCACGACGAAAGGCGTCGAGGGTGAGGATGTAGCGAAGGCCAAAGCAGCGCTAGACCAGTTGTCTAGTGCGGAAACTCAAGCATGCAAGGATGGAACAAGGAGAAAAACCAGGGGCATTGCTCATATTCTGTCTGCCCAACGTCAGCGTCTATCGCGAATCGAACGTTGGATGGACGCAATCTGTGCTGCCCGGCCCGGCTGGCGGCACATGTCGCGAGAGAGCTCAATAAGGAAAGAGCTCGCTGACTCACCAAAGGCCTCAAGGTGAAATATACCTAATCGAACCAAAGAGGTTCTCGGCCGCTGCACTCAGGCGCCGGCAGGGTGTCGAGTCACTCGAGCGTGTGCACCAGTGTGCGGCATGCACAGCTGGCAGGTGTCACGGCTTTCCATCGATCGCACGCCAGTGGCCCGGGACTCGGCAGTGTACCCCGATGATGCCATTCAGAGACATTCCCACGCCGACGGGCCCTTCGAGAAGGTGGCGAGTCGAGGCATGCTAGCCATGTCAGCCAAGGTCAGCGCCCGCGCAGGCTGTCGGTCAGCGAAAAGTCGAGGTCGCAAGCAGATCTGACTAAGACTTCGGCGATGGCGCCACTGGGGCCTGGCAGCCAGTGAGGGCAAGCGAGGGGCCAATGGCCGTCGGCGACGAGCACGACTGCCGGGCCCACGGGCTCCACACGGCGCCCTGGCCACCCAGGATAACGCCATCCGAGCCCCGTAGCACCCAAGCGAAGACACGCAGAGGCAAACGTCGAACCGCGCCGCAGGCACGCCATCTTAGCCTTTTGCTGCGCCAGCGCATCCTCCCGCCGCATTCCCAATGTAATGCTGCTAGAGGAGGACCCCAGAGCTTATTCGAGTCCCAGGGCTCCCCTGGACGCCCTGAAGCGAGTCGACGGAAGAAGCAGGACGCCCGACGCGCTGCAGCACAAGCAGCAGGGCGCTGATTGCGCAACCTGCAGACACCGCTCATTCCGGGTGAGAAAAAAAATGCAGTGTCGGTGGGAAGCAGAGAGAAGGGGAGTGCAGTCATGCATGCATGCAACAGCAAAGAAAAAAGGAAAAAAGCAACCACGAATATGGCCCAAGTGATACGTCGTAGGTGCAATACACTGCACTGGACTACAAGGTACTATAGTGAACCCTCCATCGCTCACTGCTAATTGGGGCGCCCGGGCGGCACCTGGCAAGCGACCAAGTCCAACGGCTTCGGCGGTCGGGCGGTGGGGAAAAGTCGCCGCCGCCGTCCCGACAGCCGCCTACTGCAGGCTCTTTTCCTCGCTCCCCCGCCAGCCATGCCGGCGCAATCACCGACACCCTTCCATCCCCATCTTGCGCTCGAATTCCAGAACTGCCCGAGCTTGCACTGCGTTGCTTACCACGAGCCGCGCCCCGGGCAGCACGCCATCGACAGCGCCGCACGCACAAGGCTGCCCTGTCCGATCTGATACCTTATGAAACCGGATGGCCCCCCGGCCCTGCTGTCGCCATCGCCGCCACCGTATATAGACGCTCCGCGTCCGTTGCCCCCGACGTCGCCTGCCCTCGCTCCGCTGCCGCCATGGACGCAGGCTCAGTCTTGCGAAACCGACACCTGCAGTCGCCGGCCACGCCGCCGTCAGATAATGACCTGTCTCGCATTTCGTCGCGCGACGGCGACGCTTCCGCCAACACCTTGAGCGGGGACTCGTCGACAAACCAACAGGCCCTCCGCGATAACTGCAACCGACGACGACCGCAGGACGAGGATCACGACCACGCTCGCCTAAAAAAGATGCCTTCCGAACTGCTCACCAAGACGGTGAGCCCCTTTCTCAAGGAGCACATCCCCGGCATCTACGCCCCCATCGGCAAGGGCAACAACAAGGAGACGACCGACCTCACGCCGGCCCGCAAGGACCCCAACACGAGGTTCTGCTACCGACATCGCCCCGACTCGAAATGTCGCCGAGCCGCGGACGAGACCAAGATGGGCTTCATCCAAAGTGTAAGCCATCCGGCACTCACCATCCATGCTTGCTCGTTTTGCTAACCCTGCATAGGAACTCAACAGCCTCCCCGTTGCCGACCAAGAAGCCATCACCCACGTCTGGTCTCTCTTCTCCGCCGCTCCCGCCAAGCACCGCGAGTTGATGCTCCAGGGCATCATCACACAATGCTGCTTCCCTCAGCTGTCGACCGTGTCGCGCGAGGTCCACGAGCAGCTCAAAATCGACTTCCTCGCCGCCCTCCCCGCCGAGCTCTCCTACAAAATCCTTTGCCACTTAGACACCGTCTCGCTTTGCAAGGCCGCGCAGGTCAGCCGGCGGTGGCGACACCTGGCCGACGACGATGTCGTCTGGCACAGAATGTGCGAGCAGCACATTGACAGAAAGTGCACCAAGTGCGGTTGGGGCCTGCCGCTTCTCGAGAAGAAGAAGCTGCGGGCATGGAGCCGTCACCAGTCTGCCCACCACCGACATGATCAGGCTCAAGGCCGCGAAGCCGAGCACAACCACGACCACGATGATGATACCGTCATGAACGATTCGAACAAGCGTTCGCTGTCCGTCAGCGAAGATGGACCCTCAAAACGCCCGCGACTCAACGGCGCATCCCACTCGCGATCACAGCTGGAAGTGGAGCGCAAGTTCCGCCCCTGGAAGGACGTATATCGCGACCGGTACAAGGTCGGCTACAACTGGAAGACTGGCCGTTGCGCCATCAAGACCTTCAAGGGCCACGAGAATGGAGTTACCTGTCTGCAGTTTGACGACACCATCCTCGCCACGGGCTCCTACGATACGACGATCAAGATATGGAACATCCAGACCGGCGAGGTGATCCGAACGCTTCGCGGCCACACGTCAGCAATTCGAACGCTCCAATTTGACGAGTCGAAGCTCATCAGCGGGAGCATCGACAAGACGATCAAGATCTGGAACTGGCAGACGGGGGAGTGCCTCAACACGCTCCAGTGCCACACCGAAGGCGTCCTGTCGGTGCACTATGACGGATGCACGCTGGCATCGGGTTCCATCGACAAGACTGTCAAGATCTTCAGCTTCGACACCAAGCAGACATGCTGCTTGCGCGGCCACACCGACTGGGTCAACCACGTGCGCATCGACTCGCTGTCGCGGACCGTCTTCTCGGCGTCGGACGACATGACGGTCAAGCTCTGGGACCTGGACTCGAAGCAGTGTGTCAAGACGTTCAAGGGCCACGTTGGCCAGGTGCAACAGGTGCTCCTGATGCCAGCGGACTTTGAGCCGGACGGTTACCCGAGCGAGGATCAGACGGACGCGCTCTCCGTGCACAGCAGCCGGAGCACTACGCCTACACCGACGGCGACTGAGCCGCCAGCTGATGTGCGCGCGTCGTTCGGGTCGGGCTTCGCCTCGGATCCGTCGCGGCCTCTGCCTCCCAAGTACATGCTCACGGGCGGGCTCGACAACACGGTGCGCCTGTGGGATATTGAGACGGGCAAGTGCATTCGCAGCATGTTTGGTCACGTCGAAGGCATCTGGGGCCTGGTCGGCGACACGCTCCGCGTCGTCACTGGCGCCAACGACTCGATGACCAAGATCTGGGAGCCGCGATCGGGCAAGTGCGAGCGCAGCTTCACGGGCCACGCAGGACCGGTGACATGCGTCGGGCTTAGCGACAGCCGGATGGCGAGCGGCAGTGAGGACGGAGAGGTGCGCCTGTACAGCTTCGAAGGCGAGGTTACGGAGGAGAGGGGCACACCATCGTGAGAACGACACACACCTTGATGGGTCGCTTGTGGCGAATAAGACCACACGACGCCGATCATCAGCAACGACTTGATATTCCGCGCATCTGGACATTTCTGGGCGTTTGACACGAGATACCACACGGCCGAATTTCCTTTTCCACTTGTTTTTTTTTTTTTACTGATTCGCATCGCGAATGGCGGCGTACTGGACCACGGGATGGTAATGGTGTTCTTTCTTATGTGGGTTTGCTGCATTGTATGGGACCTGTCGGAAAAGCTGGCGGCAACGGGCCGCTGGTCGGGAACAAGGTAGACAAACAGCAGTGCGAACGGCTTCTCATGGCGTCGGCTCGCGGAGCTCTGCATCTTTTGTGTTTTGAGGGCACAGCTCGGTTAGATAGGGTCCGCAAGAGACAACCAGGTATGTTTGCACGACTCGTTTGAGTGATGGCTTGCTGTGAAGCGGTGACGTATGACGGAGACTGGTCGTTTACGGAAGGAAGCTGAGAGCATTGGAACGTGAATGGAGTAGAGGAGACGGTCCGGCTGAGGTCAAGACTTGTGGCGTCGAGCGTCACATGGCTTTCCGTCGATGTCGGAGTACAGCAGCTCATGTGGCTTGCTGGTCTGACGAAAGGGGGCAGTCGAGACATGTCGTGGCACTGTTGGTCGGCCCATCGGGGAAGAACGTGGTCGAGACAAGCCCGCCATGTAGGTACATCACACAAGTATGCGCAAGCCACACCACGACGTAGGGCACATCACATTGCGAAGTCACCATCTCCGTCCAGGGCGAGCATCATTCTCGAGGTTCCAAGCCGCGAAATCCCCGATCCCAGCCTAGCGCCAGGAGTAGTTACGCACTTCGCAGGCTAATCAATCAATCAAGCAGGTCACTTGACCATCATGGTTCCGCAGCCGCAATCAGGAGGGGGTGGGGGAATCAAAGCAAGCAAACAAGCAAGCAAGCGCACGTCTCACCGGGGAGCCGTAGCCGTGGAAAGAGAGTGTCACTGGTGGTCGTGGTTGGTGGCGGGACGGGGGGCTCGATGAGCCTCGGCAACTCGCGGTAAATCACCGGGACGTAGGTGTCAGTGTGCGTGTCCACTGTCCACCGACCGAGAACGCTGGGCCCCGGCCCGAACGGTCGTCGTGTTGGCACTGGGGCTGGAGCTGGAGCTGGGTCCCGGTACGCCGGACCCGGTCCCTCCCGGCTTCGTCTCTGCTCTCGGGCCCCCCCAAGTTCCAACGCCGCACATTCATTCCCTTCCTTCGTAACTACGGACGGAGCGCCGATGGATACAGCTGCAAGAGCCGAGCCCTCAGCAGGGGTTTAAAGGGTGGAAAATGAGCAAGGGGGGTGTGTGTGGTGGTGGTGATGGCGGAAGACCCAAGGCCGCCGCATGGCATGTTGGACCTGATTGATACTGTACCTACAGTGGTAACGCTGGTGCCCCGCGGCGGCGGCGCCGCACCCCCGCAAATGTATCTTTCACAAGCTCGGCTGCTGGTGGAGATGGAGGGAGAGATGCGAGACGGGGGGGGGAGGCAGTGGCGGGGAGAGGGAGAGAGGCGCGAGTGGGTCCGTTCGGTTCAAGGCATATGGCGTCACGGCGCCGTTCGGCTCAGCGACGAGCGCCAGCTACGAAACACGCCGTGGACAAGAAAGCGGCCAAACGTTTCCAAAGGGTCAAGAAAAATCAAGCCATCAAGATCAATTCCCTCTCTTGCAATAGAGACAGCCATCTGCATGTAGAAACAGCTCCGGTACCGGTAGGAGAATAGCCAAAGGCAGGAGTCCTCGTCCATCATCATCAAGCAAGCACCTCCGTCCGGCAACACGGGGACCGCCCTCCGTCTGCCCGGCCTGGCACCTCACTCATCACCACCCCTCCCCCCTTCCTCCGGTGGAGACTCCCAGACGCCCGCCGACGAACCTTGGCCTGCCCGCTCCCCTTGCGGGAAAGCTGCTGTCCTGGGCGCCGCCGCAGCAGCAGCAGCATACCGATTACCGGCTGTCTGTACCTACCCAGCCCAGTAACTGCGGGCGCTGGCTCATGAACAGCCGCGGGACAGTTCGCACACCCCCCGGTACCTGTGATGGAAACCCGCTAGCCTCCTTCTCGGTGCTGGTCCGTCGTATCGAACCGGCCGCCACGCGACCGTGTGTGTGTGTGTTAGAGCGACGAAGAAAGCGCCCGCCGGCCGTCGCCCGCGCCCCATCTCCTCGCAGCCGACTGGGCGCCCCGGCTTTTCCTCCAAACGGGCTCCGTTCCAATGTAGGTACTGTACTTCTCCGTAACTCGGTACTCTTATTTGGGGTAGATGGGAGAGCTGGGGCCCGGGAATCATATGTCAAAAGGGCACACCCAGCCCAGCCCAGCCCGCATTGTGTGTGTGTGTGCGCGTGTGACTCTTTTTTTTGGCCGCATCGTCCCGATTGTCGCATCGCCAATTCCTCTTTCCTCTCTTTTTCCCTCTTCCTTCCCCTTGGATCGCCTGACCTCTACTTGCAGTAAGATCTCTTCCATTCGGTTGCTGCCATCTGGACTGTGTTTGCGCGATCTGGTACGCGACAAGAGAGAGCGTGTGTGTGTGCCGTCATCGTCGTCCGTCTGGATTTACACGTGAAACCCGGAGTCGGCATTGCTCGCGCGACCACCACCACCGCAATCGCAACCGCAACCGCCGCCGTCAAACTCTCCCTCACGCAATTCGCCGCGGGGTTTCAATCGCACAAGCAGAGAGCGGTTTGATTTTCCAGGCATACAAGACGCCGCCCGGGTAGAGTCAGACCCGCGGTCCATCCCCAATCGCGCGCGCGCCTCTCCTCCCTCTCTCTCACACACAACCCTCGCCCGCCGCAATGCCTCGGACAAGTGACGGCAACAAAAAGCCGCCCACGGCGGCCGTCAACCTCATCGGTAAGTGAAACCCACCATGCGCGCACCCAATGGCGAATCTGTTACTGACTGGGATTTCTTGTTTGTTGCAGCCGGAGGTGGTGCCGGCATGATGGAGGCCCTCGTTTGCCATCCCCTCGGTAAGTGTGGCCGGAGCGCGCGAGCCGCCCAACTTGCGACAATCCGTCACTGGTGAGCCCTTAGCGAGAAGCGAAAAGCTGACAGTCTATCCGCAGACACAATCAAGGTGCGCATGCAGCTCTCGCGGCGCGCGCGACAGCCCGGCGCCCCCAAGCGCGGCTTCGTCAAGACGGGCGTCGAGATCGTCAGGAAGGAGACGCCCCTCGGCCTGTACAAGGGCCTGGGCGCCGTGCTCACGGGCATCGTCCCCAAGATGGCCATCCGCTTCACCTCGTTCGAGTGGTACAAGCAGCTCCTGGCCGACAAGAGCACCGGCATCGTCTCGGGCCAGGCCACCTTCTTCGCGGGCCTCGCCGCCGGCGTCACCGAAGCCGTCGCCGTCGTCACCCCCATGGAGGTCATCAAGATCCGCCTGCAGGCCCAGCACCACTCCATGGCCGACCCCCTCGACGTCCCCAAGTACCGCAACGCCGCCCACGCCCTCTACACCGTCGTCCGCGAGGAGGGCTTCGGCGCCCTGTACCGCGGCGTGAGCCTCACGGCCCTGCGGCAGGGCAGCAACCAGGCCGTCAACTTCACCGCCTACAGCTACTTCAAGGAGTGGCTCAAGGAGTGGCAGCCCCAGTACGAGGGTGCCAACCTGCCCAGCTGGCAGACCACCCTCATCGGCCTCGTCAGCGGTGCCATGGGCCCCCTGAGTAACGCTCCCATCGATACCATCAAGACGCGCCTGCAAAAGACGCCCGCCGAGCCCGGCGTCAGCGCCTGGACGAGGATAGCCCGCATCTCCAGTGACATGTTCAAGTATGCGCTCCCCCCGCTGTGCGTTCAGTAAGACATCCAGAACGCTGACACATCCCAACAGGCAAGAGGGCTTCCACGCCTTTTACAAGGGCATCACGCCGCGCATCATGCGTGTCGCCCCCGGCCAGGCCGTCACCTTCACCGTCTACGAGTACCTTAAGGATAAGCTGGAACGCAGCAACATCGCATTCGTCGGTGGTCAGTTTGAGGAGTAGGCGGAGGCGCGTGTTGGTTTCGCTAGAGCATTGCATTGCATAAGACAAGAGGAGCTAGGGTCGGCCCTGTGCATTTCTCGTCGTCGCAGCGCGGCACCCGTCTGCATGGTGGATTCAGTGTTGCATAGACCTGGAAAATTTTCATTTTGGTAGTGAGCAATTCATCAATTCTGTGGCTTCGCTTGGTCTGTCTGCCGTGATGTACGTTCTATCTCTCTGCCGTTAAAGCGCGAGCAGAGCTGCCTCACCTGCCAGGGCGCTTCGGCCGGCTAAAACCCTGTCGGGCCGCGACCTTGGGATGCAGGTCGTCGAGCACCGACTGCTCCGTGATCTCGGCGGGCTCCTCGACCTCGAACCGCTTCTCGAGCTTCAGCCCCGCTTCCTTATCCGCGATTTCCAGCACCGCGCGCTTCATGAGCGGGTACAGCATGCGGGCCTTGATGGCCTTGTTCCCTGCCGTCACGGGACATGTGTAGAAGAAGAGCAAAGGCTCCTGCTCGGTGCCGTTGTGTGTGTGCGCATATCGATAGAACGTGAAGCGCGGCTCGCTCGGGGAGATGGCCTGCGCGAGGTCGGAGATGGAGTTGGGCGTAGGTGATTCGGGGACGAGCTCGACGACTTCGGTGTCGGAGTTGATTTTCTACTAGCGTCAGCAGAGAAGCATTCAAAGGGTGGTAGAAGGACGTACCAGCATGACTACAGTCCGCGCCTTGCTCTCGAGCTCCTTCAAAGCCGCAATGGCATTCTCAGCGACCGGCATGGCCAGGCTCTTGCTCAGGTGAATTTCCCGCGTGCCGGTGCCGGCGCCCGCCTCCTGCTCCGCCCTCTTCACCTCGCCCAGCGTGCGCTCCTCTTCTGTCAGAGGCGCCGCCAGCTTGGTGTGCGCGTCGTGCTTCTTGAAGCCGCTGGGGGTCAGCTCCTCGGCCGTGGTCGTGAAGATGGTCTCGCGGAAGTTTTCGGTGCCCAGCTCGCGCACGAGCGTCAGCCGCGTCGACGCAAACAGCATCTTTTGCCGGACGGGTGCCTCGTCGGGGACATAGGTGACGGCTAGGAACTGCGGAGCGTCGTCGAAGCGCCGCAGGATGAAGTAGCTGGCGACATTGGGCTTGATGTGCTCCTTTAGGGTCGCGAGGTTTTCATCAAACGACGAAGATTTGGAGGGAATCGAGGTGACGGGCACGAGGGCCTCGCGCTCGATGGTGACGAGGAGGGCAAAGTCGTCGGGCCGCGAGACGAGCGAGTTGAACTGCGCCTGGAGCTCCTCCGAAGCTGCGTGAGGTCAGCGTCATCATGCGGGTGCAGACATGACGAGAGAGCGGGCAACGGCGTACCTGAGATTCCGGACTGCATGATTGAGCGATTGGAGCCCGACGGACTGTCGTGAGATGATGGAGAGGGCTATCTGTTCTCGAGGCGCTCGTGTTGTCAAGCGCAACTGGTGACGAAGATGGAGGGGCGGGGCGAGGCGTAGCACCCGTTGCCCCGCTACCACCAGGGGCGGCGAGCGTCATCCTCCGTGAGAGAGCTAACAAGCCCCGCCACAGATTCCAACCTCGCAGGCTCACATTGTCACACTTCGTGCCAATAAATCTCTTTATATTGACTCCGTCATATCCGCGGCCTACAGACATCAAAAACCCGCCATCTCCTCGCCTCCTGCGCACCCTATGAGCGCGCACCACCAGCCGAAAAGCCAGACAGCACGTTCTCCGCCTTGAGGTCCTCGAGCCTGGCCTCGAGCTTGCTCCGGATGAGCTGCACCGCCACGGGGCCCATGGGCAGGTGCAGAGGCACCTTTTCCCCTCGGCTCGCAACCTTGAAGAGTGCCTGCGCGATGGCGATGGGCTCAATCCCCGCGCCCTGCTGCAGTCCCTTCCTGACGTAGGTCTCAAGCTTGCGCGCAGGCATGTCCCCGCCCGCATACGCCGGGTGCGGCGCCATGTACTTCTTGCTGCTGCCCTCAAAGTTGGTCTTGACGCCGCTGGGCTCGGCGATGCAAAAGTTGACTATTTGGAGCGCCGTGTTAGTAGCAGCCCGGAGAGCGGATTCACTTTACCGAGTCCTCTGGGCAGGACAAGAGTCAGGAAGGAGAATAGGGGCGCGCTCACTGTTCCAGTCAGGGTGCATCTCCCGCGCCACGCTCTCTGTCCAGCCCTCGACGGCAAACTTGCCCGCGTGATAGTACGCATGGCCCGGGAACGCACACACGCCCGCAAGCGACGACACGTTGAAGATGACGCCGCCGCGGTGGTTCTTGTCCTGGCGCATCTCGCGAACGGCCCTCATCGTAACGCGCGCCGTCCCGAAGAAGAGCGTCTCGATTTCCTGGTGCGACTGCTCCTCCGTCGCCGACTCCGTGTCCCCAGACAGCGAGTACCCGGCGTTGTTCACGACCACGTCCACGTAGAAGCTGTCTCCAAAGTGTGCGGCCGCGGCCTCGAACGCCTTGTCGACCGACTCGGGCGACGTGACGTCTAGCGCGGTCTTGAAGACCCTGTCGCCTTGGTCGGGGAGATACGAGAGCGTCGAGGGGTCTCGCGCGGTCGCAATGAGGCGCTGCCCGGGTTGCTCGAAGATGAACTTGGCAATCTCGCGCCCGATGCCGCTGGAGCATCCCGTAACTGTCCGTGTCCGTGACTGTCAGCCTGTCCTACGAACCTCACACGACGACGCGCCCACTTACTCAACCAGGTGGCATTGTCCGGGAGGCGGTAAGGCTTGGTGTTGACTGGGTTCATTGTAGCAATTGATGTTTCTTTTGTCGCATACAGATTGTCTTCTTGTAGATCTGCTCCAAACACCCTAGCATTGTCTGGGTCAACTCGGGGCCTTTATAGCCAGACTTTGAGCCTGTCATTCTCCGTCTCGACTCCCTTCAGTACACCCATTGGCCCCATCGTGTAACGCAACTGCGTAACCACCACCGATTTTCATAATGCTGTCAATCATTGAGCCTCGATTCATGTTTCCACATTGACCAACCAAGCATCATCTTTCGCCAGGTGAGTCACCCGGCATGATCTCAGTCAACAGGAGTTCAGAAGCTCTCCGTTGAGAACCTCACATCAGACGGCGGGCAGACCGGGATTCGACCAGTTGAGCCCACCGAAACCGTAAAGTCCGGTCCGAATCCCGAGTCACGTCTCCCTACCCTGGAGCTCTCTGAGTTGAACGGACGGATTGACATGTCTCGACTTGACCCATCGCCTTCAATTGAGAAAAAAGAGTTCTGACCACTGTCCAATAACTCTAGTCCACCTTCATGTAGCCGGTAGGTAACGCTCCCCTGATTGTGCTGGCGCAAGATCATGGTCAGCCGCGTGCACTTGCGATCTACGCCCGTGTAAGTTGATTAGCAGGCTCTAGTTCAACGACAAGCTGAGGTCGCTTCAAAAAGCTGTGAATTGAGCTAGGTACATTTTCCACCTCATTAACTTGGCAACGCCAACGATATTATCGCACCTTTAAAACCTCGACCAGCTAATATTTCGCTCCAAAAATCCCCAAGGCTGAGACTGAGATACTGCTGCCGAGGAACCCCTGACTATTTGGCCCCTACATAATCATGGCCGCGAGGACGGCCAGACCGCCGACAGTGGTGAACGGTGGCACATGAGTACGAGTAGTGTATGATCCCGGAACTTGAGAGGGGACAGGTGGCTGACCTTGAGGGTCGTTCGGGTCCGAGGGCTTGGGCCAGAGGGTCGTCTCGGAAGGAACCACGTCCGGCGCAAACGAAGTCGAGCAGTTCGTGCTGGATGGAGGCTCATTGTAGCCTTGCTCTGGAGCATTTGGGTCGGGGAAGATGTCTGCCGATGGCGTAGGTTGTTCCGCAGGAGAATATTCCGGAGGGCTCGGCCCCGAGCTGGGGTCTGGCCCAAGCCCGCTAAGAGAGGGCTCGCCGTAGGTTGGTGGCTCTGACTCCTCTGAAGCTTGTGTCGGTCCTCCTTGTGGCACTTTGGTGACGGAAGTGGGAACGTCGGTCCTGCCGTAATCATCCAAGGGTGGTGTTGTTGGTCCAGCAGGACCCTGCGAAGGAGGCGGAGAGGATGAGAGAGCAGGAGGAGGCTGCAGGCTCAGACCTGCTGGCACCGTGGTTGGCGCATCCGGGGCAACGCCCACCGGCGAAATCAACGTCACATCCGGAGGATCCGTTGATAGGGTTTTGTTCTCATCGCAAGTAGTGTCTGCTGCTTGAGTCGGAGCACCTGTGTTGGTCATCCTGATTGTCACAGGCTCTTGTCCTTGACGTGATCGAGTGACTGTGGGAGGACTGGTGGATAGGACTGGCTCCTCAGTGCAGGTCGTACTGATGGATGGAGAAGGGTTCAACGGATTTCCAGTTCTGATAGTCGCAGGGTCCTGTGCCTGGGGCAATGGGGTGCGATTGTTTCCGTAGACATTGCCAGTACTCGCAGTGTCTTGGGCACAGGTGCTGCCACAAGCGCCCAGAGCCGGATCGCCCATGCAGGAGTGATCGCAGATGGCTTCATCAAGCTGGACAAGGGCGGTCGCATCATTGCCACATCGGCAACAACTGAGACGGGTCAGACTAGAGCTCAAAACAGATTAGGTGTGGACGAGCCTACTCTTGAAACACGGCGGCAAGCTGGTAAGCGTGGCAAGCCCGCTGGCAAGCCTCTGGAGTCAAGACTCCGTCAGAGAACACCATGGGGTTGGTAAAGGACGCCAGATCGACTGTGAAACAGCCCAGGTACGTGAATTCGGGGAGCTGATGGCTTGCCTGGACAAGCGCTTGGGCGACAGCACCCACGATGGCGAGCACTAAGGCGACTGTGAAAGCCATCGTGATATCCACTGTCGATGTTCAGGGGCAGTGGTGGCAAGATGTGGACTAAAGGAACGAGATGGACTCCAGCTCTGTGTCTCGAGTGTAGAAATGAGGGTAGAGAGTAGAAGAAGCGATGCACTGGAGGACACGCGGAGAAAAGGACGCCTCGCCTGGCTACGGGCTTGGGCGGAAGGAGCGTGCTCTATGAACACCCGCGCCTTCCACATTTCGCCAGCCCAGTGTACTGGCGGTGAGAGAGGCAAGCACAGCATGGCGGCGCGATTCTCGGCAAATGCAAGTAGAATGGCATTCATTGTGATATTCAATGGGCTTCCCGAATACTTGAACTGGTCGAGAGAGACATGACGGTTGACCGTGGATGTATTGTCGAGGCCTTACGCGGGGTTTGGGGAGAGAAATGCTGTCGAGGGTCGCCAAAGGGGTGGAGTTTTGCAGGACTTGCAGTCAAACCAGTTTGCAGTTCCAGGGCAACTCAAACGACTACAATTCGGACAACAAATTCGGCTTGCACGCAGGGATCGTAGCCCGACGACAATCCTGGGAGTGGTCCTGAAAGGCGAACCCGAAGACAAGGCAGCTGCGCGCTATACATAGCCATTTGGCTTCTTAGGCGGCGTGCAATCACCCAGTATTAGGAGTACACGGGTGAGACGACGTTGGGAGTCCGCCTTCAACTTGCATGAGCGTAATTCGTGCAATCGTGAAGTAAAGGCGATGTCCGCTAATACACCGACCGGTGAACTGCACGTGATGGCGTGGTTCTCACTGACCGGCGGGATTTGGGCTGGTGGACCACGAATCCGGCCGGCGCCAATAGACAGCCTAGGTGAGACCCACATCCACCCACAATGGTGCAGGGCACGAAAACCCCAATTTAGCGAAACTCGCAAAGTGTGCAAAACTTTGGAGACCAACCCGCCTCACGACACCAACCGACCATCACCACCGTCGAGCAGCACCAGCCGTCAAGATGAGCGCCCAGGCCCTGAACAAGATCGCCCCCAACAGCCCTTCGCGGCAGAACCCCTCCGAGCTGGAGCAGAACATTGCCCAGGCTCTCTACGACCTCGAGACCAACACGGCCGACCTCAAGGTCGCCCTGCGTCCCCTGCAGATCGTCTCTGCCCGCGAGGTGAGAATAGCAGCCACCTGAAAAAGACACACAACCTGCCAGACGGAGACCGCATTCGAGGTCCTGTTCCAAGTCCTACAAGGCAAACTCTGCCGGCGACCGCCGCGTCCGCCCCCTCGAGCGAGCGAGAACAAGCAAGCACCCCGATTCGAGAGAATTGAATGATTGCCCACCCGCGCCTCGTGATGGATGGACGCGCGCGCGCGCCGAGCCAGCGCCGCTATTGACTTTTGAGGAACAGGACGGGAAGCGGTCCAAGGCTTGTCCTGGAGCTCGCATGCTGACTTTTGGTCTGGAATAGATCGAGGTTGGCCACGGCAAGAAGGCTATTGTCATCTTTGTCCCCGTCCCTTCCCTGCAGGGCTTCCACCGTGTCCAGCAGCGGTAAGTTTCTGACCCTTTCAGACAATTGGCAATGAAAGGCCGCGACTGACTCCCACGCAGCCTCACCCGTGAGCTCGAGAAGAAGTTCTCTGACCGCCACGTCCTGATCCTGGCCTCGCGCCGCATCCTCCCCCGCCCCAAGCGCTCTGCCCGCTCCCGCAACACCCAGAAGCAGAAGCGCCCCCGCTCCCGCACCCTGACGGCCGTCCACGACGCCATCCTGTCCGACCTCACCTACCCCGTCGAGATCGTTGGCAAGCGCATCCGCACCAAGGAGGACGGCAGCAAGCTCCTCAAGGTCATCCTCGACGAGAAGGAGCGCGGTGGCGTCGACTACCGCCTGGACACCTACTCCGAGGTCTACCGCCGCCTCACGGGCCGCAATGTCAACTTCGAGTTCCCCCAGACCCCCGCTGAGTACTAAGCGGTGGATCCGGAGATGGGAGAGTGACGTGCCTTGTTAGCATTGATGGTTGGTCCAAAAACTTGGGGGGCTCGGCGTCTTGAGATATAGGTAGCTTGATAATGACACAAGCTGCTTCATGATTTTCGTCATAAGAAGTCATTAACTACTCAATTGGCCGCTCATCATCATCTATTCGGGGTATCTAGATGTCCATGCGTTCCTCATTCGTGACTGATGCGTCCAACGCCCAGGACGCACCAATATGCGAGCTCCCGCTTCTCTCGTGCCTCCTTTTCCTTCTGCCCGGCACTGACCTCGTTCTGCGGGTCCGCCTCCCACTCCATGCGTACAAACATGGGTATCTCTAGAATGTCTTCGTCTTCCTTGAGCGGACCATCGTCCACATCTGCATCCTCGGCGCCAATGGCCTGGTTCTCTGGTCGCAGAGAGGCTGGGATTACTTCCAGAACAATGCTCACCCAATTGCGTCCTTTCTCCCATATCTTGCCCGCCTCGCCACCGGCGGCATCGTCGCCCCTGCGGCTCCTTCTGTCCTTGCCGTCCTCTTTGAGCGCGTCGTCCCACATGTCCGTGTTGGCATCGACCTCAAACTGAGGGCAGAGAATGGTCACCTTGCTAGCGAAGCGACCAGGTGTCACGTTTGGCGTCGCGAGGGTGACCTTGATGCTCTCGAACAGGGGGTTTTTGAATGTCAGGATGTATTGGTATGGTCTCAGCGGTTTGAGGGGGGACTCCTCCGCGATACCCGGCCGGGAAGTCACGGGAATCACGGCCGCAGTGGGTTGCATAGGACGGATCGTGATGTTTGGGATATATGATTTGGCCACCAGGCGGATCTTGAAGCGAGTAGACGTGACCTTGTTCTCAGGTTTGGATATGATGTGTCGGCAGACGGGGCAGCGCTTCGAGCGTTTCGTGCGGAGGAGGTACGGTATCGGTCTGAGGTCGTCTTGGAACCGTACTGCCGGGTCGACTTGCGCATCTCGCTGCTCGCGCGACGCTGTGGCTTCCCAGCCTTCGTGAGTGAGTTTCTTGATAAGACGCGACTCGTCTAGCTGCGCGAGTTTGAGGCCTTCTTCTGTGTTGAGCGCCTCGCGCATGACATCAGGGGGACCCTTTTGCAGGCGCCCGCCGTGACCGCGACCTGTATAGAGCGACATGATGCGTGTCAATGCCGCGGGAGAGGAGAAACCGACACCGTCGTGCAGAGGCAACCCGCCCAGCGAAGTGCTCGCGTCTGCGAGCTGGTCGGTGTAGAACGCTTTGAGGCTCGCGAATTGAAAGTCGCTGTCGACTTGTTCGTCGGCCACGAGAGGCTCGTCGGGGTTGTCCTTGCGCCGCTCCTTGACATCTTTGGTCGTGAGCTTCGGTGTCCCGCCGTTGTTCATCTTGGCGAGCTGCGAGTGTATGCCTCCAGGGCGGTCAAACTCAATGCCTGTCTCTTTCGAGGTCCAGTTGCAGTACTGGCAAAAGAGAGCTAGTGGGCCAGTCGCAGAGGCTGCGGCCTGGCCTTCGGCAGAGACCGCATTCGTGTCGTGTCCGGGCTGGATTGCGCCGACTTGAAGGGGCCCAACGCATACGGGGCATTGGTAGCAGCTTCGCGTGCACCTGGAGAAGCGTGTGAGCTCGCATTGCCTCGAGTCCTCGGTCGTTCGGGGGCCCTACCGGTTCCCCTCGCTGCGGAGGTTGCTGCTCGGGACCTCAAAGAGGCAGCTCGGGCAGTAGTACGTGACCGTCTCCTCGGTGACGCATCGTGGGCAGCGAATCTGCTGACAATCTTCGCAGAATAGGAGGTATTCGAGGGGGTAAAGACTGTAGTTGGATCGCGGGGCGCGGGGGTCGAAGGTGCGCTCGTCCTCGTCGTCGCTCAAGCCGTCGGGCGAGTCGCCCTGCTCAGCATCCGAGTAGCCTGAGCATGGGCACTGTATGTAAGTGTATGGAGTTGAGCGCGCCATGTCGGTGTGGCTGCTACATGCCGGCTGTGGAGAGGGCCGACAATGTTGCGACGCGAACCGCGACGCAGTGCCCTGTCCCCGGTGTGAAGCTCAAGGTGAGCTCGGTGAGATGACTAATCCGAGCGAACCAGCTCTCACCATCGGTCAGGGGCCAGGGGTCGCCCATCTCAATTCCCATCCCAGCAATGGCATTGTCGATCCGAATTTGTGATTCCTGCGAAGTACGAACCGCACTCTATCGCGAACGCATCCGACTCAAGCTATGTAACGGTTTGACATGACGCCATAGAGATGGCCGTGAGTATCGTGTTTCCTTTCTTTTCGGGCAGCGAGCCGCGCGTCTCCCTGGCACGGCAGAGCGACCGTGGCCACCGATGTTTATGGCGTCTGCGGTTCTCACCCGATGCACGATCGAGACGCAGCCGTTTCCTGCACTCGTCTTCTTGCATGCCGGACCGTTGTATCCGCGTCGTCAGCTGTCCGGCGCCTGCCTCGCTCGACATTATCCATGCGTGGTATGCGGTGAAACATGGCTCGGGACGGCGTGGGAGCCGGTCTTCGACCAGGAGCCCTTGCGGTTCCGGAAACCGGGCCACGGCTGCGTTGGATCAGGTCTGTGAGCTCTGCCCGGACCGCTTTGATGCAGATCATTCGTCGCGTAAGCCACAGACGGCTTTGTTTGCATCTCGCGCAGGTGCGGAACAGTGGCTGATCTACCACCGGAGCCTGGCAATGACGCGATGCGTCGTCGACTAATACGTACATACTTGTACATGATGCGATCCAAGGTTGCCGTCCACCCCCTCATTTCAAGGGCCTAGAACAGGCTCAGGCCGCGCCGTCTCGCGGCTGGTGCTGCGGGAATGTGTTGTACAAGGAGCTTGTCGCTGCGTGTCTTGGGCACCCGGCAAGGCATCTACAAATAGCTCCAAGCTCACCTCCAGCAACGCGCACGGCCGCAGGACGTCGGTGAGAAGCGACAGCTTCGCGCCAGCTGCACAGCATCGATGCGGGAGACGCTAGTATAAGCTGAGCAAAGCGGCTTGCCGCGCTACCGTCGCTTCATCTCATCGAAAAGCGCGCCGGCCTCGGGAAATGACCACCATCTTAAATTGCTCAGCTGCTCGAGGTGAGGAGAGCACTAAGAACGTCATCTCGTGGCGGGGGGTTGCTGGGGTGTTGAGCCCTGGTCACTCGTCCAACCGGCACCACGGAGCACATTGTGTGAAGTTTGGCAGCATCTTGAATCTTGGCGACTCATGGTGTGGTGTGATTCGGACTGCGAGCCCCTGCCAAAGTCATCTCGACCACGGATTCGGACGCGGACAATGGCCGCGCGGAGAATGCATGCATGCAAGCGTTGCGTACAAAGTTGTTTGTGCTTCGTCGAGGGACGCCGATCCTGGCAAGCCGCCTCGGGTTGCACTCGTCAGTGGCACAACAGAGTTGCGTGCGGCATCTCGGCGCGATAGCAGCGGCGCGTTAAATTCAATGATGAGCTCATGGATCCATCTTTGTCCACAATCGAGGGGCACCCCTGCAGGTTTGGACGGCTCTCTGCTCTCCTCCCCAAACGCGTTTGAGGCTCACGACAGCTTGAGCTGCGAGCTCAAACGAGTGCTGGAACTTGGGTGCTAATGCGGAGAGCAGTCTTGTCGACAATCGCCCAGCGACTCGGCGTCTCACCGACGGTCGGAAGCCTGGATTGGGTCAGAAACCCCCAGTGCCAGCTCACGACGCGGCAACGTGGATGTCTCTCTTCATATCCGCATCAGCAGGGATCAGTGGGCCCGTTTCATTGGGTCGGCCTAAGACATGGCTGCTGGCTACCGCAGTACATGCGGCGGTATCCCTGCCGGCGTTGTGCGGCACACTGACGATGTGGCCGCCGTGGTCTGTAGATGAGTTGGGTTAGCATGCGCGACATGTTGGTGGTGGGTACTGCTTATAACGATTGAGGTACGCAGTGGATGAATGTACCTTCTTTTTTTTTCGATTTTGTAACCTTCATCTTCTATTCTTTCCTCTGTTTGCTTGGACGGACGGACATTGCCGCCCTGACGCTTACAGTCGGGCTGGCCGAGATGGCAACGGAGGACGGTCTGGCGTCTTGATGCTTGAGCCAATTGAGGCCAAGACGACGTGATCGGTCCTGGAAACCGGTGCATCGTCCTGTACATAGCCGCTGCTTCACAGAACGCGGTTTTTCGAATCACCGACGAGGCGACACGAGCAGTGCGACCGACGGAACCGGGTTACACCAAGTTCTTTCCGAGGCCGAAGTCCGAATACAACGGCGGCTGCCTGTCGACATATATACCAATACCCCGATCATTCATTGTCATTGAGGCTTCCGGTGCGATATTTGAGGAGAGGTGGAAGGCTGGGATCTATGGCACACACGGCCGGCGCCTCCAGGACCGTGTCACGGCCTGGCAGTAGCAGCGCGGGATCGCATCGCATGGGCCGGTCGACGACGTTGAAGCAGTGGGACGGGGCCAAGCGAGCATGCAAAGACTGGGATTCCCTTAGACAGGTAAGACCTGGTTCTGGACTCGCGCCGCTGCGTCGTGCTCACAGCCACCATCAGGATCCTGATCTGTGCGTCCGGGATGGCAACTGCCTCATTCATCTGCACAGCAAAGGCCGCTTAAAACGGGACCCGGCCTTCAAAGTGCCCTTCTCCGCTCTCATCACGACGAAATGCTTTCCTTTCATCCAACGATTCCTGGTCACGGATGGATATCGCCCACAGGCGCCTGACGAGATATTACGCTGGTATCGCTTGAACCCGCGGCGGACGGTTGAGCTGTACGTCCCGCCACCGCCAACAGGTGACAAGCAGCAGGCCCTGCAGTACCACATTGCGACGCGAAATTTGCTGGCTTGGGTTCTCAGGCGTTCTTTGGTCGGGGAAAGCTTGGGCGGCGCCCTGGTCGGGTTGTTGCACAGCATGCACGAGTTTCGCGCCGCTGGCGAGGACAACGTGGGTGACCTGCTGGAATACGTCGACGAGGAGGGCTACTTGACGCTGTCAAACCAGCCGGACTATGCGCTGGCGATGCTGCATCTAGCAGAGGCGTTTCAACTGCGGAATCTGTACCTCGGTGCGTTTGCACATTGCGTTGGCATGAAGCAGAGGCTCTCGTCGAGCAATGAGCTTTCGGTAAGTCTTGATTTCTTCCCAACATACACCCTACATCCCATACTGACAGAGCGAAAGAACATAACTTCGGCGTCCAGGAGACTCATCAGGCAAAAACGGGCGGAGTTGGATGCCCGACTGGAACGCACCGCGACAATGCTCACTAATTTCCTCGACAAGGAGCTATCAGAGGCACACATTGGCATTCCCTTGGGAGCACGCATGCATCTTGACCGGTTTCGCTCGTTCCTATTGTCGTTTTACAGTGCCAAATTCGGATACTACCCTCCACGTCGGTTCGATGCAGCCACGCTGCGCGTCCTGGCCGAGGACTTTGCCGCTCTGCACGCGCTGCTCGAGGACGACGGGTACACGGCCGGGCCTTTCGATCTGATGCCGTCGTCTGCGGTAGGCGGCATATGCACGCTCCAGCTGATACAGGCGCTGGATGCACGGAACCATTTCGATCCCTTGCAGCACCCGCTGCCTCTCCTCCCGCAAGTTGACGCCCAAAGCTCGACACGACGCATCCCGTGGTTCCCGCGCAGCAAAAGCAAGGCAGACCAGCGGCAGGTTGAGCACGCGGCGTTGGTGCGGGCTTCACATTGGAGAGAGGACCTGTTCCGGAACGATCTTGTGCGCGCGTACCGAGGCTTCGAGGAGGCGACCGTCGTGGCACCGAGCCGTGCAGACCGACACGAGAGGGTTTCGCTGCTGGACGCGCGCAAGGTCCGCTGGATACTCATCTACGCGGTGCATCAGACGCTGCGTCAGGTCACGAACCCTGAGGCCGGGGTACCTGATGAGAAAGGCGCACAGTATCTGCTATCCGCATCACTAGATGACGTGCTCCCGTGGAGAGAGCACCAGGATATCGAAAAACTAGCCAGGAGGCAGACCGACCTTGCACTTGGTCAGCGAGGAAATGAAGGGCCGCAGCGGGACGACTCGACGGGCGTGATGGAGATAAAGCCTGACATTGATTACTTTGCGCTGACACACAAGACGCCGCCGCCGCCGCCACCGTCGCGGAGCCGCCGTTTGTCGCTCACCGGGCCATCATCGACAGATGTTTCGCGATCGAACTCGTTCAAGCGCGCGCTGAGTCGCAGCTCGACACTCCGCAGGTCGGTTAGGAGGTTGAAGCAAGCCACTTCGTCGGCGGTCCCAACGCCTCCTGCGACGGCGATTGGGTTGAGCAAGCCAGCTTACCATGAGATTGTCGTGCATGGCTACGGTAACGGGACGAACAATGTGAGCTTCGACACGCCGCCGCCGTCGGAGCCGCTACCCATACGGCGGCTACACACGTCGGTGGGCGTGACGAGCAGGAGCGGATCGACGGCATCGGCGTCGCACTCAGATTCAAGTACAAGTTCTACTGGCCAGGCCATGACGGTGGGCAGTCCGGCAGAGACGTTGGCCTCGTCCATTACCATACCAAGCCCAACTATAGCACCGGTTGCAGACACAGACCCGTCCTGCGACCCTGTGGGCGCGAAGCCCTCCCGGCGCTGGAGCCAGCACGGCGGGTCAGCCCGTCCGAGACTGGCAAAATCGAACTCACTCAAACGACGGCCCATGAGTGCCGCCATCGAGGGCTACAACTACGCCAAGTCACTGGGGCACTTTGTCGAGCAGGAGGGCCGCAACATGCTCTCGCGCAGCGGCAGCAGCAGCGGCAGCAGAGCGGGCCTCTCGCGACGGCACAGCCTCATGGGGGGCGGGCCGGAACTTCGCCACAAGGCGAGCATGCCGCTGCCGCGCGTGATTGACGAGGAGGAGGCGGCGGGGGTGCTGCCGCGGGACTCTGGCGACTGGACGGCGATGCAGGCGTTTCTGGACGGCAAGACGGGCGAGGAGGAGTATGCCGACTTGGGCGGCCTGATTGCCTTGAGGTGAGAGAGGGGGCACTACTGACACATTCATTGACATGCTGGGGGTGCTGGATGGCGTTCTTCTCTGTTGCGGTTCATGCTTGATACCCTGCGTGCTGGAGTCGCGTCACCATGATGACGAAAGGTTCAATCATTTTGATATCCATTGTTTCTTTTGCATACATATATCCTCTGGGAATACGCACAAAAGCGTGGCAGTGAACATTTCACAACGAAAGCAATCAATAGGGTCGTGATGCATGATCGGTTGTGAGACAACACGGACTGGACTGCTACGCCGCTATACGCGGCCAACGTTGACGCTGCTGTACGGCTACCCGACCCGGGCGCTGAACCCCTCTGGCTCTCACCGTGAGGGTCGCAGAGGAGCATTCGACCGGCGTTGGCGATTGCTCGTGTCGTCAGAGTGAGACGCCCTCTGTTCCAGGCCATGTATAGACCGCAAAGATGTTCAAGCTCTCTTCATGTGAAGCAGCATTCTGTCAGTTTTCAACAGTCATCATCTGCGAGATAGCTACACGAGTACACTGCGGGCGGCATTCATTGCCACCAGATCACCGTGGCTCATGTACAATTCGGCGCCAGGGCCACGACCGATTTGTTCGTAGTCGGAGGGGGTTGTATGTAGTCATCAAGACGATCAATATACGTCGTACTGTTATTACAAGATCACAGCATGCTTGTTGGAAGGAAACTAAAGATACCCTTGGGAAGAGATACAGATCTTGCAGTAATAACACTTTTGTACACTACGCATGTGTGAAGCAGCTCTGTAGCTAATGCCGCCGCCCGCGCCCGCGCCAACGCAGCAACACACAAGTCCAAATTCGCTCCGCTTCGCTCAGCACGCAGAACATGAATACACACACCACTCACTGCACCTTCTTGGCCTTGGCCCCCTTGTTCAGCAGGAGGTACAGCGGGAGCAGCACGACGGCTCCCGCGACGCACAGGCCGGTGCTAACGAGCTGCCAGAAGAACCACAGGAGCGGGCCGAGCCACGGGCACACAAACTGGATGAGGTCGTTCATCTGGTACAGGTCCTCCTGGTGGGCGATGAAGTAGCGCAGGCGCTCCTGGCCCGGGCCGGACAGCGAGTTGCTGCTGGCGGTGTTGCCATTGCGCGACGGTGACGTCTCCGACGCGGGGTGCTGCTCGAGGTTGAGGACGGTCGTGAGCTTCACGGGGGCCTTGTACAGGGGGATGAACCAGATGGCAAAGGTCTGGCGGATCGACACGAAGAGCTGGCCGGAGCGCTGGTCAAACACTGGAGATGTGTGTCAATGAAGAGCACCTCTCAGGCACGGTCAACGAATGACGCAGAAAGTCACAACTTACCCGCAGAGTCGATGTGGATATCTATGTTGGGACTGAGCGTCCGGTACCATCTGTAGATGCACAGCAGCAGCCACCGGGACTCGAGACCGGGCGCCAGAGGGACGGTTCCCTTGGAGAAGGACGGGACGCGGCAGAGCGGGTGAGTGAAGGAGGCGTGTGGCACGAAGAAGCTGGTGAGGGTGTCCTGCTGCTCCTGGACACTGCCGGTCGTCAACGTCGTGATGACGGACGCTATTTCGCGAACTGCATCGCAATGACACCAGAGTTAGCCAGGAGATGCTCCAAGGTCTGAGCTGTGGTGACGACGGCGGGCAGCACTCACCTGGATGCTCCATGACTGCCGAGCTGATATGATATGATCCGATGCAGTGGGATTGATGGAAAGACGGCCTTGAGCAGAGCTGACTGGACAGGCAGACAAAACACGGAGTGGCGGGCCGCAAAGCTTCAACGACGTTTGGGGGCAACGGGATGAAATCAAGTCGACAACTACACCAGACAGACGGCTGGCCCGGCCAGACCAAAGATGGGGGGGTCCAATTAAAGAACACCGGACAAGACGTGCGTGCCGGAACGTCAGGAGACTTCACATGCAAAGCAACCTCGTATTCGACACTGCTGCGCGCGGGACGAATTGACCTTTGCGGCAGGGTAGGTAAAAAAAAAAGGTCCCGACTGTCAAGCTGCTGCTGCTGCTGCTGTTGCTGTCGTCATGGCTCTGTCTCGAGGGGCCACAATTGATGGAGCTTCACATGTGAAGGTGACGTCACGATCGATCCGATTCACAAGTGGCCCGCCGCAGTCTGCCGCAGCTGCCGTCGCAACTCGCAGGTCGAATTGCCGTGCGCCAATTGATTTTCGATTCATGTGCCTGGGGCTAGCAGCGAGGAACAGAAAAACTTATAGCCAGCCGCTGCTCTGAGCTAGAAGAATCTTCCGTTGTTCTAAGGGCGCTCTCTCTCTCTCTGTCTTCTCTCTCGCCCGCTCTTCGTTCGTTGGGCTGCCGAACCATTGTAACGATCTGCGTTTGTCGCAGGCCCCGGGACCAGCTTTCCTTTCCTTGCGCGTCGCCGCGCACATTGACAACAAGATGGCTTCCAAGTCGGAGCCCGTCAACTTCCTCCTTCACCCGTTGCTGTTTCTCTACCAGCTCATCCAGACCATCATCGCCTACACGCTCTCTCCGAGCCCGCCCAAGTCCGACAATGAGCTCGGCCGGCCCAAGATTGCCATCATCGGCGCCGGAATCACCGGTATTACCGCCGCGGCGCACTGCGTCGGCCATGGCTTCGACGTGACCATCTTTGAGGCCGGCGCCGATGAGGATGCCGTGGGTGGCATCTGGAGCGTACGTGACCCATCTAACATCTCCATTGGATAACTCACAACGGAGTTGGAGTAAACACGGCGCTGACATGAGCAAACACACACAGAGAGTAAACGAGACGTCGGGTCTCCAGATCCACAGCATCATGTACCGCTTCCACCCGTCGGTCAAGTGGGAGCGCGGCTACCCAGACCGCCAGCAAATCATCACCCAGGTCAAGCAGCTGTGGAAGCGCTACCGGCTCGACTCCAAGACGCGCTTCAACTTCCACGTCGACAAGGTGTACCAGGACGACAAGGCCCGCTGGATCATCAACGACACCTCCAACGGCCGCTTCGAGGGGCTCATCGCCGCCGTCGGCACCTGCGGCGAGCCCAAGATGCCGCACATCCCCGGCATGGACAAGTTCAAGGGCGAAATCTACCACTCCAGCGAGCTGACTGGCAAGGACGCCAAGGGCAAGAAGGTAGCCATCATTGGCGGCGGCGCCTCCGCCGTTGAAGCGCTCGAGTTTGCCGACGCGGCAAAGGCCGCCAAGGTGTCCATCCTCTCTAGGAGCGAAAAGTGGATTATCCCGCGCAACATCATCGCCGATACCCTCCTGAGCCTCAACATCTTTGGCCAGGAGACTAGGCTGTCGTTCATTCCCGAGTTTCTTCTCCGGAAGCTGTTCTACAGGGACCTCGAGGATCTGTCGCCCTCGGGCGGGCTCTTCCAGGATACGCCCATGGTCAACTCGGATGTCATGGATAAGCTGCGTCGCGGCCAGGCCGAGTGGGTGCGCGGAGACATTGAGGGATTCGTCGAAGGCGGCGTCAAGGTCAACCGACGCGCCAAGGGCGTGCCCAAGGGCGGCCCCGGCCACGAGGAAGTCATTGACGCCGACATTGTCGTCATGGCCACCGGCTTCCAGCGCCCCTCTCTGTCCTTCCTCCCCGACGAGTGCTTCCGGGAGCCCTACGAGCCCCCGAACTGGTACCTGCAGACATTCCCGACCATCCACCCGAGCGTGTCCGCCATCAACTGCACGTACGTCTCCGCCATCGGATCCGTCGGCAACTGGCACATCGGCATCTACACGAGGATCCTGTTAATGTTCCTATCCGACCCGCTCACCCGCCCGAGCCCCTTCTGGATGGAGCGCTGGATCGACATGACCAAGTTCCTCAAGAAGAGCAGCCCGACGGGAGCCTTTGACTTCTTCACGTACCTGGAGCTGGTGTGGTGGTTCGTCTTCTGCGTGGCCATCAACCCGTTCCGTTGGAAGTGGGCCGTCTTCGTCTTCTTCGGCGTCGGAATCGGTCTCCCCAAGGCGATTGTGCGCCGCGAGCAGAAGCTCCTCAACGGCCAGGGCTACAAGATCAAGGACGAGGGTGTTAGTCTGTAGAGGTCACGGGACGGGACGTGGATTGGATCGAGTGCGTGACTACGGAGTTCAAAACAAAATTGTTATTTGGCAAAGCGCAGGTTACCTAGCGAATAAAGCATCGGGCATTCCAAGAAGTCGAAGCCATCCTCAAGCAAGTCTTTACCATGTGAATGCTCAACCCCACCAGCGCTCGCCGCATACTAGTGTTGGCTCTTGACAAGTGCCTCTTGAGCATTACGGTTGTCTCTCATGGTCCGCGCTCCTATGCCAGTGGGCCAAAGACAACACGGGGACACGGCTGGACTCTCATAGCCATCGCTTGGTGTCGGAAGGGGATCCCGTGCATTCGTACATGCATCGGAAAATCAGGGGCTCGAAGGAGGCTGTGTCGTCTCATTGATACATGCGGTCGTAGACTTCTCCATTATGCTGAGCCTGCCCATGTTCATGTTCAAGTTGGATGGGAGACAAATCTGATCAGAGCACAGCCTCCATGTCGGATGCCAAGCGGCCTGACTCGGGGGTCCTGATGCGCGAGGAGCTGCACTCTCGGCTGACATATCCGTCCGGTATAGCATCGAGAGCGCCCATAATCCACGATGCAGAATGTAGATCTTCGCCTAGGGATGTCGGCAGAGTTTAACGTTTCCCGGCATTAATCTGACCACCAGGGTGCACAGGGGACGACAAGGTCGTCCTCTTCGGCCACGCACCTTGTGGTGGGGCAAGGAGTCCAGGATGTCATATATCTGGAGCCATCCCATCTGTAAGTTCAAGCGCTGGCATTGCAAACTGCTATACTTGGTACCAAGAATTGGCTCGGAATAAACGACGGTGGTGGAGTGGGCAAACGTACGGTGATGCACCCAGAGCGCTCAGACAGTCGGTTAACCTTTGCCGTACTCCGGGATGTCTTTGCGAGATGGTATTGTACGACACTGTAACCCTTCCTCCAGTGGTCGCCGAGCTACTTCCCTTGCCTGCTTACCTTTGAGAGCGTGTATCCAGGCCGCGGTCGGGCTAACGAATGGGGCTCGTGTTATGACTGGCCCTTTCCATGAGGCGCATGATGTTAATGCACCAACTCAATTAATGACTGTTATCCAAGGCCATCATCGCTGGCATGGAATGGCTCGTCTATCAGTGACAAGGTCTGCTGGCCTCATCATGTTATCCCGCCGGGGAGTCTACGCTGGATATATAGCAGAGACTCTTGCTCGCGATAGTCATGGTGTATATCACATACAGGTCGTTCTCTGAGAGTTGCGCTTCTTGGATTTCGTCCATCAAAATCTCTGATTCAACAGAGGCTGTCTTGCACGCTCATTTTTAAACCGTCACCTCTTTTGACACCACAATGTCGAAGCTTCTCCTCATCACGGGCTTGGCTGTCGCCGCCGTACACAGTGCCGGCGCCGGCGAAGCAGCGAAAGCACCGCAGCAAAAGTGCTTCCAGAACGTCGGCGTCGTCCAGAACCTCATTGAGTACGACGCCAACGCGAACACGGGCTGCGACTGGGAGACAAAGCGGGCCATCCTTTGCATGCAGACCAACGGGACTCGATCCGACGCGACGGACGAGGAGGCGGCAATGTACCGAGCCTGCCTCTGGGGCGACGGTAACAAGACCAGCAGCTACGAAAACGCCCAGGCGGATTGCCTGGCCTGCAAGACGGCGTCGGGAGAACTGACCAAGGAGGAGGCTGACCGCTGGGCAAAGGCGCAGAAAACGGCCAAGGGGGTCTTTCAACAGAACCCGGACATACGCAAGACTGTCTGGGACGTGGTCCAGGAGACCGAGAACAATGGGGCGCCAGGAGAGAACAATCCGGAGGACGGAGCCGCCGGCAATGGTACCCCGACACCCGCGGAGCAGCCGCCAACTCCGTCGACATCGCCAGCCGGGAGTTCCGGAGGAAACGATGCCGCGCCTGCGGCGGCGCCCGGGTCTGGGAAGGTCCAGGTCTCCCAGTTCAAGGTTCAGGCATTGATAGAGAAGACAATCCAGGCCAATGTGATTGTGGAAGCCCTCATCCCAATTGGGCTTGGCACCAAAGCCTTGGTTTCTAGCAAGGGAACAGGCGACAGCAAGGCTAGCAGCACGGTTGAGGAGACCAGTCAGCTCAGAGTTGTTCAGACCAAGCAAATGATGAAAACGGTCGTCCATTTCGGACAAGGAACAGGGAAAATGAGAGCCAATGCCACATTCGTCAGCGAGGTAACAAGGCTTATCCTCACCGATCAAAAGAGCAGAGCCGCCTCCGACGAAGACCGCCAGACGCTGCCCCAGCTTAAGGGTTCAAAGAAGGGCATTTCGGACGAGGATCTCAAGCAGGAGAGCCCAGTCAAGGTCAAGGAGGCGAGCCCCGAGTGTGAGGAGTCATTGAAGGCTGTGGAGGAAAAGGTGCTGCCGGAATCTCAGGGACAGCTGTCGGAGCAGGAAGTCCAAAAGGTGACGTCCGAGGTCATATCCAAGACGACGGTGAAGCTGGAGAAGTCTGTCAGCGTCCAGATCACCGCGCAAGGATTCAAGACAGGGAGTATCGGTGCCGGTGGGGAGGAAAGCGATCTGGAGGATGAGACGGAGGCTGCAGGCGGCGCTGGCGGTGAGATGACCGAGGCTGGCTCTGCGACGGGGGGCGGCGAGCAGACGGAAGCCGGCTCCACGACCGGCGGCGGTGAGGGGCAGACCGAGGGTGGCTCCTCGACCGAGGGCGGCGAGCAGACGGAAGCCGGATCCGCCACCGGCGGCGGTGAGGGGCAGACCGAGGGCGGCTCCTCGACCGAGGGCGGGCAGCCGCCAAAGAAGCCCGGCTCCTGCAAACGCCGCCGCCGCCGCAGCAGCAGCAGCATCAACCGGCGCCGCCAGGTGTCCGTCCGGACCGCCTAATCAGGCTGCGACACTGGGCTCGCCGCTCGAGTACGTCTGTAGGACTGACTCAATGGCGATGCCAGCCGAGCGCGGTCCAAGGGGCCTACACTTGCAGCGGCGAGCATGTTCGCGACGAAAGATGACGTGCAGTTTGCCCGAGCTGATGTTTATCGCGGCCGCCCGTTTCTCCAGGCGTGTGGCGGACGGCCCGTTCATGGGACATCAGTGCCGTGCTTGTTCAGTGCTATTCAGTGTGTTAGATTCGATAGAGTGAACCGGTCCGATGCGCATTTGCAGTGCTCAGTGTCGGTCGTGTCGAAATGGTGATGAGTGTTTGAACGGGTAAAGTTGGGGGAGGTTTAAGTTGCAGGCGGGCATCCAAGCAGCAGCATACCTATGAGGTGGCAAGCCATTCCCAGTGGACCGGGGGCGCCCCCGACGGCACGAGACCCACACTTCAGGGCAGTTGAGTAACGCAAGCAGCACCAACATCCTCATCTTGACGTCCACATTCACAACCATCATCATCATCGCCTCACCTCCAACATCAGACGCGACATCGCCGCCAGGCATCAACTGCCCGAGACGAGGATGAGGAGGCACGCGTCCGCGCTAACGTCGACGCCTCTTCTCCTCTCGCCATGGCCAGCCTCCCTTCGGCTTCGCTGCCTGCCAGCACGACAGCTTCAAACGCGCAGCCTGTCTGTCCTTGAGCATCGCCACCTGACAGGTGACGGCCCAGGCGGCCTCGTCAGCTACGATGACGCCCAATCCGTGCAGGAGGAGCATCGTACCCACATGCTCGCGTGGAAGGCCCTCCCCGAGGCGCAGCGCCGAGACTCTCCCTCCCCCCGGCCGCTGCTCATCTCCTTCGAGTGCACCCCGACCTTCACCCTCGGCCGCCGGCAGGACGACCTCGCGCCTGCGCAGGCGGCTCACCTGCAGCAGCCTCTGGCGGTGCGCCTGCGGTCCGGCAGCGATGAGCGCCTCGTTCCCGTCGTGCGTAAGACGAACCGCGGCGGGCTGACGACGTACCACGGCCCCGGCCAGCTCGTGCTGTGGCCCGTCGTCGACATGCACTCGCCGCTGTACGCGCGATACGGCGTGGCTTCGTACGCCGGCCACCTCGAGGCCACCACCCAGCGGCTGCTGGCCACGCGCTTCGGCGTCGGCGCCTCGACGGTGCGCGACGAGCCCGGCGTGTGGGTCGACGCCGCCGGCGACCGTCCGCGCAAGATCGCCGCGCTGGGCGTGCATCATCGGCGTTACGTGACGGCGCTCGGCCTCGCCCTCAACGTGGACCTGCCCGTCGAGGGCGGCGAGGAGGCGAACCCATGGGCGCGGTTCGTGCCGTGCGGGCTCGAAGGCAAGGCAGTGACGAGCGTGGCCGCCGAGGCCGGAGGCAGGCTAGACGCGCGATGGGATGCCCGGGAGCTGGCGGCCGAATGGGCGCGGCTGTTTGAGCAGGGCATGCTCGACGAGACCAAGCGGACGATTGACGGGCTGCGGAGGTGAGCCGACTGCGGCAACGACAAACTTGCGCGACAACTGGCGCGATGCAATATGCACGCGAAGTCGGATGGCAGTCGGGTGTTGCCGGCCATATTGACAACCACCATGGCGTTCCAGAGCGCAAAGCAGGTCAATTGGAAGTTGGAACCAACGCAACAGCCGGTCGGGCAATCGGCACGGGTACGGCTCTACCTTCCGTTGGACACGAGAAAAGTCTCAAGAACGGCCGGCCCGAGTCGTGTGGTGAGGCTCTATCCGGATTGGAGGCGTCTGGCCGCCGGCGCGCGCCCGTTTCGCCGCCGGCCGCGGCCGAAGCCACAGGCTGGACAACAGGCAAGGAACTGCAGTCGGCACGTGTCTGCCCTGCTGATGCCTCCCCGCAAGTTGCAACCCTCGTCTGCCGGTCTGGGGAGATAAGACAGACCCCGGACTACAATCACTTTGGTCCGCGGTGGGGCTGGCTTATCATGGAGATGATGAGTGGTGGATTTGAGCTCGAGCGGCCGTCGATGTGAGACGGGCGGCACGGGCTGAAATGTGTCGCCGCCTCGAGAGCATTACCTCCGAGGAGCCAGCTGACCATGGCCATGGTAACACTGAATTGACGGATCCCATCGCCTTTCTTTCCTTTTTCCTCGTGTTCTTGTGAATTGAAGCGCAAACACAGCTCTGTGAGGTCGTGAAAGACACGTCAATGCAGTATCCTGGATGCGCTGGGGAAGCGACGCCTTGATTGGTAAGAAACCATTGGCTGGGCCTTGTCTTATCGACGACGCTTCAAACCAGCCCCAACCGCCGCATCTCTTATCAACCACCACCACCGTGGCGGCACTGATACGGCGCCGCCCGTCCTTTACCAACGCCACTCCCGGTCTCGTTTGCGGGAACCCCAGGCACAGCTGGCGGTCATCGCGCAAAACATGGAAGGGGCCAATGTTTCGAGCGCATCCTCACATGCGAGACGGGCGCTCGAGCTGCTCCTAAGTCGGAGCCTTGTCGTGTCGAGTCGTGTCGCGCGCGCCCCCTTTCTATGACTGATGGCTGTCTGATAGCCGCCGCTGCCGCCTTATCTGGCGCGACAATGTCTCGACGCCCGAAAGACGGCCCTGCCGTGCGTGCGTCTGTCAGGGACGGCGGGGGAAGGATGATAACTATAACTTGACGTCCTCTCGGGCGCGAGGCTTGAATAGAATGCAACTCTGCTTATCAACAATTCTGAGACCTGCGTTCCCCAGTCTCTCTCTCTCCCGTCGTCGCCTCCTCCAGCCGCAAGGACAGGTCACTGACAAGCAAGTCAACCATGTCGAGCCCCGGCCCTGCCTTGAGCCAAGGCGTTGGATATGGCATCATCCTCGGCCTCGGCCTGGCCTTTGCCGTCTTCATGGTGCGTAGCACACACACTTACTTGTCTTTCCCCCCGTAGCCATCTCTCCAGCTGCTAAAAAGGCGAGCATCAGATCGCCATCACGCACATCCTCAAGCGCTTCAACAATGAGGTCCAGACGTCGGAAATGTTCAACACGGCCGGCCGCGCCGTCAAGTCGGGACTCGTCGCCTCGGCCGTCGTCTCGTCGTGGACCTGGGCCGCGACCCTGCTGCAGAGCTCGGGCGTCTGCTACCGGTACGGCGTGTCGGGCCCCTTCTGGTACGCCAGCGGCGCGACGGTCCAGATCCTGCTCTTCGCGACGCTTGCGATCACGCTCAAGAAGCGCGCCCCCAACGCGCACACCTTCCTCGAGGCCATCCGCGCCCGCTACGGTGCCCCTGCTCACTTCACCTTTATCGTCTTCGGCATCTTCACAAACACGCTCGTCTCGCTGATGCTCATCGCCGGCGGCGCCGCCACCCTCAACGCGCTGACGGGCGTGCATGCCGTCGCGGCCATCTTCCTCCTCCCGCTGCCCGTCACGACGTACACGTTTGTCGGCGGGCTCAAGGCCACCTTCATCACCGACTACGTGCACGGCTTCGCGCTGCTGCTCATCATCATCTACTTTGCGCTCAAGGCCTACGCCACGTCGGACCTGCTCGGCAGCCCGTCCGCCGTCTACGACCTCCTCGTCGAGGCCGCCAAGGCGCACCCCGTCGACGGCAACGCCGAGGGCTCGTACCTGACGATGCGGTCGCAGGGCGGCGTCATCTTCTTCGTCATCAACATCGTCGGCAACTTCGGCACCGTCTTCCTCGACAACGGCTACTACAACAAGGCCATCGCCGCGAACCCCGTGGCGGCGCTGCCGGGCTACGTCATGGGCGGGCTCGCCTGGTTCGCCATCCCCTGGCTCACGGCCACGACGCTCGGCCTCGCGGCCATTGCCCTCGAGTCGAACCCCGTGTTCCCCACGTTCCCGAACCGCATGAGCGAGGCCGACATCTCCGCCGGCCTGGCGCTCCCCTACGGCGCGCTCGCGCTGGCGGGCAAGGGCGGCGCCGTGGCCGTGTGCCTGATGATCTTCCTCGCCTGCACGAGCAGCTTCAACTCGGAGCTCGTGGCCACGTCCACCATCTTCACCTACGACATCTACAGGACGTACTTCCGCCCCGACGCCAGCGGCAAGCACCTCATTTGGATGTCGCACATCTGCATGGTCGTCTACACGGCCATCATCTGCTGCATCTCCGTCGGCTTGTGGTACAACGGCATCTCCATGGGCTACCTGTACCTGCTCATGGGCGTGCTCATCTCCGCCGCCGTGCTGCCCGCCACGCTGGCCCTGCTCTGGCGCGGCCAGAACCGCTGGGCCGCCACCCTATCGCCCATCCTGGGCACCGTGTGCGCCATCGTCGCGTGGCTCGTCACCGCCAAGAAGACGTGCGGCGCCCTCGACGTCGAGTGCACGGGGTCCAACGACCCGATGCTAGCGGGCAACGTCACCGCCCTCCTGTCGCCGCTCATCTTCGTGCCCGTGCTGTGCCTCATCTTTGGCGTCGACAAGTACGACTGGCAGTCCATGCTGGAGATTCGCAAGGCAGACGACCACGACATGCTCGAAGGCTCCGGCGTGGACCCCGAGGTCCAGCGCGAGCGGGAACTGGCGCAGGAAGCCAACCACGAGCAGGAGCAGATCAAGCTGAAGCGCGCCTTCAAGATTGCTGCAATAATCACCGTCACCATGTTAGTCCCCTCCCCCCATCCTATACCTACCCTCCTCGCACCACATACTGACCAAATCCCAAGGGCACTGTCATTCCTCGTCCTCTGGCCCATGCCCATGTACGGCAGCGGGTACATCTTTTCCAAGAAGTTCTTCACCGGCTGGGTCACCGTCGGCATCATCTGGATCTTCTGCTCCTTCATCGTCGTCGGCATCTACCCCGCGTGGGAGAGCAGGGCGACGCTCATGCGCGTCACGAGGGTCATGTTCACGGGCAAGGCGCCGCGGAGCCGCGCGGCCGTCCTGGAGGCCGAGACGGCAACAGAGGTCGAGTCGAGCGGGACGGCGACGCCCGTAAAGGTTGAGCCGGAGAAAAAGGCATGAGTTGGAGCCTGGTACGGAAGTAGACTTGTTGCTTTTTTGCTTGCGATTAGCCGTAAATGATATCCGAGTGTTTTAGGCGAGGGCGGAGAGACCTCGCTTGGTATACATTATACAATCTGGCTGGGCTTAGTGTTCATGTTGGCCTCATGATCTTGCATTTATCCGCGCATGCAGCACACGGGAACAATGAATCAATGCGTCTCGAACAAGAACCGTTATGAACCGTAGGCCGAACTCAAGTCTCATGACGAAAATATGAGAACGTAAACGTTCAATCATTGCCGCCGCGATGTTGCAGGTTACAACCCAGCCAAGCACTACCAGATCTAATCCACCTCAGCGCCATGTGTTCGCCCAGAAGACCTCATTCAAGTTTCCTCTAGAGGGGGATACAAAGGAGACCGAAGTTGTCTTTTGCGCCTTCTCTACAAAAAGAAAAACAAATCTGCCGACGTCGCGTCTTGCATTTCTCAACACTATCGTCAAATCACTCAAGCCATTGAGCCTCATACTCTAAGGCGAAGAGAGCAAAAAAAGAAATCGAATTGATCTCTTGCCTTCTACAGGAGTCGAACCTGTGACCTTGTCATTACTAGTGACACGCTCTACCGCTGAGCCAAGGAGGCGGATTTGTTGAAGATCCGGTGGCGTATTGCGGCATAACCAGGTTTGTGTGGGGCGTGAGGGTCCGGACCATGGTCCCTGTTCTCGCGGCTCCCCATGAAGTGGAGAAAGGACCGGGGCTGCTCTCCACATTGTCGCGAAGTCGTCGTCCCGGCATTCGCTCCGTAGTGTTGCCAGAACCAGCATCCCGTCGTCCTTCAGGTCAAGTCACTAGTTGAGAGCTGACCAATCTTGATGTCTACGACTTCCAATGCCAGGTTTACCACTGTTTTCAAATGGATGGAGTGGCATCCTAGAGCGTTTTGTTCTCTGCAGACCCTGTTGGTACGATTGGCAAGTCCTGAGCGGCAACATACGCTCAGTGAGCGAAGCCCTGTGAGAGCGCGAGGGTCAACTCAACCAGGCGGAACACACCCGATGACATGGAGAGGCGGCAACGCCAAGTTACATGAGACGCTCACCACTCACCTCGAAACGATACTTTTCTGAGCTGTCCACCATAACAACCCAAACTTTCTTCTCTACAAGCGTACTCCCGTGTCCACCAGCATGGCGGACTTCGGACTGTTTCCAGGGGGTCAGTCGGGACGACTCCGCGCCAGCCGAGGTCCGCTCCGGCCCCCCCCCTGGAGCTTAAGAAGCAATCCAAGTCAGGCACCACGGCCACGCGCCGCCCTCATTACAGCAAGACTCTCTTGATCCTGATATCAGTACATTCACGCACGAATTATCATCAAAATGACCAAAGCCCTTCAAGTAACTGCGGCCGGCTGGCTCATCATTGCCCTGGGCCACACGGTACGTGCCTGCTGGAAGCTCATGATTTTATCCTACCACTGCTCCTACATTCCGCGGCGTGGCTCCAAAAACCCCTGGGAGGGTTGAGTAACATGCTAATGAGAGTGAACCAACGCGCAGCGCTCGGCAAAAGACTGGCAGCCCCATCTCAAGAACCTCCCGAACCTGGCCTACACGTGTGCCAAGGCCGGCTGGTACGAGGGCAGCGGCTTTTTCGTCCTGACCGGTAAATATCACCCAAGCCACCGGGCGCGCATCAAGAGCGGCATGGCCGTCTCCCCGTGTGTGTGTGCCTGATTGATATGCAGCTGCTGACACGGGACCGCTCAGCGCTGCTCAACTACGCGTGGGCGCAGAACCCCGAGCTCCTCCAGCAGCCCGTCTTCAAGACCATCGCGGGCCTCTTGGTGGCCATCACGGGCGTCGCCGGGTGGTATTACGCGAAGAGAGGATTGGGATCCATTGCGCTGCCCGTCGGCGCGATTGGCGCGCTGCAGGCGTACTCGGCCTTTTCGATCTAGACGGTCAGTCGGTAGTGTGTAATAGCTTCACGATATATTTATGCAACAATTTTGTGCTCGTCGTGTGCGGGTGTGACGTTTGTGTGGTGCAGCGTGGTGTGCGATTGGTGAGGCAAGCTCTGATGCCCATCGTGCCAGCTCTGCCAGGTCAATATCCAAGTGTGTGTAGCCCTCGATCCCGAATATTCATGCTCAAGGGAGCAAAGAAAACATTCAGGCTGATCCCGCTAGAAAGTGCCATGCGTGTTAATTGTATCGCAGAATTTTGGCTGTGGTTTGGTGTCAGCACTGTTGAGCCCGCTGTGGTGTCCTGGTGAACAGGCTGATCACTCGAGGTCTCACCAACAAAAACGCATCCACCAAACTGATGGCATGTACACGACCCTCATCATGGCCACCAACTGTACCAACAGGCACCAACAACGCAGGCGTAGAGGGGTATAATTCCCACCACCGCCGGGAACTCAGCGCCGACAATATCACACCCCATCGCGGATCGGCCCGGGTCTCGCCACGGCGCCCACCTCATCGGGGGAACCGACCGCTCGACACTCGGCCTGTGGCAAGCCAATTTCACGAACGTTGACGGATATATCGCGACGCGACTCGATAATACTTCTCCGACCTGCTTCGCGATCCCGTCCGGGCGGGCGCAAGCCCCGGCGATCGACTGCCGGGCGTAAGCGCCAGTTTTGCCAGTTCGGGCATGTGGATCCGCCGTGCGTTCGGCTTTACAGGCGCCTCAATATCTCCGATGCAGTCAGTGGTGGTCGGCGGCGGCGATGTGTTGGGTGGGCTGTCAGCTCCGAACGGCACCAAAGGATTTTGGCTTTGCGCCGCCAGCCTCCCTCCGTTCGTGTAAGTGTGCGCGTCTAGAATGTATATAAGAGTGATGCCGTGCGGCTGATGTTCAGCTTGGCCACCATCCACGACAATCTTGGACATTCAAAGAACACCTACTCTTTAAGACACCCAAGTGCATCCACCGTCTCAATCAAGTGTGCCTCTCAGTCCGAAAAGTAAACCAACACCTGCCGCCATGTCTCTCTCCGGCAAGGTCGCCGTCATCACCGGCGGGTCCAACGGCATCGGCAAGGCGTGCGTCGAGCGCCTCGCCCGCGACGGCGCCAGCGTCGTCATCAACTACGCCTCCGATACCAAGTCGGCAGACGCCCTGGTGCAGTCCATCGGCGCCGACCGCGCCCTCGCCGTGCAGGCCGACGTGTCGACCATGGACGGCATCGCCAAGGTCGTCGACGAGGCCGTCGCGCGCTTCGGCAAGATCGACATCCTCATGGCCAACGCCGGCACCATGCCAATGCGCAACGTGGAGAACACGACCGAGGCCGACTTTGACAAGACGTTTGGCCTCAACGTCAAGGGGCCGTACTTTTTGGCGCAGGTTCGTTCTCACCACCCGTCGCTTGCAATTTCCTGCGAGTTTTTTGTTGGCGGCGACTAACGGGGTGCACGCTGCAGAAAGCCGTGCCGCACATGCCTAGCGGTGGGAGAATCATCTTCGTCTCGACTGGCTTGTGCCACAGCTCGGCCGTCCCGCCGGATTATCTGCTCTATGCGGCGAGCAAGGGCGCCGTCGAGCAAATGGCGAGGGTCATGGCCAAGGGCCTTGCCGCCAAGGGCATCATCGTCAACGCCGTGGCCCCCGGCCCGACGGCGACCGAGTTCTTCTACCGGGGCAAGTCGGAGGCGCTCATTGAAAGCATGAAGAAGGCGTTCCCATTTGGGCGCCTGGGCGAGCCCGATGAAGTGGCTGGCATGGTGGCTTTCCTATCGGGCGAGGACAGCAAGTGGGTGAATGGGCAAACGTACATGGTGAATGGCGGTTTGTTTGTCTGATCTCTCTGGTTTCCATTGAGCTGCGATCTCGGCGCGGGCACGGGTAATCTTGGTAACGAGTCATGACAATTCAGCGATGCAAGTATATAGACATAAATTTGATGCTCTTTCAATATTTGTACAAACGACCATTGGTGTGTGAAGTAGTCGGGCAACTACATGTTGAACAGCCCCAAGTTATATACACGATGGCAACCCAGCGTTGAGCCCTCCAGTAATACCTCAGATCCGCTCATGTACGTCCCAAATAACCAAATCCGAATTCGAGAAATGCAATGCAACGCAACGCGCATTCTCAGACTGTTGAAGCGACTCCCCGTCTGAGAGGATATTGTTGAACCAACCAAGTGTCCAATCTCAAACAACCAACCCCCTTTGCTTCCCTGAAATCGACGCAAAAATTTTGGTGTTCATCAGTCGTGTTCTCGTCATGTGCGCTCAGTTCTTTTCGGCCACATCCCAGACCTCGACGGCGCCGCTCATCCTGCCCAGGATGAGCACGCTTCCGTCTCCCGAAAAGGCCGCCGTGGTGACCATGTTCTCCATGCACGCGGCCTCCTCTCTGCGCTCCCAGGCGACAGTGCCCGATGCCACATCCAGCACCTCGACTCCGTCCTCGGTGCGGCTCGCCATCCATCGCCCATCGGGGGACACGCAAAGAGGCCATGATTCGGTCTGGCGCACTGTTCGGAGGTCGTAGGACGTCAGGTGGCTCGCGCCGGGGAGCCACACGTGCACCGTCGTGCCCCAGAGCGAGACGATGGAGCGCCCGTCGCGCGACACGGCCAGCAGACGCGGGTTGGCGGCGGCAGTGCCCTCGATCTCGAGGCGGCTCAGCGTGCGGCCGGTGGTCGGGTCGCTGACGCGCGCGGTGCCGTCCCGCGAGAGCGTCACGAGCTTCATGTCGGGGGTAAAGGCGGCGTGCGTGACGTCGTCGATGTGGCTAACCACGCGGCCAATGCGGGCTCCAGTGCGGACGTCCCAGACACCCATGCGGCCACGCGCGGTAGTCTCGCCGGCGGCGATGGCGAGCCCATCGTGGCTCCAGACGACGGGACCGCGAGCGGCATCCCGCAGCTCAATGGCAGTCTTGCCGGTGGCGAAGTCGCGGACGAGAACGGTGCTATTGTGGTGGTACTCGATATTGGGGCCGAGCTGGACGGTCCAGTCACGCAGGGTGGCGACGCGGTGCGTGCTGCCAGCGAGGCTCGCGCTGGTGCTGTTGGCGATGCTCTTCTCGCTGATGCGGGCGATGCTGCTGGTGATGGTGCTCGCGAGGCCGCCGCCGCTGCCGCTGGAGGTGCGTGATGAGGACGAGGAGGGGGGCGAGGGGCGCGACGAGGCAGGCGGGCCGAAGACGGCGTGCGTGCCGGTGGCCTTGGTGTAGCCGCGCTGGGTGTCGAGGTCAAAGAAGTCGATCCATGACTGGTCGGTCTGCGGGGCGGCGTAGATGGCGAAGACGGATGTGGATGAGGGGGAGATGCCGACGGAGGTGATTTCCGACTTGGCGCAGAGGCGGCGGTAGCGCAAGGAGAGTGAGAGAGGCATGGCGACTGAGAGATGTCAGCTTCGTCGAGTACAGAGTGAAGACTCTATCAACTTACATAGTGGGTAGTGTGGTGATGCTACGGTGAGTTGTGAGGCTGATGCACAGACTTTGTGACAGACAGTGACGGACGGTAACGATGTTTGTTGGTGAGGTCGATGTTGTTGATGACGATGACGTATGAGCGACGATGAGGGTGACGACGATGATGGGGGCGATGAGGATGGTGAGGGTAGTGATGATGATACTGATGGCGATGGGTATCTCTGATGCTCGTGATGAATTGATGTCTCTCTCTCAGTCTCTCAACTCGATCATGGACGTGGGCATCCCCAACTCTTAATACTCGACAAAGAGTGACACCTCCACGACACCCACGATCCCCATCTCCAGCTCCCTCAAGCCCCGTCTGACAAAAACGAAGGAAAGGAAACCCGCAACCCGCGAGCAGAGAGAGTGTGAGAGACGTTCGGCCCAGCCAGTCACCACGCCGCCGCCCACCACAAGCCGCCGACAACCGGGGGTCCCAGAACAGGCTCAGCTCTCACGCCGTCGCCGGGCAGGCACGTAGGCTACGCACCCAGACGTGGGAAAAGCAGGTGAGTAACCAGCCCGGCTGGCCGACGGATTAGCAAGCAGGGGGCCAGACAGCTTGGCGAAGTGTGCAAGGGTGTTTCGTTTGGCAAGAGAAGTTCGCTGTGTCTCTCTGGGCTGCAGTCCTGGGGAGGGGGGACACCAAGGGGGGCAGCCCTGTTACTGTGCTTAACAATTCGGCTAGTTGCTGGCTTTGGCGGCTGGCGTGCCAGGCAAGGCGGGACGACGGGGCTAGTTTTGGTGGCAGCTCGCGAGCTGGGTACGAGACATGCGAAGAAAGTATGCGGTGGGTGGCTTGCGGTTTGGGCGCTCAAGCGTCGAATTTGCGATCCGCGTATTGGAAATCCGCGTTTATCGTGAAGACGCCATTGTCCATTACAAATTGCCAACTGACGTGCTCGGGACGCATTGCTTGTGATTGCTTCAGGCCATTGCATTTCCTGTGCTGTTGTTTCCTCCATGTACTTTCTCAACTTGCCGTCTCCAGCATCTGCCTCTGTCGCAGAGCTCCCTTCAACTGTCAACCAAGGAACTCAATTGCGAAACTCAATGCAACGGAGAGCACCAACAGGCTGTTAGCAGCCCTACCACGTCTCTTTTCCAGCGACCGTCCATTTCCCGATTCGTCTCGCCGAAGCCCCCCAGCGCCCGGGACGCCTTCGATGCCCCGTTCTAGACGCTCTCCATCCGCGTGAGTCACCTTCACCCACGTTTTTTGGCGCTCGCCCTGGGGGGGACGGGAACCGTTCGCCTCGTGGGCGGGCAGCAGGGCAGGACAGCCCCTCCATCCACCCAAAAAGCGCACGCCGGCCGGCGAGACGAACTGGGGATAGCGCCCGTTGCGAAGGGTGGGCTTTGCTGCCCCTCCAGCCCAGCACGCCGGTCTCCAGTTTGTCAGCGGGGTCGGTGGATAGCAAGACTGACAGCAGGCTGCTGGAGAGGTCCATCGCGGGCCAGTGACTGACAGGGCTGGTGCTGGCACCGATTGTCGGAGGGGCTCGCCCAACATGCAAACATGCGTCGTTGACGAATAGGTTGCTTTGCCCCGGCGAACTCACAATCGACATGAAAGCTTGCTGCACCAGCGCTCCGCTGCAACCTCGCGACAGCCAGGCACAAACGAAGTGTAAGAATGCTACGTACTGTCGATTGGCTCGTCTGAGCTGCATCGTGGGTCTGATCTTCCTTTTGTCGAACCAAGCGTGCATTCATCTATCAAGGTCCTCGTCCAGAGCTATATGACCATATGGCGCCCCCCAAACACCTCACGCCAACGTCACCTCATCGAGCCACCATCGCTGCAAACGCCCTGCCTTATGCGCCAAATGCCTCGTCATAGCCCGTCATGCACGAGCGGTACCTGACGCTGCTCTTCTCCAGCTTCTCCATGGCCTTCTGCAGGCCCTCGCGCGAGATGGGAATCTCCTCGACCCAGCCCTGGACGCCCTTGTCCGCCGCCAGCTCCAGCATCTCCAGCATCTCGCGCCGGCTGCCCAGGTGAGTCGTGCCGATGAAGCAGCCGTTGGAGATGAAGTCCTGGTTCTTGATGGAGATGCCGTCGCCGCCCGGCAGGCCCACCGAGTTCCACCGTCCGTGCACGTCGAGCAGGCTCAGGTACTTTTCGAGCTCGAACCCGTCAAACGAGTTGGCCGTGTTGATGATGAGGTCAAAGGTCCCCTTGTGCTCCTCGTCCCAGCCCTTCTCGCCCGTCGCGATAAGGCCAATCGCACCCATCTTCTTGGCGTCCGCCTCCTTGGCCCGCGATCGAGAGATTGCCCACACATCGGCACCGAGCGCCTTAGCGAAGAGCACGCCGTAGTGACCCAGGCCGCCGATGCCAACGATGCCGACCTTCTTGCCGGGTCCGGCGCCGAAACGCTTCAGAGGGCTGTACACGGTGATGCCTGCGCACAGCATTGGTGCCGCCTCCGCGCTGGGCAGCTTTTCGGGGATCGGATACACCCTGTTCGCGTCAGACTCGGCACGGTGAGTGAGAGAGGGCGCGGAAACTCACCAAAACTCATGGATACGCGTGTGCGACGAGTAGCCGCCCTGAGTGGTGTACCCCGTGTCGAGGTACGGCGCGCCATAGGCGTCAATCTGCTGGGTGCAGTACGTCTCGTTGTCCGACTTGCATCGTCGGCAGTCGCCGCAAGACCAGACCTGAGCGCCCACGCCCACGCGCTGGCCGACCTTGGCCAGCGTCACCTTGGAGCCGACCTTGAGCACCTTGCCAACGACTTCGTGCCCGACGGCCAGGGGATAAGGGCAGCCGCCCCAGTCACCGCTGATGGTGTGCTTGTCGCTGGCGCAGACGCCGCAGCACTCAATCTTGATGTCGACGTCGTGGTCGCCAAACGGGCGCGGGGTCCATGAGTTCTTGTCGAACTCGAGCCACTTGTCCGCCGAGGGCGACTGGAAGCCGGTGAACTTTTCAGGATACGCCATATTGTCTGTGAAGAATCAGGGTCTTTGGAGAGGAAAGGATCGGTTGGTGGGAGATGTTGGTGATAAAGGAGGAGGGGAAATGCGAGCGTGGAGCAGTGGATGAGTGAGGGACAGAGACCCGGGCATTGCCCCGCGGCCACGCGCAACACCCATCGTCATTCCGCAGACAAGTCCGTGTCGGCCTTGGGAGCTCGCAGAGGTTGACAGGCGCCCGGTGAGCTTCCGCCCGAAGCCAGTCTTCGGAAACCAGGCGTCAGCCCACAACGCGTGTGGGGGAAGCAGACAGCCACCACACCGGGTGGGCGTTGTGGGGGAATTGATTCGCTGCCACGGCTCAGGATAATTCCACCAAACAGATAGTGCCGCGGAGTCGGACCGCAGTGTCCGCGTCGGCCTGATGCCCTCCGGCCTTCGCGATGACTTCGGGCCGGTCGGCCGAGAATGCGTCGTGACGGCGAGTGGACGTATTCGTCTGGAGTAGTACAAAGAACACCACAGCTGCCGTCTGGCCACGCACCGCGTCAGCGTCTCGCCGTCTGCCCGCGGTGGGTGGGCCTTCCAGCTGCTTCTTGAGCGAGAGAGATGGCGAAATGCGGCGTCCTCGAAGTGGCGCGTCTCCTCCGCGCTCACTACTGCGTCTTCCGCGTCCGCCTCGAGTCGTCGAGCCCGACGCCCGCGAGGAAGCAGATCCTCAGCGTTGCGCCGGCGTACACCCACGGCACGTTTCCCCAATCTCCCGCGTTCCAGCCCGCGACGTTGTAGTATATCGCGGGGCCGAGCTCCTTCATGGAGTAGAGGTGGCCAAGGTCGGCGATGAGCAGAACCAGCAGCACCGTTCGCCACACGCGCAAGTCCCACGTCGATCGAAGCACGAGCGCCTCATTGATGGCGAAGAACAGGTACATGTTGGCGAGCTGGGACATGGCCACCGACGTGCTCAGGGGCACCTGCGACGGAGCCGAGGCGGCGTCGAGCAGCTCGAGATACCGCTGCTGGCGGAAGTGGTTGTAGAAGGCCCCCGCGAGGGCGGACAGTGGCTCGATGAGCAGGAAGAAGGCGCGGTACGCGACCGGCAGGCGAAGAGCGACGCGCTGTGAGGCCATTGTGAGCCGCCGCAAGATGATCAGTTGAATCTGAAGCGATGACTGCGTGATGGCTGCGCGATGGCTGCAACGGTTAGGAAGCATGGAGCAGCCAATTGCCCAGCGGGGAAAATTTCAACCGCGAGCACAGACGCGACACGCGTCGATGATCGTGACTACCCTAGACCTCTGCCGACTCACGACTCGATTTACACGCCTCCGTAATTCGTACTGATGTTGCTTAATACTACCTCGCGAAAACGGCCGAATATGCAACGCATAATCAGATCGTTTAGAGTGGTGGTGCGTCTCCGTGCCACGCAAACCAAGGGCGCTGTGCACCGTGCTTGAGTTGCAGGTCAAGAGAGCTCAGCTTCTGTCCCAATGACATGGTCCTTTGCGGCGATGATCAGCCACTAGAGCCAAGCGACAGACAAGGCAAACACCAGAACACCATACCGGAAGCCTCTAAGCGGGGACTTTGCTTCACGCGGCATCGTGCGCGGCATTGAGAGCCCAACAAGGAGCATGATGAGGCCGAATTGGTACGGTACGCGGTAGCCGGTCACGGCAGTCACCGCTCCCGATCACGACGAGACAGCCACCCGTCCCCACCACCGAGAGTTGCCAGGCTGCATTAGAACCAACTATCGGACCTCGTTAGCACGCTGATGCCGCCGCCGAAGCTGCGGGCGCAGACGCAACGTCGACGGGACAGATCGAGACGCTAGAACTGTTCCCGCAGCAGCGTCTGCCCGGGGAAGCTTCCACGGGGCGGCGGGCAGCCGAGCCGGGGGCTGCCGCAGTGGGCACCACTCGGGGTCCCCGCGCCTCCAACGCCTCCCGCCTTGCCTCGACAAGCGTTGACACGGGCGGTGCAAACTCTGTCCAGCCTTGTCGTTGTTAGCGGGATGGCGTGGTGGCCGCGGCTTCGCCTAGCAGCAACGAGTCAGCCAAAAAATTTTCGGGCCGCCCTGCGCTGTGGCGGCCGCTCGGAAGACTTTTCGCGCTTCGCCGTGCCCGACGCTTTCTTTTTGGGTTCAGGTACGCCCGTCGCGGCCTTGGCGCAGCCCGTGAAAGCCTCAGATCGATCGCGTCGGGCAGGCGGCGGGCTGCGGGCTGCGGGAGGCTTTACCCAACAGAAGCCGACTCAGGAGATGGAGCACTCGATGACGGCTGCGCAGACATGATGGGCAAGAACTGGAAACAGAGGCGCCGCCTTGGGGGCACGAGGCTGGTCGTCGCCTGACGGCGGCGGCAGTCATGTGTTGGCTGGTGCAGCTTGTCATGCCCGATGCATGTCAGGGCCTCGCAGCCCCCGGCAGACGTTGGTTGCATGCGGGATCCCCAGCCGAAGTGCGGGCTGGACGGCGTGCGCTCCTCCACCAGACTCCACGCGGTCCTTGCCTGGCCTGGCGCATCGTTGTCCGATTGACGTGCTAGCTTAGTATTCGCGGTGGTTGCGGGAGATGAGGACGTCCCGGCCGCAGGAAAGGAGGACGGGATCCATGATTGAACGGACCCATTGCCGCTGTAGCGTTGATCCCCATCCATCCCCGAGCGGCCTTGGGAAGGCGGGCGTCATGGCGTCGTCTGGGGCACCTGGGCCTCTCCTGCACCCTGAATGGGCCCGCTGGAGCCCCTAAAAATTTCAGGCCGCCGCCAACCTCGTTGGGCGGTACGTACCGGCCCTGCCATGTCGAAACAACTCTAAACATCGCCCCTGCCGTCATAAGGTAATAACCCGCCTCTTCCTGACTGAATGACCTTCAGCCTCCCGCCTCGCCGCCCGACTTCCTCATCCATCCCGCGGCTCACCGTCTGTCCTTCAAGTCCGATTCCTTGGGAGCTGCCCGCCGTCGCCGAACTTGGCCCTCGCACGCTGCAGTTGTACGGCAATCGATCCTTCAGCCCGCCCTGCCTCGGCACCTCCGACCCCTTCCTTGCTTCAAAACACCGAGCGAAGCGATCAATTCAACAGCCGCATCACGTCCGCTCGAAACGCGCCATAAGACCAGACCCGAAGCGCACAGCTGTATAACTGCGTGGCAGCGCGCAGTTGCACCACGACCTCATCTACGCCGTGTCTCGTACCGTCTAGCCGTCCCGCATTCCTCGCCCTTGGCATAACGACGCCCCTCCGCTCAACGGCTCCGGTCGACCGTTGGCCATCCGATAAATCACGCTTCCGTTGGCGGCGCTTGATCTTCCACGAGAGGAGTCTTGGGCAAGCGGAGGAACAACACTCGTTTCCCTGCCTCCGACCACGATCGTTACTGTGGCAAGTGGTGCCCTCCCGTATCGCTGCGCCGAGCCGCTCCACGATACGACGACGTCCACCGGTGACGACGCCGCTCGCTCTCATTTCCACGCCTTCGCTGCAGGGTCTCCCAGCTGGTCTGAAGTGAGACGAAGCCTGTCTGTTCGCTTCAATCTGCCCTTGGTTGAGCGGAGGCATCTGTGCGCCTCCCTTGCGTCCACGTGAGCCGCCCCTGCCAGGCGACCTACTCCTCGTCCACAAGACGAAGTTGTAAATTTTGGATAAGGTATGCTTCCCCGACGCAACTGGCCATCTGGCTCGTGCAAAATGTTGCATCAGAGCGTGACCGTGGCTCCTGAATCCCGCTATTCGAAACAGAGCACTGACCGTCTTGCAGGACGCTCGTATCTGACCAACCACCCTCCCGCAAGGCGGTCTCCCTCTTCCCAACTTCTGCTGCGACATTTCGAAATGGCGAGGCCCTCTCCTGTCAATGAATGGGCGGCGACCCGTGAAGCTACATTGGGCGGCGATACGGACCTGTTCTCTGCGACGCAGTCACCTCGCCAAGGTTCGGCAGCGCGTAGCCCTCGCGATAAGCGGTTTCGCAGCCTGAGCCTGACTCTAGCGAGGCATCGGCCCAGGACGTCGCTCTTCGCACACGGGGACTTGACCCAGCAATTGAACGACATGGCCATCGACGACAGTCCAGAGAGTCACGAGACGCCTCAGGGTTCTCCCCGAGGACACGGCAATGGTGGCTCCGGAAGCATCAAGGGCATGTTACGCAGGGCATCACTCTCGCTCAAGGGCATGGTGCACCGACGGCCATCCCAAGCACATGAGGATGCTGCTCACGATCAGCGGCACGCACATATCAGACCAGCCACTGCTCATGCGTGGAATCGCTTGCGACAGGCTGCAAGTTTCCGCCATGCAAGACCTACAAGTGGCGTCGACTTGCCCCATGAGGCTTCACCTTCCGCTCATCCACCTGTGTCGCCCAGCTTTCCGATCCCCGCGATGGGCAACGAGCCTCCAGTTATCCCCACCCACACTGGCGCCGCGGCGAAGGCCTCTGCTGCCATGCAAAACGAATTCTTCGCTAGACAGGGCTCCCAGACTAAGTGGCTGCGCGCACCGTCAAGCGAAGACGGCAACGATCGAGAGAGCGGCATTGGAATTGCCGTCAATGTTCCTTCCATCGAGGTAGATGACGCCGATGCTGCCGTGGCGCAACAGGACACGCGCATCAGCAGACTGAACTTCATTTCGATGCTGCCTGCAGAGCTGGCGATCCATGTCCTGTCTTTCCTGGACGCGGCAGTCCTGACGAGGGCCTGCCGCGTCTGCCGCGACTGGCAAAGGATCGTCGAAAACCAGCATGTGTGGAGAGAGTCTTGCCTGCGCGAAATGACATCCACTTTTGCAACAAGCGGGCCGGTTCAGCCTGGGACTGGCTTGGGCATCCCCTTGGCACTTCCCTCAAATGACTGGAGGAAAATCTACCAGGCTCGACATGAACTGAACCTGCGATGGAAGAGTGGCAAAGCCCGCCCGACCTATCTCAACGGGCACTCGGACAGCATCTACTGCCTGCAATTTGATGAGTGAGTACCCAGCAGTCTGCTTCTCGAAGCAAAGCTAACATCCAACAGGCACAAGATAATCTCCGGGTCCCGTGATAAGACGATTCGAGTCTGGGACATGCACACGATGAAGTGCAGGCTGGTGATTGGGCCGCCATCTGTCATCAGCAGCGGCACGCTGTTGGCAGACTTTGATGGGGTCTCGGTTCACTACGCCATGGGCGCGGAGAACGTCCGAGTGGCAGAGGCACATCCGCAGCTTGTGTCGTTCCCGGAGCACCACATGGCCTCCATTCTGTGTTTGCAATACGACGACGAGATCCTAGTGACGGGGTCGTCGGACTCGACATGCATCGTGTATGACATCAACAACAGCTATCGGCCGATTCGCCGGCTGCGCCACCACACTGCGGCCGTGCTCGATCTCGCGTTTGACAAGAAGCACATTGTCACTTGCAGCAAGGACATCAGCATCTGCGTCTGGGACCGGGCGACGGGAGCCCTGCTGCGCCAGCTGCGCGGACACACGGGCCCCGTCAATGCCGTGCAGATGCGCGGCAACACCATCGTGTCCTGCTCGGGCGACTTCAAGGTCAAGCTCTGGAATATCGACACGGGGAAGAACATCCGGGAGTTCGAGGGCCATACTAAAGGATTGGCTTGCTCGCAGTTCTCTGAGGACGGGCGATACGTTGCGTCCGCAGGAAACGACAAGACCATCCGCATCTGGGACGCCAACACGGGCGAGTGCATCAAGGAGATGCGCGCCCACGACAACCTGGTTCGCAGCCTGCACATTGACAGCGTGAGCGGGCGCCTCATCAGCGGCAGCTACGACACCGACATCAAAGTTTGGGACATGGCGACGGGGCGCCAGATGCTCGACTTTCCCCGTTGGCACGCCAGCTGGGTGCTCAGCGCCAAGAGCGACTATAGGCGCATAGTCAGTACTGGGCAGGATCCCAAGATCTTGATCATGGACTTTGGCGCAGACGTGGAGAACATCGAGATGCTCGAGGGCGGCGGCCCGGCGAGCGGCCCATTTGGGCTACCCACGAGCCCGAAGGGTTTCATCTGACGAGACATCTGACGAGACGAGCTGAACGATCGTCGTTGCCGCAAGCGAGCCTGTGGCACTCACGACGCCATCGGCCCTTCTAATCATGTATGGCCTTGCGTCGACATCGTCTGGGCCGGGGAAGGGTGTCGGTGTATCTGCAGCGGGCGCGTAGTGTCGGACTTTACTGCAGCCAACAAGGGTCTGGTTTGGCCCTGGCGACGGTACCGACGATGAGCATATAATCGGGCATGACTTTTTTTTTTTATCGTTTTCGGGAGTTTGGTATAGACATGGGTAGCGGACGCGGGTTCTGGCATTGATTTCAACTTGGGGGCATCTTTTGGCCGGCGTATGTAGAGCAGAAACCCCTGAAGGGGATGGTAAACGACTTGAAGATACAACTCTGAACAGAGTGATTATACAATGAGAACTTCTGTACTCTGGGCGGATACAAAGACCAAGGCATATCCACTTGGACCTGATGTCATCTTACGTTATGACCATTCCACGCGCGTTCCTGCGCGCTGCTCGTGGATGCAGGTCGTTTTTTTTTTGCATGATGCCTCTCGGTACTTTACTGTATCTTGTCTACCTACCTATTTTGGTAGAGTACTTACTTACACGGACTACAACCAACCCCCTGCAGCTACGTATGCTTGTCACCCGTGCAGTCCTTTGTCCGTACTTGGCCTGATGATGCGGGCCAAGACGTCACCGCCCGCGGAAGAGTACATACGTACCACACCGCAAAGGCAGCACAGGCCCGCGGGAGAGCCGTGCCCACGGAAGAAACCGACTGACGTTGGGTTGGGCATCTTACTTCTTTCTTTCTGCGTGGGGCGGGATGAACGGGATGGACGGTGTGCGCACCCTCATCCTCATGCCGATGCCAGAACGTGGCGCGGCTCTGCGGCTTTCAAAGGGACTGCTGGAGCCGCCTGCCCCCCTTGCGTCGGCTTTGCGCGCCGGACTCAGGCTGGAGATAGGAAAAGCTGCGTGGGCATGTACGAGGCCAGCCTCGCCTATGCGAAATGGCATGATGGCTCTGGCGAGGGAGTTGTCGACGGTCTATGTCATGGGCTGCGATGTTTGTAAGCGGCGGTAACGTTGCTGATAACACGGGATTCACATCCCGGACCTAGGTATGTACAACAGACGCCTCGACTACTTGTGTGGAGCCGCGATAGTCAAACGCAAGCTACTAGACGAGCCACGGAGGCTCTCCGAAGTCGCCGGAAGGCATCATTTGGCCGAAGTGCCTTCCGAGACTGGCAGCGGTTGGTGTAGGTGTTGAGGGCACGGCGTCTGGGCAGAACCGCGCCAGTGACAGCAGCGCGCAGAGCGAACACTCGCGGTATGCACACGAGCGCACGAGGCGCCGACATCTTGGCATAGCTTCACGGAGCAGCATGTACGTAGGACGGGGCTGCCGTCGCGGGCTCGAGCCAAGGTTTACGCCCATGCAAGAAGGCGGTCTCGTCGGGGCAGATGACGGATGTGGCCAGCAGGTGATGCTTGGCGCCGGTGATGGTGCTCGCCAGTGCCGATCGCTCAGGCGGCGTGATGGGGTGAGGCGCACGGGTTTGGCCGAGACGGGGCCGCCTCGCCGTCCTAGCTCCCTGACCCGCTCGATGCGTGGAGCAGAGAGCCCGAGGTGGCTGGTGGTGGGAAAGGCTCTTGGCCGCGAGGATATTGGCTTCGACGTCGCTTGCGCCTGGAATGATGGCCGTGGTAGCTGCAACGTATTGTTAGGGCCTGGAGGCGGGGCCTTGCGTGATCGAGCAGCTGCTAGTTTGGCATCCGCGCAAAGGTTTCGCGCTGTGATATCGTGGGGTCGGCGGGCGCCTCATGCAGAGCAAGGGTGCAGACTGCAGAGGTAGCCTCTGCCCGCTGGGGTGCGTCACTGGTACATGTTCATGTGCATGTGCATGCGCATGTGCCTTGCAGGGCCGCGTCTATCGACTCTCCCCACAGCATCGAGACGACGCCAACCTTCTTGCGCGGGGTACAAAGACGGTAGCCGCTGGCAGTTCTTCGGGGGCACTAACAGTAGGATGCAGATGAAAGGGGCTCTTGGCCTCGAACAGGAGAGTGCTGTGCACCACCTGCTCAGACGCGGCAAGCCTCAGCTGGCTGCATCCAAGCGCAACCTACATACTATTCAATGGCGGGGTGAAAGAACTGTTACAATGAAGAATGGTGAGGGGATGTCGCTCCATGCGGGCGGATGACTCGAGCATGTGCCTGTGCCCGCCACAGAGTTGTCTGGTGCGATTTCGCTTAGAGCCGGGACGATGTGCCGGCTGTGGCAACGCATCCCTCTCGTGCAAGTCGATGCGGCGAGTCGAAGCAGCTGTAGTATGTACGTCGCACGTCCTGCCAGAGAGTTTGCGCCAGGAAAGCACGTGGACGTGCCACAAGATGCAGGATGCACACTGAGGCTGGAGTTGCATGGCCACTGCAAAGACGCAGACCGTCCCGGTGAGACGCATGTGGGTTGACAGGGGCCGATCCCTGGCAAATCTACGTTCGCACCCTCGTCAACGGGCCCGAAACGGATCGGCCAGATTGCAGGCTCTCACGGGAGCTGGACGAGATGCGCGCGCAGATGATCTGCGGCTGGCATGGGACGCGGAAGGTGACGAGGCTCTCCATGAGAGACGTTGTTTCGGGCCGCACTGATTCGTCGTCGTTCCTCGTCCTCGTCAGCGACGATCACAATAGTAGCCAAAGTGCTGTGTGACGGGACACTTGAACGGAGACGACCGAGGTGGCACTCGCTTCTGTGCGACTGCCACCGTAGAAATTTCCATGGAAGACCGGGCTTTCAACTCGATGCTTTTGACCCCGTTGCGGCGGCTGCTGTCGTTGCTGGCGCTGCCGACGCTGCTGCTTGAAGATGTCCTTCCCGTGGTGGCCAAATACAAAGATCTGAGGTCCACATACATAATAGCTCTACGCTTCGTTCGAGAAGGCCAGCGGTGCAAGGATGATCCTTGGCCACGCAAATTGGGTCAAAGAGCTTGATTGTTGGCGTGTCGTCCCCAGCCGTAAAGAGCTCGCGAGGGCCAAGAGCTAGGACATCTAGGATATCCGGCGCGTACTGGCACGCCGACGACGTCAGTGCCTTCTCGATTCGCTAGTCGCCCACTCTATGTTTTGCCTAATTGAATTGGATCATCAGCGAGTGTGCGCGTTGGCGGGCGACTGGAATGGGCCTGGCTATGCATAGATTCAGGGTCTCGCCATCCGTCGTGCCATCGCGTAGCTCCCCCCACTGGCATATCCTGGTTGGCCCCTCCAAACGGCTCGTCCTGTTCAGCAAGTTTTCGTTAGAGAGCCTCCGCAAGGCACCACCAAGCTCAGCTCTCGCGCGCGACTCCTGCAGGGTGCTGCTTTGTCGGGGGGTACTGTAATAGCGCCGAGAGCTCATGAACGGCCGCCGTCCAGCCGGCACTGCGTTGCCGCCGGCTGTGAAACGACGCTAGTTGAGGCCTGGCCCTGGGGTTGGGTGGCTACCGGCTCTCTGTCCAGAAACAACATCGTTTCCGACTCCAACTCGCAACCCCCGCTGTCCATTCGTGACGCCGGCGCTGGACGACGACGTCGGTCTTGGGTCTCCGATCGCCGGCTACAGCGCGCCACGGTCACTACGTCTGCCTCCAACGAATCGACTGTCGCCCACCCCATCGACCGCCCCTCGGCCTGCGCGGAGTCGTAGCACCACGACCCAGCACCATCCCCTGGCGACGGGGAACTTGGCGCCGGCGCAGCTCCGGTTGTTTGGACGTCGCGGACGGCCGTAAGGGGACTCGCGTGACGAGGACGCAGACGGGCTCCGCATCGTCCGGGGACTATCGCTTGTTCGCGGCGTGCTTCCATCGCAATCGCTTCCGCCGTCAGCCCTCGCATCGACAGCAGCTTGCGCGAGTTGCACGGGAGACGAGGCTGCATCCATACGAGGTACGAGCACCTACCTTGCCTAGCTATGCGAAGTACGAATAGCGCGACAGAGCATTGACGCCCACTCGAGGGGACGGCGAGGCGAGGTGAGGGCGGGGGCTTGCCAAAAGGAAGCCTACCTGGACCTCATCAGCCGTCAGCCAGCCAGGCTTGCTTGCCAGGCACCCCCAAGGCCAGGGCATCCCACGCATTGGGAGCCGCTCGTGGCATCCCATGGCTGCCATGTCTGAAACAGGCTCGCAAGAGGCGTCGCGAGCCAATCAAGGGGATGCGTTCCTGCCCAAGGGCACGGCCCCACCGACGCATGGCGGCGGCTCCATGTCCCGGCGCTCGTACCATCTGGATGAGCGGCGGAGGAATGGGACTGGCAACAGAGACGCTTGGGCAATGCCGGCGCAAAGGGTATGTACTGAGCTGTACACGTCCCCCTCCCATATTGTTTTGTGTGAGCGTGGGCGCGCGCGCGTGGGCGAGCGTGGGTGTGTGTGGATGCGAGTTGGCGATAATTCGCTGGGCCCGGTGGCTCTGGTGAGGCAAGGTTTGGGTGCGCATTCAGCAAGGGGCGGGAGGCCCTCGTACCATTGCTGCTGCTGCTTGCTGCTCGCCCCCTGATTTCTGCTTGGCTTCGTGCCTGAAGCCCGGCTCCTAGTGGGAGTGCGTGGCAGAGAGTGGCAGAAAGTGGGCGAGCCGTGGGAGCAGGAAGGAGCGAGTGGTCGAGGGCTCGAGCACCTGCCCGCCAAAAGGCAGGCCAAGCGGGCACGGCAAGGCAGGCAGTTCAGGCGAGGCGAGCAAGTATAATTGCGCCCTCCCGCAAAGCTGCCCTTCATTCCTGCCCTCAGTCGCGCCGTCTTTCACCCCGTCCCTTCGCCCTCAATCTGCCAGTCAGTACCGTTACTTGTACGTGCGAGCACGTCCCGCAGGTCCTCCGTCTCGCGCACTTTGCTTGCGTGTTGTCGTTGCGTCCTGTCCCTACCTCTGCTTCCTACCTTGCCTCACCTTGCCGTGTGCTTCTTCATCGGTGCTTCACTGCCAGTGCCAGCTTTTGCTCGCCTGCACGAGCTTCTTCTTCACTCACTTCTTCTATACCCGGCACTCTTGGACGTGCCATTTCGTTCCCTCGCCGTTTCTGTCCGCGTCGACGGCGCCAGCTGCAAGCGCAAGCCACTCCTTTGTTGCGCGTACGCCCAACAGTTTCGCCGCGGCCATCTAAATCACGACCAACGCCACATTTCGCCTGCATCTGCTATTGCGTGCCGCGTCTCCGCGAAAAAAGTAGCAGACGAAAATCAAGGCCCCTACCTCCCAGGTAGCTCGGCGACATCGCGGCTTGCTTGAGGGTGAGTGACTGCAACGCTACCCCGTGGAGCGTGATGCTTGCCCGCGTGCCTCATGACATGTTACCCCGACCCGCATACACCACAGCCGACCACCGCATCCCCCCATCCAAGATCTGCAAGGCAGTTGGCGAAGTCGCACCTACAGTACCTATCCTCACAGGTTCGCGTGGCTGGGACTGGCCCGATGCGCGCCGGTCAAGCCGTTTCGAACCCGTTTGCGCCATGTATCTATTGTTCTTCACATCATCTGGGTCATATTCACCTGCACATTCACAGCCCGACTTTTCAACACTTAAATAGCCCTGCTCTCCCTCTCACTCAATCCACTCACCCCCCATCGCAACTCTCAGAACTTCACTTCCCCCCCTACGTCTTTTCTCTGCTCAGATCCACTGGGTCTGTTTGCAGTTTTGTGCAAAGACCCAGCAGCCTGGTGTTGTCGCTTCGCTTCTCACGTTCTTGTTCTTTCATTCGAGCCGGCCTACTCTGGTTCCCAACCTCAAACAAGTCTTGTCGACCGCTAACATTTCGCCAACGTCAAGCTCGCGACTGGCAAACGCCAAAACCGAACAAAGCCTGCTCCGCGAAACACCTGCTTCTTCGTCATGATGGGGCTGTCGACCCTACTTACAGCCTCTGTGCTGGCCCTCCAGCTGTTCTGCCTCCCAACCGACGCCAAGTGTCAGCCTAAGACGAGCGTTCAGCAGGATGCCACCAACGCAGCTGCTTCCGACTGGTGGATGTCCGGCGTGAAGCGCCAGGGCGCCGTTGCCTTCGGCGGCCAGGGCGACTACAAGGTGTTCCGCAGCGTCAAGGACTACGGCGCCAAAGGCGATGGAAGCACCGACGATACCGCCGCCATCAACTCGGCCATCACTGATGGAAATCGCTGCGGAAAGGGCTGCGACTCCAGCACTGTCACGCCTGCCATCGTCTACTTCCCGCCCGGTACTTATGTCGTCTCCAAGCCCATTGTCGCCTACTACTACACTCAGCTCATCGGCGACTTCAATTCGGTCCCGACCCTCAAGGCTGCCGCCAACTTTGAAGGCATCGCCGTCATCGACTCCAATCCCTACGACAACACCGGTAACAATTGGTTCACCAACCAGAACAATTTCTTCCGCCAGGTTCGCAACTTCAAGATCGACCTCACCGGCCAGCCCAAGACCACGGGTACCGGCATTCACTGGCAGGTGGCACAGGCCACGTCCCTGCAGAACATCGAGTTCAACATGATCCAGGACCGCAGCGAGGACAACAAGCAGCAAGGCATCTTCATGGAGAACGGCTCTGGAGGCTTCATGACCGACCTCACCTTCAACGGTGGTGCTCTTGGAGCCTTCTTCGGCAATCAGCAGTTCACCACTCGCAACCTCAAGTTCAACAACTGCAACAAGGCCGTACAGTTGCAGTGGAACTGGGCGTGGACCTTCCACGGAATCTCCATCAAGGACTGCGGTGTCGGCATCGACATGTCCCAGAGCGACAACGGCGCGCAAAACGTGGGCTCTGTGCTCCTCCTGGACAGCACCATCGCAAACACTCCTGTCGGCATCATCACCGTCTATAACCCCGAGCAGCAGGGCACCAACGGCACCCTCATTCTCGACAATGTCGACATGACGTCCAACGTCCCCGTTGCCGTCAAGAACGGAGGTACCGGTCAGACCATCCTGAATGGCAACTCGCTCGTCGCTTCGTGGGTCCAGGGTCGCTCGTACAAGGGAACTACCGGCACCGCGGGACAGGGCACTCGCACACCGGTCACCAAGCCTGCCGCTCTGACCGACGACAGCGGCAAGATTGTCACCAAGAGCAAGCCCCAGTACGGCGATGTGCCCGCTTCCAAGTTCATCTCGGTCAAGGACAAGGGCGCCAAGGGTGATGGCAAGACTGATGACACTGCCGCGTTCCAGGCAGTCTTTGACAACATCGGCGCGGATGAGGTCGTCTACGTTCCCCACGGTGCCTACATCATCACCGACACCGTCAAGGTCCCCAAGAACGTTCGAGTGGTCGGCGAGATTTGGGCGCTTATCATGGCTGGTGGCGACAAGGCATTCAAGGACCAAGACAACCCCAAGCCTGTTTTCCAGGTCGGCCAGCCTGGCGATGTTGGCACGGTTGAGATGCAGGACCTCATGTTCGAGACGCAAGGCCCCCAGCCCGGTGCCATCCTCATGGAGTTCAACGTGGCCGGTCAGTCAAAGGGCGCCGCCGGGCTCTGGGATCTCCACTTCCGTGTGGGCGGTTCTGCCGGCACCCAGCTGCAGTCCGACAAATGCAGCAAGACCCCCGACGTGCAGACTCCGGCCAAGCCCGAGTGCATCGGCGCTTTCATGCTGCTGCACATCACAGCCTCTGCAAGCCCCTACCTCGAGAATGTCTGGGCGTGGGTCTCCGACCACGAGCTCGATCTGTCGGACCACAACCAGATCAACATCTTCAACGGCCGCGGCATTCTGATTGAGAGCACCAAGGGCGCATGGCTTTGGGGAACGTCATCTGAGCACAGCGTGCTGTCCAACTACCAGTTGAACAAGGCCCAGAACGTGTACATGGCGCTGATTCAGACGGAGACGGCCTATTTCCAGGGCAACCCCGACGCCAACGTGCCGTTCAAGGTGAACGCCAAGTACTCGGACCCCGACTTCTCCAAGTGCACGTCCAAGATTTGTGCCCGTACTTGGGGCTTGCGCATCCAGGACTCCAAGGACATTTTCGTCTACGGCGGAGGTCTTTACAGCTTCTACGACAACTACGACCAGACGTGTGTCCCGGCCAACAATTGCCAGGAGAACATGGTTGCGATTGACAACTCGAGCGTGGAGCTGTTCGGCATCACGACCAAGGCAAGCATCGCCGTCATCACGCTCAACGGCGGAGCCGCAGCCAAGGATTCCGACAATAGGAGTACCTTTGGCGCTTGCGTTGCTGTCTTTGAGGCGTCGTAGAGCGGCAGCCTCGGGCGGCCGGACAATGGGAATGGAGCTGGCGGAACCGGTACCGCCAGCAGCGTTCTGTTTGCACATAGTCCTTTCTCTACTTTTACCGCACAACTTGTGCCAGCGCCTACAAGCTCGGTGTTATTTTGTGGCTCCATGACGACTGTGTTTGCGACGACAACCAAGTTCGTCACAGTCGCACCGGTCCGCTGAACACGGTAAATACAATGTACATATTGACAGACCAAAAAATGTTTCGGTTGCAGACTTCCAATACTTGGCGAGGCGAGCGTTTTGTACTTTCACTGCAACGAGCGTGTTCAAGTAGCAAAGAACAGCTCGAGTGTTTGGTGCATGGAATTGTAGCAAGGATACAACAGAGCTGGCATCCACCATCAACTGCACATGTGCAGATGACTGTGAGAGGAGTCGAGCCCAGAAGTGAATGTCATGCCAAAAACCGTGCGTATCGCCTGGTTCGAACCCGTGGCGACACGCAAAAAGCGAAGGTCCCCGAAAGTCTTGCGACCTGGAGGATAGCACTTTTGGCAGCCCGAAGGAAGAATTCATTGCAGCTACTTCGCTGAAAGGTAAGCTTTTAGTTTTCATGATAAGGCATGGGAAGAGGGCGCTGCCTGCAGTGGCTCGTGGCTGCGCTGAGGTTCTCGAGTCTCGTTGGCTGGCCGCGATGAGTCAATCGGCCGGACCACCCTTGCGTGGACTGGTTGCTCTGCTTGGGGGCCGCCGTGTAAGCAGAGAACGACACGGCACTGAGCAGCACACGCGAGCATCACAGGAACAGCTCCGTTGACGCGAGTAATCTCGGTTCGGGGATGGCAGAAGATAGCAGGATTAAGGATTAAAAAAATAAAATCACGGTCAAGCAGCGGACAGACGTTGATGTCAGTAGTATGTACATTCTACTACACGAGGGACATGCGCCGTGGCACCAAGTATGGCATCCACTGGGAATCGAACCCCAACCACAGGCAAAAAGGAATGACAAAAGAGCGAAGGCTCTATGAGCTTGAAAGGTATGAGTAGTCTCACGCTGGGCGTGGTTCCGCTACTTCGCTGAGATGATTGCTTGCAGCTTTTGATGATAAAGGTTGGTTGGGACCATGGTGTTGGGGCTGAAGCTGTAGCCTTGAGGCCCGGGGGTGGAGTCAGGTGCGGCGGCGTCTCTCTCGACATGGCCACGCCCGTACGGCCACACACAGCGGTTGCTGAGAAGGTGCCTTGACGGAATGATGCAGCTCGAACTCATGGAGGTATTGCGTTATAAAGACAAGAGAAAAAAAAGTAGAAAGAAAGAGAAAGGTAAAAAGACAGGTGGTCCTGGGGACGGACACTGCGACGTCCCGTCGGGCATGACCACACGCAACTCCCTTCACCAGGACTCGAACCAGGAACTCTCAAAAAGAAATGGCAAAAGCGAAGGCTCTTGCGAGCAATGAGAAACCCTAATTCTTTGAATGTATTGTTCCGCTACTTCGCTGAAGTGATTGCTCGCAGTTTTGGATGATAAAGGTTGGCTCATCAGCGGAACCCATGCATGGGGCTGTGCTGTTGCCTCGGGGTGACTCAGGCGCAGCGTCGACGCGGCCATGCACGCACGCACCCAGACGGTCACGCGCGACTGTCGCTGAGAGAATGCGCCTTCAAGCAATGATTACGGCTTGAAATTACGAGTATATGCCATCTCAAATTTAAAAGAGTAAAAAGAAAAAGAAGAAAGACGAAGAGACGGCTGGTCTGAGAGACGGAGAGAGCAACATCTACAAACATGAAGTACATTAGATGTACGTTTGCAGTCTCCCTCACCGGGGCTCGAACCAAGGCGCTCCAAAAAGAAGGGGGACAAAAGCGAAGGCTCTTGCGAGCGTTGAGAAACCTTTTTTCTTGAAAGTATTGTTCCGCTACTTCGCTGAAAGGGTTACTGACATTTTGGATAATAAAGGTAGGTTGGGCGGCTGTGCCTTGCCTGGGGGGCTGAAGCTGTTGCTTGCGCCGGGGTGAGTCAGGTGTGGCGCGCGTCTCTCCTGATTTGGCCTCACACGCACGGCACGGCCGCGCACGAGACGACTGTTGCTGAGATTGAACCTCAAGCAAGGCAATGCAGTCCAAAATCACGAAGTTGTCGTTCCATTGGAAAAATAGGCGAGAGGGGAAAAAAGGGTAGAGAGGAGAGCAGAACCCATAAATTTAGCTGGTCTAAGTGACACAGAGAGCACCGCCTACATGTACATTATGCATCTTTACAGAGTCCAAACCTCCCCTCACCGGGGCTCGAACTACAGACCTTCAAAAAGAAATGGCAAAAGCGAAGGCTCTATCGAGCATTGAAGATAGTTCCGCTTTCTTGGAGTTGTTTTCCGCTACTTCGCTGACGACTTGGAGCAATAAGTCGGGCTATAAGCCCGTGTGTGGGAGCACAGCACGACCCCATGCCTCAGCCCCGAAAGACTGCCTGGGCTGTGTCTGTGTGCATCAGGCCGGCTGTTGCCTGAAATGCGTGCGACCACACCAGACACCACCCGGCTGGCTGGCGGAACACAGCATTGTGGTGGTGGTGGTGGGTGCCGTGCCCGGTGGGTAAGGCACCCTGGCTGGCACCCTGGCTTTGGCTTTGCCATGTCCATGCGTGCCTTGGGGGCCCTGCCGGGAGTTCATTTCCTAGCAAGAGGCAAAAGGAAAAAAAAAACGGCGAGAACATGAGAGAAGGAGATAAAAGAAACAGGGAGAGAGAGAGAGAGAGAGAGAGAGAGAGAGAGAGAGAGGGTGACAGGGTGAGAGAATGTGGGAAAAAAGTAATTTCGGGATCCAAGCTCGCAAAAAGCAGCGTTGCTTTCATGCAAAGCCATGCTGGCAGGATCCGTGGATGTGCCAGGAGCCTTCGCGCGAAGGGGACAGGACGGACCCTCTCTTGGAGACGGGAGCACTCCTGCTTCTCTGTTCGCGTCTCAGACTGCTGCTGAATGACGACCAAGACTGCCGTGGTGGATGGAGGCCCACTCGCAAACCGCGTGTGACCCTCGCGTCGCCGTAGGTTGGCATTATGGCACTGGAAGCAAGCCGGGCAGTTTTGGGCTGTTGCCGTCGGGTGCCATGCAATGCATGCAGCGGGACGCCCCGCCAAAAACGGATACCACCCCTGGGTGCCGTCCGGGCAACAGCACAGTGCCTAGCCGCCAGTCCAGGGGCGGTCGCCCGTTCCGTCGCTGAACTCTGGATTGGGTTTCCCGCCAGGGAAGGACGCCCAGAGTACACTGCCCGTACAGTACTGCGTGCTGCGTGACAGGTGCCCTGCCGCACAGACGCCCGGGGGAGCCTGAGTTTCGGCACCTGCAGATCTCCCTTCCGGCGGGAGCCCACCTGCTGCTGCCGACTGGGCCCATCATTGTCGCCCATCCCCACCACCTGGCCACCATGCCATGCCATGCCATGCCATGCCACCCCCGCCATTCGGGCGGTGCGCAACCCAGCGCGTCGCCTTGGCTGCCAATTTGTTGGTGGCACCCGACCTGAAGCACGGCCAGGCACACCCCCAAGGCATTCTGCCAGCCCTGTCGGAAGTGGCTCCACCAGACGGGACCCTTTCCCAGTTCCAACATTTTGGTTCTTTGCTTGACGTCCCTCACGAACGGCCCCAGCTGTGCTGCTTTTCAATCCTTTTGTCGTCCTTGTCGTCGTCGCCGTCGCTTGTTTGTCTGCGTGTGCCTCTCTTTCTTCCTCATTGCCCTTCGTCCTCATCCGCATCATGGACGAAGCTACCAAGGCGCAGCATGCGGTCAATTCCGCTCCCGTCAGCGACCTAGCCAGCTGCTATCAGAAATGGGCCGAGCAGGACATGGAAAGGAACCGCTTCGTGCAGGTGCGTCGTCGACCACTGCCGCGTGCGCACGCGCACACGCACACGGCACACTCGCCGCGCCCAACACCAGCACTGACCGCGTACAGATGCTGCTGCAGAGAGTCCACAGCAACGACGATGAGATTCGCCGCCTGAGGCTGGATCTCGACGCCCAGAGCTCGTCCCGCATCATGTACCAGCAACAGGCGGCCGATTACATGGCTCGCAACGAAGAGTACAAACGTCTTATCGTGCGTGTGCCCTGCACTCTCTGATCTTCCGTTGACTTCGTGTATGCTCACCACCTTTTTACCAATCAGAATAACGACGCCTACGTTGCCGTTCTCGTCGATGGCGACGGCGCCAAGTTCCGCGATAACCTGCTGAGGGACCCCGTCCACGGCGCCGTCGAGGCGGCCCAATTGCTCAAGCAGCAAATCGTCGACCACCTCCGCAAAGATACCCCCCTCGGCGACGATGTGCCCATTTTCGTACGCATCTTCGCCAACGTCAAAGGCCTCGCAAAGGCCCTGCGCATATCGGGCGTCATCAATCAAGACGAGGATATGCATATGTTTGCTGAGAACCTCACCAATAGCCGCGCCGAGTTCGACTTTGTCAATGTTGGTCACGGCAAGGAAAATGCTGATTCCAAGTTGAGGCGTACGTCCCCCGCACCCACCTCTGCCGTGTAACCCCTGCGCCCGCGGAAACCGGACGTGCTGACCCGACGACGCTTCACAGGCATGCTTAACTACTACCACAAAGATATCCGCTGCAAGAAGATCTTCTTCATTGCTTGCCACGATGGGGGCTATACCCACGCCCTGCGCCCGTATATTGGAGACAGGGAGAACCGCATCGTCCTCGTCGAGACAACACCGGCGGAACATAATATTAGGAACCTTGGCCTACCAATTACTCGTTTCGACAACGTCTTTCGCGACACACCACTCAATAATGAGACCAAATTTAGTATGCCACCGCCGCAACCGCAGGCGCAGCAGCCGCCGCCGCCTCAGAGCAAAGTCACCAGCCCGCCTGCTCCTATCTTTGCTGCGGTTCCGCCCAATGCCCTGACGCCGAGCACGACGCCGACACCGCCGCCGTCAGTGACGCACCGGCCAGAGGCAACCATCGTTAGCTCAGGGAACGGAGGCGTCTCCATTAAGCACAAAGGAAGCTATGCTTCGGCCGGCGGAGCCAATGGACACCAAAACCTTGCCGTTAGAAGCACCAAGGCCCGCCCGCCCAAGACTATCGAGTTCAACGCCGACAATGTCCGCCTCGACCCGCCTGTCAAGATGCCAAATGGCGGGCCGGCCCAAGATTCGTACAGAAAGAAGCTCCAATCGGCAAGTATGGGCGCTTTCTGTAACAGCCACTACCTGATGGGATACTGCGGCTCCACTAACTGCGGCCGAGAGCACGAGATGAGGCTCACGGCCGAGGAGCTGAGCGTCCACCGCTACAAGGCGCGCACCAGCCCTTGCCACCATGGGCCCAAGTGCATGAACTTTGACTGCGTCCTCAGCCATCACTGCCCGCAGGACCCGTACTGCACTCGGGGAAGGGAATGCCGCTTCTCCAAGCATGCCAAGTACGGGAACCTGCACCTGTCCAAGGAGGAGCTGAAGCCAGTGTAAGTGCGGCGACGAAGCAAATGCGGGGATGCGATGCTGACTCTGCCGCAGGAAGCGATGGACCGAAGGCTCGGACTTTCCGGAACTACTCTAAGCAACATGAATGCGCGATACATGAAGCATACTTAGAACGCGCGCGATTTTGGAGGTGCACGGCGGGGGGAGGATCGAGGCTCGCATGTCTTTGAGATTAGCTCGGACATGCCTGGACGGACGGACAACGGGGACGAGCTACGCAGACTGCCATATAACCCCTGGAGCTAGATATAAAGTATCTGAGGTAATGAACACGTTTCACGTATGCTAGCCATTTGACTCCGTGGATGCGTATGCGACTAAGAATGCGTGCTTCTTTGTTCTGACCGCCACGCTGGCTGCGTCGGCTCGGCTTTGTAGCTTGCTGTGCCCAACGGGCTGCCTGCCAGAAATCTAGCCAGGCCAAGGACGAAATGTATGATGAAAGTCGACTGTGTCCGGAGAAGGTTCCAGATGGAGAGGGTGTGCTGCCCGGATGCCGCCAGGGACAGCCAACGCTGCCTTTGTGCCGAGGTGCTGTGGCGGTGGCGTCGAGCTCTTTGTCCGGTGCCCACATTTTCAGAGCTACGTCACTGCCAGCAAGCTTGAAATGCGACGATGGTCCCACCGGGCTCTCCCGTCTGCGTTCCCTTTTTCATTGCAAGCGTGCAGCTCAATTCGACGCGCAACGTGTCCCTCGTCTCAACTCATGTCATAGCCTCGTCTATTCTCTCTGTCTTCTCCAATGGTCACCACACGCCGCAGAGCAGCCGCCGCCGACATGGGAGACGACCTGCCCAGAAAGCCGTCGGCGGCTCCGAACTCGCAACCCTCGAGCGCGACCGCGACCACAACGACAACGACGACGATGACACCGGCGCCGCGCACGCCGGCCTGGCTGCCCACACCACTCGAGCGCGTCGCCCTCGCGGTCTTCCCGCTGATACTGGTGTTCGGCACCGTCTTCTCCGTGCTGTCGCCCGAGACGCGCGCCGCGGCGTACGACCCCGTGGCGCAGGCACACGCGCAGGACCCGGGCGCGGCGCCGAGCTACTTTGCGCGCAAGTCCAACATCTTCAACGTGGTGTTTGTGAAGCGCGGCTGGGGGTGGACGACGTTCGCCTTTGTCTTCTTCCTGCTGACGCACCCGAGCGGCGGGCCGACGGCGCTGGAGCTGACGGTGCGGCGGCTGCGCGCGGGCGTCCGCTGGGCGCTCGTCACGGGGTGGTGGTTCCTCGTCACGCAGTGGTGCTTTGGCGCGCCGCTCATCGACCGCGGGTTCCGCTGGACGGGCGGGCAGTGCGAGCTGGTGGAGCGCGAGGTCGAGGCCGGGACGGCGCGGGCGGGCGAGGTGATCACGGCGGTGGCGTGCAAGTCCGCGGGCGGGCGGTGGCACGGCGGGCACGACATCTCGGGCCACGTCTTCCTGCTGGTGCTGGGGACGGTGTTCCTGATGCAGGAGGTGGGCTGGGCGGCGCTGCGGTGGAGCGGCAGGGCGCGCGAGGAGCGGTGCGTGGTGATGCGCGACGGGGCGCTCAAGAGCGCGGGCGTCGAGGCCGAGGAGGCGCCTGGGAAAGGCGAGGGCAGCATGCAGCTCGGCGCGGGAGGAAAGACGGCCGCGGCGGTGGCGGGCCTGAACCTCTGGATGCTGCTGATGACGGCTATTTACTTTCACACGTGGTTTGAGAAGGTGAGTCTGTCTGTCTGTCTGTTTGAATCACCGCCGCGTGCGGGGAGCGATGCTGACGTTTTTGACTCGCAGTTGACGGGGCTGGTGACGGCGCTCATCGGAGCGTACGCCGTGTACTACGTCCCGAGATTTGTGCCGGCGGTGCGATCGATCGTAGGCATGCCGGGAATCTGAGGAAATGGGGATGGTAAAAGACGGTACGGACAGGGGGAAGTCGGCCTGGATGAGGGTGGCCTGTAGATGTTGGAGCACGGGTGACGGGCTCACTGGCGTTGGATGAGACAACTGCGATTTCACGGTTTACACGCCTACCTAGGGCTCAGTAGAGATAATAGCATAATCTATTCCTACCCAAGGGTTACAATGTCTTCATTCTTTCATGGGCGAGTTGAGGGGTGCGAATCCTACGTCCCGTGGCTACTGTCTGTGTTGGTGGGGTTGCGCCATGACGTACTGGCGCCGCCGACTCAATTCAGGAACACAGCACGACCCCACGCCGCCTCTTAACTCATCTCACACGAGAGATCTCGGCGTCTCATCCACCGTCGATTCCACACTGCTCACGCCGCCCCTGCCGTCCACCACCACCGAGCCCTGGCGCGTTGCCAACCACCGGCACCATGTCGCGCGGCATCAGGGCGCCGGCGAACCTGCCCGAGCTCGTCAAGACGGCCTTTGCCCGCGCCCGCGGGGATGGCGACCTGCACTACTTTCCCACGCAGGTCACCATCCTGCCCGTCGGCAACGTTCCCGTGCGTCCATCCCTCACCCACATACCTCATGATACCTCAGCTTGCGAGTCACGTCAGAGCCAGACACCCATCGACTAACACAACGGCAACGCAGTTCCAACTGCGCTTCTCGCCCGCCCTCGCCAACAAGCCCAAAGCCCCCTCCCCTCCCGCGGGCTCCTCCCCGTCACGACGCCAGCAGGCGGCGCCGCCAGACCCCTTCGCCGACCCCCCGCGCGCGCTCTTCGTCGCGGACCTCGGCCCCGCGCACTACCTCGTGCTCAACAAATTCGCCATCGTGCCGGAGCACTTCATCCTCGCGACGCGCGCCTTTGAGCACCAGACGGACGTGCTCGCCGCGGCGGACCTCGAGGCCGCGCTGGCGTGTATCCGCGCGTACGACGACGACAGCGCCGACGCGGGGGAGCTGTTTGTCTTCTTCAACTGCGGCGAGCACTCGGGCGCCAGTCAGCCGCATAGGCATCTGCAGCTGCTGCCCGTGCGGCGCATGAGGGACGGGCTGGTGGAGGGCCAGGAGAAGGAGGAGGCGGAGGGGGTGCACCGTGGCGGAGAGGGGAGGAGCACGTGGGATGTGTTGGCTGACGGCGCGGACCTGGCGGGCGTGCCGTTTGCGACGTTTGCAGAGGATATTCACCTGGGCATGTCTTCCGCGGACTTGTTTGCCGCGTACCTGCGCCTCTACCGGCGGGCGTGTCACGCGGTAGCGGCTTATAACGGTGACGGGCAGCCCACGGGCGAGGGAGACGAGAGCCAGGCAGTACCACCTGCGACGGGCCCGACGAGGATCAGCTACAACATGGCCATGACAAGGCGCAGGCTCGTCGTGTGCCCGCGGCTCGCGGAGGGCGACGTCGTAAGGAGCGGGAGCGGGAGCGAGGAGAGACCCGTGGGCAGGCTGGCCCTCAACGGGACGGTGCTGGCGGGCACGGCGCTGGTCAAGACGCAGGCGGAGTGGGACGCGCTGAGGGAGGATCCGGGACAGCTGGCGGGCGTGCTGGCGAGGATTGGGCTCCCGCGACGGATGGGCGACGTGGACGGGGCGATGCTGTGAAGGGCCACAAAGACGATCAACGTACATTCTACCACGCATCACAATAGAGGCACCTCATCTCGCGAGAGTACAGCGTTGTCCACGGCCATTCTACGGCAGTGGCCATTTCCATCTAAAGACACGGGTTGTCATCAACTACGAACGGATGACAACCGGTGTCCGTCTAATATACACAAGCTACCTCTTCCGGTGGGTAGCTAGCTGACCGTTCGTTCCTTCCCACGGGCACCACCTTCATTATTATTATCCCGTGTTTGCTTTGCTCCCCAAGAGCTGCCGTCTCTCTCTCTCTCTCACTTTCTCCGTCTCTCGTCCTCCATTACCCCCCCTTTTCGCAGCGGTGTACATCTCGACATGGACTCAGTGCCGCTCCAGTTACTGGTCCTCGTCGTCTTCGTCATCGTCGACGGCGGCGCCGCCTGCTGCTGCTGCTCCTCCGGTGAGCTCGTTCCACTTGCGGCTGCAGGTCGTGATGCCAAAGTCGTAGGTCCCGCCGCTGCTCGAGATGTACTGGCTGACGGCGCGCCAGCTGATCTTGCCGTTGGGGAACTTGCAGCGGGGCGAGTCGACGGCCCGGCGGAGCAGCTTGACCTGCGAGTCCAAAGCGTCAGTCAGCCGGTACTTTTCTTTTCTTAAAGTGAATCCCCCTGATTCTTGGCCGGAAATGGTGCCGTGGCCTTTTGTTACCAGTGACAAGGGAAATCTGTCCCGGGGAGGGGAGGGGGTTGATCACCTCCCGACTGATCTGGGGGTTGAAAACTCACGTCAACTTCGTGCCAAACGGGCTTGCGCACGCGCTGGGATGGCTGCTTGACCAGGCGGCGGTGATGGCCGCGGAGTGTCTCCTGGGCGCCGCAAAAGACGTGGCGGAGCTTGTGCTGGATCATCTTGAAGGGCACCTTGACGCGGAGAGAGTCGTCGCGGTCCGCGAGGAGAGTGCGCTCGAAGAACTCGAGGCTCTCTGCGTCCATCTGGTTGACGTACTGGTACGGTGCTCCGGGAGGCTTCACTCCGGACGACCAGATGCTGGTGATCGCGTCAAGCGACGAAGCAAATTGCTGCGGCTGGTTCTGGTTCTGCTGCTGCTGCTGCTGCTGCTGAGTGTAGTGGAACCGGAACGAGGTCCTGCGGCGCCGGGGGGTAGTCGTCGTGGTCGTTCCCGATGGCAGGGATACATTGCTGCCGGCGGCTTCGATGCCGATGCCACTGTAAGAAGCTCCGTGGTCTTGCTCAGTCGTGCCCTGCAGCATAGCTGGGGCAATGCTCGGGAGGCGAGTCCGCGAGGAGCGGCGAAGGGCCAGGGTGTTGCGTCTGGCAGCCCTTCTGGCTCTGGCTGTGGCCATCACCGATCCATGGTTGTAGTTGGAACCCGAGGAAGACACCGAGGCTGTTGCAACAGGCGAAGAGGCCGCATCTGAGCCGTCAGACGCGTAGTCGACAGGCGAGCCGTCCGAATAATGCAGCTCGTGAGGTGACAGGGACGGAGTTCCAAGCCGGGACGACATGGGAGGAGCGCCGCTGACTGGGACGGGCATGAGCTCTAGCGCCGCGGACTGCGAAAAGGCGGTCTCTGGGAGAAAGTGGGCGGCAACGGCACTCGAAAGCCAACTCTTAGTGTGGCCGTCGAAGATGGACAGGTGCTGGTCCTGGCGTTGCTGATCATGGTCTCCATCTGAGAAAACCATCGTCGCCTGAGCGTCGAAAGATTCATGGGGCGGATAGAATGAGTGACCAGAAATACCCACGGCGTTGGATTCCGAAGGCGGAGTCGAAAGACCGCTCTGGTGCATCATGGACGTGTTTGCTGCCGACACTGGGAACTGGTAGGCGTAGAGTCCTTGGGCCGTCTGGCCGTTGTTGGCGGCGGCGCCCACGAAGTTGCCTTGGAAATCTCCCATGGGCGGTAGGTGCAGTCTTGCCCACGAGGCGTCCAGGGCAAGATCGGCCTGCAGGCCAGGCGACTGGGGCATCATGGGCTGCGCAACATGAGGCAGCGAGGTCGTCGCGGCCGCGGCCGAGATTCCAACCCACGACTCGCCGCTCACGGCGGAGAGGCCAGTACCATCACCATCGTCTTGGATGGGAAGCTGAGGCGACTCTACGCCAGACTGGATGTTGCAGAAGGTCGTTTCGTCCTGTAGGGAAAAAGCTCAGTCAGTATTGAGTTGATCTCTGGACTGATGCTGAACGTCTGGTCCTTGGGATGATTCTGCGCGAAGGATGCTTCACAATCCGATCTCCTTCAGGCGCGCCGGAGAACCACGAACCTCGTAGTCCGAAATGGACTCAAACCACGACGATTCCATCGTCTCCTCCTTCATCTCCTCCTTCATGGCGATGAGATACTGCACCGAGACGTGCCGCCAAGATCTTGGGGGAGGAAAATCGACCGTTTCAAAACGAAACGCCTTCTGACGACCAAGACGAGGTTGGCCGGAAATCGAGAGAGAAAACGCACAAGGCCAAACTGAGAAAATAGAGAAAATGGGGAAAAAAAGGAGAAGGAAATAGAGAACACAAAAGACCTCCTGCAAAAGCACACGAAAATGCGTGAAGAAGGAGGCGAGAAAGAAAATGGTTTCTGGGACTGGGTGGGAAAAACTCACTTGGAAGAAGAAGTCGTTGGGGTAGAAAAGGTGAAGCGCCCAGAGCGGCAGCAGTGGCAGAGGTAAAGGCATGGACTGGGGCGGTGTAGGCACGCTGCAGTGCGCAGGCGGATGTGGCCCAGGGGGGAACGCCTGGCAGCCCGTCCCGTACGAGAGCATGGTGGCGGCCGTCTACAGCTGCGCCGGGCGACCACCCGCCACGGTGAAGGCTCGGGGGAAAGGGGGGGTCCCACGGGGGCTGGGGAGAGCGCCAGAGGGGCCGGGGCTACACCGAGCTCTGGACCGCAAGATGGAAGACCTGGAGGCGACCTCGTCTCAGGGGCGTGGGGGAGCCTGCTCAAGACTGAACAGGCGAGCGCCTCACCGCTATCGTTGAGTGGTTCTAGGCGTGGCGGACTTGCAAGTTACAGTTGCGTCAGTCGCTGGCGGATGGGGCCGCCGGAACATGAAATGGGGACGAGGCGTTCTGCGCAGCCTGGACCGTTGACGCGGTGATGCAAGTTCCCGGTGTGCCTGTTCACAGCCTGGGGCGGTGGGGAGGAGGCTCGAGTGAATGGGATGTTCACTGGGAGGTTGAGCTCCGTTCTGGAGAACAGGCGTGCGGCGGTTGCCCGGAGAAAGCAGAGTGACTGCAAAGAATCATGCAGGTCAGAAGCAGGATCCCGAGGGAGTGGACCTGATCGTTCCCAGTGATTCGGTTGCGCCAGCTCAATTCGAATGGGGGCCGTATGCTGAGGCCTGGCTGTCCTGAAGCCAGCTGAACTATGAACTCTGGTTTCTGTCGTCGGGTGTTCAGATTTGAGTGTTGAACGGCCGCAGCTGGTGCACAGCTGATGGGGGGTCTCGAGCAGCGACACTCCCTAATTTCGTAGGAGAAACGCCATTCATTTGCCGTCATACTCAACAGAAAGCTTCAGAAAAGCTAAGATATGCTGGTGAACTGGTTTTGGTGTCTTTTTGAGAAGAAAAATATCAAAAGGGGGACTGCTGAGCAGCGACGCCCATGATCGATGGTAGCACAGCGCATAGACCACAGCATGCATATTCCTTCGACTTTTGATTTCAAATACACGACCAACAAAGACACTTTCAGCTACGAGCAGGAATCCAAAAAAGAGGCTTGACGTGGGCTTGGGGGCTTCCAGATCATCTCGCGTTCCCCGGCGATGCGGGTGCTGGTGCAGCAGCAGCCAGGAGCAGGGGCCGCGCAGGCGTTCCGGTACCATGCAACAGGGTCCCAGATCCGTGGGAAGAGGCTCAAATCGAGCAACATGACAGTCTCCAGCGCCCTCTCCATGTCGTTACCGTCCGGAAGGATCGTCCTGCAGGGACCAGGCCTCCTCCCCGGTGTGGGAGCCAAGCCAGCCATGGCGGGGGCCGCGGCGGCGGCACCGTGGAGAGATTGGATTTCCCGGGCGAGAGACCAGACTGATGGAGAGAACAAGAGGGTCCTGGCTGTGGAAACTGGAACCTTGACTCGCCATTTTTTGAGGTTTGGCCGGTGGGGGGACCCCCCGTGCAAGCCACGTTGCGACCCAACATCAAGGAGTGAGGACCTCGCTACCTGTTACCGGTGCGGGCATGACCCATGCAGCCTTGATGACCTGCGTTAGCTCCCGGCGCCATGGCGCCTCACCCACGTTGACGTCTTCCCTCCCGCTCAGATTGATATTGATCCCGCGCCCCACGGCAGGTTTCCAAATCGAGCACGCCGCTGAAGATTTTTGTCTCTGCCTGCTCCATGTCCAAGGGCTAGAAGACGTAATTCTTCCCGATGGATTAGCGCAGAAGCAAATGTCCGAATGCAAGGGCCGATCTATGATTCTGCTGGATCTGGACTGGACCCTGGGGAAGACGAGATTTGGATCAGTCACATATCGCGCGCATGTGTACCGATTCTGCAGGAACCATCTCTGGCTCGATGCACGCACGATGAGGGGGGGGATTGCCATACGTGCCTTGTTCCGGGTCAGCAGCCCCTTTCTCCGCGGCCAGGCATGGACTATCTGAATCAGGCATAGGCTTGGTATATGCGAAATGAATACTGCACTTGACATCGGACGAAAGTCTGCGCAGAGCCCTATGCATGATTTAGACGAGGCACACAACCACGAAAGCGCCCGCGGAACACCCCCCCTCTCTCGTGCAGCTTTGGCCTTGGCGTCACTGAAATTTGACTGTTCACTCGATCAATGACGGTCTTGCTGAGCTGGCACAGTATTCGTGTCGGACTGACCTCTACAGTTCATGTCCCCAAGCGGAGAGAGAAGCACAGCATAACGCATGATCCAAAGAAGGATTCATGTCACATATGCACTGGGACAATCATCAGGCACTCTCCCCGGCTGAATTACCCGACTGAATGCGTCGTGTGCATGCGTCCCACTGACGCCTGGAGGCTTGAATAGACGCAGCCTGACACCTGCAGTCCATCATATCCGGAAACGCAACGTAATGGCAAAGGAAGTTGGAGGAAATCAACATGTCTCGCGTGTCGTGTGCGTCCACCCCCCCTCTTTCTCACTTTTCTTTGCCCCCTGCCCCCTCCTCCTGGGCGGCGCCGTTGTTTGACGACGGGGGTGCATCCGAGACAACGCCATTGTCTCTCTCTGCCACAGCCGCCGCCGGCCCGCACACGCGCGCGCGGACCCCTCAGACAGTACCTGAGATACGCATGTAGGCATCTGATCTCTATGGCGGCGCGGTTTGCAGACGGGCGTCACGGCCCAACGACCAAAGAAGACAGCCCGACTGATCTTCAAGGGGCCGCCGGCTGGATGTCCGACCGTTTCGTGTTACCTTTGCACAACGTCCTTGCACAGCAGCGGGCACATGCATGCATACCATTAGCTGTTACCTTAGTTCTTGACCCTGCCACCTCTCTCATCCAGCGTCCTACGAGGAGCGGAGTGCAGCTTAAGGTGCGTGTCATAGATGACCCTGAGTGAACCGACGGAGTTAATGCATCGCCAGGCTGTTGTCTCCTCAGCTTCCCGATCGCCTGGGTCCAGCGGACCGTCGCCGCTGCTGCCTCCTCCCCACTCCAACGTGCATGAACGTCCGATAAACGAGAGCAAACAACGTTTCCGCATCGAGACCATCTCGCATGCCCCGCGTGGGCCGTCTGCGGAGCCCGCGAATGCCTGTTTGACATCCGTTGGGGCCTTGTCAGCCGACTCGCCGCCATGGATCCCAGAACTTGCGATCCACAAAGGGGTGGGGGGACTTATGCCAGCCACCTCAGGAGCCCAGCTGAGAAGAAGCAAACGCCAGCCGGTGTGAGGCCGCGGATATGATAGCGTCCTCTGTGTTGTTGTTGTCTCGGCGTTGGTCTGCGAGGTGGTGATTTGTCCCCCCTGCTGGTGGGCTACGGAAACCTGCGTGATCGGGCTGCAATGGATGTGACCCCACGCCGATTTGGAAGGATCTGTCTTGGAGGTCAGATGCGCCACGGGGATGCAGGTTGGGTATGATGCTTCTAGAAAGGCCACCATCACGCAGGTTCGAAGTGGCGCAGATGCAGAGAACCCCACGTCGTCACACAGAAAATGGAACAGACATGGAGGACGGAGGTAAAGGGCAATGCGGAGCCGATAGTTGTGTTCTGTCCGACTCCTTGTATGTGCCGCTCGCGGAGCCGCATGGGTCTGAGGTGGATGACATGGAAACGGGCCGCATTCGCTGTACGCAAACGAATGTGTGGCAAAATGCAAATACTCGGGAGTGCAGATCGTCGATTCTAGGGCCACATGGTTTTCTAGCAAGTACACAGGCTTGACAGGTGGACTGGCGTCCTCGTAGATGGTACTTCGTACACAGACTGGCTGCCTTGTGGCACAGTGACAGATGTCTGTCTACATGAGCATCAGATGTAAAGTAAAATCATTCTTCGTTTGAAGCACCAGCTTCGTCCTTTCCGTCCCGCAACGCCATGGATATGCTACCCACATAAAGAAGTTTTCGCCTAGTGAATACAAGAAAGAAAGGTGGGCTGCCGCTCTAGTCGTCCCATTCCTCGTCGAGTTGGTCGATCAGCCTGTTTTCGGCATCCGAGTTTCTGTTGCGGCTGTGCGCGTTGGAGTTCAAGGCGCTGTAGCCCCTTCGACTGGGCAAGCACCGCGTGCACGAAGAGCACAAGATGACAAACATGTCCTATGCAGGTCAGCATCCTGCGATGGAAAAGTGTGGTTCATGCTTTGGACTCACGCTGACAAAGTTCCAGATGCCCGCCCAGAGGCTGTAGTTTGGGAGCTGGCGCCACCCACGGGCGTGGGTGACAGTGCGGTTGTAAAAGACGCCCCCCAAGGCATACACGAGCACCGCGACGAGGAGGATGATGCCGAAAACACTGCCGGGACCCACGCTCCCTGGCTTGTGTGGCTCGGCATGGCCACAAGCGTGGACAGATCGAGCCTCGAAAAAGTACGCGCAATCGTCGGGGGTATTCACGAAGGAGATGGCTGCCTGCGCGTTGCCGGGGTTCAGATCGCAGTGGAAGGAGATGGTAGCCGACTTGCGCTGCACTGGTGCCTTGTCGTCACCCTTTTCCATCGTCTCGATTTCATGGGGCTGAGTCTTTGCACTTCCGGCGCCGCTCTTGGCTGCGGCCCGGCTCTCCTTCTTGGACTTCGGGGTGCAGGGCGAGCCTCCTGTGTATTGCAAGAAGAGCTTACTCCCCCGGCTGGTGAGCTCCATCGAGGAAGATCTGCGACGGTCAGCATACCATAGCATGCGCGAATAAGCATCATAGCACTGACCCTATCGAATATATGTTGCCGTAGGACATGTAGTAGGCGCTCACGTTGGCCCACTGTTCCTTCTTAAGTCCGATCACGTCTGTCACCGGGTCCACGACGGGGCCGCAGATGTTGAGCGTAAAGTTCTTGCCATAGTCGTAGCCCTTGGCGTGGTAGTCCTTGGTGACGGAGCCTTTGTGCGATTTGCTCTTGTCCGGGTGTACCGCCATGTCCGGCCGGAGGTCGAAGAATGCGCCGCTGCCAGACGATGACGTGGCCGTGCACGCCGGAGCGTGGGTAGTTGTTGAGGGCTCCTCTGCGGCGCTCGCCATGGCGGCCAGAAGAGGTATGAATATAGAGTATCGCATCGTGTCGCCAGTCGCCCAGTCGCGCAGTCGATGGACGTGGTAGAGACAGGCTCGGAGGGGGACGCCGCCGGGGTGCGAGCAAGCTGGATGCGCCGAGGCGCCGGGCGAAGCGAATGGGCACCAGCTCCCAGGTCAATTGGATGTTTCCGCAGAGTTTAAGCTCGGAGCAGTAGTGCGCATGTGTGTCGTGGCCAGCTCCTGCGAGAAAAGAATGATGGCGGCAGACGGTGGCGTGTCGCGAGGTTGGAAGTGCAGGGGCTCAGAGTGAGACTTTGGAGCCGCGCTGTCGTGGCCTGTGACGACGCTGCACCGAGCCGCTGTCGCTGTCAGTCAGCCGTTCCGGCCATCTGGCTGTTGAAGATGAGGTCACGGGACGCGGCCTTGGCATTCCCACCAGGGGCAGGCGGGCTTGGCGCGGGCAGATCCAGGGACCACCTGTCGAGCGCCGGCGAATCTGTTTGTCCGCGCCGTCGGGCTGCGCCTGCGCAAGCTGCCAGCGGGAGCACTAGGCCCCTTTGGGACAGGTCAATGACGATGAGACCAGCCGGATCTTGAGCTCTCCGTGTCGCGCGAGGCCTCATTTACCCCCCGTTCGTCGAGACGGTGCAGACAGTCCCGCCGACCAAGGACGAGCCGCGCATTCTATATAACGGCGGCAGCAAGACACGGGTCTCGACGTTGAGTTCAGCAAACGATTGACGCGCCGTCCGCGATTCCCAACTTGTCAACATGGCCAAGTCAAAGGCTGCGGCGGCTGCCCCTGCGCAGCATGGCTACGAATTCTTCGGCCCGTGAGCACCACGCGTCAGCCACGCTGCAACGAACGCGACTGCTGACCACCATCCACAGCCCGGGCGCCTTCGGCATCTCGTTTGGCCTGCCTATTCTCGTCTACGTCTTCACCTTTGCCTGCAACGACATCTCAGGCTGCCCAGCGCCGTCGCTCCTGAGTCCGAAGACGCTGTCGCTCGACCGCCTCAAAGTCGAGGTTGGGTGGCCGAAGGAGGGCATTGCTGGTCTCGCTAGCTGGGAAGCAACCGCTGCCGTTCTGGGATACTACCTGGTCAATCTTATCCTCTATCGCGTGCTGCCCGCGACCGAGGTGGACGGCACCGTCCTCGCGTCAGGTGGGCGCCTCAAGTATCGCTTCAACAGTACGTTCGACCCGCGCCAATTCCGGACATGGCTGACAATTCCGCAGCTCTGTACTCGAACACGGTCACTCTAGCTGCGCTCGCTGCCGGGACTTTCGCTCAGGGGGCTGAATTCCCCGTGTGGACCTTTATCGACCAGCACTATGTTCAGATATTGACAGCCAATATTGGCATTTCCTATGCCATCTCCACGTTTGCCTACGTGCGCAGCTTCAGCGTCAAGGCTGGTGACAAGCAGAACCGGGAGCTTGCCGCCGGTGGCCACTCGGGCAACCTCTTGTACGACTGGTTCATCGGCCGCGAGCTCAACCCTCGCGTCACCATCCCCCTGATCGGCGAGGTAGACATCAAGGAGTGGTGCGAGCTGCGCCCCGGCATGATGGGCTGGATCATCCTCAACTGCGCGTGGTGCGCCCGTCAGTACCGCAACTTCGGCTTCGTCACGGACAGCATCGTGTGCATCACTGTGGTGCAGGCGCTGTACATCGTCGACTCCTGGTGGAACGAGCCCGCTATCCTGACGACCATGGACATCACCACCGACGGCTTCGGCATGATGTTGGCCTTTGGTGACCTGGTCTGGGTGCCGTTTGTGTACTCGATGCAAACGCGGTACCTTTCTGTCCACCCACGGTCGCTTGGGCCGCTGGGCTTGGTCGCTATGTTGTCGCTCATCGGCGCCGGCTTCTACATCTTCCGTTCCGCCAACAGCCAAAAGAATGCCTTCCGGACGAACCCCAACGACCCGGCGGTGGCGAACCTCAAGTACATCCAGACCAAGACGGGAAGCAAGCTGCTGACCACGGGCTGGTGGGGTGTTGCGCGTCACATCAACTACCTGGGCGACTGGATCCAGTCGTGGCCGTACAGCTTGCCAACGGGTCTCGCGGGATACCAGATCCTCACGGCTGGTACGGGGGCCGAGGGTGCGTACGTGATGCGGGACGGCCGCGAGGTGGCGCAGGGCTCGGCCAAGGGCTGGGGCATGCTGTTCACGTACTTTTACATTGTCTACTTTGCCATCCTGCTCATCCACCGCGACCGGCGCGACGACGAAAAGTGCCACCGAAAGTACGGCGAGGACTGGGAAAAGTACAAGAAGGAGGTCCGGTGGCGCATCGTGCCAGGCATCTATTAGTCGAGTACGGCCGAGCCGGACGCGGCGGCGAGCCGCGGCTGCGGGTTCCCCGCGCGCGATGCTGACGTTGCGGAGCTGGTCAAGTTGATGAGAGACGTGGTTCTGGGCATGGCGGTCGGTCTCGGGCGGCCGACGGCGTTGGGTGTAAAACCGTGTAATACGTTGGCGACTACTTGTTCGCTCTATAGGGATAGAGTAATGGATCGATATCACGGCCGCAGTGGGGCCGCTGCTTGTGTTTCCATGAGCTAGCAAGTAGGCATTCCATCACGTCATGCTCGTCCGATGGCTGGCCGTCGGCGGCAACTCAGAGCGGCGCAGAACCCGGAGAAGGGCGCGATCAAGGCCGAAGGCGCATGCCGAAGGCGGCTGGCAAGGGCACAAATTATGCCGAGTACCAGGCCGAAGAGCCGGGTCGACGGGGCGAGACTCCGGACGGAGGAACTGCGGGGACGCCCGATGGAGAAACAAGGGCATGCACGGGGGAGGACGGCGATGCTGCAGATGCGGCGGATCACGCGTGACGAGGTCAGTCTCTGGGCATGCAGATGCATGTCATTCATCGGCAGCGGGACAGACGAAGAGGTCGGCAGACCGAGCGACGCTCCCCGACGACGTTTAGAAAAAGGCCCGAAAGGAGGGCACGCTAAATAGGGCAGAGAGCCGGTTGATGAAAAGCCCACTGGGGAGGCCCGGCTGATGGCTCTGGGGGTGACGAGGGGGGCTTGCGGAGGCTTACTCGATGGAGCGGGTGGGAGATGGGAGGCGGCAGGGGTTTGGGGCTGGAGGTGTGGGTGGGACGTGCGGGGGAGGAAGCCGTGTGGATGGATGGCTTGGATGGATGGACGCAGGGTGGGGATAATCTGGTGATGCCGCTGCTGGGGACGGGGCGTGTAAGTGAGCCGAGGCGGAGGGGAACCGAGGGAGCAGTCGTCTGCTCCCAACTGCGGGATTGCACACAACCGTTTCGTGCAGTAAGTACTGTACTGCATTCCTACGAAGTACGAATTGCTCATATCACATAAAATCGTAAAAGTCCCATACCAAGTACTTATATCAATCCTCGTAAAACGGACCACCGGTGAACGGGCCATACACAAGGACCTGGTGCAGGAGCGAGGAGGCGGCGGACCAACGCGGGGCCGGCAGTTCGCGCGAGTGCCAGCCAGCCAAGGATGCCAGGCACAGGGCACGGTTGATGAAAATTGGAGAACCAGGACCGCACGCTGCTGACGGGCTTGAACTTGTTTCGACTCGTTCTCCCAGAAACAACAGCCTGTTTAGAAAGACACTGTCAGAAACACTTCCAACCGGCTTGACTCTGTACTCCGTACACACTACTTTGTACGTAGTAGGCTTTCCCCCCCTCGTCAGCACAACACGCATGGGTGTTGCAAGTCTGCTCCGTTCGTTCACAGCGAGTATCGCAAACAGCGGCCGAGGCGTGGTGTGGCGTCGTACACGCTTGGTTACAAAGTGCGTAGGGCAAGGCAACAAAATTGTACATGAATTGCATCTTGGTCACACGTAGCATTCACGCCCGGTCGGATGCAGGGAGCCGTCTCCCGCGCAGCCGTGATGGCCAGGCCTGGTGAGCTGTCAGTCGCGGTCCCAGCCGAAGCGAGGACGTGCTCGATGCCACGCGCCGCAGGGCCCGGATCGCGGATGCAACCTGACCCTGCGCAAATCACCTCGTTCGATGCACAAGCTTCGAGCTCATGTATGTGGCTGGAGATGGGCTAGCACTGCAGACAACGATGGACCCATGGCAGTGACATGGCATGACAGGGAAGGCTTTCGTCGTTCTAGCCGAGACAGTGGAAAGACGATCCGGCCGTTTCACGCTTGCCGTCACCCGCGAACGGCTTCTTTCTCATCGCCGGACCGGTCCTCGACCGCGTGGCCGGGCCTAGATGCTGACAACGATGATGGAAGAGTTGGCGGCAAGAAGAAGAGACATCGGCCCTTTTCCGTTGAGCCAAGCATGGTGCGCGTGCTGGCCGGTCGTCGTGCCCATGCCCGGCAGCCCCAAAGGCAAGGCGAGGCAGGGCAAGGCAAGGCATGCCACCATCCCATGCACGCACTTGGATGCGATCCCCGCAGACGGCGAGCGGGCAACCGATGGCCTTTGGGCCTTCTGGTCCCCCAAGGACCCGTGGGTCAACCGGCGCGGCCGATGTGACCCTCCAAACGGGGTTCTTGGTGTGCGAGCAGTTTAACGTGCAGTAGTAGAGAAGACTGTGGGAGCATTTCTCCTGCGGTTTTCCCGCCCGTGGGTCCCGGATGTCAGCGTGACGATCGCCATCGTCCACGCCCCCCTCCCTCCCCATAAGTGATTGTTTGTTGACGTCGAGTGCGTTTTCTACCCGTTTTCTGTTTGGCCCATGTGGCCGATGATCTCGACGTTTATGCGGGCCGTCAAACCGTGAGACCTGGCCAGGGAGCAGCCTGGGACGAATATAGGTAACTCTGGGGATTGACAGGAGCAAAGTGTCGGCCGACGCCACCCCCGGACTGCCGCTGGAATAGACTTCCCGCGTGCGGTGCGCGGGACCTGGGCTGTGCCTGGGCGTTCTCGAGTCGGCCAACTGCCATTGATGGGCGGTAAAGCTGCCCACCCAAGCTTTCTGGCCCCTCTGTGGCTTCGGGCCATGGGGCCTTGTTTTTTATTTTTTTTGCCGGTGCGGTGCGGGCAGGGGTGGGGACGTGCGGGGGGCGCGCACCTTGGCGGGCAGTGGAATCGAGGGGCCCCAGCGCACTTCTGCCCGCGGGCGCCTGATGAGCCCAGCTTGCAGCCCCTGTCGGGTGATGTGCTGTGCTGTGCTCCAGCTGCTGCAGGCACTCCATGCTGGCCGCCAACCGACCGCCAGTGGGGTACATGTATTACCGACTGCGCCTGGCGTCCAGGGCCTGGAATATGGGAAGCTTAGCTGCAAGCCACGACCTGGAAGACGGGCGCCGGGGTTCTGAAGAGCCGGAGGGGAGGCGCGCCTGCGTCTGCCGCCCTGTCGAGCCGCGTTGCCTAGCAGGCCCGGCCGGCCTTGTGCTCGGCTTTAATCCCCCAAGCGCAGAGGACGAGGCGCCGCCATCAGCAGGGAGCTGCTCCGATCGAGGAAGCGAGACCCACGAGGGTCGAGGGTTGAGGGCGAGGGCGAGGGCGGGCGACGACAAGGGGCAAGATCGATGCCGGGGGGGAGGTGAGTGACGACAAAGACCTGGAGGAGGATGGAGCAGAAATGGTCCACCAACGGGAGCACTCGCTCGTACGTGCAGGGTGCGAACGCGTAGCTGTGCTTTCCCCCATTGCATTTGCTGAAGTGCTACTTTTGTCGTGGGTCAGGTCCCCATTAGGTTGACGTGCTGTGCGGCCATCCATCCGGTCGACCTACGTGCGGTGTGGTGGTGTGTGTGTCTGTGGTGTGTGTCTGTAAGTCACTCCCTGCGCTCCGTCATGCTTGCAATTTCGGCCCAGCATCACTGAGACCCTGGAGATTATATCAAGCGCATTCCTCCCCCTCCCCCCTCCTCTTCGATCTTCTTTGTTTAGGTCCAGCAGTCTCAGCTTTGGGGTTTTTTGTTTTCTTCATCCTCGCGGCTCCCGTCTTTTAAACCAGACGGCGACAGATCTCGACAGCGACAGACGCCCAAGGCAGTCGTCTTGTCACAGATCCCGGCACCAGGTACAGGAGAAACACCTACACCGGCCCGACACCTCGACGACGTTAGAGACGAACCTCCAGCATGAAGCCGTTGTCTCTTGTCGCGGCAGCGCTGCTGGCTGCCGTGGCCGATGCCTCGACCATTGGCGCAGATCACAAGGTGAGTCCCTTGTCCAACGTGAAAGCTGTCCTCCCCCCTTTGATCAGATGCGCGAGTGCGAGCGAGCGACGACTCGGGAAATCGCAATCACAAGTGTGGCTGCACGCGAGAAGGAGAAAAAGCAATACATACGCGGCGCGCTGCATGTAATTGCCCATCAACGTTGCATCAGTTTCCAGGTTCTCCCCAGCATGCGCGCTGTGCCACCAGCAGCCCCTTTCGTCACGGGCGCTGCGCTGCGACTTACAGTGGACTCCACTGCGTTGCGGCGGTGGCTTTGTGGCGGCATCTCGGGCCGCGTCTGTGCCATTGGTGGCGGCAGTCTTCGACTGTGCCTGGGCGGGCATCCCTCCATGCCAGTGGAGTGCCCGGATCGTCACCGCGCCGCAGCTATTCACCCGCTGCCTCACGCGCCCCGTGACGGACACGAGCTGCCACCACCTCCACCGCGCGCGACGCTGCTCACTCGCCATGACGACACCACACCTCCATCATGCAATTGATCGTCGCCGTATTTGCGGGCGCGATTGCGTGTCGCCTGGGAAGTGCCGCGGCTAACATTCAGATCCCGCTGCAGGCCCTCGATGCCAGAGCCGAGCTCGCTCACTCGCCGCCTCACTACCCCTCGCCATGGATGGACCCCAAGGCCACCGGCTGGGAGGAGGCCTACGCCAAGGCCAAGGCCTTTGTCTCCCAGCTGACGCTGCTGGAGAAGGTCAACATCACGACCGGCACGGGGTGAGTTCCTGCTGCTTCCGCCTTGTCGTCGCTTACACGCCCCTCGCTGACGGTCATGATTTGCACAGATGGATGAGCGGTCCCTGCGTCGGCAACGTCGGCGCCGTCCCGCGTCTGGGACTCAAGGCCCTGTGTATGCAGGACGGCCCTCTGGGCCTGCGCTTCTCCGACTACAACAGCGCGTTCCCCGTGGCCGTCACTTCGGGTGCCACCTGGAGCAAGCACCTATGGCGCGACCGTGGCAAGGCCATGGGTGAGGAGGCCAAGGGCAAGGGCGTCGACGTGCTGCTCGGCCCCGTTGCCGGCCCCATTGGCCGTGCCCCCGAGGGCGGTCGCAACGCCGAGGGCTTCGGTGCCGACCCGTATCTGCAGGGTCAGGGCCTTGCCAGCACGTCGGTTGGCATCCAGGAGGCCGGTGTTGTTGCCTGCGCCAAGCACTACGTCGCCAACGAGCAGGGTAAGTGCTGAATCCAATACTGCAACTCGTCATGTATGCGATGCTGACGCCTCGTCAGAGCACTTCCGCCAGTCGGGCGAAGCCCAAGGCCGCGGCTTCAACATCTCCGAGTCCCTCTCGTCCAACATCGACGACAAGACCATGCACGAGCTGTACGCGTGGCCCTTTGCCGACGCCGTCAAGGCTGGTGTCGGCTCCATTATGTGCTCGTACAACCAGATCAACAACTCGTACGGCTGCCAAAACTCCAAGCTCCTCAACGGCATCCTCAAGGGCGAGATGGGCTTCCAGGGCTTCGTCATGAGCGACTGGCAGGCTCAGCACGCCGGTGCTGCCACCGCCGCCGCCGGTCTCGACATGACCATGCCCGGCGACACCACTTTCAACACCGGCTACAGCTACTGGGGTGGCAACCTGACCCTCGGTGTCATCAACGGCACCGTCCCCGAGTGGCGCATCGACGACATGGTGATGCGCATCATGGCCGCCTACTTCAAGGTCGGCAGGACCCTCGAGAACCAGGTGCCCACCAACTTCAACTCGTGGACCCGCGACAGCTACGGCTGGGAGGACCAGGCCGCCAAGGAGAACTGGGGCCTCATCAACCAGCAGGTCGACGTTCGCGCTAACCACGCCAACCACATCCGCGAGTCGGCCGCCAAGGGCACCGTCATCCTCAAGAACTCGGGCGTGCTGCCCCTTGAGAAGCCCAAGTTCGTCGCTGTCGTCGGCGAGGACGCTGGCGCCAACCCCAAGGGCCCCAACGGCTGCCCTGACCGCGGCTGCGATGACGGCACTCTGGCCATGATCTGGGGTTCCGGCACCTCCAACTTCCCGTACCTCATCACACCCGATAGCGCCCTGCAGGCTCAGGCCATCAAGGACGGCACCCGGTACGAGAGCATCTTGACCAACTACGCCTGGGCGGAGACCAAGGCCCTCGTCACTCAGCCCAACGTCACCGCCATCGTCTTTGCCAACGCCGGCGGCGGCGAGGGCTACATCGACGTGGACGGCAACGCCGGTGACCGCAAGAACCTGACTCTGTGGAAGAACGGCGATGACCTCATCAAGAACGTCTCGTCGGTCAACCCCAACACCATTGTCGTCCTGCACACGTCTGGCCCCGTTCTGGTCACGGACTGGTACAACAACCCCAACATCACCGCCATTGTCTGGGCTGGCATGCCGGGACAGGAGTCGGGCAACTCTCTGACGGACATTCTCTACGGCAAGACGAGCCCCGGCCGATCTCCCTTCACCTGGGGCCCGACTCGCGAGAGCTACGGCACCGACGTCCTGTACAAGCCCAACAACGGCAACGGCGCGCCGCAAGACGACTTCACTGAGGGCAACTTCATCGACTACCGTCACTTCGACAAGGCGGCGCCCAACAAGGGCGACAAGGGCGCTCCCATCTACGAGTTCGGCTTCGGCCTCTCCTGGGGCGAGTTCAAGTACTCGCAGCTTAATGTGCAGAAGCACAACGTCCGCCCCTACCAGCCCACGACCGGCAAGACCATCAAGGCCCCCGAGTTTGGCAACTTCAGCACCGACCTCAAGGACTACGCCTTCCCCAAGGGCATCCGCTACATCTACCAGTGGATTTACCCGTGGCTCAACTCGACCGAGTCGGGCAAGGAGGCGTCGGGAGACCCCCAGTACGGCAAGACTGCCAAGGAGTTCCTCCCGCCTGGCGCCATTGACGGGTCGCCGCAGCCCCGACAGGGTGCCTCGGGTGCTCCCGGTGGCAACCGCCAGCTGTGGGATGTGCTCTACACCGTCAACTGCGTCATCACCAACACCGGGTCGCGCATGTCGGACGAGGTGCCGCAGGTGTACGTCAGCCTGGGTGGCAAGGGCGAGCCCGTGCGGGTGCTCCGCGGCTTCGAGCGGATCGAGCGGATCGCGCCTGGCCAGTCGGTGCAGTTCCGCGCGGAGCTGACGCGCAGGGACGTGAGCAACTGGGACGTGGCCAGCCAGAACTGGGTCGTCACCAAGGAGCCCAAGACGGTGTATGTCGGCAGCAGTTCGAGGAACCTGCCCCTGAAGGCGAGGCTGGATTAGCACGACGGGGCGTACGTGCGAAGGCGTGTAGATCTGAGAGAGGGTGGCTGTGCACAAACGGATGGATGGGTTCCTATGAGACGATGGCAGTATTAGCCCTTTGCTTCACGTAATTACTTTGAGAGAAATGGATACAGCACACTTATCTCGGTCAAAGCCGTCGAGTGCCCGTGAGTGAGACAAGGTGAATACACGGAACCGAAGAGAATGTGGCGTAGGTGTCAGCTTGTGATTTGCAGAAGCAGCTCTTGCGAGTCTGTGCTGGACTGAATAGGTTGATCGCCCGACTGGTATACTTTGTCGGCCTGATCTATCATCACAAGTCGACTCTGGTGGGCCTCGTAGTCCTAGCTCAGTACGAAGCGGCATATGCGTACACGTCGTTGCGAAGCTTCACAGGCCACTAGGGGAGTCGTCTAGATCGCCGCTGTATTGGGACGGCCCTCCGAAACGTGACGTGCGCCCCAGCACTGATACTGTACCATAGACACACAGCAGGGCGGAACAATGCGTCGTCGCCCGGATCCATTTCGTAACGTATAAGTACCGGCGCCCGCTGCGCATCTTGCGGCAGGCGGTCTGCGTAAGCATACACTGTACCTCAAGTCTCAGTGTCACGAGTAAATACTGCCTCTCCAGTGCTCGCTCAAAGTCCGCAACGCAACTATGGGTAGTATCAAGGCCGCGATGATGACTGCGCTGCTGCTCGCGCTGGGTGCGACGGCGTCGCCGGTGCCGGTGCCGGTGCCGGTGCCGTCTGACTCGAACTTGCATAAGGAGAATGAGACGTGGTGTCGGGAGATATGAGATGTGCGAGGGGGGTTTGGCCGGGTGGGTGGGTGGCGGGTTGTGTCTAATGTTGGTGTCGTGCAAGGTAAGTACCGTGATATCTCTGAGAGGGTGCCTGCTGCTGACCGTGACGGTAGTGAACGCTGGTCTTGGGTGGATGCTCCAGACGGGTCTCTGCGGAGGAGTGAGAGTGGGTGCCGGCGAGGGAAGTGTATAAAGAAACACACAAGAGGTGCATCAGGCGCGGGCGGATATAGAATAGCCACTCAAAGAATTTCGTCAAGGCCCCGTGTCAACTTTGCGGTGGTGTAGACGTAGGCCACGCCTCCAGGATCGACACCGAAACCACAGCCCATGCATTAAACGTACATACGGTATTATGTACATATTCGTCACCGACTCCCCTTCCGGAGATGCCCTCCCCGGTCCTTTACTTCCCCGCGACCTTGAGCCCGGCCTTGACCCACAGCGCGACGCTGGCCAGCGAGGCGACGTTCCACAGGGCGGTGCGCGCCCACGACAGGCGGCGGTTGCGGATCCCCGCGTAGGCAACGACGAAGGCGACGCGCGCGAGCACGTACCCGACGCTCAGCGCGTTGAGCGCCTCGGCCTCGAGCCCCGCGTGGTTGGCGGCGAGCACGCCCGCGGCGAAGAAGCCGAGCGTCTCGAAGCCGTTGATCGAGGCGCCCTCGAGGCGGAGGATGCGGGCCTTGCGCTGTATTCCCACGGCACCCAAACAGGTTAGTACTAGTACGTATCACCTGCGTGGTGTTTGCCAAAAGAGGGTCTTTTTTGGGCTGAGGTGATGGAAAGAGAATGGCTCTGGAGGTGACGCGGGTCGTGGGCATACCAGCTTGTCTATGGAAGTGTCGCGGCGGACGTTCTCGTGGAAGCTGCGCGGCGCGGCGTTGTCATAAACGGTGTCGACACCGGCGTCGACGACGGCCAGGTAGTGCGGCACGAGGCACACGTAGAGCGCTACGGGGACCTGCTGCGTGTCAGTGCTCTGCTCTGCCCAGGAAGGGCCACGCCCGCGCGCGTGCTTAGAGCACGGTAGATCGGCAAGTGCATGAAGCGGCGACGCACGGTGAGGTAAGAGTAGTTCTTTGACGGGTCGAGCCCGACGACGGAGAGGAGGGCGTTAATGGAAGCGGCCATGGCGACGGAGTACGTTACTCGGCTGTCTAGGTTTGAAGGACGGACACCTTTGAGGCTTTGACGATGGAAAACAGACAGGCAAGCACAGCAAACGCGCGGACGAGGACCCATAGCTTATGAACGCGGTCACACGCCGCCTTATACGTGGTACAGACGAGCCAGCCCGCCCCCGACGGGCCGCGGACTGTGGCGTCCACGGTGTGCGTTGGTTGGGTGCTGGTACTCCCGCCTTTCCCTCCCGACTCCCGAGGCACCGCGCGTCAATTGGCTTCCAGGCACCGGGCGGGCAAACATGCATACGTCCTGGTTTGGTCTGATTGATAATATGTGGGGTCGCGGGGGAATATGGTGGCAGCGCGGCGGCGGCAGCCACATGCAACCGAGCGCCGCGCGGGGCGGTTGATGCTGACCCGGCCGGAGGATCGGGGCATTAGCAAGTGCCGAGTCGGCGTCGATTGAGGACCCACCTCGGCGCCGACGCACCGGTGGCCTCAACCCCCGACTGTGAAGGCAACCCCTGATATGCCGCGACGACGGGGAGAGAAACGCCGCCGCGGGATTGCGGAAGTGCCGTGCTGAATGGCCCGGTCTGACTGCAGGACCGGTCGTGCCCCCATTTTCGGCCGGGTAGATGTTGCTGACCTACACGTGGCCAGCGGGCTCGTCGGATCCATGCCTGTTAGACGAAGGAATGGGACAAAGAAAGCAGTGGTGGTGTGGGGGGAGAGGTGGTGGACAGTACGGGTACGGGCGGGTCGGCAGACTGGCAAACGAGAGCGACACTGCGGTTGCGGTAGAAGCTGGCGATCTGGCTTAGACACGGCCGCCGGACCGTGAGGGGCAGACAGACGCATGCCTTGCCGGGGGTCGGCGGTCGGTGGTCGCGGTTTTGAGCCCGGCTTACACGCGGCGCCGCGACGCGACGGGCCATCCCGCGCATGCTAATAACAGAAGCTGACAACCCCGGAACCAGCTACACGCGACAACCATGCTCCCAGTGCGATTGTTGTCAGAGCGATTCAGGACGACCAGTGACACGGAAACCTGGATGGCCGGACACCAGTGCCAGGATTCGGTAGTGGCAAGTCGTTATAAATCTAGAGCCAGCTCAAGCCGTTGTCCTACGAGTCCGACATCGAGCCCAACACTCCCTTGCCTTTCCGACTCCAGATCACCCGGAGAGGTTCTTGCAGTGAGTACATACGTTCCAAGCGTCCGATTGGCATCGTGTGATGCACTTACCGCGTCCACCTAGGCCTCCAACGAGTGGTGAGCGCAACAACTCTGCCCAGCCGTTGCAGGCATCCAACATGCAACTCTTACGCGGAGGACGTGGCGTTGATTCCCGTTTGCTCTAGGAAGGAGATTGTCGGGCTATAGGTGAGACCAGCATGAATGATAGTTGGAACCATTGAAGTAGGCCATCCCATGCATCCTCACGGCACTGCGATCGCATTGCTGCGCGCTGCTCGTGCGCGTTGCTTAACCTGCGCAACTGCACCGCCGGCATCGGCTTGTCAGCCATACGACCTCAAAATTTGCCACCCAGCGAGAGATCTGCACTCGGGCATGATTCCCACATATTTCCCTGTTGTGTTCGGGGTCTTCGTATTGCTCGCGTCGCACTACGTCGCCGTGAGTGAGGCAGCTCACATCGGGGTCCAGGCTGCTGCCACAGCAGCGGGCAGTCCGGCGGGAGAAAAGAAGGTTTCCATGTAACAGTTGCGGACCGGCTCATGTGATGGCCATGCAAAGTGGTACGGCCGTTATGCATGCACGACTTGCGCCTCGCCTGGTGAGCCGCGTGCGGCGGAACGACCCGAACACTCGAGCCTCGGCCTCGACGATTCAGTCTGTGGCATCGCGTCACAGAATCCTGCCAAAGCTCCAAATGTTGAGCCCGACCTTGACGCCTTTGGTCACGGGCAGGCCGGCATGCCACGTCTCGTCATACCCTGTGCCATCCGCGCGAAAGTTCTCCCAGTACACGGCGTTGCCCGCGCGCGGCTTGAACACGGTTCCGTGGGGCTGCTGGTGGTCCTCGCCGCCGTCGTCGCGCCGCAACGTACCGTTGCTCCCGCAGTCGACGAGCTCGCACCAGCGCGGGCCGCCCTCGCCACGCGGCTGCAGTAGGGGAAACTCGGTACCGCCGCCCTTGAGGTCGTCCGAGGCGTCGACCCACACCATGAAGCTGCTCACGCGGCCCCAGCCCTGGACGTTGGCACCCCAGTCAAAGTGGTGCGAGTAGTGGCCGCCGGGGCCGTAGCGCTGGGTACGCAATCGCTCGATGTAGACGTCTTCACGCCATCCCTGGATGGCGCGGGCACGAGCTTCGATGCAGCGGACCTGGGGTGTGCGTGGCACCATGGCGACGGCGGAGTCGCGGACAGAGACATCGCGGCTCGTATCTTTGTCCTTGTGAGTGATTGTGGACGGCTCGAATAGCGGCTCACTGGTGCGATGTCGCACGGATTAGCTTCACTCCCAGGTCGCTTGTGGGGGCGAGGGCGTTTCGCGAGGATACCTGATGTCAAGGAGATGCCGTCTCTCGTCGGCGCTCAGAAAGCCCTCGAGATACAGTACCAATGGCTCTCTGCTGAGAATGCGGGTCGAGTACGCGTCGGACGGGCAATCCAGCCGGGTGTCGTTGGGCGCCTCGAGGGCGAGCAGCGACTCGTCGAGGGCCGGTCTCGGGGCCCATTCGGGCCGCTTGGGACGGTCGTGTTGCGGAAAGAAGAATTGGCTTATGGGGTTGCCAAGGAAGAGCACAATGGCGACGAGCCCAATGACGTAGGAGAGCATCGTGACCTGCCACGAGGCGGTCGTTGGTGAGGTGCGGTGCGTGTTGTGTACTCAGGTCGGCAGGTGAGGTCGAGGTCAGTGAGAATGTGTGACGTTGGGATGGCAAGTTTGGCCGCCAGTGACGCGCGCCGGGTGGGTCGCACAGCCCCGGAGTTCCGGCGGCCCACTAACCGAATTATGCTGTCTGAACCTCCGAGGTAGGTACGGCCAATGGATCCAGGTCCCCTGGGCAGGCACTCAGCACTCCACTGGAAAGCCCGCCAAACACCCGACACCCACGGCTCAGCACGCCAGGCCAGCCGTCGTCAACCTCATGGAAGGAGCCATTCACTGACGTGCACCGAGCTCGACGAGCATGGGTCAATCCAACCATTGACGTACGATACAGTGACCTTTATATGGATATCGTAGCGTACGGTTCTCAAAAGCGCTTCCTCTCCTAGTCGACTTCCGCGCAAGGCCCGCCGTCGTGTCTCCTTGCTACACGGCCCACGTCGAGTCACACGCCCACTTCGCATCTCATTCTCACCTCCATCACCATCAGTACCTATCTGGGCATCTTCGCACAGCTCAATGCCGTGTGCCGCTGGACTCGGGCGGTTCCACGGCGTACAACCTAGTCGAGCCACAGCACCGCAACTGCCCGGCTCGCGGAGCCTCGTGTGCACACCTAGTGTTCCCTCGCCTCCCAAACGAGAAATGCTCTCTCGGAGTCACGCCTGCATGCCATCGTCATCGCGACTTCCGTCCTGCGACCGGTAGCCGCCGGTGCCTTCTCAGTTCCAGCACAGTGCAGCATCGCGTCGCAGGCGCGCCTGCCGGTCGGACGGTGCATCCTTCCCATTCGTATCTGCCGCGCCGCGCGGCGACACAAACACGGAAAGTTGTGTCGGTTGACGCGCAGGCTCAAGCCCGTCCTCGCCTGCCTGCGTTGGACTTGCTCACATCAGCACCCGGCGTACTCCTCTGCCTCGACTCTGTCTTCTGTTCTCCCACCTTTTGCATTCTCGCATCTCTGTCTTCCATCCATTTTTTGCTCACCATTCCGTGCAACTGCTCGTCTTTTGTCCGTTGCTGCCCGACTTTCACCAAGAGCTGTGCCTCGTCTCCTCAGCCTTGACTCTTTATCAGACCGCGAGAGGTAAAAAAGCCGGCCCTTTCCCGTTGCCTGTTCACCGTCAATCATCATCATCGGCCTCCCAAGAGCCCGAGGAGAGCACACTTCAAATCTCGAATCAGTTGGTCCAACAGTCCTTCATCATGCTTTTCCTCAACGTCGTTGCCGTTGTTGCCATCGCCACAGGCGCCTCCGCGGCCGCCATCATCCCTCGCCTCGAACGTCTGGCCCAGTTTCGCGTCTTTGGCGCCACCATGTGCAATTATGACAATCTTGGTGTCTCGGTTGCTGTCGAGGGCGATGCCTCATTCGGCACCTGTACGAGCCTGAAGGGTGATGACGTCCACTCCATCTTCGCCACCACCATCCACGACGACTGCCATTGTAAGCCACCCTGCCAGCGGCCCTCCCATACTCGTTGCATCGTCAGATTGGGTGGCTGCAAGCTAACTGATAGTAGTGTTTCTTTTTGCCGACGAGAAGTGCACCATTGCGAAGGTCGAAGTCGAGGAAGAAGAATGCCTCAGCACCGCGGGGAGTTTCAAGGCATGGTCCATTGACTGCGACCCCTTTTAGAGCCTCACGATTGCTCGGGCTGGGGGCGTGGCAGATACGGCGCAATGGTTTTTTCGCGGTGGATTCGTTCTCTCACCCTAATGACGAAAGCGAGGCACATGAATATGGGACGGCAGTGGATGCATGGCAAGTGGTCGGTAGACAGTGGAGTTTGTTGTTGCATCGATAGGCATCAGTCCTTCAATACGACATACTAAATTGGTATTCACACGAATGCGTTGCCATAGCGGAGCACCACAGGCGACGGTCTCGCGTCACACGGGATGGCTCGTACTAATGAGCTTCCATGTCGACACGTGCGTCGTGCAGCACCGGGTTGGTGTAAAGTCGTCCACCGTTGGTGGATGGAACTGTTGCGTGGGCTGAGAGACTGAGCCCGCCAATGTCTTGGGTTTTGCTTCGTGTTGGTGGCCGTTGGTCACATGTATGCAACGACACCAAGGACATCCATGGGAGGCGATACCGATGAGTCCGCTGAACTGCTACTCCGTAGTTGCGTTCGAGTCAACATCTGTTTCGCATGTCTCCAACCGTGTTTGTGGCGCTACTTTGTCCCCCTGCTAGCCTGCTCTGGAACACTGCAAGACTCGTCTGCCCCAGGTGAGGTGGCGCAGTGGCATCCACGATCGTTCAGCTCAGCAACCGGGGATACGTTTGCCTCGCGCGAGTTGATTGATGCCACTGGCGCTTGGACTGACGGCTTGCCCCTGAGCAATTGAAGCAATTACGGCAGCGGAGCCAATGCCCATGCCAAGTCCTTTGCGTCCCTGTCCCCAATCATTAGCACCGACATCTTCTGCTGATGACGATGACCACGTCGGCTTCCAGGGCGTGACTGCACAACGAGATGAGATGCGGGCAACGGGATGTGCCAGTGCCACAGCACCAACACGGCAGAGCGAGGTAAAAAGAAAGAAAGGGAAAGAAAAAAGCCAAGATCTCAGCCGTTCGGCGCATACGTAAACAAGCAAAGCAGCCAACTCACCTCGAGTTACCCAACCCGGCAACCATGTGCATGCGATGGCGCACCGGCTATGCTCTCCGTGAAGGTTCAACGCAGGGCAGTGCCGGCTGTCGCCCGTCAGCCCGCGTCCAATATCTCGGGATTCACCATCGCCTCCACCACCGCCGCCGCCGCCTCTTCCTTTTGGCCACCAGGTTGAGGAGGCCGGCCCACCCACAATCGACGGGTTCTGCGCGGCTCTGCAACGAAGCCGCCACGCTCCCCCTCCCCCCCCCAGCGCGGGACAAAGAACGTGGTCCGTGCTCGCCAATTGGCCCGATGATGACAGACTGGGCGGCCCAAGCCTCCGCCCTCTTGGCCCGTAGGTCGTTGTCGTCCCCTTGGGCTCGCTGGCTGGCCCCCCGACGGCCCGCCGCCCTCCCCTCCCACCCGCAAGCCATGGCGCCTTCAGCCCCGGGCAGCCGCACACGAGCCCGGCCCAATCCGGGTCTCGCGGCCGCGTGTCGCCCTGGCATTGTTACATACTGCTGGGTAACTTACTGCCGGGCTGGCCCTTTCATCGTGGCTGCTGCAAGAGCGCAGGGAGTTGCCTGACCAGCAAGCCAGGGCGCCAGGGCACACACATCCCAGGCTGGGCTGGGGTTCCCGGTTTTGACTTCGCAGCCCGCCTTGTTTATTTTTGACAGCCCGCCGCTACTCGTCTGGGTCGTCGCCGTCCAGTGGTTGGGCTCGTATTCCGCCGGACAGGCGACGGGGGAAGGGAGGGGGGGGAGGGGATCGTCAAGCCAAGGCTCCGCGATACAAGTTCTGCGAAGACAAGCCGGTTGGCGTTGGGGGCGGGCAGCCGCGAGAGGGCGGCACTGTCGGCACTTGGATGCATGGAGCTGAGTATGCCTTGGCCGTTGGCGTGCAGTAGCAGCATGGCTGGACGAGGCCAAGGAAGACGCCGTTGCTGGGGAGGTTCGGGTTCGGGATGGCAGACGTATAAGAAGGTGCGGTGGTTGAGCTGTCGAGGCCTTTCTCGCCTCCTTCTCCTCCCTTTCTCTCTCGTCACTTACACGCTCATCTTGCCCGGAGTTTGTCATCTACTGTACAAAAATCCACCACCACCTTCGTTCCACTTACACTCGCTTAACGCTTGGTATAAAGGCACGAAGACAGGGCAAGCAAAAGCAGACAAGACAGACAGACAGACAAGATGAAGTCCATCGCCGCCCTCTCGCTCATCGCCGCCGTGCCGGCCCTCGCCGCCACGCCCCTCGAGCGCACCGTCTTCGCCCGCCAGGACACCGTCTCGTGCAGCTCCGTCGGCGAGAAGCCCTGCGGCAGCGTCTGCATCCCCCTCACCTTCACCTGCTGCCCGGACCAGAAGGGCGGGTGCCCCGCCAGCGCCGTCTGCCAGCTCGCCGACAACGGCGTCTACGGGTGCTGCCCCCGCGGCCGCACCTGCACCGGCGACGCGACCGCCACCACAAACACCCTCACCGTGAGCCAGACAAACACCCAGACCGAGACCAACACCGTGACTCCCACGCAGACGGAGACGGCCTCGGAGAGCCAGCCCACCGAGACACAGCCCACGGAGACCGAGACGGCGCCTCCCCAGACCGAGTCGGAGACTGCCTCTGTCACCGTCCCCGGCACCATCACGTCTGTCCCCGTGCCGACTGGAAACGCCACGGCCCCGCCGCCGAGCTCGTCCCTGCCTCCCGTCACTGCGGGTGCTGCCACCAACGGGCTGTCGGCCATGGGCGGTCTCCTCGCCGGTCTTGTCGCCTTCCTCTTCTGAGATTGTCCCGGATTGCCGCCGCTTGTTGAGGCGGTTTTGTCAGAAGTGGCTTGTGCGGCTAAACACGTCTTTTGCCTAATGGAGGTTGAAAGGAGAGCCTGCTCTGTGCCGGGGTGGTTACTGAACTGGGAGTTGACGATCCAAACCAGCTTAATACTTGCAATTGGCCAATAGAGAGAGTTTCGTCACCTCAAGCCAATACGGCATATACGACGTGAATGTGTGTGCCTGGGCGATCTGACCTCCTGCAACAAAGTGGTGGCCCAACCGCCCGGCCAAGAGCGCCACGCATATAGCTTGGCGAACCACGGTCACAGAGTGCAACAGGGGTGACGGCCAGGAGAAACCACAAGCGCACGAGCGGCAATTGAGATACGAACATGTAACGTTGGATAGCATACCAATCTGCGAAGGCCCAACGGCGTCGGTTAAGTCTGCCTACTTCATGCAATCTCCACGACCACCTTGCCAAAGTGCTGTCCACTCCACTGGTACTCGTAGGCCTCCTTCAGGTTCTCCAGCTTAAACGTCTTCTTGTCCACCACGGGACGCAGCTTGTCCGGGTTCGCCTCGATGGCGCGGCACATGTCCTCCATCTGGGTCCTCGAGCCGACGAGGATTCCGCGCGCCGTGCACAGGTGGTTCAGGCAGTCGATGAAGCCGGGCTGATCCTTTGTGAAGCCACCGACGAAGCCGATGATTGTGATGACGCCCGAGATCTTGATGGCGTTGAGGCTCTGGGCCATGGACCTGGGGCCGGCGACCTCGACGACGTGGTCAACGCCGCGACCGCCCGTAATCTTCTTGGCCTCGGCGCCCCACTCCGGGTTCGTCTTGTAGTTGATGATGTGGTCCGCGCCAAGCTTGCGCAGCGTCTCTACCTTGTCATCGGAGCCCGTCGTGGCGATGACACGCGCCCCCGCAGCCTTGGCGAACTGCAGAGCGAAGATGGACACGCCGCCGGTGCCCTGCGTGAGCACCCACTGCCCAGCCGTGACTTGGTTGTCGGAGAGTCCGTAGAGCGCGTTCCACGCGGTGAGGGCCGCGCAGGGAAGCGTGGATGCCTCCTCAAACGAGATGTTGGACGGCATATGCACGAGCCCCTGCTCGCTGAAGGCGCCGAAAGATCGGAGAGTGCCATGGATGGCCCCGCCGAGTCCGGAAGAGGCCCCGGCGGCGTCGAGAGGCCCGCCGATGTGCGCCTGATTGAACAGCGTCACGACCTTGTCGCCGGGCTTGAAGCGGGTGACGTGCTTGCCGACCGAGACCACGGTGCCGGCGCCGTCGGAGCCGGGGACCACATTCGGCACGGTCGCGAACGGGCTGCGCACCGACGTCAGCTCCGCATCGCCTCAATGTCCCTTCCGGTAAAAGCTTACTATTTGCCCAAAGGAATGATCAAGTCACGGTACTGCGGCGGTTAGGAACGTGGCGTACTGCAGTGCGACGCCTGGCGACTTACATTGAGCGATGCGGCATGGACTGCGGACAAACGGAGTTAGCGCTGATGAGCCGCCTATGACTTCATTGAGCCGACCGATTGACTTACGCTTCACCAGGACCTGGCTGTCGCCGAGCTCTGAGAGCTGCTCCTCGGAGAACTTGAGGGCATTGAAGCCGTCCTTGCCGTCCTGGGAGGTGACGGTCCACTGCTTGGTGGTCTTGGGGACGTTCTGCGCCATGGTTTAAGATCGGCAGGGTGCTGGTGCTGTGCGGGCAATGCTGTGCAACGCAGAGCTGGCCTGCAGATAGGATGAGACGGAGTTCTTGAATGGAACAGATTCGGATCAGATACGGACGATCCCTTTCCACGGCTTTGTGGCCAGGTGGAACAGGAGCTCCCGCGCCTGCCTCTTTATAAATCAAGCTTGATTTGTAACCATTCCTTCTGTGCGGGCGGCACTTGCGCAATCGACCTCGGGAACGTTGACGTAAGGTGGGTCTGAGTCGAAATCATGATGCCGTAGCCGCCGCAGCAAGCTTGCCATAGCTGCCGTGTCCCAGTTTTGGCCCATCGGCGAATCAACAATTTGGCAGTCGCCCGGCACTAGGCCCTGCTGAGCCACCGGATCCGTCTTGAAAACTACCGTGTCCTGCGTGTTCAGAACACCCTTGTGGATACCGGCGCGGGGTCGGCAGGTGTTGACGATTAGAGGTGCTCCAACGGAGGGAAAGGGGAAAAGTTGAATCTTTGAATGGTGAACTGATTTATGCGGGATCGCCCAGGCAGTACAGGCGCCTGCGCCTGGCATGTATAGAGCAAAGACCAATGTGAGCCCTCCTGCGGCGGGTGCTCGTTGAGGCGTGCCGTTCGAACGTGCTGGAACCGAGAGCCCCAGACCTGTGTCTGGAAACGTTGTTTGACAAGCAAACCGTCGCAAGCCTTCCAATAAAGTATGTCCAAGTCCCCCATGCGAGTATACAGCGTGGCCATCACTTATGTGGGAACTTGTACTGGCATCAGCCTAGCAGGTCACTGCCGTCGTCGTATGCGCCCAGCCGTCCGCGGACGTGACCACCCGCATTCACATCCATGGTCGATGGGATCATTTCGAGGCTCAATAATTCGTTGCTTGCATCACAGTGCCTGCTTCTTACAGAACATTTGACACGTGGTGAAAATTATATGAGATTGCTCAGTTCCGAATGACATGGACCTTCAGCGCCTCGGGGCCACCCACGCAGTGAGGGGAGGAGCACTAACGATGAACCGGGCGCGGCTGTGCTGGACGCTGTAATAAGCGGCGCTCACTCTGCTGCGAATACAAACCGTGTCCACAAGGTACAACCACCAACCATTCCATCGACACTTCACACTCAAGAAAACGAGGAAGCCTCATCCTCAGTCGATACAGTGACGTGGGCGCCCCATCTTCCGTCCCGCGATTTTAACTCTGGATTTTGTCGATACGCAGCCAACGCCCATCGCCGTTACATCGCGCCACGCGTTCAATGGCACATCCAGCGCCGCATCAGGGTTCATCGCTGCAACTGCCCACTGGCTCGGCGGCGCCCAACGTGGCATCCGGGCCTCTTCCCGCATCGTCGTCCTCGCCGCGCCGCGCCGTCAGCCCGCACCCGGAATCCCGCGGCGGCATCGTGGTCTTCTCCGGCGGCAGCGCGGCCAACAGCCTCGTTGATGTCTTTGAGCGCATCCGCGAAGCCAACCGTGCCACGCTCAGCTACGTGATTCCCATCTCCGACAATGGCGGCAGCACCAGCGAGATTATCCGCGTCTTTGGAGGACCCGGTGCGTCGCCCTTCCCTTCCCTCTTGGTATCCGTGTAGAGCTGCATACTGACCGTTTAATAGGAATCGGCGATGTCAGATCCCGCCTGGTGAGGCTCATCCCAGCCAACGATGACCCCGAGACGGTCGCCATCAAGCACCTCTTCAACCACCGCCTGCCCAAGGTCCATGCGGAAGCGCGTGCCGAGTGGTTCGAGATTCTCGAGACCACGCACCCTCTGTGGCGGGACATCTCGTCGCCTAAGCGCGAGCTCATCCGGTCCTATCTTAACAGCTTCAACCTCGAAGTCATCAAGCGCATGCGGCCTACTAGCCGCTTCGACTTTTCCCGCTCTAGCATCGGCAACATCTTCCTCACAGGTGCTCGCCTCTTCACGGGTAGCTTCGAGGCTGCCATCTATCTCCTGAGCTCCATCTGCGCCGTGCCCGAGCGGGTAAGTGTCCTGCCGGCGCTCAACACCAACTTTGCGCACCACATCGCCGCAGGGCTGCAGGACGGGACTGTCATCACCGGACAGAATGACATTTCTCACCCAAGTGCGCCGACAGCGGCGGTGCCCGTCAACGGGGCCTTCAGCACGGGAGCACACACCCCCGCGCCATCAGTGGGACACGACGCAGATGAGCACGATGATGTGGAGGATGCGAACCTCCCTGGCTCCTTGCCAGCTCTGAGACGTCCGGCAATCGCCTTTTCCAAGATGGACGAGGAGGATCTGCCCACTCGCATCGATAGGATCTGGTACATCAATCCATACGGGCAAGAGATTCGCATTCCGGCCAATCCGCGGGTCCTCGACGCCATCAACTCCGCCAACACCATTATATACAGCATCGGCTCGCTGTTCACCTCCCTGATCCCCAACCTGGTCCTCAAGGGCGTGGGAGAGGCGGTTGCGAGCCCGCACATTCGCAATAAGATTCTGATCCTCAACGGGAGCACAGACCGAGAGACGGGACCCTCGAGCGAACCCTTCACCGGGCTGGACTTTGTGGCCGCCATTGCCAATGCATGCGCCGACTCGAGAGGATTGCCGCGGCCTGCAGAGGATGAGTACGGTGCCTATGTGACCCATGTAATCCACCTTGACGGGTCAGCGGCCCCGGCGGTAGACAAACAGCGGCTGGGGAGTATTGGCATTGAGACAACAAGACTGTACGGGCCCACTGGTGGGCGATACGACGCAAACGCACTCGGGCAAACGCTTGAGTCGTTGGTGGGACGAAAAGACATGCGGGCCGACAGGAGCAGGAGGAATACCTTGGTGGGCTGATACAAGAGAGCCAGGCATTTGTACAACACTTGAACATCATGTAGGAGCAGGAACAAGATTCGATGCAACGTCTGACAACGCTCGCTAGACGCCAAGTTGCGCTCATCATCAGCCTCCACGCACGAGACACCCCGTGTATCCCGACCAGCCCGTCCCATCATCTCACACCTCGTAACCTAATTCGCAAAAAGTAGATACAGCATTACGACCGGCCACGCTGTAGACAGCAGCGCAGCAGCCATAACTGACCCCGCCCCGACTCGTATCTTGTCGGCCGGGCCCTTCCAGCGGTCGACAAGCGCGCAGGTGCTGAAGATTATGGCACAGGCGTAGAGGGCGAGCAGCCAGACGATGCCGAGAATTATGTCGGCGTTGCGGTCCGGCACGCTGAGCACGACCTTGGAGGTGTCGGGAACGAAGGTAGACGACAAGTTGTTGCCCATTTTGTCCTATTCTCGCTTTGCTGCCTCTCTGATGGCGTCTTTTGTGGCGGCCGCTGGACCAAAAAAATGCGTCTAAGCCGTGGAGGCAGTGTCGGTGGGTGGTAGGGATCGAAGTCGGTCGGTCAAATTGTCCAGCAATTCCCTCGCCAGCGAGTTCAACATTCGTAAAAAAAAAAAAAGAGCGGAAAGAACGAAAAGACTACCCGCGCCTACGACGAACAAGAGAACATGAGAAATGAAAAGAATGAAGAAAAGGCGAGACAGAGTCTTCACGATGGCATCTGAAGGGCATGGCGGCGGGGGCGTTAAGACGCGGGTTTGACCAGGGGACCCCCTGGTTCATGCGGCTCGAGACGTCACAGGGCCCCCCCCCCTCGACGGCGGCGCTTCTGCTCCCACGCTCGTCACACGCTCATCGTCTCAAGATGCAGCAAGCCCACACGCGATTTGAGACGACGCGCCAATTGCCTGGGCTACGCCACTTCTGGCGCCCGCCAAACCGGTGGCTTGGGGTGCCGGACATCCGATGACAGCTTTGAACGCAGGCTGGCTGGCGCCAAGCTCACCGGTCGCTGGTTTGAGTCCGACCTGGAGTTGAGACGAGTCGAAAGTCGGAGTCGGCGATGGTGACAGGAAGGGATGCAGCGAGTAACATTCCGAGAGTACCAAAGAAGGACTAAAAGCTAACACATGTATGACTGACAGTCCAGTGCGATTGTGATTCAATGTTCAATTCTGCGGTGTATGTCTTCTAGCGGCGCAAGCAGTAGCTCTAAAAGGACAAGAGACGGGACGGCCGTCATCCGGCGTCGTCGCCCCCGTGCATCATCGGCGCGTTTCACCAGCGCAACCCCTCCGTCCTGCCTACTCCATAGCCATAACCCTTTCCAGCAGCCATTTGATCTCCTCCAAGACAGTTTGCACATCGGCCTCGGCGTCCACTGGAACCACATCCGTCTCCTCAATCGCCGCATCCTCCTGCGCCGCAAGCTGCCCCTCGACCATGTCGGCGCTCATATAATGCCCCTTTCGACCCTCTAGCCGCTGAACTAACACATCTTTGCCAGCTTGCAGAGTGACAAAGATTGTTCTGATGCCTGCGTTGTTGAGCGCGCTGCGCAGCGCGTCGCGGTATGACTGCTTTAGAGCCGAGCAGCTGACCACGACGGACCGGTAGTCAAGGTCGAGGACTGTCTCCTTTGATCGTGTGCCGATGCGGGCGAGCCATGACTCGCGATCTTCATCTGAGAGGGCTTCGCCGCTGCGCATCTTGTCCACGGAGGACTTGCCGTGGAGGAAGTCGCCTTCCAGAAAAGGGACACCCAGCCACTTGGCTATCTCGTTGCCTACGGCCGTTTTCCCCGTACCGCATGGCCCGGCTACCACAACGGCAGTTTTTTCTGGTGCGGTCTTTTGGGGCTTCCTCCAAGAGTTGTTCAAGAAGTATTGCACAAACTTGTTGACGAAGCTCTGGTCGAGCAACGGTGCGGCCGTCAAGCCTGCAGATAGCGAGCACGCCGTCTCAGTCGCAAAGGACTTCGAGGGCGCAAACTCGTCCTTGTCGTACTTGGACGCAAAGAACTCGACGAGCTTAATCGGTGGGTTCACTTTTGGGTCTGCGTTTGATGCGCGAAGCCTCCTCACCCACTCCTTGGGCTCGACCTCGTCGAACGTCAGTCCTGCGTTGCGAAGGGCCGGGAGCAAGTCCTTCGTCCAGCTGAACGTCTTTGGGTTCGTGACATTCGTTATTACGCTGCCTGCGTCGGAGAGCGAAATCTCGGCAACGGCCTGCGCGACGGTGTCGACGGGCAGCCACGAAGGCGTCTCAGCCAGACGCGGCAGCGCACCCACAGTGAGCGCCGTCTGCATCATCATCGGGACCGCCTCCTGCGCGTTCCACACCCCGTGCGCCGTGTCGCCGACGATCTGGCCCACGCGCAGCACCCGGCAGGTCACGTCGTCGGCCTTTGCGCAGATGTGCTCCGCGACGGACTTGGACTGCGCGTAGCCCATGCCCTGCGCCCACGACAGCTCGGGAAGGGACTCGGGAACTGGGGTAACGGAGGCGCGCGAGCCGGTGCTCACTGATGAGCAGAAGTTCATGGACGCCGCACGGCGCGGAGAGGCGCGGCAGAGGGCGAGCAGGTGGGCGATGCCTGCGACGTTGCTGGCCTCGAAGCTGGAGAGGTGCATGCTGAAGTTGACGGACCATGCGCAGTGGATCACGGTACGTAGATTCGTGGCAATGGTGTTGTAGTGCGAGTCTGAGAGACCGAGATGCGGGTCGGCGAGGTCAGAGGGTAGCGCGACGAGCTTGCGCCGCGAGGAGAGTGGCAGCGTGTGCCAGAGACGGCGCAGCAGAAGAGACTCGGTGACGCGGTGTGCTGCTTGTGCGGCGTCTCTGGCTCGCACCAAGCAGTATACGGTGCTGATTGTGGTGTCCGAGGCCAGTCTCGCGACGACGTGTGCTCCAAGAGAGCCCGTCGCACCGGTCACAACCTTGTCTTGTCAGTGGCCTTGCACACAGTTGTTTGGCGATGCATCAAGACTTACAACTGATGAACCTTCCAAGCGAGGTGGCTCGGCGTAGCTGTCTGTGTACTTGGACACCATGCTTCTCATCTCATCTTCGATAGAGGTAGCCGCTCTCGTATCGCTACCGAGACGCAAGGAGAAGAGGTGCCTCGCCAGTCTCTCCACCGAAGGTTGCTCAAAGACGACGTTCTGCCCCAGCGCCCGGCCGCCAACATCTATGGTACGGACAATCTCGGCGCGCATCTGAATCGCTTGCAGCGAGTCCATGCCTAGGCTGAAGAAATCGGTCTCATCATCCCAGCTCGGCGCGTAAGGAGCAGTCCGACAGAGCAGGTCGCGGAGGAATACTCGCAGCTCCGGCAGGTCCAGCTGCTTGACGTCTCCGGAAGCCCGATCCGAAGCATCGTATGCCTCCTGAATCTCCTCCGAGAAGGCCTTGTAGAAAGCCTGTCTGATGATGCTACCTTTGTCGGTGCGCGGGTACTCGCATCCTGGAGGAAGTACGCGAACCATTTCTCTGGATATCCGGGCAAAGGCATCGACCGCACTGTTGGCAGACTCGACTACCGGCCATATGAGGTCCAGTATTTCGTTCTGCGACTTGTTGGCCAGCGAGGGTGCCGGCACAACAAGAACGCCCAAGTATGGCCGACCGGCACCGAAGACGACGGCCTCAGCGACATTTCTGTTGGAACGGATAGAGCCTTCCATGGCCACGGGGTTAAACTTTTCGCCATTGACGAGGACTATTGTATCGTCTCGGCGGGCGACGTACTTCCACGCCTTGGGGATAGTCGGATGCGGCTCGAACAGGTCCTTTGTCGCGTAAGAGCCGTCCGGCTGGTTGGACTGCACCTTGGCTGGCCAGCCGTCAGTGACGACGCACTCGTACAGGTTTGGTCCCTGCGGCACCCATCGTAAATTCGGCGACACGTTGTCACCCTCGCGCACGTAATTCCACGCCTTGTCCCCATCGGGGCGAAACGAGGTCATCAGCTGGCCGACCTCTGTCGCGCCGTAGTGGCTCACGAGGTTGACCCCCCGGGAGACAAGCAGGTCGCCGAGGTCGTCAGGGCACGCGCTGCCGCCGTACATGGCAATCTTGAGGCGGCGTAGCAGCTCGATGCCTTCGTCCGACTCGGAGAGGAGCTTGAGTGCGTACGGCACGCCGTAGAAGACGCCAAAGGAGTGCTCGCGCAGGACACGCGCAAGGTGCTCCTGAGTCAGGGGTAGGTCCGCTGCGTATAGGTGCAGGGAGGTGCGCGCGTGGATCGCGCGGAAGAGGTTGCAGATGCCGTGGTTGTGGTACAGTGGGAGGGTGATGAAGCCGTCGAGGCCGAGGCCGATGGCATAGTTGGCCAGGCAGGCCTTGTGAGTCTGATAGATGGGCTTTGGAAGGCCCGTGGAGCCTAACACTTGGTCAGACATGGCTCGCAGGCTGAAAAGCACGAAGCAGCTTACCACTCGAGTGAATGATGAAGGCTATGTTTTCTCTCTCAACCTCTGGGTCAAGCGGTCTGGTGATGTGAGTGTCGCCATGTGCGTCGATGGCAAACTCAAAGACACTCCTCGCGGCGATAGGCAGCGTCGCCAAGCCGGCGATTTTGGCCTGTACTCTTTCTGCAACTTGAAGGCGCTTATCGTCCACTACCAAGGCCTGTGCTCCCGTGCAAGCCAGAAGTGACTCGATTGCCTGCTCGGTGATTCGTGTGGACAGCAGAAGCACCGAGTGCCCCAGCTTGCTCATGGCCAGCATCGTAATGAGATACTCCAGATCTGAGGGCCCCAGCAAAGCCACCACCGTAGGCTTCTCCGCCGATGTCGTTCTCGGAGGCACCCATTGCTCATAGTGCTTCGCAGCGCGCCACGCGAACACATCGAGCTGCTGGAGCGTGTAATCGACAAATGAGGTTGTCCCTCGCAGCGGGTACGAGACGCTGCGATGGCCAGGGTGCAAGATGGCCTGGCGTCGGACAAGGTCATCAACTGTTTGTGGTTCGGGTATTGTCGCAGGGCTTGGGCTTTCTGCAGCCAGCACGGCGGGCTTCAGAGACGTAGTGTCAGTCTCCGTGAGCCTGCTGGGCCCAATTTGCTCTACTTGAAGTGATGGTGGCATTGTGCTGGCTTGTGCGACAAAGGCACTGTTGAAAAGACTATAATTCGCACTTCAGCCGCCGCTGGCGATTTCGATTCGTTTATGAATGAGACCAGATAGCTCGAGGGGGGCCGCAGCTCGCGAGGCTTATCACGAGGTGACGTCGAATCGCCATCCCGAATACCGGAGAGTTTTCCGTCGGAAGTGGATGTAAGTCCCAGCCAAAGCGGACTTTAATCCGTCGCGGCGTCAATGATCCCGGTAATGTTTGTCTTATTGGCGAAATCAACCCGGCAACTCTTTCCCGGATCCCCATTGTCGGCCACCCCATGCTCGGTTAGCAATTGGCTCGAATTGCCGAGGGTCTGGCCTGATGGGACGCCCATGAGAGAGGCAATTGGCGACAGGGACAGGCGACAGCCACGATCAGCACGCGGGGAAACGCGGGGACCCCGCCAAAGGTATTTTCCGCGATCGGATAAGTATCCGTACCCCACGGCATTGCTCAATTCATCCGCTGGAAGAAGTGACGAGGAAGGCACACGTCAATTAATGTGTCTGACTCTTCGCCATGGAAGCAATTCATCAGCATATAACACTCAACGGCGGCCTGGCAGAATGCCGACTTTCGATCCCATCCCTCCACCCTTGACCTGTTGCAGCATTCAAAGTTTTTGATCATGGCGCAAACACACATCGACAAGCCAGACATTGTCCTGGTCGACCACAGGGACAAGGCCGACGAGGACGAGGAGGCAAAGCCATCCGCCGTCCATATCATTGACAATGTCCGTGTACTTGGTCTGAGCGACGAGGATGCCGACTTTTACAACAACTACTCCGCCGAGAAGCGGAAACGAGTAGTCCGCAAGGTGAGCTTCACATACGTCCAGAGTACTTCACGCCCAGCTAATGATTGTTCGTCAGGTCGATTTGCGTCTTGTCCCTATGCTTTCCGTTCTGTACCTCATTTCGCATCTCGACAGGGCCAACATCGGCAACGCCAAGATTGAAGGGCTCGACAAAGATCTCAACCTCAAGGGCAACCAATGGAACATCGTCCTGTCTCTGTTCTTCGTGCCCTACGTGCTCCTCGAGATTCCCAGCAACATGCTTCTCAAGCGAGTGTCCCGACCCTCGACGTATCTAGGGACTCTCGTCACAGCTTGGGGGATCATCATGACGCTGCACGGCGTGACCCGCAACTTCGCCGGCCTTCTCGTGGTGCGGATCCTGCTTGGCGTCTTCGAGGCTGGATTCTACCCTGGTGCAGTGTATCTGTGCACCTTTTGGTATATGCCCGGCCAGCTCGCCACAAGAATCGCATGGTTCTACTGCACGAGTGCACTGTCGGGTGCATTCTCGGGACTCTTGGCAGCGGCAATCGCCCAGATGGACGGCGTCGGTGGCTACGAGGGCTGGCGCTGGATCTTCCTGCTCGAGGGCATCATGACTGTGCTTCTCGGCGTCGCCTGCTTCTTCCTGCTCATTGACTCGCCGTCATTGTCGACGCGTTGGCTGGAGCCGGATGAGATCCGGTTCCTCAATCTGCAGGGCTTCATCAAACAGGGCGGTCGCTTCAGCGACGAGAAAGGTACCAGCAACTGGCACGACTTCAAGATGGTGGTCACAAATTGGAGGCTGTACTTGCAGGCGTGGATGCTGCTGTGCATCTCCGCCTGCTCCTACGGCATGAAATTTACTCTGCCATCCATTACAAAGGCAATGGGCTTCAAGAATACGGCTGCGCAGCTCATGACGGTCCCGATCTACGTCGCAGCCTCCCTTTCAGCGCTTTTCAGCTCCTTTTTGTCCGATCATTTTGGCATCCGGTTCCCATTCTGTGCCATTCCGCTGTCGCTCATCGCAATCGGTTACTCCATTGTCATCTCATTCAGGGGCGATTTGACGGGCAGCCATCAGGGTCCCGGATACTTTGCGCTGATTCTGTGCATGATGGGCATCTACCCCATCCAGCCCGCAGGGTCATCCTGGGCGGCCAGCAACCTCGCGCCCATGAGTCGGAGAGCCGTCGGTGTCGCGTTCAACATTTGCTTCGGCAACATCGGGGGAGTAATCGGCAGCTACATGTATCTTGACAAGGAGGCGCCCGAGTACTGGACCGGTTATGGGCTGTCGCTCGCCTTTGGAGCGACGGGAGTGATTGCGGCGTGCATCCTGGAGATCAGTTACAAGGTTGGCAACGCACGCAGGGCCAAGCTGTCTGAGGAGGAGATTCGGGCGCGTTACAGCGATGAGGACCTTCTCAAGCTGGGGGATCGGAGCCCACTGTTCAAGTATACCCTCTGAGCCGGTGTGGGCGGTAGCGATACTGATATCGCTATGTTTTCGAGCTGTGGCTTCGTACGTCGTGATTAGAGCGAGGGTATGTGTGGCGGAACCGTTTGACGAGTCAGATTGTAAATATTCCAATGGCTATGAAAATTGGCAAAAGCATCATCCCTGGCCTGTTTCCAATTCGATCGTTCAGGGGACCGACGTGAAGGGACGCATTACAGTTGGCGTTGGACACACAGCGTTCAAATGTTCACAGGTCAACTTCCACACTTCCAGTCGTTCAGGGTCAAGCTGCGTTACGGCAGACAGTACTGTAGGTCAGTATTGTTTGTTCTGCATTCCTAATTTCATGTTCGTATGTTCTCAAAAGCGCCCTCTACGTTTTTTTGGACGGAAGGCGAACCAGTCCCAGGCTCCATCGTTTTCCCAGCCAGGCTGAATCTGCGTTGCACCCGACAATTCCCTGTGGCTTTGCGCCACAGTGCTGGCTCACCAATGTGGTGTTGCCCGGGGTGAAGAATGGCTAGCTCTTTTCCGACTTATCCGCTCCCCTCTCCACCTTTTCCGCTCCCATCTTCTCCAGCTCGTCTGCTTTTCCGCCAACTTCTATAGTTGGACCGCCATGTTCAATGTTGGCGCCGGAAAGCAGCTCAGCAAGCAGTGAAACGGACAACAAAAGCCTCGGCGACATGGAAAATGAAGGTTTGAGGGCCACCGGATCGGCCACTCGCGGATATAGACGACGGCAGAGCAGTGATTTGGTCGTCAGTCACACTCCACCAAGCAAGACGCCGTATCCGACCTCTTCCAGACGGAAATGCACCTCGCCAATGGCCACCTCCAATGAACGCGACCAACTCCCCGGTCCCAGTCCAGAGGATGAGAACCAGCAAGAGAGCAAGATCCGCAAAGTAAGCCGGGCGTGCGACTTTTGCAAGGCGCGCAAGGCCCGCTGTACCGGCGACCTGCCCTGCCAGAAATGCATGGTGAAAGGGAGAGTCTGTCTCTACAGCGCAAAGTACACTCGAGGACGACCTCCAACTCCGCCGAGGTCCACTAGCGTCCGCTCGCCAACCGGAAACGATGGAGTGGCTCTGATCTCGCCAGCTCGTTACACGAGTCCCGCCGTGTCCATAGAGTTGTCGCGGCACCCGCACCATCCAGACCCGGAAAGCGCCGCGCCGTCGAGGGCTTCGCCAGAACTTGGTCTGTCGGAAATACAAGGCCAAGTCTTCGACCCCACTTCCGGCTTTTCCTTTCTTCATCGTGCGTGGAAGCGTCTCTCGGCGCGCAACGCAGGCTCCATCCAAGGCGACTCGAGGACAGTCTCCTCTGACAAACCGCTAGCGGAGAGGAGGGAGCATGCGCCGCTACAGCTTCCTGAGCCGGATGAGAGCCGCCGGCTCGTGGCGCTGTATTTCGACGTCTGCATCGCCACATATCGGGTGTTGCATCGGCCAACGGTAGAAGAGTGGCTCGCTGTCGTGGAGCGCAACGTCAGTCAAGACCAGCCAGTCTGGCATGGTCTCGGCCGCTCACGAGCCGCCGTTGTCCTCGTGGTCCTCGCGATCGCCGCCGCTCACCATGAAAAGTCGAAAGGCATCTCATCTCAAGAAGATGAGACCCGCGCCCTGAGTCTCAGCGACGAGCTCTTCGGTGTCTCGCTTCGCCTTGTTGACGTCGAGATGGGTCCTCCCCGATTGGAGTCGGCGCAGGCGCGACTTGTGCAGGTGCTGTATCTCCTTACTACATCAAGGTTCAATAGAGCCTGGTTCGTATTTGGAAGCGCGCTGCAACTGATCTCCGCCCTCGGTCTCCATCGGCGGGCGAACCCTAAGAAACGCAAAGTGACCAGGGAAGACTATATACAGACGCAGTGTGGGTTGCGCCTGTTTTGGTCAGCTTACATCCTGGACAACTATCTCGGCGTAGTGTTTGGACGTCCACGCCATTACAACGACGACGACATTGACCAGGTGTGTCTTCTCGCTTCATTCAACGTCTAGCCCTGGAGACTAACTGATCTAGGTTTTGCCCGACCGAATCAATGATGAAGACATGACTGCGGTCGGTCCAGGACAGGGGTTAGACGATTTGGGCGACTGTCACATTGATGCTCTGATCTTCCATGCCAAGTATGATACTGTGACCCCAATACACGCCCAGACACTGACGTTAACGCCGACAGGATTGGCACGATTATAGGCTCAATATCCAGAGAGGTCTATAGCATCAAAAACATTCCAGAGGGAGATCGCGTCGCCGCCGCCCACCGCCTCATTCAGGAGGTTGATGAATGGCGTTCCAGCCTGCCGGCGCATCTGGGTTCGGTGCCTCCCAGGATGCTAATAATGAGCTATCGCCGCCAGGCAACAGTCATGAAGATTGCTCACTCTCATGCCGTCATGCATGCTAGTCGACTGTTTCTTCTAGGCGATCCTTCACGGCACGAGAACCACGTGCGAGGCTGCGTCGCTGCGGCGCGGACAGTACTGGAGACTGTCGACGGCATGGCCAAAGAAGGTCCCATATTCCATGCCTTCTGGTGGACACACTATGTCACCTTTTGCGCGCTTGTCGTGGTATACATATGGGAAATCCAGCAGAGAAGGGCGAACAGCGCCGTACAACAGCAGCGAACGAGCCTTCTGAATCTAGCGGAGCGATGCCACACGCACCTAGCACACGCGACAGCTACAAACTCTCCAAGTCGTCGATACGCCGTCATCTTGGAAGAGTTTCGCAAGACTGCGCTCTGTCAGCCCCTCGCTCAAGAGAGGAACGATGACGTTGACGTCGCAGAGCCACCAGGATTGACAATTGATCCTCAGAATCCAGGCTTCGTACAGGGAAGCGCGGTCCCTGCTGCCATTGGGGGTGGCCTGCAGAGCATGGCATCGCTGATGAACTTTGATCCCCAACAATTCGATGCTTGGCAGATGACGGATTTCTTCATAGACTTGGACTCCTCGGTAAGCACACCGTCATCATTAAAAGCTTGCATAATAACCTGCGACAGGCGTTTTGGCCGCAAGTTGACGTTGATGAGTCTATGATGTGGACCTCAATGGGTCTCTGATGGTGGACTCAGCAGGCCGCAAGGCTTGAAGTACGGAGTAAGCTACATTATGTAGATGTGATTCAACATGGTTGAACAGCATTTGTTGGCTGTCTACACAATGAATAAGCAAGCCAAAGGCCAATCCACACGAGTGTGGCATAATTTGTGCATTCGCCAGCCTCATTGTCAATCTGTCAAAACCTGGAAGTTGGAGATTCGGCCTGCTGGCATGTTGGTGCCGGTGACGGGGGCTCCACTGTGATCAGTGCATAGCCTATTCAAGGTTACCCGCCGGAGATGCAAGCCTCAGCGGCCAGTCATGCGTGGCAGGGTACGAACATCGTGTGACCCCAAATTTCTTCCCGACTTCCGGCCACTCCAGTCCCTCCGCGGCGTGTCCCTGGAATCGACGAGGGGGGCGGATGTCTTCAGGAGAGTCATGCCCTGTTATGCCCATTTACGTAAGTTTCGGCCATTCTTTAGTTTTCTCCCCTTCAAAAAGACCGCCTTTTGTACCAGTGAGGTTTAGTCTCCGATCGTGTGTTCGATGCAGACATGGAACCACGAACCGGCGAAAGGGAAGTACATGTAATGAAATGCACTCAGTCTCATTGGGCATTTCCGTTACCCTATAATGTTACCACTACGTGCTGGCAACCAAAGTTGCCATGGGAGGCACTCAGGCATGAGAAGCGGTGGATGCCAGAAGGGAGCGATGGACGGAGCCACTGTGGATATATGCTAGTGTAAGCCGAGACCAAGTACATACGACCATACCTACTAGAAAGCACGGGATCCCGTCCGCTCTCCCATAGTTAAGCTGGTAAGGGGCAGATTAGTAGTTGGGTCGGTGACGACCAGCGAACACCGGCTGTTGTATGTTTTTTGCCATCTTTTTGCTCTGCTTAGCGGTTCATTGATAAATTGTTCATCCGGATGGCAGCAATGTTCTCACTCTTTTTTGGTGTCGCGACTGAAGTGGCGTCTTACTGGAGTGATAGGCTGGCCCCCAACACCCGGCCCATTATGCGGCCAATTGGGGAAGGGCCCAGAACCGCTACCAGTCCAAGGCATGGTACATGGGATCAAATCACAATTTGTCAAACTTGTTCAAGTGCATCGTAGAATATTCTCAAGTCAACCAACGTTGCGGCGGTGTTTCTTCAATGACCGACGTCGGCGTAGGCTTAGGCCGGTCGAAGAAACGTAGCGTCTATGGCAGCCTTGCCGCAATGCACTAAAACGAGTCAATAATTATGCTAAACTACACCGCCGAAGGCGTCTTGAAGTGGGCGTGGTCTCTGTATGTCTCTGTTTTCGTCGTCCACCGTCACACATAGGGCCGAGTCGGCAGATCACGGATGATCGTGACTCGATGCTAGGCGACCTGGTACCGGAAGTTCAGTCACGAGCGCATGAAGACCGAGTCCGACTCGCTGCGTTGATTCCGTTCCCAGTATACGATGGGACTCTCGGCGACCGTCGGAGACGACACTGCGCCGCTCGCTTTCTCCGGTAGAGGGGCCGGAGATGTTCGGCGTACGGATGCCACGTACCGGGGGCATGTGAACAACTCTCTGCGTGATCTGTTCGCCGTCTTCCATGTCGGCCGTCTTCGCCGCATCCATTCCCGTCTCCCCTGCCCATTCGTCCCGGCCCGTATGCGTGCCCTGCCGGGTACTCCGCAGCACAGGGGTGCCACGGCGAAGCGGAGCGGTGGTCCCGCTGCGGCGCATGCATCATGCTTGCAGCGTGCAGTGCCCAGATCCAATCTTCCGACCAATCCGTACAGTTGCGTTGTAATGTTGGCCAGAGTCGGGAACCAGGATCGTTCCAAGATCACTCCATCACTCGGCTGTACGTACTCTGTACGCCAGTGTGTCCACCGTATGGTCACAGGACAGAGGCCGGCCTGCGCTGGGCGATTTGCACGAGACTCGGTTATGGAAAATAGTCATGCAGCACCAGAAAAGAACACAGATCATCTACACTGAATCACTTGTGCCAAATAAGCTACCATGGTAAATGAATGAGCGCGACAGCAACCGTTGTCATCCGTGCACCCAGTCCATGTCACAACGTCAGGCACCTACCTACCTTTGCCTGAAGTCAATTGCCGCGATCATACGATAAATTTTGCCTCTATTACACGAGAAACGTGCATTTCCGCGGCAAGATATTATGTGAAACTGAACGCGTGAACCCGGTGCTTCCGATTTCACTCATCGATTGATGTACAAAAGAAGGAAGATGGGCTTGATTACGATTAACGTATAATTACCTCCATACTTAGCAAGCAACGGGGGATACACTTCATTATCTACATCCTCGATAAACCCTCCTTGATCGATCTAGCAGCAGGCGCATTGCACCGTATCGCCGAAAAGATGACTGTTCCCGAGCCCCCCAAGTTTCCCTTCCTTCGAGCATCAGGCCTCGAGCCACCGGCCGAGTTCGCTCGCCTTCGGGCGACCGATCCGCTGTCCCAAGTTCGACTTTTCGACGGGAGCCTGGCGTGGCTTGCAACAAAGTACGAAGATGTCTGCTTTGTGGCCACCGATGACCGCCTGTCCAAGGTATGGTGCTCAGCTACGTAAATGCTCGCTCAGTTTGACTGAACCAATGTGCCTGGTCAGGTCCGAGCACGACCGGGGTTCCCCGAGCTCAGTGCAGGCGGCAAGGAAGCTGCCAAGGCGAAAGCAACTTTTGTCGACATGGACGCTCCAGACCATATGCACCAGAGGTACGTCTACTTCAAACGCTCCAGGCAGGCACAGCTAGAACAATGTGTGCAACAGGGGCATGGTTGAGAAATTCTTCGACACAACTTATGTCAACAACCTGCGACCATATATCCAGAAGACAGTAGATGACCTTCTGGACGCCATCGTGGCCAAGGGATGCCACAGTGGCCCTATCGATCTGATCAAGGAATTTGCACTTCCTGTTCCGTCATATGTATGATACTAAATCCCCACGCAAGGCCGGTTACTAAGTGCGTGCAAGGTCATCTACCACATCCTTGGAGTCCCGCCTCACGACCTGGAGAAGTTGACACACAAGAACGCCATCCGCTCAAACGGAAGCGCCACAGCCCGAGAGGCATCGGCGGCTAGCCAGTAAGTGTCGAGCATCCACCGCCGGTGTCAATTTGCCTGACATTCATGTCACAGAGAGCTGCTAGACTACCTCAGTGCTTTGGTCGATGATCGCGCCAGAGAACCGAAGAATGACCTCATCAGCAGCCTTGTCACGGAGCAAGTGAAGCCCGGCCACATTGAGAAGTCCGACGCTGTTCAAATTGCGTTCCTGCTCCTCGTTGCGGGAAATGCTACCATGGTGAACATGATCGCTCTTGTAAGTGAACCCCTGTCGAGGCGCATCAACAAATGAGATTTCTGATGGCATTTCCAGGGCGTTGTCACGCTGTTCCAAAATCCATCGCAGCTTGAGCAGCTGAAGAAGGACCCATCGCTTGCTTCTACTTTCGTCAAGGAGCTCACTCGATTTCACACGGGGTCCGCTCTGGCCATGAAGCGCACTGCTAAAGTCGACGTGCAACTGCGTGGAAAGGTAATAGTCCCAAATAAGTGTAGACTTGGAAAGCATATAGGAAAGCAGATGTACTAACGTCGACTTCCAGCTCATCAAAGCCGGCGAGGGCATCATCGCGTCCAACCAGTCCGCCAATCGAGATGAGGATGTCTTTGCGAACCCTGACACCTTTGACATGAACCGAAAGTGGCCTGCCGATAAGGATCCGCTCGGCTACGGCTTTGGCGACCATCGCTGCATTGCCGAGCTGCTGGCGAATACAGAACTCACGACGGTCTTTGGTATGCTACCCAATGGCGCTCATCAGACAGACCTGGGTCCCGCGATACATGCACTGACATACAGTCTCGAACAGCTACTCTATTCCAGAAGTTGCCAGGCCTGACACTTACTCAGCGCCCCGAAGACGTGCAGTGCACACCTCTGCACAAGGATGTCGGCATTGTCGAGCTCCCTGTGACGTTCTAAGTTCATCATCATTGACTGATCTTCTCCGACTCTATACTTAGAAACTCCCCGCTATGATGCACGTTGCAATAACACATTAAGGGTTGGTAGCCAGATAGGTGCTCAATAAAGGCAGATTGGATACAAAAGACGCCCTCTTGCTCCCGTGGTGGCAGTGGCAGCTGATTGCACACATGCTGAGTCGGCGCCACGTTCAGTGCGCTACACCAGCGAGAATATTGCACTACCTGAGTTGAGACACTAAGACATCTTAGGCAGCTGTCACCTCGTATGGACTTTGCATGATACGGAGTTGAAGTGAGACGTGTAAATTAGCATAAGTGAACTGTGGCCTGCATGCTGCGAGCATCCCCGCTGCTGCCTCAGTATCACTGGAAACAAACGCTGGAAGAACGTCATGGAACTTTGCAGCACAGCCTCAGCCGAGACTGGGACGCATAATCTTGGTTGCTGAGCTTCTATTTGTATATTGTCATAAGACAAGCTATTTGACACCAGTCGTTTGTTATTTGGCTGTCATGCTTGCTATCGCTGTTCGTGGCGTTGCTCCCGTTTCTGCATGTGGCTTGCACAAATAGTTATTCTCAGAGCCAAACTCAGCTGCGTATCAACAATCAAGCCATCTCAGTACTTCACATTGCTGTCTCAAGTGGTTGGCTCTAAGCCAGTTCTTGACAGCATGTACAGCATATTGGAGCGTCGCACACTGCTCAGTGGCGCCTGTCGACCTTCCTTCTGGGTTGGACAGATCCAACGAGTGTGGGGAGGTGACGAGAAGTTAGGCCTTGCCGACTCCAGATTATTAAACCATTAAGCCCGACGGCCTGTCAGTTCAAAATACCTGAGAGCCTCTGTATCTGATCTCAAGCATATATCCCTTATATAGCCATATGACACTTTGCTTCAGTACCTTCTTCGGAATTATTGGACAGTTCGCAATTTGATCATGGTCCAAACTGTTTTGGTTACTGGTGCTTCGGGATTTATCGCCGCCCACGTGGTGGACGCTCTACTTCGAAAGGGCTACGATGTGCGAGGAACAGTTCGCTCTGAGCAGTCGGCCTCCGAGGTTCTTCAGACACATTCCAAGTATCCCGGCCAAGTGAGCATATCCATTGTGCCGGACATTGCAGCACCAAACGCGTTCGACGAAGCTGTTCAAGACGTTGACGGGGTGAGTTATTCCAAGCCATCCAAAGAGCAGGCCCGGTCTAATGGCTGACCTGCCAGATCATTCATACTGCGTCACCCTTCATTCTTGATGCTACTGACTTCGACAGTCAACTGTTTCAGCCGGCCATCCAGGGCACGCTTTCCATCCTTGAAGCGGCCCGGAAGCACAATCCTCGGATTTCTCGAATCGTCATCACCTCTTCTTTTGCGTCAGCCATAGATCCGAACCAAGGCATGCGCCCCGGCTACGTTTACACCGAAGAAGACTGGAATCCCGTAACCAAAGAGACAGCGGCATCGGGTGGCGGTGTGATTGCATATCTGGCATCAAAGACATTTGCAGAGCAAGCCGCCTGGAACTACGTCAAGAACAACAAGGTAAGCAAAACAAGCGTCGGGGACTTCAGGACTTCGTGTTGTCTAATACTCGATCAGCCGAATTTCGATGTAACTACCTTGTTGCCTCCCCTGGTATATGGACCGGTGATCCACCATGTGCGCGACGTGAGCTCACTCAACACATCTTCTCGTGACATCTACCGCCTCATTGACGGATCCGAGAAGGAGGTCCCCGACACGTCATTCTGGGCTTTTGCTGATGTCCGGGACGGTAAGTTTCCATTTGTCGGGGCTGACCAGTCTACTAAAATTGAAGTTTAGTTGCCGAAGCCCATGCCCGAGCCTTTGAAGAGCCAGCAGCAGCTGGGCAGCGGTACTTGATCGCCAATTCTGCATACAGCTACCAACAGGTCTGCGATATAATCCGAGAGAACTTTCCCCAATTCCACAACTTGACACCGAAAGGCACCCCTGGAGCACGTCTCCCACCAGTCTACAAGCTGGACACATCCAAGGCGGTCCACCAGCTTGGCATGAGCTTCAGGCCGCTCGAACAGACGATCGTGGACACTGTTGAGACTTTTCTTAAATTACACCTGTGCCATGTTTCCGGTTGTAATTAAAGGTGTCAATATGTGTATTTAATGCAGATGCGTAGAACGGGTCTGCGAGTAAATGTGAAGGCAACATGCCAAGCGGTTCATGGCTCTCCCCATGCTTCAGAAACTCGGTGCATTTTCTAAGCCTTGATCCAGCAGCAAATAGACCCGGCCTGGGCATTGTACGAGTGGAAAGTGTTGTACCATCCGTCGTGAAGTCTGTCCGATCCGCCGTTGTTGTGAAGGGGCACAATCTGAGTGTGCTCGTCGCTGTTTGGGAAGCCGTTAGAAACACTTTCGGCAACTCGATAGTGGAATACGTACTCATGGTACAGCGCACAGCCAGAGTTATAAGCAGGAGCCTCGACCCTGATAGAGCGCATGTTGTGCCACCTTTTCCCCTATATTAGCATGCCTGGTCTAAAGAGATGATTCTAAAGCGGGAGGAGCGAATTACAGGTCCTTCGGAAGCTTAGTGCAGTGTCCGTTATCGGTGACGGTCACGGGAGCGCCAACGGGGTTCTCGAAGTTAATGTCGATGTAGCCAGTCCACTATCAGAGAGTCAGAAGCACTGTTCCTGTTAGCGCGTTAAGGCATTTGTCTCACCGTCACTGGGTGCGAGCGAGGCTGGAGGTCGCGGGATTCACCCGCAGGGGCAGCCGTCACAGCACCGAGCAAGACAACAAATGGGGCAAGGAAGGACTTCATTTTAGCGGTTTTGAAGAATTTCGCGGAGATTTTTTAAAGGAATGATAGAATTGAAGATTGATGTCAAAGGAGCGACAGTAGCAATGAGCGACGGGTTACAGACTACAAAGCTCTGCGATCGGGGAGATGGATGACGACTATATACAAATCCTCAATAAGGCATGTTAGGAGCCCATTCAGGGTCAAAGACGGCTCCTACACCATCAAATTACATCCATCACCTAGCGCTGACGGTAAACGGCACTCTTAAGCGCGCAGACTTAGTGTCAGCGACTAGCCGACTATAATGAGATTTGGACTGTGCCGCAGGATCATCTTGAGGATGAAGCGACGGCAGTTCATGGGCATTTGTCTTCTTTGCGTCATGGAACAACAACCCGCAAAAAGACACCAGACACCGCAACAATTGAGCGGAGCAGTCGATTCACAATTCTCGATGCCATGGCACCGAAGTATTTAATTCTCAGTGTGCGAATCAACGACACTGGCACGTAGATTCAGCACGGCGTTCTCTGAACATATGTATGGAATCAGGAGCAGGGGGCCTGTCGAACGCCCTGCCTTCCCCATGTCTCGGCCCGCAATGACCCGCATGCAGCACGCGCTCTCCTGAGTCCTGACACTCTCTACGCCAAGACGGATTCCGACGGCATTTAACCTTTCGTTTGCTGTAGGCCTGGTAGTGACTTTGGCGCTCATGGTCAGTTTAGTATTCACAGCATGACCCGCCGCCTTTCCAGTCATGCGCGTATCCCAAAGATCGGTCGTTGCGACTGGTCATGCATGGGTCGCTCAACTATCCCCGTACGTCATCCGGGCGTGAAATAATGCTAAGCGCGACCGACATGATGCTGTCTTCAGTGCCGGCGCGAAACTACATACCTATTACGGCGTAGACAAGCGCCAATGATGATAGGCGTCCCTTCTGCAGAGCATATTTCACACCCAATAGACTTGCAGAATGAGGTCGCCAGGCACAGAGTGTTAGTACAAAAGCTGCCCCTACGAGCACTGAGAACATCAGGGATATCGTCCGTCGCTAGTCCTGAACACTTGACGTTGTCATTTGCAAGCCCAGCCCGAAGGTCCAGTCCTGGGCCTGGTCAGGGGAAAGCTGAGCGAAGCCAAAGTCTCCTCTCCCGATATCAACTTCAGAATTTCTTCGACGGGGTCCACAACAACAGTGCTCCCAGGTATGCTAGACGCCGTAAATATTCCACTTACCGACTTTGCATGAGTGTTGCAGATAGCAGACGTAAGAAGTAGTGCCGACAGCTTCATATTTGCAATCATTCGGGCTGCATATGTATCGGCAATTAGTGATGATTACGAGTTTGTGGAAATGTCGTATCCAGACCGCTTCATTTCGTGATATCTCAGGGCTACGTATGTCCCACGAGAAGGTTGCGTAGCTAACTCCCGCCAAAGATACCAAAGCACAGTTTCTCACCCAAGCTGATTAGGCTCTCAGGCTAATTCACTTGTAGCTGATGTATTGTACTACTTTGTAATACCTCTATGAGTGATATTGTCGTCGAGAAGGAGTCCCATCTACGACCCAAATGACTGGCTCTCTGTAGAGACACGGAAGTAGTCTGAGGTAACCCCCAAGTCATCATTAACCCGCAGGATCCCGAGACAGCTCCCGATGTCATCAATGGAATCGGCCTGCGGAACAGCGAATAACGGACCGATGATAAGCTCAACCACAGTGCAGCTGGCCCGTTTCTTGACTCTCCATCCGATGTTCTTCAGTCACTCCTGTATACGACATATCTCAACAGCCATCGACGTAAGTTCGAGGGACAATTGAGGGTGAGTAAATGGAGAGATGGCTCGCTCACCAAACCATCATAGTGAATATCGGACTGGATTCCTTTGGCCCAAGTTGGAGGCATGCTCAGGGAGCTTCCAAAGTCAGTGGCTTGCCAGGCATGCCGTGTACATCATGAGCACATTGATATCTGCATGATTATGCGTTCATGTGATCCGTCTCACCCAGAACCCCTCAATATTGCCCGAATGCACCTCCCGTTAATCCAAAGTGCCAAGCCATCATCATTCACCACCAGGCCTCGCATTTACATGATCTGAAGCAGACTACGTGGCATGTCAAGAAAGAATAAGAGGTTTTGCAAGCTCAGAGCCTGCAGCAGATGTCTGCAGCAGATGTTGGCGCAGCCGCTTTATTAGTGACATCAATGCCGTCACGACCGCTGCCTCTAAGGGTCATACATCCCCTATAGCATATCTCCCACAGCGTCGTACAGCCGCGATAGACGGGCTCAAATGTGTATATATAGGGGGCGTTGATCCCAAACAACATGTGGAAAATCAAGGCTCCTTGTGACCCGGATACAGCACTTTGCAACAAAAGCCAAGACCGCCACCACTGCAGCCGCGTGTTGTTTTCTACAGGAACTACATTCGACGTGCAACATCTTCCACAATTTACTTCGACTTTGATACCGAAAGCATTCACAATATGTTGCCACTTGTGACCATTGCCGGAGTCGTCGCCCTCTTGGGGTCTGGTATGTCTCTACTTCTCTGAGTTGCCAACTGTCCACGGCCTGCCTCGGGCGCTGTCTATACCAGACGAGTCTCGGTGTTCGCTAATGCGTCGAAGGTGTCACGGCCGCCCCCGCAGATACGCCTACTATCATCAGGCCTAGTGGTGAACGCAAGGTGATCACTGTAGACGTCCATGATGGAACGTGCTCAGGGAGATATCTTCGCACGATTACCGACGTTGGTTGTGGCGAAACCTGCTACAAAGTCAGGGACTTCGGCTCGGTCATCCTGACGCAGAATAAGACGGATGATCCAAAGGCAAGGGTGATCTTGTACACCGACTCGTCTTGCCGAAACGAATTTGAGAACGTCGAAAATGAGGTGGAGCCTCCCAACTCACGGGTGCCGAATGATCACGTTGCTTGCACGTTTTCCAAAGACGTTACTTTTCGCAGTCTGCGTCTGTACGGGAATTGTTAGGCAACAATGGTTCACTGTGGTGTGGTTTGTTAACTCTCTTGTCGAGAATGGGCAGCGCTCCGAACCACGTGCAGTAATGCTACATGTCTCGCTAAATGTAGCTCGTTTACAAAACATCAAACGTTCGTTTTGGTAAAATCTCTTGCCCATCGTGAATCGTTTGCCCCAGGCCTCTGTGGTTCCGAATTTGATGGGGTCCTTGTCAGGCCGGTGAGGCATCACGGCCAATGATAAGACGTTGGTGGCGATGCCACGACACTGTTAGGCGAAAGGGAATGTAAGTCCAAGGGCCACTCGGGAACTTATCGTAGTAGTACATATTGGAGGTGTAGAAGCGGCACGGGCCGGCGCCGCTTTTCTTCGCCGGGATTTAACAGTGTCACCCAGGTATTGTCGCTTGGACAGGGGCCAAGGCTTCTCAACTGAGCTTTTTTTTTTCAGTCGTGGGAAATTCAACGAAGCTTGGAGCGAGGCTCTTGGAGAGAACCAGGCCGCTTTGCGTTCAGCTTAACTCCATGTCGGGAATCAAGACGGCGCCTTGGCTTACAACTGGCCGGCTGGTAGCCTTCGAGATCCTTGACCATGGAAGACCTGATGGCGAGCAGGGAAATGGCAGCGGAGGGTTACTCAATGAGGCCATCAGGACTCGGAAGCCTCTGGCGTCGTATCGCAGTTCCGTGGCGCTTGTGGCGGCTGACGACTGGTAGCACGACACGGAAATGCTGGAGGTGCAAGGACATGTTGCCGCACCATCCGGACTGGACAGACCCGGGCCGCATCGTCGCCTTCTTGCCCTCGGGACAGTGCGGTACAGGCAGAACACGTGCACAGGCAGATGCGATGGCATCAGCGTATCTCGTGTAATGCAAATCAGCAAGATGCATGTAGTAACTTAGAAGTTACACAGCGCTTGCAGTTGGTTTGGGTTTGCTTGGCCACGCGCGCTGTCGCAGGGAGCTCTTCAAGAAAGCCGAACAGCCGCACGCTTTCGTGAAATGCCCTTCGCTGGACATGGAGTAATAGTCTCAGTTCGAGGGTCGAGTTCGGATCTTGCAGAGTATTCTGCGGGATACAGATTGTACCACACTGCTTCTCGCCCACCCCTCCATTAGCAGACAAAAGCCGCCGATCAGGGCCTGTGATCGCATATTCAGTGACGATGAGGCTGCACCACCACCCTCCAGCGCCGTCAGACTCGATGCTTACAGGCGCCCCAATCAGGACGCGCGGTGCTAGACCACGGTGAGACTTGGGGTGGGAGCGCGACTCCTCGACCTGACTTGACGTCGGGACCTCGGTGGGTGCTTGTGCAACACCGTCCCCCTGCATCACGTCAATGGGCTAGTTCTGAGACTAACAGGAAAATGCGCGACTGCACGAGGTCAACGGGCAGAGCTTCCCCTCATGGCGGTGCGCCTTCGGGCGCTATATAGTCAATGAGCTCGCGCGGCCCGATGTCGTGTCTCGAAGAATGTCTTTGCGTTGTGATACTCGGATGAGTGTGACGACGAGCGAGCGGGCATCATGGGCAAGCATCTCGGAACTTTTAGGTCCTCGTACCTTGTCGCGCTCAGCTGCGTCGGGTCCTTTCTCTTCGCGTACGACACGGGCATCGTGGGTGGGATCCTGACCCTCAAGTCTTTCCAGAAAGACTTTGGGTTCACCGCGGGGCAAAAGGACAATGTCAGCTCCCTGTCGGCGAGCCTGCTGCAGGCAGGAGGTAAGTCTAGTTGCGACTCCTCGTCCGGCATGTATTGGACTGTTAACCGTCATCCAGCGTTCTTCAGCTGTCTGTTCGTGTGGCCGTTCACGGCCCGGTTCGGCCGCCGATGGGCCATCGTCCTGTCTTCGTTCGTCTTCAACATCGGTGCCATCATGCAGTTGTTCTACACGCAGGGGCTCGCAACTTGGTATGCGGGCCGCGTCATCTCCGGCCTAGGAGTCGGCATCGCGACCGTCATCATCCCCATGTACACGGCCGAGATGGCGCCCAAGCACCTCCGCGGTCGGCTGGGCAGCGGGTTTCAACTGGCCTTCACGCTCGGTGTAATGGTGAGCTACTTTGTCGACTACGGGGTGTCGGCGCACGTCGCACCTACGAGCAGGCAGTGGCGGATCCCCGTCGGCCTCCAGCTAGTGCCTGGTGGGATCCTCGGACTGGGGATGCTCGTGACGCGGGAGAGCACCCGCTGGCTGGCGAAGAGGGGCAGGCTGGAGGAAGCCATGGCCTCGTTGGTGTGGGTGCGCGGCGGCGAGGAGACTGCCGAGGTGGAGGAGGAGTTCGCGGATATCCTGGCGGGCATCGAAGAGGAGGAGCGGGCGACGGCGGGTGTGACGTGGAAGGAGTACTTTTTGCCTTCAAATCGGTACCGCCTGTTCATCGCCGTTACGATACAGATTGGTATGGCCCCAGACCATGTCTATGCGTAAGGGAACGGGGCATCGACTAATGGCAAGCAGGCGCTCAACTCACCGGCAACACGAGCCTCGCATACTGTACGTTCACCGGACAACTGTATCGTTAGAGAGTGAGAGATGCAGCATACTGACGACATCTTGTTACAGTCTCGCCGCAAATCTTCTCGGCCGTCGGCGCCGGCAACGACGCGATGCTCCTCAGCGGCTTCTTCGGCGTCTGCAAGGTGGTGTCGTGTCTGTTCTTCGTGCTCTTCCTAGTCGAGCGCATCGGACGCAAGGGCTCCCTGCTCGTCGGGTCGTTCCTCATGGGCGTGTACATGCTCACCGTCGGGCTCATCACCAAGTTCCACCCGCCGAATCCCAAGGCGGGACTGACGCCGCCGGCGATTGCGTCCCTGACCATGATCTACCTCGAGGCCATGACGTACAACATCTCGTGGGGCCCGGTACCGTGGGTGAGTCGCGCATCGTCTCCGCCGCTCAGCTGGACGGGAGAATAGTTATCGCTGACACTGGGGCGCGCGCGAAGCTGTACATTGGCGAAATCTTCCCGACGCGGATCCGCGAGGGCGGCGTGGCCATTGGCGCGGCGACGCAGTGGCTGTTCAACTTTACGTTTTCGCAGATTACGCCGCACGCGGTGACGAACCTGGGGTGGAGGGTGTTCCTCATGTTTGCCATCTTCAACTGGGCGCTGGTGCTTTACACGTGGTTCTTTATCAAGGAGGTGCGTTCGTGTGGCGTGCGAAGCGGCCAAGCTGCTCGACTGGTGAGAAGACGACCGCTGACCTGGCACTGCAGACCAAAGGACGCTCGCTCGAGGAGATGGAGCTGGGTAAGTTGGCCGTTGCAGCTGTACTTTCCAGGACGGATACTGACGGGACGCAGTCTTCAACGCCGAGCACACGCAGATTGAGATTGAGGCGGCGAGACCGAAGACGGCGGCCGTGCAATAACTGCGACAGCCCAGGGCCGTTGACGCGCACATGGGGTCCCCATCGCAGTGCAAGGCTGCGCTGGTCCTGCTGGTTGCGCGCAGTATGTAGAAGTCGGGCGGCCGAGGCTTGGTGTTGTGCAAGGGCGGAGTTTGGGCATCGTGATCGCTGGAAGGAGGGAGCTAAACCACAAAATCCGCCGCTGCGGGCCGTCGCTGGAGCGGGAACCGGCCCCGAACTTTCCGACCGACCTACGTAATGCTGTATCATCTTCAACATCCCCAATTGACGAGGGAGCTCCATTGCATCACCGATCCTTGCGACGCAGTATCCCAGCCTCCTCAAGCCTCCTGACCCAGCGAGCGCCACTGCCAGCTGGCTCCATGTCCATGACCGCAGCGGCACGAATCCGCATCCCATCTCTGCGCCCGCTCCGCCGCACTCAACGTTTGTCCACCATCCTCCTCATCGTCGCGCTCCTGAGCACCGTACTGAGCAGCGTGCCAGCCTCCCGCGCGTTTGCGTCTGCACAGGCGTCACGTCCCACGCTGGTCAGCTTCAGCCGCTGTGACGCGCGACCGCAACAACCGCTGCGAGCACCCAGGACGACGTGCGCCATCGCGGGACCCTACAGAGGCTTTGCATCGACGGCTCCCCTCGGACAGGCCTTGAGCTCTCACGCCAACATGTCGGCCGCCGTCAAGGACGCCGTCACGCCGGCGCTGCTGCGTGAGGTGCGCGACTTTTGGTTCGAGCACCTCACGAACCCCAAGGCGCTCATCATGCCTTCGTTTGAGGACAACAAGCGCTGGTTCTTTGGCGGTGCCGCGCTCGACGAGGCGTGCACGTACGTTCCCCGGGCCCGCCTCTATGTTGGCAGAATGAGAGTAACGGCTCACCATGTTTGTCTGTAGTAAGCGATTCGCGCCCACGCTCGAGGCGATCCGCAACTCGGGCGTCACCGCCGGCTCCGAGATCCTATCCGCCGTAGGCCCGCTGACGGACCCCTGCGACTGGATGTCGCTCATCATCCTGCTGGACCAGATCCCGCGCAACTGCTACCGCGGGGACGCGGCGCGCGTCGTCTTCACCGAGTTCGACCCCCTGGCGCGGGACGTGGCGCTCGCGGCCATGGCGGCGGGCGTGCCGGACGGCGAGCCGGAGATCCGCTGGCGGTTCGCGTACCGCAACTGGTTCTACATGCCGCTGATGCACTCGGAGGACGTGGCGACGCACGACAAGGCCGTGGCCGAGTACGAGAAGATGCTGGCCGACGTCAAGTCGCTGACTGATGGTGCCGGTGCCGGTGCCGGTGCCACGGGAGACGAGTACGAGGCCCGGGCGCGGGAGGTGGTGCAGGCGGACGTGGAGACGGCGACGAAGCTTGCGGGCCTGAACCTCGAGTTTGAGAGGAAGCACTACGACATCATCAAGAAGTTTGGGCGGTATCCGCACCGGAACAAGGCCATGGGGCGGGAGGCGACCAAGGAGGAGGTTGAGTATCTGGCCAACGGAGGCGAGACGTTTAGTCAGTGAGAGAAGACGATGAACTGTACGATTCAATCAACTGGAGCTACGAAGTATGTATAGCAAGATCACGCGTAGCAGTCATTTAGGCACGTAAAATGTACGGCCGCGGGTAATACTGTTGCAGCTGCGCGTTACAGCCGCGTATCATCAGCGGGGAACTGGCCGAAACTCGTCAGCGCTTCCCGCGCCAGCTCTCCTCCATCCAGAAAGAAAAGAAACCCGTCCAATGACCCGCCAGCCAATCTACCCCGTTCTGGAAATCCTGGCTCTGACGACAGTGACGTCTCCCCCGCAAATCCTTGAGGCGGAAGACCCACGACCCGAGCCGCCAGCGCTGCCAGTCGCATCCACCACGGCGACGGCGGGCGGCGTGGGCTGCATGGTGCCAATCTCCCTGTCCGATCAGGGGTCCGTCGCCTCGCCGCTCAGCACATGGAGAATCAGCGAAGGCGAAAGGGCAGGTCGAATCAATGAGTCGCGCCGGCAAGATGCAGCTGAATTGGTGACCAACTAACTTAGTTCGCTCTCAGCTTCTACGTACGTTTGCACCATCGGCCGCTCCTCATTAAATTAAACGCAGCGTCGCATCGGGATGGATAGGTGGGCGGCGCCAACCAAATGGCCGCCGGGTCCCCCGAGACCAGACGGCGGGATGCGAGTTGGCCCGGCGGGGTACCTGAAGGCCGCTGATGAATTTAGTTGATCGTGCCACCTCCAGACGCCAATGTAAACAACGCCCGCCCGCCGCGACAGCGCCCCCCTCCATCGCGACCTACACCACCACCACTACCTTCCTCACCACCGCCTCTCACACCACGTCGCCGCCTGCGGCCCTCAATTCGCGTCCGCCCTCCCCCCCTCAAACGCCCACCATGGTCAGCACGCGCTCCTCGTCGTCGCGCGCCGACAGCGCCGGGCCCGACGGCGCCTCACCCACCGCCTCGCCCACCAAGGCGACGCGCGCCGCCGCCAAGCGCAGCACGCCCTCATCGTCCACGGCCGTTGCCCGCCGCAGCGACACCACGTCCGCAAAGGCCGCCGCCGCCGGTCGCTGGGCGCACACGCCCACCGCCTTCACCCTCCTGTGGATGGCCGTGTCGCTGCCCCTCGTCGTCTGGGACACCATCTACGTCCTCGGCCGTCCGCACACCATGGAGGGCGGCTGGCTGCACTGGCCGCTCTGGGTCCCCTACAAGCTGTACGGCGAGGTCGACCACGTCTACGGCTGGAAGGCCTTCAATGCCCGCAACGGCTTCACCGCCGCTCAGGGCTTCCTCAACGCCATCGAGACGGCCATGTATCTCGCCTACATCGCCGCTTGGTTGGCCGCCCGCCGGCGCAACACCGAGGGGCGCCTCGAGGGTCGCGACGCCGCCGTCGCGGTCCTTGTTGGCTTCAGCGCCGCCGTTATGACCTTAAGCAAGACGGTGCTCTATTGTAGGGACAATCTTTCGCATGTACTCGGACGAGACGAGTGTGCTGACTCTCGCCGCAGGGATGAACGAGTATTACAGCGGCTTCGACAACATCGGCCACAACACCATCATCGACCTCATCCCCCTCTGGATTATTCCCAAGTACGCGCCACCCTCCACCCCTTGTCGTGCTTACCGGCACGTAGCTGACTGACCGCACCAGCGGCGCATGGCTCATCGGCTCGACGTACATGATCTGGTCCCTGGGCGCAAACATCATCGATGGCCTCGAGGCCGCCTCTGGGCATGCCAAGTCTGACTAGGCCAGTCTCCCGGCAGGTCAGAGCATCAATTGTTGACAAACCAGGACTGCGGTGCCAACGGGGCGCCCGTATAGACGCGGGATGAAATGTGTCTATGAAACAGAGGTTCAGGGCGGCGCGGTGATTATGAGAATCGGCGGCTTTGGTGATGATCTGTATGATATACCCCAGGTGCTTACGAGTTTTTAACATCTTTTACGACAAAGATGCATTGCACATCGCCAGTACGCGGGTGATTGGGTCGACGCCTCGACCACATCTTGATGAATCACGTCTATTATTTATTATTTCTGCCTCAAAGCCCCTGGCTCTCCCATAGCGCGCGAAACGCCGACGTCGGCCGCGCGAGCAACTCATCCGGCGGTCCAGATTCCTGCACTCTGCCCTCGGCCATGACCACGACAACGTCGCAATCGCGCACCAGCTCCAGCCTATGCGCCACCTCGACGACCGTTCTCCCCGCCCAATCGTCACGGATGGCGCGGCGAACCTCGTCGTCAGTACGGCGGTCGACACTGCTGGTAGCCTCGTCGAGGAGCACAATGGACGACGTGGAGAGCAGCGCTCGCGCCAGGCAGAATAGCTGCAGCTGGCCCGCCGAGAAGCCTAGGTCGGAGAGGGAGGCGTCGAGGCCGCCGCGGGCTTCGATGGCGGGCCAGATGGCCGTCTTGGAGAGTGCAGCGATGAGCGCGTCGTCGCCGGAAGGGGAGAGCGTCGTCTTGGGCTCGATGTCGGTCGTAGTGGATGAGGAGAACATGCCCTTGGGGTCCAGGTTGTGCCGCACCGTGCCAGACAGGTGCATCGCGTCCTGAGGGAGGGCTGTAAGTCGTGAGCGGATGGTTTGGCGGGGGATCCTGGACAGAGAGAGCCCGTCGATTGTTATGTCTCCGTGTTGCAGTTCCAGGAGGCGTGCGAGGGTCAGGAGAAGAGACGACTTGCCGCTGCGCCGGTTAGCTGCTTGATACGTCGGGTTTGCTCGAGGGCACATACCTTCCAGACCGGCCGCAAACGCCAACCCTTTGGCCGGGCTTGATGCTCACCGACACTCCCTTTAGGACGCTTTCCATGCCATCACTGCGCATGTCAGATCCCGCTGATTTCTAGGTATGTCGAGGTCCAACCCACCTGTATGAAGCGACCACGTTCGTGAGCTCAATCGCCCCCCTCGCCGGCCATTCCGGCGGGACCTCTTCACACTCTCCCTCTCTATCCTCGGGCTTGACGTTTCGCACAAACCACTTAAGCCGCGCAATAGCCCCCAACGACGTCTCCAGCCTCGTCCACTGGTCAATCACCAGCGTCAGAGTCTGATTGAACCCGATCAAGTTCACCATGGCCAACCCGATGGACCCCTTGCTCGCCGCGTCCCCCGGCACATGCAGCGCCACCGTCACGAGCACGAGCGCCATGCCCGCGACAAACAGGTCCAGCACGACCTGCAGCCAGCGCTGGATCGCAAACATGGTGTAGAAGGGCTTCTGCGAGACGTCGAGCCGCGCGTGGTTGTCGCGCAGGAACGCCTCGGACCAGCCGAAGGCGCGGATCGTGCTGAGGCCCGCGAGCGTCTCGGTGAATTGCGTGTACAGCGGCGTTTTCATTTCCAGGTCTAGGAACCGCATCTGTCTGGACGTGCGGAGGTAGTATTTCTGCACCAGGTAGAGCGCGAGCGCGCCGGGGATGATGGCCAGGCCGACGTAGCTCGCTCCTGACGCGACGAGCGCGGTTTCGGCCAGGGCACGCAGCGACACTGTGGATATCAGCGCTGCTGTAATTACCTTTTTCGGCGGGCAGCTTACATATGGATACGTTGAGGAAGCTCAGCGGGAGGTTTTGGTCAACCAGGTTCATGTCCTGGCTGAATCTGCGCCGTCCAGTGTCAACGCCAGTTCCATCTCTGCAAGGGTTCAAGGAGAGCACCTACCGGTTCAGCGTGATTCCATTGTCGGTGCTGGTGAAGAAGTAAAAGGGGGCCCTCGTGACGGCGGTGAGCAGCATCTCGTGCAGCCTATTACCAGACTTGGGAACTCCAATCACCACAAAATAGCTATTCTCAGGTAGTTAGCACCACTATGGCAACGACTGCGTGCGCGACATGAAGACGTACGCAAGGCAAAAGGCACCAGATATCGTCGACATGAGGGCAAAAGCAATGTATCCGCCCATGTACCCGTAGTCTTTGGCGCCTGTTCCTTTCTCTGTCCACAACCGCAGCCAGATCTCTGCTCCGCTGTTAGATGTGCTTGCTCATGCAATATGGGGATTTCGATGGGAACACGTACGCGGCATCTTTTGCATGGCGACATGCGTGATCCCCGCCGCGAAGAAGACTGCCAGCACACTGGGTCCAAGAGACTTGAAGTAGATCTTGTAGCACTCCATGTCTCCTGTCTGACGGCTCAGGTCGGCCTCTGTCTTTGGCTCCGGCAGCGCGTCTTTTTGGGACAGCTGCGCCTTGAGCTGTTCTTTCTCGTCGTCGACTTGGCGATCTTCTGTCTCGGAGTCATAGCTGTCGGAGTCGGAGTCGAGGACGCCCCATTCTGAAGGGTCGACCGAGTCGTAGGAGACCTGGCTTCGGAGGACCTTGCCCTCGTGCAGCAGCGTGATGAAGTCCGCTGCGGCAAGAAAGTGCACTGTATTCCATCAGTAAATAAAGTTATGCAGTATAGTTTGTTTAAATGCTTACCGTGGTTGGTAGCTAGGATGACAGTGGCGCGGCTCTGTCGAAGGAGGCCACTTGGACCCATCAGGCGTTGGAATACAGCTCTCGACGTCGTGTTATCGAGGCCGCTAAAAACATCGTCGAGCAGCAAGAGATTCTTGCGCGAATACACAGCCCGAGCAAGCGCCTGATACAAGTCAATATATTTCCGCCCAAGCGATGGATGCGTGAGAGTGTTCAACTTACAACACGCTGCTTCTGTCCGCCGCTTAGCGAAACGCCCCCCGATCCAACCAGAGTCAAGTCTCCCAGTGGAAACATCCTGACGTCTTCATCCAGCGCGCACGCCTCCAGGACCGTAGCAAGCCACTTCTCATCCAGTGGCGACTGGCCGAGGATGTTGTCTCGGATGCTCCTGTTCTCGAGCCACGGTGTCTGGTCGCAGTAGGCCATGGAGCTGAATGAAGACACGACTCGCCCTGACTTCATGGCCAGCTCGCCCGCGATCGCGCGCAACAAGGACGACTTGCCGCAACCGACGCGACCGACGACCATGGAGATTGCGCCCGCTTCGAAGTCGATGCTAATGTCGTGCAACACTTCCACATCCTCGCCGACGACAAAGCTCGCTTCCTCTATCGACACCGCGACGATGGCATCGCTGTCGTTGGCTTTCTCCACGCTGTCAATGTCCTTGCCCTCATCTGCGCGGAGCGTCGCCTGTCCTGCCGTCGATGGAGGAGACGGGAACCGCGAGACCGCCATCTCGCGTTGCTCCTCGCGCTCCTCGAGCAGCAGGAATTCTTGCAGGCGGGTGAAGCATCCTATGGCGCCGAACAGCTGCACGATGGAAATGAGAATGTTGGTCAGTGGCTGAGCAGCGATCGAGATGATCGAGATAGAGGTAAACGCTTCCGCGACAGAGAGTCCGCTGTCGGATTTGGTCCAGAATATTGCGGCGAGAATGATGATGACTGGGGTTAGGTCCTCGCTAGCCATCGCTGCATGTGTATCTTGTCAGCATCCAGATGATTTCCAATGTGATTGAGGGCACGGTAGTCTTTACCCAGCGCATTAAGCTGCACAATTATCCATCGGAACCTGACGGATAATTTGAGCTCATGTATTCTTGACTGCCGGAGCTTCTCGTGAAAGAAATCCGTCAGGCCCATCATCTTCACTCCTTTAATCTGACTCAACATGTTGGACACTGAACCTATGCGCTCTTGGATCGCTTTGTTCCATACAACGCGAGCAGGTCCCATCGCGGGCGAGATCAAGGCACCTGCTCCAGAGGTGACTGTACTATGATTAGCCATGTCGCCCTGAAGCTTTAGTGTGTTACGGGACGTACTGAACCCAGGCACGAGAATAAAGAGGCTCACAACCCCAACATGCCGGCTCAGTAGGTATATCGCCACGGGAATCTCAATGAAGCTCGCCCAGATATCGTGTATGGCGTCTCCCGAGTTGACAATGTTCTCGATATCGGTACTCATCAAGGTAACTGGCGCGGACTCCTTGATCGAAGTGGTCCTCAACGCGATGGTCTTCTTGTACACGAGCGATGCCAGTCCGCCACGGTACATGGTCAAGAGTTGATACGTCAAGTGATGGTACAGGGCGTTGGACACGGCCATGCCCACATACACAAGGACCGTCGCGCCGATAAGGCTGGCCGCCACGTCCTTGTGGTGTTCGCCTGGGGGGTCGCCGACGTACTTGACGACACTGTTGATGAGGAAGGGTTGTGCAAAAGTGAATGCCGCGAAGCAGAGGCGAGGTAAGATTCCAGCTGCAAACTGCCACTTGTAGGCCAGAAATGTCGTCTTCATGAGCGCCCATTTGCCCTGCTTGGCGTCTTGAGGCCGTTAGCATATCGAGCACACAGCGAGTCACGAACATGTATATGAGGTGTGTTGGGATCATATCGTCATACCGTTTTCCCATGCCCGCTCTAGTCTGCTGAGCAATTGGCGAGAGTCAAACTTCGGCTCAATGGCTTCGATGTCGTCGACTCCGAGGACATTCCTCGCGCCCGCTACAAGAAGCTTGTTGAGCCACCAAAACACCCCTCGGCTCACGACACCAGCAATCGTCTCGGGCGCAGTACCCTCAATGGCGTCTTTTTTCGGAAGTTCTTCAAGAACAAGAAGCGACGCTTTCGCGACAAGCCCTGTTATATACAAGCCGGCAATGGCGCGAGGAATGTCGCTCCGCAAGAGATACGACCTCGCGGGCGCGACGGAGAGGATCAGGGATAGGAGAAGGTATCCATCGAGAAGCGTGGCTGGCTTGATGGACTTGCGGTGCTCATTGTAAGAAATGACGCAAATAGTGACTCCCTCTAAGATGCTCAGAATGGCTGCGGGTATTGACGTTTTCGTTTTGGGGGTTGATGGGAGGCACCACAGTGCTAGGAGCGCTATTTGAAGGGCGAAGTAGACTGTGATGGCGAGCTGTTTCCCGTGAGAAACAGAACAGGCCAAATATGTGAGTGAGCGACTTACAGCTTTCAGCCACAGATGTTTTCCTGTCGGAACGACTGTCTGTCGTCGTAGGAGAGCATACGCCCTCAGCGGGGCCAGTGCTATGAAGAGACATGTCGGGAGGAGGGAGAAGATGCTTTGCTCAAAGAGGATAGTAAAGTCGAAGATGCCTGGGAGCTGCGGGCCAAATTTATCGTCGCTCATGGCCAGAATTTATGCGACTTTATGCTGGCTTTCGCTCTTTAGCTGGCGATCTTTAATGCTGTGTTTGGCCCTCAGTAGATAGATGAATGAGTTGCTGTGTTGCCACGGGGGTATCTAATATGCCACAGAAACACCAAAGAACTGAGGGAAAGAACTTTTTGATGATGCAATTAATCGTGAAGAGTCCAACATGGAGCTACACAGATGGATTGAATGGCTCTATTATACTGCCAAGAGATCCCGATGGTGCATCGCATGTCTCCGAGCCGCATCTCGGGACTCGTAACCGAGCCACCAACCCCGTCGCCAGAAATGGCTAAAGGGTGGGCAGTCAAATGCGTGCCACGCAACATGTCGTCGTACGTTGGCATGCATGTGTTCGCCGCACCACGTACATCAACTTCAAGGCTGGGAGGGCGCGATTGAGGGGCACTAGAAGCCATCAGAGCATTCTGGCGACGATGTGTCCTCCACGTTGCGCAGTCATCACCCCCTGCTTGCGGCCGCGGTGCTTCTTACAGTCGTCTTTGCTGCCAAGCATGCCTGAAGACAGGCCATTTCATGTGCAGATCTAGCTCTTCGGGTTGCATTGATGGCATTGGCATGCCCATAGCATCGTGTTGCTGCTGCTCTGGTGTCACGGGCTGTTGTTTGGTCAAGCTAGGCTCCCGTTGCGTCACGACACAGCTTCTGCACGACTCTCACCGCAGACTGCCAGACACGCAGACTTGCGCGTCAGCGACCGATCAAGCAGGTGGATTTGCTAGTCTCTGCTGCCCACGCGTCAGCACCTCGTCAGCCCTGTAGGTGTTGGCCGCTAGGCCCTGCGGGCGGATCTCGTACCCGTCAAGCCGGATAATATCATGGCATTACAGAGCCTGCAATTGGCTGACATCGAATCCTCAACAGGCACCGAGCAGCAGATCATCTTGTCATGGGCACTGACAGACGTGACGAATCTGTAGATATGTGATGGCGATGTAAGCAGTGTTTCTCAACGCGCAATCCTCTATGGGACTCAAATTCTGTAGCAAGTGGCATGTGCGCATCCCGTCTAGTGCGCGCACGTACCAAAGAGTATCTACGTTAGTCCTCGCCGCGGCCGCCGCGACCGTTAGAACCACCTCCCTTCCTCTGATGTGTCAACGACTTCAACTCCAACTGGCGGTGCTTCTAAATCGGGCCCTAGGCTGCTCCTACCCCTACCTTCTCCACTCTCGCTCAGTCCCACACCCGGGCTCCCCATACTAGTTGCCTCCATATCTTGTTGCGAGTCGCTATGTGAGTACCCAAACTCGTTGTGCTGTACAAAAGGCTGTGTACTGGACGTTGAGCCCTTCTTCGACACTGCTGGCCGTTCCGCTCTCCCTTCTCGGGTCAAGGCCCTCTTTGGCAGTATTAAATGGAAATGTCCCTTCGACGTCGAGTCGGGCCCACCGATGTGAACATTGAGTGCTTCGGAGTGCTGCTGTGACTCGACGTAGACGGTTCCGTGGAGGATGAGGTTGAGGATTGGGCGCAAGGTAAGGAGATTGGCTGGGATTGAATGTCAGCGCTGCAACATCCCCGCAGACTCGGGCGTACGCGTGCTCACCGCAGACTGTGGCGATGTTGACCTCGACACCTGTCCACATCATCTCTTCGGCCTGGTTCCAGGTCTTGTCTGGGGAATGAAGGTCCAGGCCCACCACGAAGACAAGCCGAATTGCGGACACAATCGTCACGCTGCGGGCAGCTTGGTCAGCGGTGTCTCTCTTGCGTCCTTCCGAGCAGGCAGTGCGACTCACAAGGTGCCGACGACAAAGATGCCGAAAAGTGCCACCTTCTGTGACACGCGCAGATGGAGCTTCAATATATACGGCAATGGCAGCACCATGATGAATATATCGGTGATGATGTTCGGGATAGCGTTGCCGAGGAAGAATTTGTGAATGTCGACGCCGCAGTGGTACTCGGAGGGGTCCAGCGGGTTGTCGGGATCGAAAACCTCCCAGATTGCCTCTATCGGAAAGCATTCAAGGCTTACCACGATGATCTGTGGTGTCCAGTTAGCTTGATGCGAACTGCCAACCAGCCCAGACGCACGCAGTCATTGAACGTACCTTTGCAACGCCCCAAATGCACACCACGGCAAAGAGGATCCAAATGAGGGGCTTCATGTAGCTCTGGATGTGGAAAAGGCGCCAGTACCACGCGAGGATGGACCACTTGATGAACACGAGGCTCAGCGTGTATGTGAAGACGGCCATGAACAGCCCCTTCGCCCAAACCTCCAGTGCGTCGGGTGGACCGACCCAGACGTGCCGTCCGAAACCATGGCTGGCCACTGCGCGGCTTGATTAGTCCGATACACGGACGCATTATCCTCAACCTGGACAGATACATACTCCAGACGGTAACATCAAACATGAAAGCGGCGGAAAAGAACTGTCAAAGTCGTCAACCTGGTGTCTCCATAAAGTATGTAGACGAGTCGTCTGTGGAACAGGGCCCGTGTCTCGCATACCAGGGAGATAATGATCAGCCAGTCGTCCAGCCACAGCCTGCTCTTCGTAAGCCGCCTGCAATACAGACGGAGAAGCGTCGCGAGGACTCCGAGCGCCCATGTCCCCGCAAAGACGGCGACCATGCGCGGGCGCTTCGTTTCTTGGAGGTTGATGTTCGGGGGCGGCGGTGCGAGATGTGCCATCGCGGAAGCGACGGGGGCGTTCGGTCGAATCGAAGGAGTCAGTCGCCTCTACCGATCCTCGCCAGCGAGTCTGCTACATCGGAATCCGCTCTGCTGTTGCTGTCGTCGTTCCGGCATCGTCATATACTATTCGCGGTTGCTTGGGTTGATGTTAGTTGAGTAGTGTAGATGGTCAAAGCGCGGATATCACTGAATCATCAATCGCACGCCGCGCGCAAGCCTCCAAGTCCGGGTCCCAGGCACAGTATATCAGTCGCCGCTATTGTTACGCCTGCAATCCTACGGGCGACTCCAGCTGCTATCCTCGAACCAAAAGCCAGTTAGTCATGTCTCTTGCAGCATTGCCATTGCATCCATCAAAGTTCGTGGCGCGCCTGGAGTACAGCCGCACCGACGAGGCAGAAGCGGCACTGCTGATAGGCCAAACCGCAAAGGCGGTACTCCTACGCATCACCACCAACGGCCTGTCAACTACATCGTGGCGTCGGCTGGTCATCGTGGCTCGTTTGTGGGCACCGGCGACGCTGGATGGGGAAAACTCCGTGTCGGCGATGTTGGTGGCCCGACAGCCTGCGAGAGCCGTCCAGCCACCAACGTCGGCCCTTCGGCAGGCCTGGACTTTTGTGGCTGCGATGTGGCGCTCCAACAGATGCTCGCCGCTGACCATTCCCTACCTTTCATCCGCGAATTAGACGACTGCGCATTCGAGTACTGTGCAGTACGTCGGCAGTCAAATCACTTGCGATGCTCGTGAAGCCCGCGTGAGTCGTGACATCTCTCGTTATATGCTGCCCTGTGTGTGGCCATGATAGACCTGTTCGCCCGCTGATGCTAGCCGTACCCCAAACGAAAACCAAAGGCACAAACTCCATATATGATCAGTGCACATGTCCAAATACCCGTAAACCCCCGCCAGGGGCCCTTTGACGCGCCAGTTCGACTTCCTCCAGAGCAAACTGCGAACCCTCCGCAAGGACGCGGTCCCGATGCCACGGGCCAACAAACATACCCTCGGGATCGGCTTCATCTCGAACACGCCGGAACTCAGAAAGGCCTTTGCCGTACATGGACTCGATGTCGGATCGGTACGTCTCAAAGTTCTTCGCCCAGTGCGGGCGTCCGCCCAGGTCCTTCATGAGCCACTCGAACGCCTCGTAGTATCGCTCCCGGCATGGCGGGTCGCTCCAGTAGGGGCGATATAGCGTGGCGTTGAGGTACAGTGTCGGTCCGTCCTCGACGGTCGGGTCAAGGAAGGGCCGGACGTTGGATGTGAGCGTCGTGTCGCTGACGCGGACTTCGACCGGTGCGTGAACGTAGAGGCCATCAGCTGAAAAGGGAATCTTGTGAGGCACGTAGTCCGGGTCCTCGGGCGTCAGGTGGTTAAGCCAGGAGCTGAGCCGGCGCAGAGCTTCGGGCCCCTTGTGAAGAGGAATCGCCCATTCGTTGACAAACTGAGAGTAGAGGCAGTTCATGAGCAAGGCCTTGCGGCTGGGCTGCACAGCGGTGGTAGCAGACCCATTCGCAAAGCCATACTGCATGCCAAACACGAACCACTCGACCCATGGCAGCACGCGCGGGACATACTGCGCCAGATATAGAAGGTTGTGATAGACGTAGTAGCCTAGCGCTCCATCGTAGTAGCTGACCGGCGGGTCGGCTTCGGCCTCTGTCGTCTTGTCTCCCTGCCAGACGACCGCGCGGCGAGTATAAGGGAACCACCAAACGCGGACAAATTCACTCTGCGTCCACAAGTCTCGAGGCCACGACTCGAACAATTTCCGGTCAGCGTCGATGGTCTGCTTCCACTTGAGCGTAAAGGCAGGCACGGCCCGGAAGGCGACCTCGGTGATGATGCCTAGGGCCCCGAGGGAGAGGAGGGCAGCTCGGAACAGGTCAGGCTTGACGTCCGCGGAGCAGAACTCGGTGGCGCCGCTCGCTAGGGTGATCTTGAGAGAAACGATATCCTCGGACATGAGGCCGTGCCGGACGCTGCTGCCGTGCGTGCCGGTGGAGATGGCACCGGCGATGGACTGCTGGTTGATGCTACCGAGGTTGGGCATGGCCAAGCCATGTCTCTCGAGCTCCTCGCACAGCGCGTAGAGCCGAATGCCGCTCTGCATCACGACGACACCCGTGCTTTCATCCACAGAAAGGATCTTGTTGAAGCGGTCGAGGTTGACGAGCCAACTGGAGGTGCAGGTGATGTTGGACGGCGAGTGGCCGCAGCCGGTAACGACGACGCGACGGCGACATCTCCGGGCCAGACCAACGAGCTTCTCGACCTCGGCGAGGGATTCGGGCTGGATGTAGAGCTCGGGAACGCAGGAAAAGGTGCGCGCCCAGGTGCGGTGGACGTGCTGCGTCACCGCCCGAAAGGGAACGCCATCGCCGCGGCCCTCGAGCTCGGCGGCCACGAGGGGATGCATGATGTATTAAGGGACGTTTGCGCGAACGTTTGAGTATCGAAGTCGCGGTCGGAGGTGGAGGTCGGATATCGAGCTGTCTAGCGAACGCGGGAGGTGTGCCGCGAGACGGGCTCCGGATTGCAGGCTAACGGGATCGAGCGGCTGCACCTCAGATTAGGTTGCCTCAACGGCCAAGCTCGGCGCCGGGAGCCGTTTCGGAGGTTGTACAGGTGGCCATTGGTGCGCGCGCGGCGAGAATGAAAGAGCAGAAAGGGGAGCGGGCACTCGAGGGCGAATATTTGTCACAGCCCCGCGACGCGAGAAAATAAAATGGATGATGGTGCCATCTTGCCGATCCAGGGTCTAGTGGGGGGCTCGAACCGCTACCTGCAGGGAAGCGCCGTCTGAGAGCCGCCTAGCTCCAGCAAGCCCCAGCTAAACGTGCCGATAGACTTGTCGACGCCACTGTTTCCCATCCATCCACCCCTGACATCCATGGATCCCGATTGCACGAGATAAGAACGAGTTGAGATTCTGCGCTGACACCCTCCTTATAGTACCGTACAAATTGAAACTCTCCCTCCGAAGCTTTGACTATTCCTCCTCCAGCGGCTTGTGAAGGCCCAGCCTCTCCGCCGTGCTAACAACCCTCTTCGGATCCGCGTTCGCGTCCACGACGTACGTCTTGGGCGTCGTGTCCACGAGCAGCCGGATGAGATCCGGACGCATGTAGTGGCCGCCCTAGCAAAGTCCTCAAGTCAGCGCACACTCACACACCTACAAACACACACACACACACACACACACACACACACACGTTGAATACAGACACAGCGGGAAGGGAGCCTTACAAAGTCAGCGAGCCGCTTCGTGAGCAAGTTCTCGTCCAGGTCAATGTCCACAAGCACCAGGCCCTCAAACGTCTTGTCCGCATCCGCGACCGCGCGGAACCCGTCCGGCCGGTAGATGCGCGAGAAGCCGTTGCCTATGACGGCGGCCTCGGCGTCGAGCGCCGCCTCGTCGTTCTGCAGCCGCTTCGGCAGGTTGAGCCGCGCGCCCTCCCGCGAGACGACCTGCGACGGAGCAAGCGTCCAGGTCCCCGTCTCGTAGGCGTACGCGGGGGTCACCAGCTCCGACTGCACCTCGGAGATGTTCGTGTATGGATCCGGCGACTTGAGAGTCGTGGCGGGCGGGTACACTGGCCAGGCTGCGATGTGTACCTGCTCGTACTTGGTGCACGCCAGCGCCTTAAGGAACGGGTTCATCTGCGACTGTCAGCCATGGCCTGCGGTACCGCTGGAGGCAACCCTGCAAAAGACGGCGGCTGGCATACGTTCTCCCAGCAGTTGAGATGGCCGACCAGGCCTATCTCCGTCTCCACGACCGTGTCCAACGAGTCGCCCGTCCCCTCGCCGAACACGAGGCGCTCCACGTGCGTCGGCTTGATCTTGCGCCGGTGGTTGATGACGGCCCCCGTCGGGTCAATCATGACTTGCGCCATGTACAGGCTGTTGCCGTCGATTTCGGAGTAGCCCAGCGAGACGTAGATCTGCGCCTCTCTGGCGGCCGAGCGGATGCGTCGCATCTCGTCCGAGTCGGGCCGCAGGCTGTTCATGTGATAGTCTTTCAAGAGCGGCAGAGAGTCTTGGTAGTTTACACGCCATTGCCAGTAGGGGTACCTTGAGCTGTCAGCGGTGCGGCCATGGGGAACGTTTGGTCGGTAGTGAGTAGTACCCTGGGATCCATGTCTCTGGAAAGGCGATGAGCTTGCAGCCCTTCTCGCCCGCTTCCAGGATGAGGTTGACGGTCTTCTGGACCGACTTCTCGAGGTCGAACCACCCGGGCTCTGCCTGGACACAGGCGGCTTTGTACTGGCGGATCGTGGCAGGCATGTTGATGTCCTTGACGAAGTTTGATGTTGTGCTCTGGTAAACCTCAAGCAGCAATGCGGCCTCGGCTACGTTTTATCTACGATCGAGCTCCTCAGAAGCCCCCGCGGACTTCCGCGTCAGTACGTGACACGACATGCAGCCCGACAGCCCGAACCAGCCGTCGGCGCTTCGGAATCTCCAGTCGCGGCGTCCTGCATGCCGTCTTCCAGGATCTCGAGGTCTAGAGCGCCCTTCACAGTGCCCAGCCCAGCATACGAGCTTGATCGAGTCCCTGCCACAAGCAAAAGCCGTCATTTACATGACGGCTTTAGTGCTAGCAAGAACATCAGGCCACCCGGATAGACCGTGCAGCCTTGGTGCGTCCCGCTGGGGTTACATCGCAGCTAGAAAAGACTCGGAGATGTGGATAGAAGTGCCCAGGGCCGATCCCGAAACACGGCCGCTCGTCCTGAGGCAACTAGTTAGTTATAGCAATAGGCCATCGAAACCTCCTATGGCATCATAGCCAAGCCCTCATAGCTGAGGAGATGATGGATTCAGCAAGAGCGATTTCAATTGTTAGTCGCATACCAGCACGTTCGAGAAGAAACGAGCCACAAGTATCTGCTCAAAGCCCAAAGCTGTTAGATTCAATTGAACTATTCCTCGTCGCTCAGCTGCACTGGCGTACATTCAGCCACTTGGCATAAGACGAAGTAGGTAGCTCATGTGTGACTATCCTCCACGATTGCGATTTCCACGTCTCCCGAGTTTTCGACACATCCTGTGCAGTCACCTGCATTGCCCCGCACTCTCCGTGAGCGACACAGCAGCATCCATGTCACATATGCCGTAGGGGGGGCCATGATACTATTCCACTGGCTCTTCCCTCGATCCAACTAATTGACAAATCACGCATAGAGGGCCCAAACAATGCAATTCGACAAGGCTCGATGTATCGATTTATGAACGAGGCTACGTCATGTTCGTGAATTAGACATGGATGTACACGAATACAGGATCCAACTCCAGTGAGAGCCTCCCAACTCCGCAGCCCAACCCCGCCAGTCGTCATTACCCGTCCCTGCGTCTCACAGGTCATGCAAGTGTGTCGCCCAATGCTGCCAACAAGTCAGGCCAAAGAAATAGCACCAATAGAAGTCAAATAGAGCGTTGTGGCCCGGCAGGGCACGCGGCTAGTCACGCATGTACGAGCCTCGCTGCCTCGTCATTCGTCTGTGTAAAAAAGGACGAGCCTACTCTAGGACACTTGGAGCGCCCGATAGATGCACGCCATGCGGGGTCAAGATCGAGCCCTGGTCGTAGTGAACTTTCTCTGCAATTGCGTCGGGTGATGGTTGAGGCCGGCGTCTAGCCTCGGCTGATCTGGCTAGCGCTCGTGCGGCTTCTCTCGTCCTCCTCCTCGATGACATCGCTCAGCCTCGTGGGGTGGTGGTGGCGAGGAATCGTCTCCCAGCCCGGCGTGCCGTACCCTTGCCCTGAATAGTCCTGAGGGTTGGAGTAGGCGCCGGTCCATTGGCCCTCGCCGGCAGATGTCGAAGGTGGCTCGTGACTACCGCTGGGCGGATTGGTCGTGGCCGGGGTGTCGTATTCCTCTGCTTCCGCGTCAGAACCTGAGTACGTCGACGGCGGCGCAGCGAAGGGAATCTTGTTGCCATGCACGTCGAGAATGAAGTTCCCTGCAGCGTCGATGACGTACTCACCTTCGCTGTAACCGCCTTCTGACCCACGGCGCGTGTGGCCTGCTGTTTGCCCGCGGCTCGACTCCGGTGGGTAGTAGCTGCCGCTGGCTGCGGTCGTCGTGGGCGGCGACGTCTGGGCGGGCGCCTGGCTGTGCTCGGGGTAGCCCTGGCTGTATTCTTGCTGGTAGGTTGGGTCGCGCATCGTGGGCTGCCGGCTGGGGGCGCCCTGCGTCATGGGCACGACCTGTACGCCGCCCACAATTGTCGGCTGGCCCGTCTGGAGAGAATACGTCCTGTCGCGCTCCTCCTGCTCGCGGCGGCCGAGCTCCTCCCAGGCTCTCCGTGCCTCCTCCTTGGAAATGGCAAGCTCCTTGCGCATCTCGGCGAGCTGCTTTTGGATTTTGGACGATCCCTTTTCTTGGTCAATGGCATCGCGGATTGCTTCGGCGCGGTCTCGCCTCTCCTTTTGTAGGGCGGCATCCATCATGGCATTGACTTCTTGTGCGCGCTCGAGCTCGGCTCTCGTCTCGAAAAACCACCGTTGGAACTTGCGCTCGGAGCTGGCCCGGAGCCGCTGCAGCTCCACGACGGCGTGAAAAAGGTTGGCGCCCGCCGCCGAGAGGTCGGTGACTTGACGGGCAAGCTGCTGGCTGAGCGGGTCACGGTTTACTTCGTCCTTATTTTGCTCAAGCTTGCGGATCCAATAACTCGTCAAGCCTTCCCAATGAGCAGACAAGGTCTCCCACCGTTCGAAAGCGTGCGGGAACGAATTCCGAGGCTTGGCATCGGCCGGCTGGGTCGGAGCAGCGCTTGGCTGCTGTCCGAGGTCTGGCTGCTGGGGTTGCTGACCAGCTGTCGCGGTGTAGCTCTGCGACTGTGCGTGCGAGTGGCTTGGCTGCACTGGACGCTGTTGCGAAGTCGGTCTCGGTGCCGACGTCGAGATTCGACGGGCTGAGGCCGGTTCTGGTGCAGCCTGTCCCTGATGCCGAGGGTCGGCTGGTTGTTGGGTATCGGTGCCGCTGCTTTGGGCTGCAGCAACGCCAGCAGATCGACGTTCCGCGCTCTTTCGCTGGGCTTCCTCTAGAAGGCGCGCCTCCTGCTCAGCTCTCGTGCGCTCCAAGGCGAGCTTCTCAGCTTCTGCTCTTTGTCGCGCCTCCCGCGCTGCCCGCTCTTGCATGATCATTCTAGGACCCCTGATGCCGGACGGAGAGCCAGTGGGCGCGGGCCCGGCTGTTGGGCGACGCGGGGACGGCATGCCAGCGCCGTTAGTCGAGGCAGGAGCTCCGCTAGCAGGCATGAGGTCGGCCATGCTGGCGGACTCCTCGACGACGTCGGCAGTGAAAGGCTGAGGGTGGCGGAGAGCCTCCTCGAGAGCGTAGAGGATCGCGCTATGGGTGTGCCTGGAGATGCGTACAGCGGGGTGAGCGTTGCGCTGATTCCGGCGCGCAGAGAAAGAAGTGCGTTCGTGTCGGGAAAGTGGTCGATCGGAGGACTCTTGAGCAGGGTCCTCGGTCAGATCCTGTGAGGCGTATCGCCGGTGGCGGTCGCTCTCCTCGTACAGCGAGGCGTCGAGGCCTGTGATGGACTGCGCTTGTGCGTGGTGCTCAGAGGAAGCAGCGCTGGCGGAGAAGCCGACAGAGGCGGTAGCAATGTGCACACGTCGTGGCTCAGGGCTCGGGGAGGCGACGAGCCGGGGCGTGCGGCGGAGCTGGCGCTGAACCGAAGACGAGGGGCTAGAGAGTCTCTCGACAGGATCTGGAGTGGGTGCGTGCTGGAACAGCGACGTCGGCTGCTGGCGTTGCTTAGGGGGAGACGTAGGCTCGTGAATGTCGTGGGCGTCGTTGGGAGCAAAAGTATGTGGCTGGGAAAGGACTCCTGCGCCGACAGGGGCGGGGTGTGAGGGAGACAAGGCGAATGCGGGCTGCTTCACCACCAGGGCAACGCTGGCGGTGACGTGGGCGGCGATAGAAAGGTCGTCGGGACGAGATGTGGTGAGGTGGTGGTGGTGGTGGTGGTGGTCGAGGTGGTCGGGAATCTGCCGCTCTGGCTGGCCAGGTGCGGGAGAGAGGGGGACGGAGGGAAGGAATTGGTGCCACCCCAGAGACCCAATTTCGTCCGAAATACGGAGACGTAGGACGAGAGCTCGAGAGTCAACGCTGGCGGCGCAAACAATGGGTGAAACAGAAACGTCCCGTGCCCAAAGGGTCGAGGGGAGTGTGCGCGCCGGACCCTGGTGATGTCAAAATGTGGTGGCAGGAAGGCCTGGAAAACGGGGGGCTGGAGAGCTGCGCCAGCACAACCAGCATCCGCCAACAGCCTCAATCGACCGCACAACCGGTTGCCCAGCCTTGTCGTCGGTCATGCACGTGGCACAAGCAACGGCGCTGGCCCTTTCGGTACGGATACAGTAATTCGCAGGCTTTAAGCGCCGTTGCCGTCGTTGCATGCCTTGTGCGCACGCATGCGCGTCGGGCTGTTCGGGGGCTGAGGCGCTCAACGTCGGGTCGCATGGGCACCACGGCGGCTGCTGCTGCTGCTGCTGCTGCTGCTGCTGCTGTTGCCGCTGCCACCAGCAGCACCACCACGGCTTCCTCCCAATGACGACGGCGCAGTCGGGGCGAGGCGAGGCGAGGCGAGGCGAGGCCGCAGGCGCATCAATTGGCTCGGCTCAAGCAGTCGAGGGCGCGGCGGCGACCACGGCCCGGCAAGCAAAGGGGCAATGCCGTCCGGCGCAACGTCTAGAGCGCCCCAAGCTGTGACATGGTCGCAGGAGGTTGGGCGAAAGAGAGAGATACAGGAGGAAGACGAGGAGCGGGCGGGAGAAAGGCCGGCCGCGTCCAGGTCCAGGTCCAGGGGGGCGCAAGACAGGGCAGGGCAGGGCAGGGGCGCGGCCGCTGGCTGGGACGGGCCAAGGTACCCGAGCTGGACCGCAGGTGAGTTCAGGTTAGTGCCGAGCTGGACAACGCATCAAGCCATCCATCGCTCGCTTCCAAGTTTACGTCAGACCAGGGCCCGACGTCGAGATTGCCAGCCAGGCCAGTCCGCCGACCAGCCTTTTTGGCGCAACCGGCCCGCCGGGTTGGGGGCGGACGCGGATCTGCAGGCCCGCGGAGGGCTGATCCGATGCTCGGATAGCTGTTCGAAGCCCAGTTCCAGAGACCTTGGGCTGTTGGATGGTTTCTGCGAAGCACACGGCCTGCACTGTCACGTTCAATGCGCCCGGAATTGTTGAGCCTCACTCACACTCACGGCCTTTGTTCCCACGTCGAGCCAGGCAATGGAACAGGAAAACAAAAATCAGACGTGCCCCTGGCAGCCCGCGCAGGCCGCCCGCATCTGAGACCGCATGCAACACGCGCAATCGCACCACATCGCGGTAATTAACGCGCCAGAGCGGCCACTCTTTAAACCCCGGCCCCACGACGCGCTCAGATCATGGCTGCTCCTCTTAGTACGGGGTACCTCGTACTCCGCGCTCCGTGCGCAGCGTGCGCAGCTGCATGCTGCCCCGCAAGCTGGCACCCATCAACTGGCCGGGTCAGACAAGTTTGAACTGCCGCCGAGTCTGGCCCCTGGCTGTGGGGGACTGACTGCGGCTGGGAAGCACACGAAAAATATAGCTGCCATGCGGCTGGCTACAGAGTCGCACGCAGGACTTCGAAATGCTCCTACGTCGTTCCTCCCATTTATAACTGCACTGAGGGTCCCTGAAACTCTGTTCGCGAATGCAATTTACGCCAACCTTGGATGTGCTGGGAGACGGCGGCGGCTACGGGTCGGCCCTGGAGCCGAGGAGCTGTCTGGCCGAGCTGCAACCAATCGAACACCTTCGGCGACAGACTGCACCCCACCGCCCGCTCGCCTGGAGAGGCGCATTTGCTTGTAGGCTTTGAGAATCGCGAGAGTGCCGTCTTGCCAGCGCCGACAACGACCATGGGCGGGTAAGGACGCAGTCGCGCTCAACATGTACGAAGCCGAGGAGAAACTCTGGGAGCATAGCCCGATGTACGCATTATTCTGCCGGGGTTTTCTCCTGGCCGTCTGCTCCATTACCCTGTTGGCGAGCCATTCGGTTGGAGTGCTTGGTTCGCCAGCATCGATCCAGGCGGGTTACACCCGACATCAAGAACGACCAACCCCTCGCCCTGTTAGGACGATTTCACTTTGTCCTACAGCAGAGCCGCAGATATGATGCCCATGCATACATCAAAATCACAATACCCTCAACATCATCCGAGGAAATCCCCTTGAGTATCGTGCCAAAAAAGACAGGACAGTCCAGGGTAAGAGGCATCTTGCTTGAACGCGACAATCTCATTGGTGTGCCATGGTGGGGCGAAGCAAATTTTGCGCACGAGGGGTGTATAAAAGCAAATAGCTCGGCTGATCTCAACAAATGGGGGGCTGGCGCAACGGTAGCGCGGTATGTTCACACACAACAACTCAATCAGCGAGTTCAATCCACTAACTCACAAGCAGTCAGATTCCAGACTTGGAATTTCCTGAAGGTTATCCGTTCGAATCGGGTGCTCCTCAGATTCTTTTTTTGCTTTTGCACATGATGATGCGGCCAGAGCACTACGCTCTTTTTGCCAGACTACGCTTTACCATCTACCATGGGGTCTAGGGCCTGCGTCATTTCAACTTTTTGGTCCAATTTCAATTTTGTTCTAGCACACGTCTGACCATGCGAGACCATATTGTACAATGTTTCAATGCTTTTCTTCTCCGCGTCTTCTGACCGCGTGACAATCTGCCCTAAAGATGTACATTTAAAACCTCCTCGACAGGCACTTTACGCCGTGTCCAAGACGATGACCTCGGCCTCTGCCTCTCCAATGCTTTCCACCGCCAGCTTGTCACCGGGGTTCACCCCCTCGATGAAGGCGCCGTCACCCTCGGCAAGCTCAGCATCCTCGCGGCCATCCAGGCGAATCTTTGCCTTGCCATTCTTCGTCATGCACAGGTGCACGTAGACCTTGCGCTTGGGCGCCTGCGTCGCCTTGGCGCCGACCGTCCACTCGAAGCTGGTGCTCGGTGCGATGAGCCCCGCCCCCATGGCGAAGTCGGCGTGGATGGGGATCGAGCCCGGGACGGTCGGCTCGGCGTCCTTCTCCTGCTGGGTGGTGGCGTCCTCGCCGCCCTTGAGCGGGCTCAGGATCGTCACGAAGTCCTTCCTCTTGTCCTCCTCCTCAAAGTGCCTGGTGTGATACCGCGGCGCCAGGCCGCGCTTCCAGGGAATAGCCCAGATCTGCAAAAAGTGCACCGGGTCCGTCTTGTGCTCGTTGAACTCTGAGTGCGCGACACCCGTGCCGCCCGTCGTGAACTGCACGTCGCCGCGGTGCATGCGGTAGAACTTGTCCGACTGACCGCCCTCCTTGCCCTTGGCGAGCATGGAGTCGCGGTGCGTCAGCTCGCCAGACAAGATGTAGCTGAAGATCTCAAAGTCGCGATGCGGGTGCGTCGGGAAGCCCGAGTTGGCCTTGACGCGGTCCTCATTGAGGACCCGCAGGCTGCCAAACTGATTGAAGTCCGGGTTGTACCAGCTGGCAAAGGAGAAGCTGTGGTATGTGTTGAGCCAGCCGTGGTCCGCGTGCCCGCGGGCGCTGGACCGGTGCGGCTTGATTGTTGCCTGGCGGAGGACAGACTTGGACATGTTGGCGGCGGACTTGAGCATGGGTTGCTGATCCAGCTTGTGTGTTTTGGTGGTGATGATGGGTGTGCTGTTGAAGTTCTTCAAAAGGCTGCTGATGCTGCTTTTTGTGAGGTACGATATGTGCTCAGGTGCAATGTTGCAGAGTATGGAAATTGAAGCAACCAAAATCGCAGTTGCGAGAACGAAGCGATACATATATAGACGTTGTGCCCGTTATCTGGAACCAAGACGAAGATTCCTGCTACGTTCAAAACTGTCGATTGGTGGATGATCAAGTAAAGATCACGTTAAATAGCCAGCCTAAACTTGAAGCTTCCCGTTGGCGTGTCGGCATTACCAAACCATTCTTCAGCACGACGACGCCGCCGCATCAGGCAAAGCTGACGGGCAGCGGACGTTTGACAGCCTGACGTGACAGCTCGGGGCTTCCCGTCGATTACACAATGCTGACATGGCAGGGACGGGCGACAAAAATCCGCCAAACCCGGGTTGATTTCATCCACCTCTTAAAGCGAGGGAGACGCTTAGCCAAAGCAGCCACATCACGTGATTCGAGTTTGATGTGTGGTGAGGGACTGCTCGACGGGACGGAGACAATGAGCGCTCTTCGCTGGGAGCTGAGCCGCCTTTTTTGCGCCTCAGCTCAGCTACGATGACGATGCCTGGGGCTCCAAACTTGCGCGGAAGCAATGGCAGGGGAAATATCATCCCATTCGGGAGTTTGTTGACTCGCGACGCCCGATGTGACGGAAGATGCAGGTTGGCGCCTCAGCACACACACTGTACTCGTACGTACGTGCATCAGGGCACGGCGCCTCGAGGGTGCGCCCTGACGGAATCCTCACAGATCGCCCGGGTTCGGGAGACAACAGGTCGGAGCCGTGCCGCTGAGCTCCGACTCGCTGTGCAGACCCCGTTTGCTCCCTGCATCCATTCAGCTCCTGCAAGGGTGGCAGGGAGCCGAAGCGTGTCTCTCATCGTCTGAAAATTTTCCTTGCACCACCCCTGAGGAAGCACGGGCGCTTGCGCCTTTTGTGTAAACCAGAGCATGTGCCTCCCTACTTCGTACTCCGAACTTCCATGTATGGTGCGCTCCGTGGGTTGCAGGTGGTGACGCAGTACGACTCGACGTGGCCGGCCTGATCCCCAGCCTCCCGGAAAAGCGGGGCCGCCAGCGCCGCCACGCCGTTGCGAGATGCAAGATGCAGGAGCGCCCGACCAGCGCACCTGCATCAGCTGCCGCTGAGGTGTTCGACGAATTTTCCAGCGCCTCCCGTCACCGTCTCTCCTTCTTCCCCTCGAAAATCGCGAGAGGCTTCTCTCCTCCGGCAGCGCGGATTTCGTTTCAGCGCCACCTCTGGCGTCCCGTTCAATTGCCATTGTCCTCATTGTAAGTGGGTTTTCTGTCCCCTGTTCGGAGCAGTGATTCAGACGGCTACACCCGCCGGGCGGCCGTCGTGGTGGGGCCTGGGTGGCTGGTCACCAGCTGGGCGCCTAACACACGGCACGCCTCTCTTCGTGTCTCCCAGCCTTCTCTATGCGTGCTCGCCAGTCGACCATATCTCTTGTTTGCGCCTCTATGGCGAGTCTCCTTCTTGCATTGCATTTCTCGTACCACCAATTGGCCCCAATTCTATCCAAGTGGGTGGGTTGGCTTGCATTGGAATGCTGCCAGCATGAACTCTCAAGACACCATGGCTGAGCAGTGGGAAACGCCCCGTACACGTACGTCGAGATGACGCTCGCAACCTTTTGACTTTGGCGTCCCGAGAGGAGAGACTGATAGCCAATCTAGATCAACGGCGGCCACAGGAGACACCGCATCATTTCTCTCCAGGCGCTCCACCATCCAACGGTCGCCTCCACCATGAGCCACAAGGCACCTTAGCGCAACAGACTTCACCGATCGCATCTCTGTCGCCCCAGCCGACCGTTGTCCCGGCGAAACCTTCACCCAAGTCGCTGTCTGCATCAAGTCCAGAGATATACGGGCCGGACCGTCTGCTGCCGTCTGCGACCCCACAGCTCCCCGGCGGCTCAGCTGATGCTGCCAGCATAGCGCCCAGCTCTACCGTGCGATTCGACGAGGCACAGCTGGCCATGTTCGCGGCCGACAATGCCGCCCGGATGGGCAACAGCCTCAAGGACGAACTCACAATTGCTGCCGGAAAAGTCACCCCCGGCGTCGACGACACTCCATACATCCAATATGCCCTCGAGGCACTTACACGGGATAGGAGGAGCGGCTCCACTCAGCACGTTTCCGCACCCACATCTGGAAGACAGCCATACCTTTCAGACATACCCCGGCGAATACCAGACGAGGAGCTGGCCTTTGCGGCCGTGACTCAACCGCAGCCGGTGTACTACTCGCACAACGTCAAAGAGCAGCGGCACGCCGGCGAGCCACGGGTAGGCCAGAACTTGGCGACAGTGGCCCCGACCGCTCCACCCGCAGAACCCCCATCGCCACCAACGTCCTCATTAGACGATTATCCGCCAACCTCGGATCAGTGGATTGCAGTGGACAAGCTCGCGCTTCAGGCCATTGACCCTCGGGGACGGACATATCCACCACTCACATACAAGCCACGAATATTACGGCCCTTCTCCATGATTATTTTAATGATTTCATGCCTCTTGATGATCGCGGCGCTCATATTCTCCGACCGATTTTCGGCCCAGCGCGTCGGGTTGACACCATATCCCGGCACCATTTACTCTGGGCAGTATTTTGTGTTTCGCATCCTGCCGCAGTTGCTTGGCGCAGTCATTCTCATCTACGCGCAAAGCATTGTTACGGCGTCTCTTCGAATTCTCCCCTTTACGACCATGGCGAAAGAGGATCCCCGCGAGAGGTACCTCGCGTTGTTTCAAAATTTATACCCAACGTCCTTTCTGCGGCCACAGCTGGCTGGCCCGTGGCAGCTGATGGTTTTTGATTTGGCAACTTGGGTTGCCATCTTCACGGTCCCGTTGCAAAGCGTGGCCTTCACATGTGTTTATGTAGGAAACGAGTGGATATGGACACCGTCCACGGGCGTCGTGTGGGCATTGGTCGGCCTGTACGCTTTCCTCCTTGTTGCCACCAATCTCTTGATGGCATTTTGGTTCAAGCAGTGGACGGGCCTGAGGTGGGACATCCGGTCCATCGCAGACCTCATTCCCTTGGTGAACCGGACCAACACCCTGAGCAGCTACAAGCAGCGCGCACTCTCTGGACCTGGTGGCAACTTCAAGGCACGGTTAAATGACAGATGGTTCGATCGGCTTGGATACTGGCAGACAGAGGACACCCTTAGTGGAGGAATCTGGCACTCCATCGGAACTTCAGCCGCGTCTCCAGCAAATGGACCCGAGGTTCATGACGAGCGAGGCAAGCGAGGGAGCTTCGACGCGTCCATCGGCTCACACGACCTGCCTAGCCTGGGTATGGGCAGTGGTGGGTATCTGCCATGGTGCTTGCGAGACGCACCCTTGATCGTGTTTGTCGTCACGACGTGGCTGCTGCTGGTGGCACTGCTGGTCGTCTCCTTTCTGCCGCAAACCCGACTCGATAGTGGGTTCGCACCCAAGCTCACCGCAAAGCCCGACGAAGCCGCATTCTCGCCTGCAAACTTTGTCTACGGCTTCATCCCGTCGCTTCTGGGGATGTTCCTGTGGCTCCTATTCCAGAGCTTGGATCAGTCCCTGCGGATCGTGCAACCCTGGGGGGACATGATCAAGCTGGAGGGAGCCGTCGCGCGGCGATCCATCTTGGCAGACTACGCGGCATGCCTTCCGTTGCAGGCGACCTGGAGAGCGCTCTCCAACGGACACTGGCGAGTAGCGGTGACGTCGCTCATGGGTGTCTTGTTTGTTTTCATACCAGTGCTGGCGGGCGGATTGTTCATGGCCCTGACTGCCGACGATGAGTCGGTTCGGATGTATCCGAGCATGCCAGTGTTTGGCGTGTTGCTCGCATTCCTCATCCTCTACGTCGTCTGTCTTCTGCTGCTGGTGCCCCGCCGGAGGCAGTTCATGCTGCCCCACTCAGTCAGTTCGCCGGCTGGCATCCTGGCTCTCTGCTCTGCCGATGAGCTCGTTCAGGACGCGGCCTTCCGGGCCGTACGCTCGCACCGCGATCTCGAGGTGCGTCTGGGCGTTGGGAGAGACGATCCCCGTGAAGAGAGCGTGTGGTTTTTCGGCCTCCTGCCGGGAAGAGATGAACAGGGTCTGAGTGTTCGGCGCCTTCGAAGGTTCACGGAAAAAGCAACGCGCTTGGCGAGGGATGCGGTATAGGTGCGCGCAAAGGCGATGGTGTCATTTGGGCTCTCATGTGAGCACGGCGTTTGTGGGCCTCGGGCATGGCGATGCCTTCTTTCTTCTTAAGAAAAAACTCAACAGGCGCAAGGGAATGGGAAATGGGAATCGTACGATCTCGATGATTATGTATTTTTCCACGGTTCAGTGTTGACGAGGTCCGTGGTTCACGAAGGAACGGCTGGAATGGGCTACGCGAATCATAGCATAGACGAGGTGGTGGTGGAGGCGCGTAAACAAGCCACACTTGGGATGCCCAAAATGCCTTGCGGCGGATCGCGTTGTACCGGCGCGGAAAACTGTTTCACTGGGCTGGCCGTAACGGACAGAGAACAAAGGGCATTGCTTTTGCAAGCGAAAAATGGCTCTCAACTGTTCGCTGTGGGTAGACTCGTGCGTGAGGCACCGGCCGTGCCACCGGCATGCCTCCAACCCCTCCGACATGAGGGTGGCATTGCCAACACGACAACGGAATGTGCACCGCCACTTTCTCAAGCGTGCTCGCGATCATCGTGACAAGTCATTGCATTGTACATTTTACTCCTCGTTCATGATCATCCACGGATTCCCATAATGGACATGACATACAGAATTTGTGCGCCTCAAGATGCAGTGCCCCCAAGTCCCCGTCTAAGCAACGCCCCCGTAAAAGAAAGTCATAAGCGTAACTCTCGTAAAACTATCTGCTCCTCCGTCCCAGCATGCGGCCAAACACCTCTGGTCCCTGCTTCTTCCGGCCAGGCGTTTCCTGCTTGCACAAGCGATCCGGCTGCTGCCGCGTGGGCGACGACGGAGCAGTAAGCGCGCGCGCCCGGCGCCGCGCTGGCGTGACTTGCGATGAAGCTGGCGCCTTGGATGTATGGCGCTGATCGCTGTCGGAGCGCTTGTGGAAGCGGAAAAAGGAACGGCGGTTCTCCCGCTCGCCGTCGTCGTCGGACGAGTCGTCCTCGAAGACGGAGTGAGGCTCTGGCTCTACGGGTCGCGTCGTCGCGGGGAGAGGGGGCAGGGGCTTCGCGACGAGCTGGGCCATGGACTTGAAGTGTCGTGGCGCGCGTGACTTGGGAGCCTGGCAGGGGGAGAGAGGTAGATGTGTGGCGGAGTGAGCGTTGGACGAGTAGACGCCGGCGTTTGCTGTCATGGGGCGGTTGGTGCCTTCGTCGAGAGACCTGGTCTGGCGCTGGACGATAGGGGACCAGTCCATGGTTGGTGAGAGGGGGGCCTCTTGCCGCGAGTGGCGATCTCCGACGGCACAGGTAGTGATAATGGCTGGAGCTGAGGCCGGCGGCTGGACACAGTCGATGAGGAGCTCGTCATCGGGGCGCGGGGGGCGCACCGGCCGCAGAACTGGCCTTGAGGTCGGCTTAAAGATAGATGCCTGGCGACTTATGCGCTGAGAAGCAGGCGTGGGCTTTGGTGGTTTCGGAAAGGGGCTGTAGGTGATGGCAGGCTTTGGCTTCGGCGAGGCCGTGTAAGTGGCCGCCGGCTTTCTGCTCCGTTCTCGCGGCGAGCCATCCGGCAGCGGCCACGCCGGACACCGGCTGTTGGGAGACGGCTGCCGTCTCCGACGGTTACGCGGCGACGGTATCAAGGCGGGATACTGCTTCTTCGGGTGAATCGTTGCCTCCTCCATGGGCTTCGTCGCGGCATCTCGAGGCCAGAAGCTATCCCACAACTCCGACATGTTGGCATGCCACTGGTAGTCGTCGTCCACCGACACCTCCGAGTCGGTGCGGTCGTCGATCAAACCCGGTGCCGAGCCCTCGGATCCCAGTGACGTCCTCTCGGACCTGCCGGTGGACAGCCTGGTGCTGCAGCGCGATGCATGGTCGTTGCGCGGGTAGGAGTAGTTGGCGACGGGGTAGTACTTGGAGACGAGGGTGAGGTCTGCTAGCTTGCTGGACCGCTCCATGATGGCGGCGGCGGCGGCGGCGGCTAGCTGTTGTTTCTTCTTCTTCTTGGGTGCGTAGTAATAGTCACATAGGCTCCGACGTTGCTTAGTTGCGAAGCAGGCCGGGGCTTTGGCGGCAGTGGTGATGAACAGCAGCACGACGACAAGCACAAGCCGTCGACGGGCGGGACGAGGAAGTAGAAAGAGAAGAGGGGGGGTATGTTATAGGGACAGGCGCCTCTCCAAAAACACAAAACCCAGCCCTCGTTACACGTCCCCCCCAGCTCCTCGACTTGTTTTTAAGACATGGGCGTGGGGCATCGACTCCCGCCTCACGATACGAGGAGTGTTGACGGTACAGCCTCCCCTCCACCCTCCCCTCCCACCCTTCTCGGCCGCTCGCAAGGGCATTCCAGTGGGGAGGGGAAGAGGCTGCGTCCCGCGCGCACCTGTGAGGTAAAGGTGGCGTGTGAAGGCTGCCTCGCGCATTCTGGTCAGAGGCTCAGGCCTGAAGCTTGGTGGTTGGCATGTAACACGGGACCTCCGGTGGGCGCTTTGCACTTGCAGCATCGGCTCATCATCATCATCACGAGTGCTGCCCCTCGCCTTCAGCTGCGAGCCTCGAGCCGAGGCGAAGTGAAAAAAAAAACGTGACGCCTAGGACGATGACGCCTTGCAAGTGGCGAGAGAGAACTACGGCTATTCCTGCGTGTGCTCCCATCCCACGATGGGCTTTTTCCCGCATGGTGTTTTGGACATCAAGGGAGGAGGAGGGAAGGGTCCCTTGGCAAGCCACGAGCCTCCTGCATATCGATTTCCAGGACATCAACGGCCAAATAGTCGCTTGTTTTCTCCTGCGCAACTTGCAAAGGGGCAAGCTGCCGCTCCCCCAAGGGCTGCATAAAGGGCGAGCGCGATTATGCAGGATAGAGGAGAAGCCAGGTCAAGTCTTTTGCGCAGGAAGGGGTTGCCGATGGCAGAGGGAGGGAGACAAGAGCACGTTTGGCCGCTGCAAGGAGGTGCAAGGCTAGTGGGGCTGGTTGGAGGCAGGGCGGGTTTTGCCCGTCTCAAAAAGGTCTGCATCGTCTGCTTCTTCGCTGTGCTAGAGGCAAGGCAAGGCGGGGACGTAAGGAGAGAAAAAAAACGACGCCTATACGTAGGGGACTTTTTTACTTTGCGTTTGGACGCATGACTCGGTCAAGCTGTTGTGGATGACAGCTCAAAGTTGACGAGGATGTGGTTACGTAGGTAGGTAGCTGTGTGCTGCAAAGACGATCGGTATGCTGCTGCAGCTCGCTTCGCGTCCCTCGCCGCCGACTTACACGCCTTTTCTGGTGGGGAGNATCCACGCACCAAAAACTGTATGATCCATCGCACCCGCTGCGCAGCGGATCAAGACCCGGCGCTGTGGGTGCTGAGACACGCAGTGGCGTTTTTGTCGCTTGCAAGACCCGGGAACAAGCGGCCAGCAAGCAGCAACAGCAGCGCCGGCATTCGGCTGGTGGCTTGTTCGGCGACGAACGACCCTCGTGACATCCGATGCCGCCATGGCTGACCGAAATGGAGAGGATGTCGTGCGAGCGAGGGATGGCCACCCGAAAAGAGCACATCACATCTTTGACGAGCTTGACGAGCTTGACGGGGTGGAGGGAGGGGGAGGGCTTGGAGGGGCATGCGGCATGCCCACGGCCTGATTCTGACGTGTGACGGCACAGTCGAGCGAGCTCTGACACCCTTATTACTGTACTTTGGTTTGGCAGACGGCAGAGCCGCGCGTGGAGAGACATGCATGCATCGTGCTTGCAGGATCGGACGCGAGCGCGGATCCGCAGCGTGTTCGTAAACTCGCCTCCGAGGTCATTGGCTCCCCGTCTCCCATCCATATCCCGGCATTCAACTCCGCCCCGTCTCGTCTGTTTCACTCTGCCGTGCCCCGGGGCCCGTCTCCAAGAGCTTGCAACAAAAAAATCCTGCGTGTCTTGGACAACCATGTTCGTCGAAGGAGGCGCGTCAAGCTTTTTTGCGCAGATTTGACATTTTTTGGGGGGGGGTTTCTCTCTCTCTTCCTGAACACCTTCCCGCCTTGTCTGTCTTAGAGGTGTGCTCGCCCAACCCCGCGATCGCGGGAAGGAGACTGGATCCATCGTGTTTGTCTCGACACGACGCGTCTGCGTGGAAGCGTCGCGTGAAAAAAGCACTGTGAAAACGCCGGGTCAAGGCGTGGAGAGTGACAAGTCCAGTGATGGCGTCGGCGATGTCTGGAGGGCTGTTGCTGCCTGGTGCTTGTCAAAGCCACGACATTGACCGTCACAGTTGTGAAGTGTGTTTGTCACCCGGCAGAGCTTCGGTCAGGGTGCCGTGCGTTGACATGTGAAGACCAAGGCCGCCTATTTTGGAGTCTTGCCTTGCAAGAGTCTGTTGCACGTCAAGAACCCCGCCCGCAGCATAAAGCTTGGACGCGAGGCAGGGCCAAGGAATGCCTGACTGTGAAAGTGGCATTGACTTCGATGCATCCGCAATCCTCCCCGTTGCATATCCATCCGTTGAGGTTATTCAAGCCAAGTCGGCTCGATTCCACAAGAGAAAACTTGCACAGCCACTCTTACCCTTGATGATAGTCGCAACGCGCCGGCGCAGGTGCAGCGGTTACAGGCAATTAGCTATGCCGACTGTTGTCGTTGTACCAAGTAGAATCAGTTCGTGACACAATATGCCTGCTCCAGGGTAGCTCGGGTGAAATGGCCGAAGGCCAACCGAGGCGTCACCGCGTTCAAGAGACTTGCAACAAGACAAGAGTCGGTGGCCACAGTGCCGGCGGCGCAGTCCGTCTGCAGTCACGCCGCACTTTTGTCCGGCCCGGTCCCTGCCCCGGGCTTCAGCCTCGGTGCCTGGATTCGGCAAGGTTCCGCTTGGGATTGTTGCATGACGATGGGACCGTCTTGCGGTGGGAAAGCAACGGCGTGGGAACCACCGGCAGGCCGCCGCTCGTGGCATCACCTCGTCGCGACCCCTCCCCACAAATCATACGGTGTGTGGTTTGCTGTCGTTGCAGCCTGGGACTTTGGGTAGCCTAATAACCGGGTTTGCTGCGCCGCGAGGGAAAACCTGCCGTTATTACGAAGTAAATTATTTCCGCGACGGGAGCGGGGTAAAGATGGGCTAATAAAGAGAGAACGATGGCGACAGAGGCTCTCTCATTGCGGCAGACATACAAGCACTGTCACGAAATGGCAAAGAGGCCGAATGAGGGGAACCAAACTGTGACACCCATGGGAACAATCTTCACCAGGCCCGCGGCCAGCCCCGTCTTTCATCTGTTCTGATGATTGCTTGCTCGCGCTTGACACCACGGAGAAAAGCAGCATGGGCGCCCCATGACGGTGGCGGCTGACGGCGAGGGCCCAGATTGTCCAGGAACGTCCCAGGAACAGGGGTCCAACCCAGGGGTGATGAGCTTTTTGTGGACCGGCGCTGGAAGCGCCCACAGGTTGAACAAACCGCGCCGCGGACACGGAGTCCACAAGGCGGTCATGGAGGCTCCCACTGGCAGGGCCAGTAGGGCCAGCACCAAGGTCTGCACGGACGGCCGGACCATAGTCCAGGACGGGGCCAGGCAGGGCCGGCCGCGGCCCCCCCCCCCCTGCTGAAGAACTCGGCCTCAGCCGGATTTACAGTCCCAGTTGCCAGATTCCCCCTCTTGTCGACCCCACAGGCGCCGGCCGCCTGTCTGACTCCCACGATGCGAGCAGGCATCGAGATTGCCGACGGGGAGGGGGCAGGGCAGGGCAGGGCCAGGCGCCTTACTCGCGTTGCGCGAGCAGCTCCAACTTGAGCCGCATGACACGGCGAACAGGCTATCGTCGTCTGAAGGGCAGCGTGTCTGATCGCCAAACTGAGAAAAAAAAAAGGAGCCCCTTTTCCAAAGAAGAGTGAGGGGATGGGCGGCACAGCGCTTCAAGTACTCCTACTTGGGACCGCCACCCGGTCCATCTGCAGCAACTCATCACTCCACCTCTCTCGCCACGCTTGCATTGAGAGAGCCCGTCATTCAATAACCCGCAGCCTTGCCCGCAAGGAGAAGGCGCCGAGCAGGGCCGCCAGAAATTGGGTTGGGCCTTCGTTAACGCACATGGGCCGCTATTGCTCCCCGGCCTTAACAGTCCGGACCGGGTTGGGCGGCTCACGATGAGAGGCCCCTCTGCCTTGGCGTGATCCACGATGCGCTCTTGGCCCAATGGCCGCCGCGTGCTCGCCACACCTCCTGCTTTCCACGCTAGGCCTGTTCCTGAACATGGCATCGAGCAGGATTCGAACCGCCCACAAGAGCCGTCTCTCGTCCGTCGCCCGTCTTCCACTGTGCGACCAGACGGAGGCGCGATGGACGCGAGAGGAGGGGCGCCTCATCTCAGCAAGGCGGTCCGGCGCTGTAAGCATGGGTCTTTTTGCCTGTTGTGCCTCTTGGCGCTGTACCTGCATTGTGCTGTTATGGGTCACGATGTCGACGGTTGACTGGCCCGATAGCCCGGTCTCCCCAGTTGAGGAAGTGTCCGAGTCCACGATGTAGCAGTAGCACGTAGTAGCAGACGGAGGAGGAGGAGGAGGCGGCGCGTGGGTAGGGACTCCGCAGGGCCCAGCAGAGCCGCACACTGCGTGAGAGGTGTCCGCGAGTGGCCTCCTCTCCCGTCAAAACCGGAGGCGCTCCTCCTCCGGCCGAGTCCCCTTTCCCTTCTGCCCATCAACTCTGCCTCTGTGTTCCGCCTCAGAGAGAAAACGGCTCGGTTACTTGGCCGTCTGCAAACGTTTGTTTGCGTCCTTTCGTTGATCTCAGCATCATCATCACCACACTCCTTACCCGGCCTCGGCCAACTTACAGTCCCTTGTTCTTGTTCTGTTCTTTTGGCGAAGAAAAAGCCCGCAAGACAACTTGATCCGACATCATGTCTGTCTCTCTCTCTGGCGCGATCGCTGCGGGCGTTGGCTCGTATGGCGCCCTGAACGGCTACTGGGTCGGTCATGATCCT